TTTTTTCAACAGTTGTTCTTGTTAAAACTCTCTAGTAAGCCACGATTTTCCTCAAAAACTTCTGGGAAAAATATTTCTTGTAGGAGCTTGTTCTGCAAGTTGAAAAAGAAAAGAGTTTTTTGATCTCCTAAACGTCAAGGTCACTTTCCATATTTTCGAAAAGAACTTCTGAAAATTTTTGTCAATGATCCAAAAACCTTGAAATTCTAATGGAACGTACGATTTAACATGGAGTTCTCGAGGCAAAAAGCCCTTTGAAATATTTATGTTGGTGATTCAAGGCTTCTACGCCGTCAAACATCTCAGAAAGCTGTTTTGAATGGACTATCATCTTTAAAAGGAAGGATTTGCAAAACGTTTTTCTATTTTGCGCGGCCAAAAAAGGAAAACAAAAGTTTTCTGATCCCCTCAACACGAAGGCCGTTCCTGAAGTGACCATATTTTCCATGGCTGTTTTCATCAGAAAAATCTCCATCCGAAGCTCTTTGCAAGTCCTGAAGCACTGCTCTGAGCACGAAAGCTCACGCTCAACAGCAAGCTCACCCTTGGCCACGCCCACTCAGGAGGAGAAAAAAAAAATCAAGTGAGAGAAACACGACAACTGCCTCTGGTAGAGCAACAGCAACACACGGACCGACGCCAGCTTTTTCCCCCTTGATTTTTCTTCTTTTTTCGATTTTTTCTTGTAAATTTGATTTTTCGGTTATGTTGTTTTATTGGAATTTGAAGTGGACCTCAGTTCTCTAATTCCGAAATTTGGATTTTTTTGAAGACTCGGTAGCTTTTTTCCTTTGATTTTCTTTATTTTTTGATATTTTCTTGTGAATTTTAATATTTTCATATTTTTGTATTGAAATTTGAAGTAGAATTGAGCTCTCAATTTCCAAAAATTAAGATTTTTTTCTGAGTTTTTTTGGCCTTCTTTTTCGTCTTTTTTTGTGATTTTGAGTATTCCATTACAAGATTCTACATTAGAACTTGTAAAAATGAGCCTTCTCATTCAAAAAAATTTAGGCTTTTTTTCGGGGTTTTTTTGGCAGCTGTCTTCCTGATTTTCTTTTTTTTCCGATTCTCTAAAATTTGATCATAATTTTGTATTAGATTTCCGAAAGAACTGCGTTCCTTGTTCAAAAATTTTTCAACAATCTTGAAGATTTTTTTGTTTTCTCCTTAATTTTCAATCCCTGCAGGTTTCATTTTCTGTGTAAATTCGATTTCTCTACCCTTTTTTTGAGTCTTTTTTTAAAAATGTTTAGAAGATTTTATATAATTTTTTTCAGGTTTTTTTGCTTCTCACCGTAATTTTTAGGCCCCCGAATTTTTTTCAATCATCAAAAATTTTTTTCTGAACATTTTTTTATGTCCTGGAACCCAGCAAGATTGAAAAATTTGAACTTGACCCGATGTTTTGAAATATTTTGAGACTATTTGATAGAAAAATCCATTTTTTTCAGCGAAAAACTTTTTTTTGACATTTTTCTCATTTTTTCGTGTCAGAAGTTTTTTTTCCATTAAAAAAAAAGAAAAGTTCCTCTTTTTGATCCCAGTTGGTTGTTTCAAAAGGATTACTAGATGGCTTTTCGCTTCTTTTTTCTTCTTCCAAGTAATTTTTGAACTTCCTTTTTTTGTTTCGTTGACTTTTGGGCTGAAAAAGGTTACGAATTCAGTTTTATCTTGCAGAAACAGCAGGATAATATATGGAAAATTGAATTTTCTCGAGCTTTTTCAATTTTTGAGTTTGTTGGTTTGATAAATTGATAATCTGGTTCTTGGAGCCTTCTTCGAGTTTAGAAGTTATTTTGGAACTTTAGTTCTTTAGAAATGAAAAATTACAAAAAAACTTGAAACGGTTTTTCGCCTCGAGACCGTTATGAAATTTTTCCATGCGCCTTTAAATACCTGAGCAAGGATTTTTGAACTCTAATTTGCTTTTTGATCAATTCACAGATTTAAAGCCCAAAAATAGTCCATAACCTATTAAATATACGTCAGCAGAAAAAGGAAGAAATTCTTCTTTGAGCTCTTCTGGGTGGATTACTTCCCTTCTAGCCAACTTCTCAAAGACTCGCCTTTCTAAAGGAACTTTTGACATTTGCCTTAATCTATGCGCCGCGGGTTTTTAGAAAGTTATTATTTTTTTCTTTTCGTTATTCGGTAATACATTAGCGATCTCTCCGGTCTTCCCAAGCCAACGAGCGTCATGAACGTCTCAAAAAGTTCCCACACGTTTTTTGGTTTATACTAAAAAAGGTGAGAATAATTGTCTGGAGTTCAGACTTTTTGGAAGTTTTCCCCCCAGCTGCACTTTGTACCTTCATGTCATCGAATTCCTGTTATGAGATTTAGAAATAACCAAAAAAAAATCGTTAAGATCAAATGAATTATGGTTCGCGAACAGAAAACGAAAATTTTTGATTTTTGACCTTTTTAGGGGCCTTTGTAGATGAAAAGCTTGATAAATAAGTCTCCAGTTTTATTAGGAAAAAATCCGTGAAAAAAAATTTGCAGAAAAAATAGCCGCTATTATGTTGAGCGTTTGCGCTCTATGGATAAAATTCGAAAAAATGCTATAATAGGTTGCGTTTTATTGTTTTATAATTTTTCGAGTCATCTTCCTAGCACCTTTTGTCATTCGAAAGCCAGAAAGTACCAGACAATTAAAAAACGAACATAAAACGTTTTTCCTCCAAATTCTGCAATTTTTCGGCTTCTAGACAATAAAAAAGGAAAGAACGGAGCTAATCAAAAGCTTCAGAAATTCTCTTTTTTATCTCCAATCAGGTTGAAAAGAAATGTCTTCTTTCAGACCTCAAAGAAACGAATTCTCCTTTAGAAAATCGCAGTTTATCCTTTCTTGGAGTATTTTTGGTTTGTAGCGACGTTCTGACATCAAGTTTGAGCAAAAAAAAACGGTTTTTTTGTACTTGAAAATGACGACTTTGATATTTGGATAGCTTTTTTCTGCCAGGTGAGAATTTTTCAGGTGTTGCGTTTTCTAGTGTAAATTTCAAATCCTTTAGTGTATTTTGTGGTTTGTAAATGTCGGCTTGAAATGCCGTGTTTGCAATGTTCCGATGCTCACGCGCGCAAGTCGTTTTGGGTCGGGCGCAACTTGAAAACTAACAGTGAGCCGTTCCATGTGACCATTTTAAAACTTTTTAATACAATTCAAAGACGCCACGTTCTTTTCAGCTCTTGAATCACATATGTTTTCCCTGAAAAGTACAATTTTCTTGAGAAATTTGACTTCCTAGTAGGATTAATGAATCATTAGTTTTTTTGCTCGAACTCTTTTGTAGTGGGAAGTTTCTAGTACGCAGCTCGAGGTCGTAGTGAAAATTGACATCATTTTTGGACTTCGAGACAATTTTCTAAAGTTTCCAAACACCTTTTTTTCAAGAATCTGACTCATCTTCTGCTCGAAAAAACTTGAAAAATGGAATTTTCTGGCCAAAATCTGAACTCTTCAGTGCAAATTTTGTGTAATTAGTGTTGTTCTGTGTGTTGTCAAAACATAGATTTTTTATTCAGAGTACATTTTTTGTGGAAAACAAGGGTTTTTGTGACATATTTGGCATTCGAAAAATAACCTACGTTTCTAAAATCAAAAAGGTTTTTGTTGCAATAATCAAAGTGACCATTCCTGTAAGTTTTTTTAAAAAAAGATGTTATTTTTTTCTAAAAAAACTTGCAACTTTTCTGAAAAGAAACCTTTTTTTGCGAAAAAGCCCCGATCCGAGCTTCTCCCTGAAAATCCCAAAAATCCCACAAAAAAAGAATATTTTCGTGCAGATCCAAACACCAAAGTGCATTCATTTGGGACACGAGTTGTGCAAGAAAAAGGGAAGATCCACTACTCGTATAAAAGGCAAATCTCGAAGCGATGCTTATTTTCCGAAAGTGCCCTTGTCGAGAGCTTCGGCTTCATCGCCGACTTTCCTCCTCATCACTTCTTTTTTTGTTTTCTCGCTCTTCTTCAATTCCGTTCACCCGAGCAATTCGTCTTTGGATCCCCACCTGGCTCCAATTTCATCTTATTTTTTTATTTACTTGTTTTTTTTATTCAAAGGTCTGTGGAGGAAATGAAAAATGATAGCTTGAAGGTGCCTTTTTTTGAATTTTAGGGAATCAAGGGTAATATTTGAGTTAAAAATCGGTAGGAAATCGGATGTTCGCGCCTTTTTGAAATGTAGAAAAATTTTGATGAAAAAAAAATTACCTTTGGAATATTTATTTTTGAACTTATGAAGCAGTAAGAACCATTTACTCTCTATAACTTTACTAATCATTTTCATTGAAATCTTATTTTTCTGTAAATTTGGACTTTTTCCAAAAAACAAAAAAGGTCATTTCAAAACTTCTAATTCTCATATCTTAAAAAAATTATTCTTTTGAGTTTTTTTCCTCGACTTGAAGCTTCCGAAAAAGTGGCCTTTCCCAGTGGTTTTAATAATTTTATTTATAGTTGGACCAGAAGTTTTATCGAAAAAAACAAAGTGGAATTCAAAAGAAAATTGCTTTATTTTAGGCAGCTTTTCTGGAGAGAATCCTTGAGATTCCTCACAAATTTTCTAGAGGTTTTTTTTCTGCGAATTCTGAAGAATAACTTTTTAAAAATTTTTTTTTCTGAGAATGCAGGGAAATCTGAAAAATTTAAATTCAAAATGCTTTTCGAATATCTCATGACAATCCAAGTTCAGATGTAAATAATTTTCTAACCCCATTATCATATTTGTTCTACTAGAACAGGAAGTTTCTTTTCGAAAAAAAGCGAAAATAAATAAAATATCAAAACCAGTTTTTTTCCAATGAAACACATGTTGTTACTCACCACCGCCTTGTGAAATTTCCCACTAATGAGTAATTTTTCCCATTTTCTGTCCGCATTTGCATCCGCTCCGTTGCTGATTACCCAATCAGGCATCATTTAGGGTCGGAAAAAGGTGAAGGTCAAGGTGTGGAGGAGGAAGTTTTGAAGAAATGTCGAAGAATTCGAGTGGATGAGCCACGACAACGGCTCCTGTATCCAGATCGCGGACGCGATCCGCGCCCAGGGCATCGAGGATCTCACATCGTTCGTTTCAGCTTTTTTTTTTTCAATTTTTCTGGATTATTTGGAATTAGAACTAACGTCATAAGAACCTCAGAACCGGGTGAAATATAGTTTTTCATCGTGTTCAAAGGATTTTACATAGAACCATCTGGTACCCTCAAGGACCCATGGGGTTCTCGAATCGATTTTCCCTTGTTTTGGGTCAATTCCAAAAAGGAAAAGGAGTTTTTAGATTTTTTATAGGTCTTTTGTCGATTAAATTCATGATTAAAGCGAAAAATATGATTTATTGATCGATTCTCAGCATTTTTTTTTTGCATTGTCAAGGCACCTGGAAATTGCCTTTTTTGTCTATTATTAAAAAGTTCGCCATTAGGACATGAAAATAAGTCTTCATCAATGAAAAATACTGAAAAAATATGGAAAAAAAAGTGAAGAAGAAGCATATTTTCAATTTTTTTTGGATTTGTGCTCTTAATTTTTCCATTCTGAAAGGTATTTTTAAGTCTTTTGATTCATCTATTTTCCTTAAAGCTTCATTAGAAAGGGGGAAAAAAATTCCTCATTTTTTTAGATAATTGTAAATTTTACTTTATTTTTTTTCCAACAAGTTTCGAAGCAAAACTAATCAGTCTACAGCAGTCAGTGGGCCATTAACTTAAAAAAATAGGAATATAGGGAATTTTGGGCTTTTCTTGAAGTTTGAAGGGAACTTTTAAGGTTCTTTGAAGGTTTAGTTGCCTTTTTTTTTATTCTGCCATTTTTTATAATTTTTCGAGTTTTTTTTGAGAGTCAAATCTTTTTGAACTGTTTATTTCTACTATGATCTCTTGTTTGATTTTTTTTTGCTTTTTGACTGAAAATAATATTCAACCCACGCCAACTGTTGTCCGAATAGTACCCCGTGGTTGTTTTCACTCATTTTCATTCATTTTTTGACCTTACTAGAAGAAGATAATTCTCCACAAAGTGGGCCAATATTCAAGGTGCGAAAGCTTCTCGGAAATGCGGCTTTACACATTTTGCAAGATGGGGTCTGAAAGTTGAGAACTCTGTGTTTTATTCATAGTTCCACGTAGGTCAAGCCGTTTTACGAAAGATCTCTCATTTTTAATCATCGAAAAATGTTAGTTTGGAAGACTTTTTCGTGGAAACAGGGAAGAAAAGTGACCGGAAGCGGGATTAATTAGGTTGAGTGGACCCGAGCAATTGGAATGTCTGGCCAGAGGTTTTTTTCCGGAAAAATAAATAAATTTTTGTTGGCTTGTCTGGAAAGACTTGGAGGAGTCTTGATTTTTGGATTTGAAGTTTGACTTTTGATTATATCAGGGTACCAAAGGTTATCAAGGGTACCTTCATTTTGATCTATTTTTTGTTTTTTCATTGTAGGTATAGCTGATGGCCAGATTGGGAGCGTGTCCTGTCTGTACTCTCCACGATCTAGGCGCTATCTCGTTCATTATCGTGTCAGGACCCTTTTTTTGATGGCTCAAGCCAGCCGTGAATCAGTTATAAATGTCGGCCTTGATTAAAGTTCTATCGAGTCTAGAAATAGGCTTAAAAATGGAATTTCCGGGTTTTTTCAATATTTCCATCGGTCATCCTAAAAGAAAATTCACCCGGAGTACCAGAAAAAAAGCCTTCATAACTTCCTCACGACTCAGGCCGTTCTCTTAACTTCTTCAGTTGGTCGTTTCATGGAAAGTTACACTTTTTAGTGTCTTAGCGTCACAAAATAAAAAAATGAAGTACTTGGAAGTGTTGAAAGTTTTGAAAGTGTGGACTTTTTTTCTGACACTAAAAAGTGTAACTTTTCATGAAATGAACGACGTTAGCTGTTCGCAAAACGAGTTACCACGACCATTAGGAAGTTTTTGAACATTCTTTGAAACAGAAAAAGTTGCTGGAAATAGAAAAATTTCTGATTTGGCAGAAGATTCAGTTTTCTGCTTTGATAACTGATAAAGATGTCTGTTAGGATTTTCAAAACAGTAAAATTGAGGAGTTCCTGGTCAGAAGTTTTGCGAAAAGTGGTTTTAAAGCTTTTTCTTCACAGTTGTTTGTTCTGAAATGCCCGGAAAACTTTTTTTTTTGACATCTTAACACGGGAGGTCATTCCACTTTGCGGTTGGGAATTTCCTGAAAATTGGCCAGAACACTTATTGATGTACTAGATAATGATCCTGAAAGTCTCAATCTGCACAATTGCCTAGTTTTCGAGAAATCAGGGCTCAAAGCCTCAAAATAGCCTATTTTTATGGATTTTGTGGGTTGCCTTTGACTTTGAGGCGTCTTTTCTCAAAAACGAGGAAGTTGTGCAGGTTGAAACTTCCAGAATCTTCTTCTGGTACAACAAGGAGTGTTCTGGCCAATTTTTTCAAAAAGTAAATTTCGAACCGAAAAGTAAAATGACCTCTTTGTAAGGCGACGAACATAGAAAATGATGAATCTTGGATCTTCTGTTTTTTTTTGTTCTCAAAATCTGAAAAAAACTCGATCGATAGGCCTGGAAAGCAGGTGACGATTAGTGATCGGACACCTCGTCACCATCGACATGAGCAAGGACAAGACAAATGAGCGCCAACTGCGACTTTGCCTTCCCATTCGAAGGCCTTTTTTTTCCGCCTTGGACCTTGGGCAGCTGTCCTCGTCTCAACTGATCAACGCTTGTAACAATTTTATTGGCGAATTCTCGGATAAATGAGCCGGGATTTCACGACTCTGTTGTTTTCACCCTTGTTTTTCGTGAGAAAACGTCTTTTTTTCGACGTTTCAAGGGGTTTGAAGAGAAGGTGTAATGTTTGTAGGAACGCAGGGGAATGATGGTGTTTTTTGGAGTTTTGGAAAGAGAAAAAGGGTCTTTTGGACAGGTAGTATTGAAAAAGGATCGGAAAAAGGTTCTTTCACAATTTTTATTGAATGATGATATGGTTTTTTTCATACTCTTGTAAACTAAGGAAATTCCTAATTTTTTTGCCGAGAATCTGTCAAGTTTTTTTTGGAAGTAGGAGAGAAGGGCTTAATAATAATAGTAATAGTTTATTCACTGCCATAAAAACCATTAGGCTTGAAGGAAAAGTTAAAAATAATATTCTCCAATTTTGAAACATGACGAAAATATAGTTTTTTCTATGTTCTTATGACCTAAAAATGGTCCGATTTTTTTCAATGAAAAAAGTGGAGAAAAACGTTTTTCATTCGTATACAAAAAAATATTACCAAAAAGTGAAGAAAAAAAGCACTCCAACTGGTACGAAAGTTTTTATTGATTTTTTTTTCTTACTGAATAAATTAATACAAAATTAAAATAATCACACCTCCGTTGTTACTTTGACCATTGGACTTTTGGAAATCTTCCCAAAAAGTTGCAAAATTGTGCAAAAAAGCTGGTGTTCCCACGTAAGACGCCCAAAGGCATTGGGAACATCGCCACGGGGCCCATTTTTCTTCTTTTTTTCCTCGATAAGATGATTGAAAAGCTCCTTCTGTTGTTCTGCAGCTCTTTCGGAGCGAAAAAAAAAGATTCTTTGAACCCTGATGGGCTGTTTGGATAACCGGCCCGAGACAACAACTGACAAAACATTGATTCGAGGGGATGTTATGAACTTTGCTATGAAAAATTGAGACGATTCTGTTTAAAAATCCTTGGTTTTTTTGTAATTTTTAAGTTGAAAAAGATGATCAATTGAGATTTTTTTAGTTAGTGTAGGATTGAAAAAAATACTGATTTTTTTATGCAAGAAATTTTTAGTAAATTTTTGATTTTTTTGAAAAATTTTTTTTAAGTGTCAAGAATGCTTCGGGAGATGTTTGAAAGCAAAAAAAAAAATTGAAAATTAATTTTTTTTTTTTGCTTTCTTAAGAGGTTTAAGTTCCCATTGAAATGCACGAATTTTCAAATTTTCAAGCTAAAATGGCTTCTAAAAATATTTTTCCTTTTTTTGAAGCAAAGTTGCTCTACGGACAAATTTTTGTCAATTTCGACTTTTTAAATTTTTTTTTTTACCTTTCTCCCAGTTTTGTTTTCCTGTCACTTCTCTGCAATATTTCACAGCATTTTATTATCCTTAAAAAGTAAAAATCTGAAAATCCCAAGCTAAGTCACCATTTCTGAAGAAATATTTGAAGTTTGATCATTATTTCCAATTTTCGTTGATCTAAAAATCAGAGTCGCTGTTTGTCGGTCGCACTCTTCAACACCAAAAATGCTCCATATGTTTTTGTTTCCCACCTACAAGATCAACTAGGGAACAATCCAATTAGGATGTGAGAGGCGTTGGAAAATTGGGGAACCTTTACAACAATACAATACAATATTTATTGGTTGTTTTAGTCAGATGGTATCGACTAGGCGGTGAAAAAATTGCTCTTTTGAGCGGCACTAACACCGCCCTTGGCGAAAAAGAAGTAAAAACGTGTAGTCGATTGAATTGAAAGCATGATCTTACGGTCCTTCGCCTCGTTCTTCCACAAGTTGATCCCTCAGTTTCGCTTGTACGGGCACGGCGGTGATGGTGGGGCTCGGGCACGGACTCCGTGTACACTCTAGGGTAGCCTCGGCCGACTGAGAGAGCTACCACTTCGAGTGAAGAAAATACACGGAATTCGGCAAATATTTTCCTTCTTTTTTCGACTTTTAAAAAACCCTGCAAAAAACAGAAAGGAGCATGCTTTCTGAAGATCAAAGGGGCACCTTTTATTAATATATTGAAAAAAATAAATGTTTCTGGGGAAATTTTTTTAGTGGCCACTATAGAGGCTCGCCAACGACTACTTGGAGAGGACACTAAAGTGGCCACTATTTTCCGTTTTAGTGGTCACTTCAGTAGTTTTTCATCCAGAATTCCTTCCAGTAACTCTGATAATTTTAAAACAAACAGATTAGACCAGTTATGTTGATCCATTGACCCCTAAAGTGGCTACTAAAATTTTTAGTGATCTCGTAGTAGCACTTAGACCTCTATAGCGGTCACTTATTTCTAACTTCTAAGTGGCCACTAATTTGACTACTATCGTGGTCACTAAAAAGGCCGAAACTCACTAAAAATGTTTCCAGTTGGATAGGTTACGTCGCAGACGTCTCTGAGCAGTCTTAGGGATCCCTCTAGCGGTTTTAGTACTTTTAAGTGATCCCTAGAAATGCTCAGAAACGTCCGATTTGCATTACCGAGGTCCGAGTGAACAAAACAACCGAAATTATAGAAAATGTTTTTTTCTTCATAAGGTCAGAAAAGAGGAACTTTAGACAGGACTTCAATAACCTTTTCAACTTTTCAGAGAACTCTACGTCCGCTCCGTGTTCACCTTGCTGTACGGATGGCTTTTCGGCGTCGGTCTGATAGGAAATGGCGGAGTTTTGTGGGCGGTGGCCCATAATCGACGGCTTCGGTCGGCCAGGAACATCTTCCTCCTGAACCTCATTGCGACCGACTTGTTGCTGGTTTTGACGGCCGTTCCCGTCACCCCGTGGTTGGTTTTGGAGGGGGAGTTTTGGGAAAAATGAGGGAAAGAAGATTAGTTCTTTTTGGAGCTCCAGGGATGATTTGAAGATGGAGAAACGTTGAGATCCTAGTGACCATTATAGGGTTTTGAGGTTTTAGGGGCCACTATAGTAGTCAAATTAGTGGTCACTTAAGTGGCTGAAGTTTAGTGGTCTCTTTAGAAGCCCAACTGGTACCACTAGACCCCAAAAAACTACTATAGTGGCCACTGAAACGGAAAATAATGGCTTCTATAAGGTGATTTAGTGGCCACTTTAGGGCCCTCTCCAAGAAGTCCTTGTGGAACCTCTTAAGTGACCACTAGAGTCTATAAAGGTGGTTCTAATGACCACTTTAGTGTCCTCTTCAAGGCGTTGAGGAGCCTCTTAAGTGGCCTCTAGAGTTATTCGCAGAAAGCCTTAAAATATTGTTTTCATATGAGATAATCTATCAAAATTCTATAGATCTTTGTCCCAAAATCCAACTTTTTTCACTGTTCTGAAGTTTTAATGATCCAGAAAATACGAAAAAAACATTCATAAGGTAAAACTTGAAAAGAAAAATTTGAAAAATCGTTGAAAATGCCATTTTTAGACGCTTTTGTGTATATAGAATACGTATGAAAATATTATTTTTCAGTCAAAATTTTGATTTAAAAAAGCTTCAGTTTACCATTTCAAGTGGAAAAATCAATAAATCAGTTCAAAAAACAAATTTTGCAGGTACGCTCTAACGCGAGATTGGCAATTCGGGTCCGTAATGTGTCATATTGTGCCATTATCAAATTCGTGTTCTTGTTTCGTTACGAGGTGATTTCGTTCAACGGAAAATATGTCACGGATTCATGTTTCAGTTGGAGTTTGACTGCGATTTCTCTCGACAAGTACCTTCATATTATCGATCCGACACGACCACCCGTCACCGTAAGGATTTATTTCTGATTCTTGAGTGTTGAATATAATTTCAAGGGCTGGAAATACCCGAAAATCTGAACTAAAATGAAGAATATTATGAAAAAATGACCAAAAAATGAGTTTGAAAGGTGAATTTTTGATTGAAGATTTGTATTCATTCAAAATTCAATCTAGAAGAGTGTCAGATTTTTGGAAATTGGTAAAAAGGAAAAATCAAGAATCCCACAAATTTCCAATTTTTTGAGAAACTTTGGAGGGGTCCCTATAGGGGTTTTATAGGGCCCTTTGAGAGACCCCTATAGGGACCTCTATGCTCCCCTTATAGGGGAACATCAAACGGTGTCGTAGGGGTCCCTATAGGGGTCAAGCTACGAGGGCTTCTTGGAACAAAAAACTCCTTAAGAGACCCCTCAGAATTTTTGAATTTCTGCCGCGTTTTGAGAATGTGCGCCCCATGGCTAAAACTCGCATCGTAGCGGAAATTCGATTTTTTAAGTTTTTCCTCTTTTTTCTAGTAATTTTTATTTTCATAGTGCGTCGGTTTCAGTTAAAACTCGCGAAAAATATCTGAGAAAAACATTCAAAAACTTGATCTGTAGTTTCCTGTTTCAGAAAAAACAAGCCCTACTGATCACGATTCTAATCTGGGTCGTCTCGACGCTGATCAACGTTCCCTACCTGTTGTCCTTCAAAATGGTCGACGGGACGTATTACGTCAACCAGGGCGAAAAACCCTTCTGTGGCCACTTTTGCGACGAGGCGAACTGGCAGAGCGAGAATTCCCGGAAACTCTACGGCACAATGGTCATGTTGCTGCAGGTGAGACGGGGGCTGGTATTCAGATTTGCAAAAATATATTACTTATGAAAATTAGCTTGAAATAAAGAAAGATCTAGAGAATTCGTTTGAGGGATGCTATCAGATGATGTGAAATTTTTTTTGAAATTTTTTTTCAGAAATTTTAAGGTAAAAATCGCTTCTTTTTTTTTTAATGACTATAAAAATGACTGAAGAAAAATAAAATAGGACTTTTTTTTTGCTTTTCCGCGGATGTTTCAAACTTAATAAAGGTCTAATAAACTTGAACATTTTCTCTTGTTTATAGAAAAAGTCGGAATGAGTGGTAAAAGACTTCACAGAAATGTTTGTTTTAGGGTGAAAAGGTTCCTTTTTTTGCTGCCTTTTTGCGCCGTTTTCTCAGCCCTTATGCATCATTTTTGCTACCTCTCCCTTTTTTCGCAATTTCTTGACCCTTTAAATTCCCAGAAAAATAGAAATCTCGATAAATGGAACCTTTTTGAGGCCTTTCTGCAGCCTTTTTTCAGCCTTTTTGCTGCCTTTTTGCGGCCTTTTTTGAGCCTCTCCCTTTTAGCGGTCATTATCCACCATTCCTACTTTTTCAGTTTCCTTGGAAATTGTTATTTTTTAAGAAAATAACTCGATTTTTCGTCATTGATAAAAATTTCCAAGGCGTTTCGAAAATACACGTCCAAAACTTCTCTTTATTCGGTCATGATTTTTTTAACTAACAATTATTTTTTCGCAGTTTGTTGTTCCGATGGCCATCATAACCTACTGTTACTCGAAGATCCTGGAAAAAAGTCAGCAAGGATATGATCATTCAAAACGCTCAGTTTTGTCAATCTTTGACGCAGAAGCAACGGATCGACGCCACTTCGAGGAAGAAGAAGGTTCGGAATCTCTTTTTTTCTCTTTTTAAATTGTAAATTAAGGTTCATTTTTTTGGTCTTTTTTTTGATCTAAAAACGTTTTTTTAAAAGGGTTTAAGACATTTTTTTGAGAAAGACACAAAAAGGCATTCTTTTTGTAAGCTAGGAGTTGAAAAAGGGAAAAAATCAGCGTTTTTTAGGGACATTTAGAAAGAACTTTTCAAGTTTTATATTTTTCAAAAAAATGGGTTTGTAGATTTTAGAGAGGTCAAGAGAAGATATAAAAAAATTCTATTTTTTTGGGACATTTGAAGGAATTTTTCAATTTTCAGCCTTCAAAAAAGATTTTTTTAAAAAATTGGAAAAAAACGTGTTTTTTTCGTGGATTTGATCGCATTGAAAAGATAGAGAAATCTAATTTCTGAATAATTTTTATTTTTTGAACAAAGTTGCCTGCGAAACCCCTTGTCAATCACTCATATCTGCCATCTGTCGCCGATGAACTTGACACTTTTTTGAAGAGTCTAGCCGCGAAATAGATTTACTATGGAAGGATGGGGATCTTTGGAAAAATTTAGAACCTCAAAAAAAAGCATGAGAGTTTGTTCAGACCTTCTAAGAGGGTTTGAAAAGCTTTTTCTAGGCTCAATCCCTCAAATTTTAAAACTTAACGACCATTTTTCGAAATTTTTTGGCCGGGTAAACAATTTACTGTGGAGAGATTGGTGAACTACAGATCATTGAACTGAATTTGAGATTTTAGGAGATCAGAAGGGATAGAAATGTTCTTTAAAAACCTACTAGAAGGGTCCAAAAAGCTCTTTTCTCAATTTTTAAATTTAAAAGACCATTTTCATTTTCTAGGCGCTATATGGACTTAGTACGAAAAGATGTGAAAATAAGAGATTTTTGAAAAAATGTCAGAACCTTGATAAAAAGGAACTGTTTCTTCAAAATGTTCTGAAGAAATTCGAGGAGTTCCTTCTAGAATCGTTTTCCTCGAAAAAAAAACAGCTAGCATTTTTAAATTTGTTTTCTTCCTTTTGGACTTTTCTCAACAATTTTACTCATTTGAATGAGATTTCCATAGAAAAAGGGCGCTGGAAAAGTCTCTAGAACCTCTTTTTCGAATCATTTTTTGGACCGTTTTTGACGCTTTAAGGAAAAAGTTAGAACAGGAAAAATGTCCCTTGTATGGTAAAGAAAAAGGTAAATTTTTCAGGTAAACTATATTCTGATCGCGATGGTCGTCACGTTCATCGGATGTTGGCTGCCGTTGACGCTGGTGAACTTGGTCAAGGACTATAGTGAGTTTCATTGTTTCATTCACCTTTTTTGTACTGAAGTCGGCCAAAATTTTGTTTTAGCGAAATTTTGGAAAAAATTTAAACGCACCAAAATTTTCTTCTGACTCTAAAATTGAAATCAAGAATTCTCAGAGTGCTGATTGATCTGAAATTGTAGCTATCTATGTTTTCAAAAAACTAAAATTCTGAAAATGCTTCAAATTTTGTTTAAGATGTTCAGAAACTCTTTCTAATTTGAAATTTCAAACAAATAGTGATTTGAAAAGCTGTTTTCCAGTTCCTTTTCCCATCAGTTATCTTTCCAGAAAGTGAGCCGGAGTTCTTGAAAAAGCAGCCGTTTCTGTGGCCTCTGGTGGCGCACGTCATCGCCATGTCGCTGGTCATTTGGAACCCGTTGTTGTTCTTCTGGCTGACGAGGAAACAGAAGCGGACCGGCCTCAGCAAGATTCTCAACACTTCAGAGGTAAATATTCACGGATAAACGCCTGGAAATAACTCTAGTGGCCAATTAAGGGGTTCCTGTAAGACTGTTTGAAAGGACTCTAAAGTGGCCACTAGAGTCACCATTGTAGACTTTAGTGGCTAATTAAGAGGTTCTTCAAGGACTAATTGGAAAGAACACTAAAGTGGCCACTAAAATCACCACTATAGACTTTAGTGGTCACTTAAGGGGTTCACCAGGGACTTCTTGGAAAGGACACTAAAGTGGCCACTAGAACCACCGCTTTAGAAGTCGCTCCTAAAGTGGTCACTAAATTTTAGCCACTTTAGGGCTCACTAATCCGACATTTATAGTACCCACTAAAAGGGCCATTTTCCAGGAAAGCTCAAAAAAAGCTTCAAGAGAAATTAGAAGATAAAAATTATTTCGAAAAAACTGAGAAAAAAGTTGATTTGCTTGCCGTGCTTCTTCTTCTTCTTCTCCTTCTTTTTTGGCCCCTTTGTGATTTTTCTGTTCGATTTTTGAAATTTGCGATTTTGTTGTTTGAAATGAGCTTCTCCCAGGCTTCTGTCCTGTAAAAAAACTTTCATGTAGAATTTGGATCCTGAAGGTTTTTTTTAATTTTATAAATAAAGCTGAATATTTATAGATTTATCGGGTTTAAAATTTTTGGCTGACCCTTTAAAAAAAGTTACTCAAGTTTTTGAAAGTTGGATCAAAATCAGGTCATTAAGGATTTCAAAATGAAATACCGGTAAATCAGCTTGAAAATGAACAAAAAAACAGAAAAACGCGTTTTCTCCGGCTTCAAGAACCGTGGTCGCACTTGGAAAGGCTAGAAGTCGAATAGACATGAATAATCTTACCTTCGCGCGGAAATCGTTTTGAGTCGGGTGCACCTGAAAACATCCAGCCATTCCAAGTCCGATCATGGGATCGCAAATCATGATTGAAACAACTTCCTAACTATCTCCTCCTCCTAAAATAGCCGTGTGCTTCTCCTTCCGACACCTCTGTAGACACGCTTGCCGGTTTTTCAGGCGGTCGCCTCGTTCGCCAGCCGCATCGGAAGTTCTGTCCGACGGTTGTCCTTTCGACAGAGTAGCAACTCGGACAAGTGAGCTTTTTTCCCATTATAAACCCGAAAAACCTGCATTTTTCCGCTTGAGTGTGCTTTTCTTTCCGTTTTCTTGCACGGTTTTGGTATTTTTCTAGAAGTAAAAATCGTCGAAATTCATTTTCCTGTAAGGGAATATGACTATTCCATGAGGTAATATTAAAAAATGGGAATGTGCTGAAAAAAAGCAAGTGCGCTCCATTGATAAAAACAGCTCTCTTCGGTTCTTTAGACATACACTTGAAAAAAACTGCTTTTTTCCCGTTTGATTGTGCTTTTTCTTCTTGATTTCTTGTCTATTGCACGGTTTGAAAATGTTCCCGATTTAAAAAAAAAAGTTGAGATTGTTCTGATTGAAAGGGCAAACATTCGATGAAGTAGCTTTGTTTTAGACTGAGAGGCTTGAGGGAAAATTAGTCTCCAAAAATAGCCGCGAGTAAGCGCGCTCCATTGATAAATGACCGAATCTCTAGACCTTTTCAGATCCAAATGGAAATATCAATCAGGACAACTTTTTGTTCGTTTTTTATGACCTTGGAAGGATCAGGCATGTTCCTACCATTTAGAAAATGAATCTTTTAGTTTCTTCAACACTGACTTGAGTTTGAAGATGAAGGAAAAAACAGCCGTAAAAAACCTTCAAATTGCAACTTTCTATGCTCCGACGATAAATTGATGATTCAAGCTCGCAGTCGTAATGGAAAAATAGCGTCTTTCTCGATTATTGCAAGGTTCGAAAAATAAAAATTCTCTTGCCATAATGACAATAGGAAGACATCAAAAATTCGCACAACGAAACTCCTCACGTATGTATAAATAAAGACGTGTGACGCATTTTTCATTCTATGACGCAAGCTTTTTTTTTTCCGCGTAGGACATCAAAAATCGAGATCTAAATGGAATAGGGGGACCAGGAAAAATTAGAGCAGGATTTCAGAAAAAAGATCTTGGATTCTTATGGTGGCTCAATTTTCTGTTGAAAATTCTGCCCTATGGATAAAAAATTCAAACTTTGAAAATACTTTTTGGGCTTTTTAAGGCTCTTAAATAAGTTTTATAAGGATTTTTTTCAAGGTTTAGTTTTTTCAAAAAAATAAAATGAAAAGTCTATTAATCGGGACCAGGAAGATGAATTGGGGCAGGATTTCAGATGAAAAACCTCAAATTTCTATCGAGGCTCAATTTTTGTGAGAAAATGTGCCCTACGGATAAAAAAATTCAAACTTTGAAATTTCTTTTTGGGCTTCTTTTTAAGGTTCTCAAATAAGTTTTATAAAGATTTTTCAAGTTTCAGTTTTATTTTTTTATTGAGCTGGATGTTCATGAAATTAGATAATTTTTTTGATTTCTATGTTTTTACAAGCTACAGCTTCTAGAATATACTGACAGAATCAAGATACAGAAAAATAAAAAAATGAAAGTCTATTAACTTTATACTTATAGAAAATTCTTACGGTTCTCTGAAGGTTTCTGTAGAGCTTTCTCTTGAAAATGTAAGGCTCCTTTAAATTTTTTGACAAGTAATCAATAATCTGAGTGCATTTTTGGAATGACAATCACCGAGATTTCCCGATTGTTCAACCAACTGTGGTTTCTGGTCCGCACGACTCTGCTTTGCCATTATTTTTGATGTCATGCTTCTTTTTTCCACTTCTTTGGCTCGACGACGTACGATGAAATATGCGAAATGTGTCGTGTCGGCCTTGTTTTATAATTCCGTGAAACTTCTCACGGCGGTTCTTGTGAGCAGGATTATACACATGATTGAATATTCGCATGAGCTTTGGCATCGTCTTTCGGAGTGACTTCAAGATTTTTTTTTTCTCGCTAGGGGATTTTTTTCAGAGTTAAGAAAAGTGATAAACTGAAGTGACTTTTTTTTCTGATTCTTAGCCATACAATTTTTTTCTTACAACAGAACCGTTTAGAATGGTTAAGCCTGCCTGAGCATCAAACTATTTGGAATGGGTTAACTTTTTCAAAATCTGAAAAGTGCAATATGTGGCTCGAAAAAAGAAAAAATTAAGAAACTTTTAGAAAAATTTCAAGACCACCGAATTTTTTTACATGAGCATCTTAATATTTGAACTCTTAAAGTTTGATTGAAAACCCTAATGGGTACGGTATTTCCCTTTGCCTGAGCATCTAACGTATTGGAATGGTTCTGTAACAGATATTTTCAGTCTTTGTTGGTCTTCCTAGATCCTTGAATAAATTTTCAAGGCTAACTTTCCAAAAAACCTGTCTCATATAGAATCGCGTATCCAAAAAGTAACCCAACTATATTTTCCTCTCCGTGTCCTACTGATATTTGAGAAGGGTTTTTTGTGCTTGCGGAGCAGCTGTTGTTGCAATTTATCAACCGGAAAGAGACAAATCTTCTTTCGAAACGAATAGGTCAACCGGGACTTGGAGACTTATCGATCGATAGTGAATATTATAAATGGACTCAAGAAAGTTTGAGCAGGGTTTTTTATGAATAATTTGACCCGATTTTATAAATAATAAGATTTTTCTTGTAACTCCAGATACAGTAACAATTTGAAGAGAATTTCATGAGATAAAATCTCAGAATACTTCTAAAATAGTATAGTTTTGTATAGGAGATAAAGGACCAGCTGAAAAAAATGGTCTCGAAGATTGTAAGACTCTAGAGATTGACCTGAAACTTTTCGAAAGACAGCTCTGGATGCTCTAAATTTTTTTTGTTTCTGGAAACCTAGAAATTAAAATTTTGACCTTTTGAATCGCGGACATAATCCAAAATCGAAATTTTCCGAACAAAAAAACCTTCTTCTCTCTAAATAGACATACTGAAAACATTGCTTGCAGGATTCGAAAAAAGCAGTCGGCGCTGGATTCCGAGGGCTCCAGCTACACGACGTGCTCACGGCCCCTGCTCATTCGAAGCTCGTTGAGGCAAACTCTCTCCGACGAATCGACTAAAAATGACCTCTGACCCTGAATTTCCCCTTCGAAAACCAGTGCCTAAATAAGTGCCCCTCTTCCCATGCAATCTTTTTTGTTCGTTTCTTGAACCTCAGGCTTTTTTGGATCCATCTCTAAACCTGAAATTTGAACTTTAATCCGACTTCCTCATGAAATTGCCCCACGATTCATTATGTGTTCTTTCCTAGCGGGTCTCTTTCGTTTGTTGTATATTTTCTTGTGAATTGAATGTTTTTATGAAGTAAAAATTCTGAATTTCCAAGAAATTAGCGTTAAAATTGCATTTCTGGCCTCGATTTCGACTTGCACAGTGAATAAGAAGAATGGAGGTTGATCAATTGAGAACCTACATCAATGGGAAGCTTATAATGAGACGAATCGATTGATATAATTAGATGAGCTGTAGCTGCTCTGGGAGCCGAGATACGAGCCCCGAAATATTTTTCAGAAAATTAAATTTGCGCGTCGGATAAAATGCTTAGGTCGAGGCTGCGCGCCGGGTCAGGTGCCTGTCTGAGGCTCTCATCGGTGTGGTTTTCTCGCAAAAAAGGAAAAGCTCAAAAAAAAGTTTGACTTTTTCAACTTTTTCCTAGTGCAATCGATAGAGCAGCTCCTATATGATATCATATCCGTTTCGAGGAAAAGCTCAAGGAATGGGTGAAAATTCGGTCCCAAAAAACCTCACATTTTCGCCTTTATAACTTCATAACTTTGTTCATTTTCAAGATACAGAGAAGCTGATTATATCAATCGATTCGTCTCATTGTCAGCTTTCTAATGTTACCCGATTTCAGAATCCAAAATATTAAAATTGGTCAAATAAGCCCTTCAGATTTTTTTAAGCTTCTAAGGTCATAGAAGCCGATCCGGACGAAATGTGTATCAATCGATAGATCTCGACAAAAAAATAGCCGGAGGTCAGGTTTGACCTCCGTAGGCCAAATAGGAACCTAGTTATAGGCGATCAAACTCCGAGATCCAAAATTTTGAAATTGGTCAAATCTGATATCAATCGATAGAAGAGATCAAGGAGATAGAGAAAAACTAGGTCTCTAATTTCCTAAGTTTCTAGAAGTCGAGCTACGATTAATAATAATCGTTGAAAAATCATATCTTTTTTTCTAGAAGGCTAGGGACTTTTCGACCTGGTTTTTTGAACTTCTGACGTCATTTCCTATCGATTGATGTGATAATCTGGAAAACTTTGATTTTCGGAAAAATCGAAAAAAGTACAGTCTAACCCCTTCAGATTTTTTTGAGCTTCTGAGGTCATGGAAGCCGATCCGGACGAAATGTATATCAATCGATAGATCTCGACGAAAAAATAACCGGAGGCGAGGTTTGACCTCCGTAGGTCAAATAGGAACTGAATTAGAGGCGATCAAACAGAGAGATCGAAAAATGGAAAGTAGGTCAAAATTGGTATCAATCGATAGAGGAGATCACAAGGATCAAGAAAAACTGGGTCTCCAAGTTCCTAACCTTCTAAGAATCGAGTTATGATTATTTAAAAACTTCAAAAAATCATATCTTTGTTTCTAGGCACCCTAGAACATTCTGACCTTGATTTTTCAGCTTCTGACGTCATTTCCTATCGATTGACGTCAAAATCTCGGAAACTTTGACTTTCGGGAAAATTGAAAAAAGTACAGTCCCTTGGTATCAATCGATAAAGGAGATCACGGTGATTAAGAAAAAATAGGTCTCTAAGTTCCTAACCCCCTAGGAGTGAAGTTACAACTTTTCAAAGTCTCAAAAATATCCACTTTGAGAGGCTCTATTTCGACTACCATGTGTTCTTGAACTGTATGTATCACTTGCATGTTGAACACCGGACATCACTCTGCGTCGATTGACGTCTTTTCGACTGATTTTAAGCTAAGGCAAGCTGGAAGCTTCTGAATGAAGTTTGATCTCGTGATAACCTCCATCATCCAAAAGCTGACAATGAGACGAATCGACTGATATAATCGGCTTCTCTGTATCTTGAAAATGAACGAAGTTATGAAGCTTGAAAGGCGAAAAGTGTTGTTTTTTCGGATTGAATTTTCACCTATTTTTTGAGCTTTTCCTCGAAACTGATATGATAACAGTATCATATAAGAGCTGCTCTATCGATTGCACTGAGAAAAAGTTTGAAAAGTCTAAGTTTTTTTTTTGAGCTTTTCCTTTTTTGCGAGAAAACCACACCGATGAGAGCCTCAGACAGACACGTGACCCGGCGCGCAACCTCGACCAAGGCATTTTATCCGACGCGCAAATTTATTTTTTGCGAGATTTTTGAAGGCTCATATCTCGGTTCCCCGAGCAGCTACCGATTATCTGAATACATCAATCGATCAGTCTCATCATCAGCTTTACATTGATATAGGAATCCATAAATTCAATGATAAATTAAATTACTTCATTTTAACCCATCAAATCTCAAGTTCAGCGTAAATATATTTCGAAGAGAAAATCAGCAGTCTAAAACGTAGGGATTGAGTTGCCAAACTTCCTAGTATTTCGGATATGCTAGAAAATTTTTTTAAATGATTGGAGGACCTTTAAGATTCACATAAACCGAGAAAGCATCCCATTTGGTTATTCGGCAAGTCTTTCTGCATCGATTCTTCTCGTAAACGGAAAAAAATTTGTCAGTAGAGCGCCATTGCCTTTTCGAAAACGGCTAATTTTCCTCGAAAACCTGTAAACCTTTCGCAGGTTTTTTTGTGCAGAAAATCAGAAAAATCTGTATGATTCCGTGTAAAATCTTCACTCGAAGTGGTAGCTCTCATTCCGAGGCTTCCGCATAGAGCACGGTCTCCGGGCTCCAGCACAACATCCGCTACATTCTGAGCTCGTCAAGGCGCAACTGGATGGACTACGCGCAGAAGGACGAGACAAAGGACCGTAAGACCATGCTTTCAACTCTTTCTACTACACGTTTGGACTTCTAGCTCGCCAAAGGCGGTTGTTCGTTATAGCTTTCAAAGTTCTTGTTCACCGCCTAGTCGATTACATCTATGACTAAAACAACAAAACAAATGATTTGATTTGATTGATTCTTGCAAAGATTATCCTGTAAACATACGAAAAGGGTAATTTTTTTCTAAACATAAAAACAAAATTAAAATTTCTTCTGAATAAAACTTCAAAATTTAGGCAATAAAGGCACAAGGAAGTGATAAATTATCAAGATTCGATCCGCTTCAAATGAAGAAATATGCGAATCCAAGGCAATACGAAAAAGCGACAAGGACAAAGACACAACGGCGGACAGTTGTCAGTTGGATCTGGAGTTTGGTGGCGTTCTCGTCGAACTCGTTGGCCTCGACGTCGTCGGATCTGTTCAGCGTCTTGTTCTTCTTGTTCCGGTGCTGCTCGACGTCGGCGGCAAGGGAAGAGAGGGGGATCAACGTCGTGCCGTCGTCATCTTCGGCCTGACTGCTCGAAGGGGCTGAAAACAAGGGAGATACTTTTTTTCAAACTAATTTCAACTCTGAAACGACTAAAAACACCTGGAAAGTCAGTTTTTTTTTCAAAACTTTTTTTTATCTGTGGAGCGCATTTGCTTTTCAACTTAGTTTCAACCTTTTCAGCCTAACTTTACCTTTGAAACAACTAAAAACGCGGAAAAAGTCAGTTTTTTTCCAAAAACTTTTTTTCTATCTGTGGAGCGCACTTTCTCAAGAAACTTGAGCCAATTATTCATCGAACTCTGATTTTCAATGAATCAATATACTTTGTCATAGTAGCCGACAATTTTATTTTTTTGAATCTTGTGAGTTTCCCCTGTTCTTCTTTTCATAGACCTGGAGTTGGTGACCCTTCAAGGGCTCCATTGGGCCCAACTGCCGAAGGATTATCGAAAGCCGTCGACATTCCAATCGTCGTTATTGGGCTATTGTACTCGGATTCGCCCAGGGGGGCGTCGTTGTCCTTCTCACCCAGCCTGTAACAGAAAATAGCAAAATTTGGGAGAGCCAGGAAAAATTGAATTTCGCGGGAATAACTTTGAACAAGGCCTTATAATCACGGACTCCATATATTCATTTTTTTTTGTCTTCGAAACTATGTATCCTATTAATTAATTAATTTATTTATTTCACTCAAACACTAATTAATCCCATCTTTGTTCCTGCTTATGATCTATTTTCCAATTATCAAAATTCAAACTCCTGTGGATCAAAAGAGATGGCCGGGGCGTTGAAGAACGGCTTCAAGCCGAGAAGATCCGGCAGCTCGGTGATCTAAAAGAAAAAGAAATGAGGAAATACAAAGCTTTTTCTTATTTTGATGGCAAGTTTGAGCCTTTCTTCCAACCAATACCTCTATTACCTTGTGAAAAAACTGAATGACAAGGTTTTTCAAAGTCAAAACAGATCATAAAACTAACATGTAGCCCGAAGTCTATGTCCTCGGGTAGCAACCTTTCCAGGAACGCCGAGACAACGATGACAGTGTAGGAGAGAGCGGACAGGATCAAGTTGAGGCAATAGAGTTTGACTGAAAAAAACATATAAAGTCCCAAGGAAGGTCATTTTATTTTTCGATTGAGAATTTTTTTCAATTGGTCAGATCACTTTTTGAGGGTACCAGATAACTTTACGAAATTGAAAAAAAAACAAAATTTCCTAATTTTATAGAAAGATCATCAAAAAGTCAAAGAAAACCGAAAAAAACTCCTTGAAATAGAGAATTTTCCATTTTTAAAAGATAAATTCCAAGAAACTGAAAAATTTTAAAGTTTCACGGTCTCCCATTGGTGATTCGGATTTATTCTGGCCGACTTTCAAAAATCCCCAACCAGTAATTTTTGAAGATTATTACTCAATTTGGGAGTTCCGCCGCTTCCAGGAGGCATTTTTCGCAGCAGGACCCATCCAATGATCGATTGAACCGCCAGTGACATCATTAATAGTGTGCTGGCGGTTCTGTGAGACTCCGTCCAGAAAGCGAGAAGATTCACGAGGGCTACGGTCATCTGAATAGAATTCAGTTCATTTTTTGGGGGATTCATTTTTGGAAAATTGAATCTTTTTTGTACTTTTTCAGCCGGTTTCTGGGTCATTTTTTCCTAGAAACTGGTCAAAAAAAAAACACAAGTTTTTTCACAAAACAAAATTCCCAGAAATCTTTCTTGTAAAAAGCTTTCGTTTCGTTTCGCTTGAAAAACCGACCAATTTATAAAAAGTCTACAGAAATTGGTAAAAATTTTTCGATTCTTCGAAAAAAATTTCTTTTTCCACTACACGTTCAACTATTGCTTTTAACTATGGTAAAAAGTTTGAAAGTTGAAATTTTCTTAGCCAAAATAAAAAAAAAATAACTATAAAATATGAACTTTTGAAGAACGAAGTAGAGTTTTCGAGCTAAAACTACTACAAAAGCTAGAAAAATTCTACATTTAAATGAAAAAAATCCTTTTTTAATAGTTTTCATTCGTAAAATTGAATTTGAACATCAAAAGGTACCAGGAAAACTCTAACATGAGACGCACAGACATTGTTTTCGCTCTATTTTGACCTTAAAAAGTCCTTAAACACCGTCTTTGGCCCTGACAAGACTTTGTGTAGAACCTAATTTGACTTTATTTTATGCCTTTTTCAGGCCCTTCATCCAATTTTTTTTTTTCATTTAATCTCATAACTTCTGTTCAAATGAAACCAAAAAATCAAAAAAACTTTCTTCAAAATCGTCTTTGATGTTGAAGCTTTCTGACGTTTTTGTTATATGGAAAAGAAAAGAAACGGAGCATGTTTCAAAAATGAAGCGAAAATATTCTGCGCAAAAGACGGAAATCCATTGTTTCTGGGCATTTGGCGTGTTTTCGATGTAATAATTTCGAATTTCAAGACATGTTCCTCTTTTTCTTCCATCGAACACGCCATGAACAAGCTTTCAACTTGAAATTGGAAAAAAAGAGAATTTTCAGGTCAGTTTTTTTCGACTCCTTTCAAACTTCACATTTAATAACGGATCTCATTTGCAGGATTTTTTTAAAAATTTTTTTCACATCAGAACTTTGAAAAAAATTGCAATTTTTTTGGATTTATCAGTAGAGCACATGATCTCATTTTTTTCGTGGCTATTTTTTTCCATCTTTTTCATGAGTCTTTAAAATATCGAAAAAAACAAATCAAAATTGCTTCAGAATGAAAGAAGATTTTGAATAAAAAAACTGCAAAACTTCTTTTTCCATTTCCATTTAAAAAGAAAAATAGTGAGAACCAAATTCCCCTTTGGAGCAAAAAAAGCTTCAAATTACGCGGCTCTTTTTCCAATAATCTTTGGACTATGAGAAAACTTATATTTTAAAGATTATAAAACCGACAAAAATTTAAAAAAAATCATTCTTCAAAGTTGAGAGCGTGAACTTCAACATTATCCTTGGAGCACAAAAGCTCCGAATTTTGTGTCTGTTTCTCATTTTAATGTTTTCAGTATAAACGGCGCTCTCTCTTAAGCCCAAAAATCACTGACCGAAATTGAAAGAAATAATTATTCACAGTTAAGAAAGTGTACTTCAACATTATCCTTGGAGCACAAAAGCATAAAAGTCCAGGGCTATTTCCCTTCAATCTTTGGCTTCTCCAAAAGCCCATCTTCTCTTGAATTCGAAAAACGTCACAAAATCAGCATAATTTGCAAGGGATGCACTCAAATTCGAGGCTAATCCCAGCTCGGTACGGTCGTTGCAGTGGCCCAAATTGGATAAATTCGTTCCTTGGGTCCTCTCTTTTGGGATTTCGTTTGTATTTTTGTTCTTTCCCCACCTCCTTCCTCATTCCGGAATCTGTTTTGCGTCGTTTCAATTTTGGCGCGCCGAATATAAAGCCGCGCTTTTCATTACCGCTCCATTCGTATTCACGTAGGCGTTTTTGTGTGTCATTTTTTTTCTTTCCGCCTTTCCTTCTTTTCGTATTTTTTGACTACTGGGATATCTTTTTGGGGTATATTGTTAAGTTAGCGATGATTAGAGTTCGGTGAAAAATGAGCCGCAAAGCTTCTGCGCCCCATGGACAACCAGAAATTTTCCAATGAATTTTTTGATCTTTCTTTTCTCGTGGTTGCAATGCTGTACTATTTTTTTACGTGCAGTATGATTACATGATCCTTTTAGAACAAAAATTTACCTAAAAAAATAGTAAAATGGCCGCGGAAAAATAAAACCAGAAAATTTTTGAGCTCTATGGATAAAAAAATCCGAGTTCACTTTGAATGGTACAAAAAAATCTCTCAGAAAAAAATATTTTCTTTCAGATTTTTGGTAAAGCACACATTTTGCGGCTTTTATTTTCTGATCATTTTATAATTTTCCGTTCATTATATGCCCAAACTCTCTGATTTTTTTCAAAAAAATGACAAGCTTTTTTTCTTATGGATCACCGAACAATCCGGAAGCGAAAAAAAAAATTGAATATATAGCAGTTCCGAAACATTAAAGTCAATCCAAAAGCAGCATCTAAAACTAAAAAAAAGCGGCTTAACATTCGAATCGGCTCATTTTTTTTCTCTTCGCACTTTTTCTAGAATTCTCAGGGTGTTTGGCAAAAAATCCGTAAATCTTTCTCGATTTTTTTTCGTTCAATTTTTCGCCCTGAAGGTCTGTTTCCGTAAGGAAAAGATTTTTTCAAGAAAAAATTCTACTTTTAATTTTATAATTGTGGGAGCTGAGAAAGTCACTAGGATATGCTCCCAAACTGTTTCGGAGACTACAAAATTTACGGCTTTTTAGGAAATCCAGATTGGTCACTATAAAAAAATGAATTAAGGTGGTCTCTATAGGGGTTTAAAGTCTGACCCTTAGCCCCTAAAGCTCAAGTGAACGCTACAGGGGCCTTTGAATTTCACTTAAAAACGGTTTTTATTCAGTTTTTCCCATGGAAATGCTTCTTCGCTTAGAGTTCATAACAATTTTCGACTAGTCTCTTATAGGGACCACTTTTTCCAGCTTTAGAGGTTGGTAAAGTGATCCCTAGAGGGAACGCTCCAAGGGTCCTTAAGTTGCCCCTATAGAGACTTCTCTGGAGTTCCTGAGTTGGTTTCAATTTTTGAAAGAACGACATAGTTCATGAAATAGAGAGGCAAACTACTAAGTCAACATTTTCCTTTTTTTTTTGGCTTTCTGGTTTAAATGTCTGCGAAGAAGCTTGATTTTTTCCTTTTTTCTTGATAACAAAGGATGATATTTTTGTAAATAAAGTAAATCATTATTAAGTTATTAAAGGTAGCATAGTTTACTCATGACCTGCCAAAATCTTACAAAAAATCTTCGCCGAAATTTCACCAGTTTCTGAGCCTATTTTATTGTTTTTTTCTAATTTACTGAGGCTCCTCAACTTGAAAGTTGATAATATTCCAGTCGCGACTCTATTTTTCCTTTTTTTCAGGTTGATTCTATAGGGCATGAACATGCAATTTTTTTGAAAAATATATGAATGTTCAAATAAAACTTTTTTTATCACTTTAAAAAAATCAATAACATTTTTTTCGATTCCTTCTTCAGAAAGGAAATGAAAATAATAATGTTTTTCATGCTCGAAACTTGAACCTTTAAATTATTTTTTTAGCAAGTTTCATACTGTTCCAAAATCACCTTTTGCTCTGAAATCCTCCAGTAATTCAACCCTTTTTTCCCGATATTGGTAAAAGTTGCCTTTTCCCTCCAAAACTCCATTATAAACAAACCAATGGATAAACAGTCGTGTAGGTGAAATAGGGCGAATGGCGGGTGATTTTCAGGCCGAATTCCAGCAACGACCAGTACCATTCGGGCTATAAAATTTGAAAAGTCGATGAAATTGATTAAAAAAAACCTGTCCCTCTGGCATTTGGTCTTTACAGCCTTGGGGTCCCCAATAGCAATGTCGGCGCCAGGTATCTTTGACCTCCCAGCCTACAAAATTAGAAAGAGATTATCACTTTCAAAATCTGATCGAAAACCCTTTCTGGAGTTTTCAAAGGAGCATAGACTAATTTGAAAAAGGTCTCAAAACGAAAACCAGTTCTCCGTGTGTTTCTGAGTCATTTGAAGCTTCTATTTCTTCAAAATCCACTAAAAAAATATCTTTGACAGCATCGGAATGAAGAAAGTTAAGGGAGGAATTTGAATAAAACGCCGAATAATCTACTAATAAATTAAAAAACAAGTGCGCTCCATTGATAGAATATCTCAAGAAGTGAGAAAGTAGAGATTATTTTCTCAATTTTTTTCATAAAAAAATTCTCTGTCGTCAGGTGATGATATCTGCTATAAAAAATCTTAAATAATTTTTTTTTAAATTTTTTTCAAAAATTTTTTTGATAACTAAAAAAATAACTAGTCTTCAAATGTTTTTTTCCTTGGAAGTCATAAAGATAGGGTAATGAAATTTTCGTTGTTTTTAGAATTGTCCAGTCCAATTTGATAACAAAAACATCCTTTTTCGAAAAAAAACCACTACTTCAAGAGCTCTCCTTGTTATTTTGAATTTTGATCTCTCACATGATCAATAAAAAAATAATTTTTTTCACCGTTTTCTTCATAATTTTTGAGCTCCAATAATTTTTAGACCACTCCAAAATTTGGTTGGAAACAGGTAAATTGATTTTTTTTATTAACGTAGCCCAAAAATCCAAATTTCATCCTCTTTTTCATTCGAAAAAGCCCAATTTTTTTCATTTCTCAGCCATTTTTCTCGCAATAATCTCCATTAACGGCCCTCGAGCCTTCTAGATTCCGAAAAACCTCGATAAAAAAAGGTCAGGAGGCTTTTGAGAACAATAGTGGAACTCGAAAAACACTTTCAGAAATTCCTCCTTCTCCAAAACTTTCATCAAATCTATGAGTAACGCCAGGAAAGCGCCTTCTTTTTATTCTTTAACCACAAAAAATTTGTACTGAGTTAAAATTTTTCTAAATTTTTTTCGTAACACCTGCCCTTTTGTAGTGTCGAATACGTTCGTACTTTCTTCTTTCGGGTATTTTTTTAATTTTTTTATAACTTTTTTAAGCACTTCAAAAATAAGTATAAAAGGTTCATATTCAACTAACCCGCTCAAATTCATCATTTCCTCATTGAAATTCTGATTTTTTTTCCACAAAAATCTGGCTCAAGGTTCTCCTTTTTCGAAAAATGTTTTTGTTTCAAAAATCAGGATTTTGTTAGAATAAAACTAAAGAACAAAAACAGTTCATCCATAAAAAAATTTCACTTTTTTTAAAGATTTTTTTCTAATAACCCCTTTTTATCTACAGTTTCCATCAAAAATTTGATGATCCTGAATATTTTTTTCTCAACTTAAAAAAATGTCTGTCTGTGAGCGAAAAAACCTTTCAATTCAATTCAAATCAATGAAGATTTTTTGATTCGACTTTTTTTTCGAATTGAAGCGAAAAAAGCTGAAAAAGCCTATATTTTTGGCCCGAAATTCCTTTTTTTTTATTTCTTTGAAGGAAAAAAAGTTGAAAATCCCACAAAACCAAAAACAACTTTTCTTTTCGAGACCTTTTTGAAATTCTTTTAGGCTTTTTAAACACCTCTGCAAAAAATTTTGGACTTATTTCAAAACCTTCTGCATCCTCATTATCGCTAAAACTGATCCTAAAAATCAAAAAAAAAAATTTTTTCTGATCCTGGATTTTTTTTTCCAACTTTTCACTTTTCAATAACCTTTTTTTCAGAACCGCAAAAAAATAAACCATGACATCTCGACTCGGCCTCGCCCTTTTGGCCCTATGTGTACTTTGCTTAGTCAATGCCATGGATTCTAGGCTAGTTTTTTTTCTATTTAATCAACTTTAAACATCATAATTTTATCAGTTTTCATTAAATCATTGAGATGATTTGCAGGAATTTCCGCGCGAAAAAGTGGTACTCATGGAATAATGAGCTCGACAACATCGCCGTAGCGAAAAAGTGGTGAGTGTGCAAGATTTTTCAATCTTTAATTGACAAATTTTTTTCCAAATTCAAAACAAATGACACGTGAAAAAGTTCTTGAAAACCTTAAAAAACCAACTTTGGGTCCCGTAACGAAAGAGGTGCACTTCTCTTAGGGTTACTGTACCTTCCAAAAACTCGCACGTTTTCAATGTAGCATTTTATTAAGAAAATAGTTGAAAATTTGCCAGAACTCCTAAATTATTCTTGTTGAAATAAACCTATACTTTCTAATAAATTAAATAAATCCTCAAAAATAATGATAATTCGCTTAATATAATTGAAAATCATTTTATGCGGGTATCGCAGCGAAAAGAAAACACTTCTCTTAGGATTACTGTAGCTTCCAAAAACTCGCACGTTTTCAATGTAGCATTTTATTAAGAAAATGAGCGGAAATTTCTCAAACTTTTTGAATTATTCTAGTTGAAATTCGCTTGGATAATCCAGTGAATTCGATCAATTCGCGAAATTAGGAATAACTTTCTTAATACAATTGAAAATCATTTTATGCGGGTCTCGCAGCGAAAAAAGGTACACTCCTTTTTGCGGTTACTGTAGCACGCAAAAGTTGAAACGTTTTTTTCAATATCGCTTTTTTTATTAAGAAAATAAGCAGAACTTTCCGAATTTTTTTCTGAATTATTCTTGTTGCAATTCGCATGGATAATCTAGGAAATTCGATCAATTCGCAAAAATTAGGGATGATTTTCTTAATACAATTGAAAATCATTTTATGCGGGTCTCGCAGCGAAAAAGGTACACTCCTTTTGCGGTTACTGTAGCACGCAAAAGTTGAAACGTTTTTCAATATCGCTTTTTATTAAGAAAATAAGCAGAACTTTCCGAATTTTTCTGAATTATTCTTGTTGCAATTCGCATGGATAATCTAGGAAATTCGATCAATTCGCAAAATTAGGGATAATTTTCTTAATACAATTGAAAATCATTTTATGCGGGTCTCGCAGCGAAAAAGGTACACTCCTTTTTGCGGTTACTGTAGCACGCAAAAAGTTGAAACGTTTTTTTCAATATCGCTTTTTATTAAGAAAATAAGCAGAACTTTCCGAATTTTTTTCTGAATTATTCTTGTTGCAATTCGCATGGATAATCTAGGAAATTCGATCAATTCGCAAAAATTAGGGATAATTTTTCTTAATACAATTGAAAATCATTTTATGCGGGTCTCGCAGCGAAAACACATTCAATCACAAAGGGATTCGATAGCCGTCTTTTTTTCTTGCTTTTTTTTGTAGTTTTTTTACTATTATTTTAATAAAAATCAAGAGAAAAAAAGAATAAAAAAATTCAAGATTATGTAGCTTAGACCTTCTAGTATTTCAGAAAAATTTCCGGAAGGCGTCTAAGAACAGCAATTTTTCAACTAGAGAATGGTAAAATCTCAAAACTTTGATAGTTTTCGGAAAATTGGTTATATCTAGTTCTAAAAAATGAAAAAAGGAGTATTATAGGTTTTTATAATATTTTAATCTTTAAATCTTGACATTTTTTTCTCAGCGTTTTTCTCAGCGCAAACGCAACGCTTTTGAGCCATTCCAAGTGCGACCAAAGCTTATTAGAAATTTTAAAGAGTTATTTTCGGTTTGGTCTACTTCAAAGTTGATATTCCATTAATTTGAATAATAAGAATAATCTTTTTTTCTTGCCGAATTATCTTTTATTTCTCAAAAAAATCAAGAAAAAAATTTTTCACTCCAAAAAGCTATCTATATCTAATTTATCCATAAAGTAATAATTTTTTTAAATTTTTTTAGGTACGACTGGCAAAACGTGCCGAACGCGCTGAACCAAAAAGCGCAGCGACGAGTTGATTTTCGGGGAGGAAAGGCCCTTCAACTGGGGCCTCCACCGACTTCGATAGCTTTCTAATTCTGATCTCTGTTTCCTTATCTAAGAAAAAAATTACACCGAGTCATTTTTTTGCGCCGTTCTCTATTTGGTTGTCATTGAATAAATATTTTTAAAGTTGGGCTTTTTTTGAAATGTAAAAAAGAAGAATCGCGGAAAAAAAGCTTCGAAATGTGACTGAGAAGAATTGAAAATAAATTTTTTTGAAAAAAATGCAGTTTTTTTGCTTCATTTGCTTTGTCATTAGGAGTTTTCTTGAATTTGTAAAAAAATTTTAAAAAGTTAGAAAGGTTGCAAAAAAACTATCAAAATGTAAGGTAAACTTTCAAGGAGCTAACTTTAAAAAAAGGTCTCAAAACCATTGAAAAAAATCAGAGAAAAAAATTCCGGAAATGGAAAAACCTTGTTTCAAAAGAAAAAAATAAAAAAATTTTTAAAACTTTTTTTGATACTCCTAAATTTTTTTATAAAAATCAAAAAAATTACCAGAAACATGTTTCTTTGCGTTGGCATCACCCAGAGGATCATAGGAAAGTCGAACGGCCGGTTTTCCGGAGGGATCACTTAAGTTGACCCTTGACAGGTCGTAGACCCAGTCGGCGATGACGATTGGGCAGGACTGCAATGGGAAATGTACGGAATTTCTGAATTTTTGCGGAAAAATTTCTAATATAGGGATGAAAAAAATCTAAAAATTTAAGAAAATCGGATTCCAAGTTGAAAAAAATTGAGAAGCCTAATATTTTTTTCCGTTTTTGACTGATTTCTTTTTGACAAAAACATCAAGTTTTGCCCATTTCTTAAATTTTTTTATTTAAATAAACTCGAAAAAGTCTTTTTTTCAGCCCAAATAATTTTTTTCGAAGAAGACTCTTTGTTTTATTACCTGAGTATCATATGGCCATTCGCTGAAATCAAATTGGCAAGTGACGAAAAACGAAAATGAGCCGCTGGCCCAAACCTCAAAATAATCATTTTTCGTCGAGTTTTTCCTATTTTTCAAACTTTTCCGCTGGAGAACACCGTAGAAGGTAGCCCGTGCATGTAGAGGTGCCAGGAATTACCACGGGCGCTGGAAAAATTCGCTTTTATTTTCAAAACTGTTCAGAGGAATTGTCCTTTTTCAAGAAAAAGTAGCAAAACAAGTTATTTTCTACTTAAAAATTAAACTTTTTATGAAAAATCTCCCTAGAAAGCTGAATTTCTCAAACTCTACCTATTATAGAGAGCCAAGGCGGGTTGCCATATTTGCCAGGAATCTATTTGAAGCATCGTCACGTTGTTATTTTCAGCCGGCGTCCAATTCAGATACTCATCGGTCCAGGTGGCCCACAGGTATCCGTGGACAAGCATTGTTTGTTCATATTCATCCTGAAATTGATATTATTTCAAAATGAAATCGACACCAAAAAATTTAAAACTGCGAGGTTTGGCGGATATATCGTCAAAAAGGCTTTATTCAGTCAAAAAACGTGAGGTAAACTATTGAACATAATTAAATGAATATAAAAAGGATTACATAATGGAAAAAAAGGAAAAAAAACTGGATAAATTTCGAAAACTGACAAAAAATAAAATAAAAGTTGGCGTCAAATAAATTGCCTGTTGTGCCTAGTTGTGCAAACACTTCCCGTACAGCAACCTAAAATCTTTTTCCCTCTTTTTTCATTTCCGCTTTCAGATTTTGAAATCTCGTCAAGAGCCATTGAATTATTTCTGTTCATTTTCGATTCAAGTCATTAGGAACGAACCACTTTCTCAATGTGGCCGATACTCAGATACACGGCGACTTGAGTCGTCGTCGAGTCTTGTTTCACCGGTCGATGCTTCGGATCGTAGTTCTTGAACAGCTTTTGTTCGAGTGGACTTTTCGCTCCATTGATGAAGGTAGAGAAGACGGCGATTATGATGATGGCTGAAAAGAAATCTATTCGAAAAAAAGCCCGGTTTTTTTTTGAACTTGCTCTTCAATATTATCGAGAAAGCGTCACTTTAACATGAAAATCAAAGTACGGAAACCTTTTCCATAATATTCCCACCTGCTTCAAAAGTTTTTTCAGCTTGTTTTTCAAAAAACAAAAACTTTCTTCAACGCTCAGTGTTTTTTCCTTGATCTTTCACACTTGCAGCAAAAAATTCCGATTTCTGAACATTTTTTGTCTTTTTTTTGAAGAGAAGTTGTACTTGGTACGAAGAAAAATCCCTATAATTTTCCGTCTGCAGAAAAATAAAGAAAAATTTAATTTTTATACCCAAGCCTATACTTAACAGCTGCGTTTCCAATTTGCGGCCTGAGGAATTTTTTTCTTTAAACCGGGGCTTTTTTCCCATTCATGGAAGTTTTTGTCTTTTTAAAACTGCCGGATATAGAGTACAGAGTCAAAAATCTGAAGAACAACTTTTTGAGGTTGTGAAAATGGATAAATGAGCTAAGGAAGAGGTATGATATACTATTTTTGAGAATAAAAGCTACCAAACTACGAACAAATTTGAGCTTCAAAGAGGCGTGGTTGGATTAATCGTAGACTTGCTGTTCAGTCCACTTGATGAGCAATGATGTTACTTTGAAAGTCGAGATCTTTTTCCAGTGTTTTATTGGTCTCTACTAATCCCTCAAAAAAAATTGATGACCCGGAGATTTAACATCTTGTGTAAGCAAAGCCAAAAGGAAATTTGGAGACAAAGTTCTGAAGAGCCAAAACTGTGATGCGGTCCTTTTTGAGAGTCGCCATATTTGTTATTGTCTAAATTTCTCGACGAAACTCAGGAATTATATAAATGAAGGCTTGATAAATCTTAGAAAAATGTTCGGAACATGAATCCGGCAAAGGTTAGCGAGTAAGAATTCTCCTAACTTTTATCGTAGTAATGAGTTCCCGCCGTGTACTCCTGTACCCATTGCGAATGAAATATATAGCTTGATTTTCTGGTTTTTGCTTTTGAAAAATGTATGAAATTTTTTTTTCTCATAGCACTTATATAATTCAACTGGAAATAGATTTCAAGTCTCGTGGCTCTGATCAGTGGACCAAAAAACGTGAGAAAATCTCGTCAAACGAGGACACTGAGACTTTTTTGAGTGCAATAGATGCAGGATTTTCCCAGCTCATTACGTTTTTTAGTCTTATATTTTTTCCAGACAAGTTTTAAGTTTTAATAACTCCGAAGGATGGCTAATTCTATGTTTCGGAATTCCGGTCTTGGCCCTTTTTATCTGAATAAGACGGGTTTTTAGGCTTTTTCATGAAATACTAAGGTTTTTTTTGATTCAATTGGACTGAAAAAAAAACAATTAAAGAAAAAACTTTTTTTGAAAAGCTAGTTTGGCATCTCATTCATCTTTCTGTACCTTTCAAAAAAATTAAAACAGAGTTTTCTATTCCAGATAGTAATTTTAAGCTTAACGTGAAAAAGCTGAAAAAACTGCATTTTCAAATTTACCTGAACACAAACGTCGCATAGCGAGCTGAAGGTGGAACTGATTTTTGGATGGTTGACGAAAATAAACAAAATGTGTATATAAACTGTTCGCCACCAAATTTTGCAATTTGATATTTTTCCGCCAGTGAAGGATGGTTTACGTGGCGTTTACCTCTCTTTTTTTTTTGTTTTACGGGGGAAAATTTTTGGGAAAAACAGACGAAGAGAAAGAAAAATTCATTTTATTCTTCCTTCAGTTTTATTCTCCAGTAGCTTTTTTCCTTCTGATTTCCACATATTGGGATTTATGGCCTTGGTAAAGGTTCAAAAGTTGAAATAAATATTTTTCTGACTCTTGTTTTCCAACCTAATTAATTCATCACTCATTAGAATAAACATGATAAAAAAATATTTATTTGTTCTTTTCAAAAAAAGTATTTGTAGTAAGATTTTCTTAAAATCGTCATTCTTGGGTCATCTTTTACAAGCTTCTCTCAAGTTTTCGTGAAAAAAATTTCAAAAAAATATTTTTTCAGAAAGTATGGGAAATATATTTTCGTGAGAGAAAACTTTTGGAAAAAGAACTTAAATTTGTAAGTTACTCATTTTTCACCAATTTCAAAAAAATTCTTTCCGCTTCGAATGGAAATTTTGACGTATTTTTTTACAATTTCGAACTTTACGCATTTTTTTTACAATTTTTCTTTCATTCGCACTCTTTCAAAAGGTTCCTTCATTCAATTTTTTTTTGCGTAGGAATAAATTCTTGGAAAAAGTTTTGAATTGCTCATTTTGCGCCAAATGTGGGTGGCATTGAGTTAAAATGCAATTTTGACGTTTTTTGCGGTTTTTTAATTTTTTTTTACGATGCATTGAGATTCAGTGTGATTTTTCTATAGTTTTGATTCCATTTTTCCTTTTTTTTTTAAGTCGATTTTAAAGCTTTTTGAGTCTTGTTTTCCTGAAATGGTTTTATTAGAATCTCAAATTTGGTGGCTTTCGTCAAATTTTCCCCGTTGTTCAGGCTTTTTTTCCCGTTCTAAAACTCATTGACCAATTTTCGTGATTAGGTACTCTGAAAAAGCTCTTAATCATTGATTTCTGTCACATTTCGCCATGGAGAACGCCATTTTCGGAGTTTTTAAAAGAAATTTTGCCAGTCTACACCTTTTTGTGTTCTGATCTCTGTCAAATATATTTCAATATCTCGTGATATTTGGTTCTGAGTTGGTTTAAAAAGCATTTTCAAAGGTTTCAAATTTTTTTCTGTATGAAAACCTCTAAAAAGACATTGAAAACGGCTCATCGCCTCGAGACCTTTATCTCATGCTCCTTTAAAACCGAATTTATAATATACTAAGATCATTGACTTTACGACAAAGCTTATCGAGCGCAAACTTTTCAGACTTCTGATAAATCTCCAAAGGTTCCGTTTTTTCGTAACTTGGTTGCAACTATTGGCCAAATCCCATTATCGAGTCAAATTGGAACTTGCGTGTTTGAGCTTTTGTCAGAGTTTCCTCAGGAAGAAAAAAAACTTCCCAGACCAACAATCTTTTTTTTTCAAACGTAACTTCAAGCGTTCAAAAATAACTCGACTAGCGCGAAAAAAATTTTTTTTGTTTGCCCGACCCGAAACTACTTGCGAACGTTGGCATCCTCTAGCGTCGTGGGAAAATTGCCCCAGGTCGAGCGCAGTTATGAGATAGGAAGTTTCATTCTCACCTCAAAAAATTAACGTTTTTACGCTTCTATAACTTTCTCATTGAGCATCCGACCAGAAACTACTTGCGCCCTTGCCCATTTCAAAGTTTGAAGTGGAAATTTTGAAACTTGGCTTTTTTCAGTCTTGAAAAGCTGCTTTTTCTGCAAAACCACGCGATTTTGTGCGGTTAAAGTCAAAAAAGTGTTTTCATTCGTCTCGACTTGAAACCATCTGACCTGTCTGTACCCTCTTTTTTCTCTCTTTTCGTTTCTCAAGGATCAAAAATACGTCAAACGGCTTCAAAACGAGACGATTTGAGTATATTTCTTCTCAAAATCACTTTCAACGCACCAAAAACCTTCTTTTGAGAGTTTGAACTCGGAAAAGATGGCTCGTAACGCGTTGTGGGCAGAAAACGCAAAGGTGCGATTAAAGATGAAAAAGTGACAATTGGACGTTTCCGAAAATAGTGTGTATTTTCGATTCGAGGTCTAGGGACTTTTATCTCTAAATTGTCGCCTTGAAGGGTACACATTTCTCTCAGAAATTAGTACATTTTTGAGAAAGGCGTGGCCAAAACTACGGTAAAATGCATCCTTTAAAGAGAACCTTTGAGCTTCGTTCTGTTTTTTTGATGCCCCAATTTTTTTTTTGAAAAGCTGATTTTTTTGATTGCAGATGACGGTAGATGAGCCATATACCATTGCCTTTTCCATATATTATCCAATTTATGCATTTTTGGTGCTTCTTTCTCAGTCTTTATTATGGTATACTATGATAACTGCCACTCCACAGTATCTTCTTAGAATGCGGAGATTATTTTTCATTAGTTCTACAACTCATATTTTCATCTGCATTGTTGCGATTTTCACCCAATCTAGGTGGGTTTCAAAGGGAAAATTCTGATTTTCGACGAGGAAAATTGATTTCAGAACCCTATCGAATACAGTTTCCATGGCGTTACTTTGCAATGGACTCTGCAAATTTTTGGGTCCCGAATTCTGTTTCGTGTCCTATGTGTTGCAATTGGTTGGTTTTTGATAAATTGAAAAGATCCAAAAAAACTTGAAGAATTTTAGCTTCTAAAAGGATAAAAAAAATCTCTAGCTTTGATTTTTTCACGTTTCATGGACCCTTCAAGACAGAGATCCTCATTTTTGTTCTCTTTTTTTTTTAAAATGATTGCTCAGAACATATGTATGAGCTTTTTCAATAAAATCTCGGGTTTTTGTTTTTTCCAAACTTAGTTCAGTTTTCCGCTCAAAAACCTGATGAAAACAGGTCTAGACAATTCCAAAAAAAGGAAGAAATCTCCCATGGATTCAACAGATTTCATTTTTTTTATCCCCTACATTCATTCAAGCTCAAAAAATAAACTCGTCAAGTTCGTTTCAGACCGTCTCGGCCACCGGAGGCCTAATGAATCTTCACATTTTATTCTACCGGTATATGAGTCTGACCCGTGGCCAGGACATGTTCCGATATTCTCTGCGATTTTCATTCGTTTATGTAGTCTTGATGTCTCTTTGTGTGAGTTTTCACAAGTTTTTTAATGAGAAAAAAAGGTTTCGGCACAATTTCCATCTTCAGACATTTTTTTTCAAAATCGAGAAAAAAATGAATTTCTTTGGTTTCTTAACCTGAACGGTTGCTTTCGCGAAATGGCTTACGAGAAAAATTGATTTTTTTTGCATCCGACTTTGAACTACTTTCGCGCATCGGCATTCTTCAGCATGTAAAAAGGCCGCTCAAGCATCCCATTTTTCTAACCGCAACGCGACCGCGACGCGTCAAGCCATTCGAAGGCCGTTCAATATGATCATTTTTGGTATTTTTCAAGAGATTATGTTTCCATCTGCCAAATGACCCTCAAATAACCAAATTTGGTTGAGAATTAAAAAATTTGAAAGTCATCGAAAAAATGTTGAAACTCTTTCAGATCATCTCCTTCATCCCGGAACAGGATTTCGAAGCCGTTCAGGCGGAAACTCATCGGGAACACCCCGATTATGACTTGAAAAGCTACAAGAACTTTGGCGGATTTGCTAATTCCCATCATTGGTGTATGAAAACTGTTACTTGGACTCTCGTCGCCATGTCAGTTCTCTTGCCGTCGATCGCAATTTCCTGGCGAAGGTGAGCGATGATAATAATTAATTTAGTACTTTCGAGATAATATTTGTAGAATGAAGCTTAGTAGTCCAAGTTAGTCAGTAAACAGTTTCAAAGATTTTTCTGCCTTTTTCAAAAAAAGCAAATTAAGCATTTTTTTCACTTGCTTCGAGTAGGTGATATGAAATTCATAAACAAAAAATTTGTTCAAGTAACTTTGTTAGTATTTTTAACTATTGATTTATCCATGCTGGAAAAATCTCAAAAAAATTTGAAATTTTTTTGACCTTTTTAAGCTTTGAAAAATTAGTGGTTGGTAGGCTTCAAAAAAATTTATTTTTTTAGCGTTCTCTGACCATTTTTAGGTTGATTCAAAGATGCAATCAGAATTTTAATTTTTTTCAAAACCTACGGTATAATTTAAAGTCACACACACCTGCATACCTTTTTTCATTTTCAAATTGCGACCTTGGTAAAAGAAACTAGCTTTAAAAAAGTCATAGAGAAAATTATACTTGAATCATCACCATTTTGAACACAAGAAATTTATTGAAACATGGAATTTTTCGAAATGAGGGTCCCGCAAGGAAGAGCATACAGTAACTCAAAAGATAACTTTCGTAAGGCCAGTAGTAAATTTAATATTTTTTTCACTTTAGAACGTTTTTTTTGTGTTGCGCTTGGAATGGCTAAAAAGCGGCGTGGTTCTTTTGAAGTTCGCCCGACTTAAAAGCTACTTTAGCTCGATAGCATCGGAATGAGTTAAAAAATATGTTTAAGTTTTTTCCACAACTGGGAGCCTTTCCACATGCGGTCAAATCCAACATTTGAAATAAAATAAAATTCTCTGTAAAAGAAGATTTTATCTTAGAAAATAATCTGTATAGAACTGAAAATTCCAGGTCTTCAATGAAAAAACTATCGCAAGCCGAACAAGCTCTCTCCGAAAAAACTCGTGCTCACACAAAAACTTTCCTCCAGGTTTGAAACGCAAGTTAAAACAGTCTAACCTGTCTGCGCACTCTTCTCTCTCATCTATAAGCTCGAGAAAGTGGAGGGTACAGAAAGGTCAGAATGCTCCAAAGAGCGGCGATCTTTCAAAAAAGAGTTATTGAAAAGTTTTATTTCAGGGGGTCACTATTCAAATTTTGACTCCAGCTTTTTGCTACGCTCCACACGCTCTTTTATACGTTCTAGGTAAATATACAGGTTAGTTTTCATGAAATTCCATCAAGAAACTAAATCTACCAGTCCAGGATACTCATTATTATTGTCCCAATACATGTTATCAGCCATGTTAACACTGCCAGCTCTGATCGACCCATTTATCACTTTATATTTCGTTATACCCTATAGAAAAGCTTTGATTAGACGTCTAATCGTTTATTTGCGAGGACGTTTGAGAAGACCGTCGATCTCCAATTTCAACTCTGTCTTTCATAAACGATGACTTGTTTTTATAGGAAATCTCAGGTTATGGATTGAATAAAATACTTTTTTTTAAATTCTTTCAAAGAATCAGGTTGACGATTCACCTAGTTTGATTACAAAAAATTGGTTCTTCATTTTGCTGATGACATAAAAACATTTGCCCTTGAAAGACTTTTCTCTTATGCTATAGGATACCAGCAAGCGTAAGTAGTTTTTGGTCGGGCGCATTGAAAAGATTGAGATATGCGCAACGCGTTGAGTCGCTCTTTACATGAGAGGTTCCGCGTCAAAAACGTAAATAATTGAACCTTCAACAATACAACAATAATTGATACTTTCAACTCTAAAAAAATAACTCATCTTGCAGCCTTTTTTTGAGAAAAACTTTGAAGCCACCAATCATGAAAATTTTTTTACAATTTTTTTATGGGGAGCTCATTTTTTTCTGTTCAATTTTTTTGAACTCAGTGTAACCAAAAAAACTCATTAAACTGATTCCTACTGTACATTTTCTTTTGAGATTCCATTCAATCAAAAAAATAGAATCTTATACTTTAAAAAATAAACATTCTTTTCACCTTCCAATCACAAATAATTGAGCCGTAGAAATGGATAAAACAGAAATGAAATCCATAAAAAATATCAAAAAAATTATTTTTTCAAAATAATCGAAATAAAAAATATGAGATTCATCGAAATTCATCCTACAAATGAGAAAAAAAAAGCAAACTATAAAATTCATATGACATGCTATGAAACTTTGAATCGATAAAAACTTAAGTTCTTGTAGTGGAAAATAAATGATTTTTTGAACACAACCACTCAAAAATAGATACATTTTCAATGATGAGAGTCATTAGATAATTAGATCTCTATTCAGCTTTATAAAGAAGTTTGAGGAAGAATAATATGCACACTATTGAACTTTGATGCATTTTCAGAAGGGAGCAATAAAAATTTCGAGACAGTTTTCCTAAAAGGGACAACGAAATAAATAGTGACAAAAGGGTCGAAGACGGCAGGAAATGTTATCATTGCTGATAGTAAATATTGGAATAATAGTAAATCTCGACCTGAAATCGGTTTTTTATTAATAAAAATTAAGACTTATAAACCCGCATATTTGCTGACGAGGTGTGAAGAGCCGCTGGTTGCATAGAAAATGAGAGGAGTTAGGATTTGAATCGTGAGGCCCTGAACTTGAATTTTTTTCCCTTCGAGAAAAAAATGAATAGAGAATTTATTTTTTTGGAATAACAGTGAAAACTAGTTCTTAAAGGTTTGAATGAAGAAATAATAGCCATTGTTAAAAAAACAAGAGGAAGCTTTCAGGACAGTTTCTAAGATACAAAAAAAAAAAAAAGCTGAAGCCTCTGTGAATGAAATAAAATTCCTTGAAAACCATACCCGAATGAAAGACTTCATTTGCATCTGAGTCCTTCGGGATAAAGGATTCAATTTTGAGACTGCTGATCTAAAATAAAATAAAAAATTCCCCGAAAATTAAAAAAATCACACCTCATCCAGAAGCCAGCTCGTATCGGAAGAATCACCGATTCAGCGGCTAAAACAAAATTGACGAGATTTCTATTCGGATGATGGCTATTCGAGAAACCAGGAAACTTCTCATAAACCGATAAATCGTACTCTGGGTGGAGTCGGTAGGTTTCCTCTCTCACGACTTCGAAGTCAGGTGGTGGGAAAAATAATATGACCTTAAAAATGTCGGAAAATCAAAATGAAACAGAAGAGCATACTAATATGAACGCAGGACTGAGGTAAATGGCAGAAAAGCCGGCAACCCAGCGAAAAGATTCTTTCGAGAAGTCTAGAAGAACATATCGATAATACATCATGTGGATGTTCACCAGGCCAACGAAGTTCGACATGCTCTGTATTTCAATCAATTAATTAAAGGGGTGACAAAAAGACAGAGCCGTAATGAATATTCACCCAGCGAGAGCGTAAATGAGTTCTCAAAAGAAAGTCTTTCTATCTTCTCTTTTATTCACCACTTCCAGCTTAAAATATTCCGTTGGAAAAGTTACACATTTTCGAACTTATTTACGCTATTCCATTTACTCTGTGTAAACTTTCATGAATAGAATTTACCAGTTGTAAACCATAGTTAACGAAACAAAGTTCAGGACTGAAATATTTACAAGCACCGTTGCATAACAAGGCCAAGGTGTTTGGAGTGTTCAAAGTGCTGAAAATAATGACATACATACAACTTTTTTTTGATTTATACCGTGCTTGAGTGAGAAAAGCGACGGTACAAACAAAAACATGGCCCAATGAACTGACGATTAGGAAAGATCGCATCTTCATCATGTTCTTCGGTGTAGCCGTTTTCAATAAAACTAGCAATACGACTTGGGCGATGACAGCAGTGCAAAAATAAATAGAATAATATACAGAAAAAGCGACCGTGTAAGGTCTGTCTACCGTCATCTGGAAGAATGAAAGATTCTTGATATCTTTGAGATAGTGATAAGGAATAACCTTTCGGAAGCTTCCCGGTGTGCACCAAAAGGTACCAATTATCAGTCGGTATACTCGTTGTTTAGACTACGAATAACGGTCCATAATTACATATTGGAACATAACAAAAACCGCAGTCTTTCATGGTTGATAAATCAATGAAACGGATGTTTGTGATAAAGTTGATTCGAATCAACAAATTACTTGACTATTCGAAATCCGTATTTCCGCAATTAAAATTGTCTCAAAAAAGGTTCATTTGAATACACCCGACTTTATACGAAAATGACATGAATTATGTCGTCCGTTTAGGCTGTGGAAAATTTTACTTTGATAAAAAACTAAAAAGGAAATCGCTGGGAGTACCATTGAGTAGTGTTGGTTTAAATAGAAGGAAGGTTTGGAAAAAAAAAATCGAAGTTTGTTTTTCTAGTCTCGGTAGAATCATCTCAACAATCCTCCCCATTCGACGGATTTCATTATTCTCATGGATTAAACGTTTTTCGGGCAGTTTACTAGTCACAAGAACTGCTCAGAGGTGAGCATAGAAAGAAGAAAGAAAAGTGAAAAACGGAATCTTTCGCCCGTGTCATTTACCTCTGAAATGTAGTTCGACCTTTTCTCGTCTGAAACCTATCTTCATAAGTTAACCCTTGATTAACAGGCTCTAGGGGCTTCATAATAATATATTTACTCAGTTTCTGCAAAGTTACGCCTTTGCTCCTTTCTCCGAAACAATAATCGCCGAGCCGTTCCAAAGACGACCAATTCCCGCCGAAATGAGAATTTTGGCTATGCTGACCACTTTAGCCTTTCATTCCGTAAATAGCCATTTTCTTACGTTTTCCCGATGTACAGTGACAAATGGAAGTTTTAATAAAGTAATTTTGTTGATTTTATTTTAGAAGTCGATTTCAAGAAGCTAGTGGAAGGATTATGTGTACACTAATGGGTTTTGACAGAGTTTTAGTAGGATACAGTAAGAGCTTGACAATGGTTTTTCTGAAAGGTACGACGAAATAAATAGTGACAAGTGGATCGAATAGAGCAGGAAAGGTCATCATTGCGGACATCATATATTGAAAAAACAGAAAATTTCGGCCTGAATCATCTACATTTTTCTCTTTTTCTTCCATTCTTACAAGACCCATATACTTGCTGAGAAGATGCGAAGACCCATTAGTCGCATAAAAAATAAGAGGGGTTATAATTTGAATAGTGAGGCCCTGAATAAAATCATTTCATGATGAGTTTCTGACAAAAGCCCCTAATTCCAGACCTCTTTTTTGAGATCATCTTTACAAATCTTTCTCAGAAACCTTGAATGTTTATGTCAAATGATAATGCAAACCTGAATGAAAGATTTTATTTGCGTCCGGGTTTTTTGAGAGAAGGGTTTCAATTTTGCGATTGACGATCTGAATTACCGGAAAAAAGCTTTTCAAGTTAAAATTTTAATTTTTACCTCAACCAAAACCCAGCTTTTATTGGGAAAATGGCAGACTCGAAAACAAGCAAGACATTAATGGAAGTCCGATTCGGATGGTGACTATTGGAAAAACCTCCGAAGTTCTCATGAACCGACAAATCGTATTCAGGATGAAGTCGGAAGACTTCTTCTCTCACAACCGCAAAATCGGGTGATGGGAAAAACCCAGCTACCTTGAAATGTAATTTTCTTAGTCTTTCTTTCCAGTCGACAATTTACTATTATCAAAACAGGACTGAGATACATGAGAGAAAAAGCCGCAACCCTACGAGAAGAATATTTTGAATTCTCCAGAAGAACATATCGATAATACAAAATGTGGATATTGATCAATCCAACCAAGTTTGTCCCACCCTTAACGTTCATAAATGAAAACAGAAAAAAGAACATTTTCAACCACTTGTAGAACATAATTGACGAAACAAAGTGCAGGATCAACCCACTTACATGCACCGGCGCATAATAAAGCGAATGTATTCGGGGTATTCAACGTCCTGAAAAAAAGACACGAAATCTGGTTGACTAGACTCAGACTTCAGTTCCTACCTTGCTTGAGTAGTGAAAGCAATAACACAAATAAAAATGTGAGCCAAAGAGCTGATAACTAAGAAAAATCTCATATTCTTCATGTTTTTCGGGGTGGCCGTTTTCAATAAAACTAGCAAAGTTGCTTGGACGATAAGAGCAGTGTAAAAATAAATAGAATAGTATATGGAAAAAGCAATCGTGTAAGGTCTGTCTATTGTCATACGAAAAATGGAAGATACTTTCTTGTAGTTGTTATAAACAAAAATCTTATTTCCTGGTATTCACCAGAAGGTGTCATTTGTCAATCGCTGAACCAGTTCTTGAGAGTATGAGCTTTGGAAGATAATAACACGTTGGCCGGTCGATTTAGATGATTTTTTATGAGAGTTCATCAGAATCCGTCGAAAAAGGGAGCAAAAACATTAAAGATTGATTTTTCGAATACCTTTTTTCAGTGACTCATCAATGATCTCCAAAGGATGACTCGTGTGACCCGATCGCGTTGCGATCTAAAGCGAAATTGACACAAATTCTCTTCTTCTATCGCCTTGTCGTTTTTGGTTAATACGAAACTACCGAAAAACTTTATTAACTTATTAGCGACAAATTGAATTCATCGATTGAATCATGTATTAAAGTTTGTTTTTTATGTTCATTCAAAGCAAGATGATCAAGAGTTCAGGGGTAGAATAATTTGTATCACATGAGCTGTAGATAGTTTCCGCGGATTGTGGAGCAAAACTTTAACAATAGTTCTTCTAAAAGGCTCGACGAAATAAATAGTGATTAAAGGGTCAAAGACGCCGGGGAAAGTCATCGTCACGGAGAACATGTATTGAAATAATAAGATTTCATTGCCTGTAATTTGTTTTTGATTTTTCCAACTATCAACAAACCCATGAGTTTGTTGATTAAATTTGAAGTTTCGCTTATCTAATAACAAATGAGCGGAGCTAAAATTTGGATCGTGAGTCCCTGAAATAATTTCAATCATTTTATTTGGAATATGTAAAATATTGGATATTTTTTTAACTCTTGCAAAGACCCGAGGAGTTTCAAACCTGTATAAATGATTTGATTTGCCTCCGAGTTCTCTCAGAAAGGGGATGCAGTTTTGACATTGCCGATCTGAAGTAACGTTCGAAAGCTCGAGTTTCAACAAGAAACTTGGAAACTTACTTCAGCCAAAAAGATAGATCGTATTGAAAGGATAATGTACTGGGCATGAAATAAAAACATTGAAAAGTTTTTATTAAAATGGTCAGTATCGGAGAATCCTCCAAAGGTCTCATAAAACGACAGGTCGTATTCTGGATGAAGCTCGTGAGTTTCGTTTCTTACAATTTCAAAGTTTGATTGTGGGAAAAATGCGGTAACCTTAAACCAGAACCTTTTTTTCCAAAAGAAAGTTTTAAAAAAAATACCCTTGTCGCGATAGGAGTTAGGTAGAAAATGGAAAAGCCGACAACCCAACGAAACGATTCCTTTTTAGCGTCAACAATTGAACACCGGTAATATAAGGTGTGGATATTGAGAAGACCAACAAAGTTGGACATGCTCTGGACACTCTTTTGTTGTATAGAAAAATTGAAAACTGACCATTTGCAAATTATAATTAACGAAGCAAACACTAGGACCAGCCCACTTGCAAGCACCATCGCACAATAAAGCCAAGGATTTTTTATTACTCAGAACTCTGAAACATTTATAAATGAGATTTTTAAAAAAATCTTTCAAATCTCACCTTGCTTGAGTTAGAAAAGCAATACCACAAACGAAAAGATTACTCAATGAACTAATTAATAAAAAAAATCGCAGTTTCATCATACTATTTGGGGTGGCAGTTTTCAACAAAATCAACAAAATGGTCTGCGCGACAAGGCCAACACAGAAGTAGACAAAATAATACACAGAAAAGGCGATTGTGTAGACTTTGTCAATGGTCATCTGGATGAATGAACGAAATTGCAGATCTGTTTGATCAGGTTTTTTTCCGAACACCTTTTGCCGCCGGAAGTATCAATTATATACACGTTGCTCAGATGACAAGCTATCAGAGTTAATACTATGGTGAACTACGTTGAGAGGCCAATGCGATTGAATTTTGTCCGATAATGAATATATAAGATTGTCTGTTGAAAAAAGTTATCAGATTAATGAGAGCAAGTTCAGGAGCCTGAACAAAAATCAGTTAGAAAAAGTTCGTTTTGCTTCCTAGGTTTAACATACAATGCACCTGGGCAGTTTAAAAGATGTGAAGTTTTTTTTTGCGATTCCGATATAGATTTTAAAAAATTTTGGACTTTTACACAAGGACGAAGCTAAAGAATAGAGAAGTTCTTATTTCTCCGGAAAATTCTTGTTTTTCCGATAAATTCATTTTCTAGAAGAACTTGATCTTAAGTCCTTTAGAATCTTCTTTTTCTTTTAGGCATTTTTTTTATTAAATTGAAAAACATGGTGAGAATCAACCGTTTTTTTCTTTGCTGAATAAAAACTTTCGATTTCAAAACCATTCATTTTCATTTTTAAACAAGTTTAAATTTGTCAAGCGGAATGCTATACAATTAGAGGCAAACTCATGTCTATTGGATTTATCAAAATACAATGTCAAAGCCTACAAGAAAGTATCAACTAACTATCGGAAGAATTATGTTCACACTATTGGGTTTCGATGTGTTCTGAAAAGGGTAAGAAATGAATCTCAGGATTGCTTTTCTGAAGGGTACAATGAAGTATAAATTGACGAAGGGATCAAATGCGGCCGGAAAAGTTATCATCGCGCCCACAGCATACTGAGATATCAGAAATTCTACACCTAAAATGTATTAGTGAAATTTTTTTTTTGAATTCAAACAAGCCTAAGAATCGGCTGAGGAGATGTGAGGCAGTGCTGGTTACATAACACACGAGAGGAGTTGTTGTTTGGATCGTGAGGCCCTGTAAGTGTAGGATACTTTGAACAAAGAAAAGTCATATGATTGCATATCACTATAGAGAAGACCTCAAAAAACCTAACAACGGAGTTCCATTCTGTACGATTCAGTTCACATGTTTTAAACATCATCGCTTCGAAAACCAAACCTGCAGGAGAGATTTTAACAGCGCTTGAGTTTTTCGAGATAGAGGGTTCAATTTCAAAAGGGCTGACCTGAAATGACAATGACATGATGACATGACAACAAAATGACAATGACAATGAATGATACAATAAATGAGAGAATGACAAAAAAAAGGAAAGCAAAAATTTCTACGCAATTATTTGATCAACTTACTTCAACCAGAAGACGGCTCTTATTGGAAGAATAATTGTTTCGGCAGCAAGCAAAATGTTGAAAATGGTCCGATTTGGGTGATGGATATTGGAGATGCCTCCAAAGCTTTGATAAACAGATAAATCGTATTCAGGATGAAGTCGAGAGACTTCTTCTTGAACGATTTTGAAGTCCGAAGTCGGAAAGTAGGAGATTACCTCAAAAAGGACTAGGTTCGGTTATTTTCAAAAAAAAACACATACAACTAAAGCTACAGTAGAGAGATACATGAATGCGAAAACGATGGTCCAAAGTTTTGAAGTTTTCGAAGAGTCGAGAAGGATGTAGCGATAATAGAGAGCGTGCATGTTAACGAGAGAAACGAAAGTTGACAAGCTCTGAACGTTATTATTCATTTCAACAACAATTGGTTATCGAAACTGACGAGTTCTAGAGTATAATTGAAGAAACAAAGGTCAGGACCAACCCATTTGCAAACACCGTTGCATAAAATAGCGAATGTATTTGGAGTGTTCAGGGTTCTAAAAAAGATTTCGGGAAACTCAATTTGAGGTGGATCTAACCTTGGTTGAGTCAAAAAAGATGTTATACAGTTGGAAAGATTACCCAAACAGCTTAGTAATAAAAAGAGCCGCACAATTTTCATGGTGTTCGGAGTGGCGAACATCAATAAAATCAACATAACTACGTGCGCAATGAGGCCGACGCAAAAATAGACCGAATAATATACAGAAAAAGCCGTAGTATACGGCCTGTCTGTGTTCATTGAAGAAGAGGGAGAATGAATTTTTGTGTGGGATAACTTTCTAACCTCCTTTACGTCCTCAATCGGAAGTAGCAATCATATATCAAAAAACGGTCTGTAAACTGTCCATAGTGAAAAATAATAACATGTTGAAGTTCCTCAAATCAGCAGTTATGTTGGGGCGATAGACATCAGTTTGAACGCCTATAAAAATCACCCATGAGTTAAAAGAAGAAAGATCTTCTCTGTAGAAAATATTTAAGACATTAGGCACAAAATCGACAGAGACGTTTTCAAGGTTTTATAGTTCGTAGCCGAGTTGATTGTCTAGAAGATTGTTATAAATGCGCGTTGCTATAAAAATGGATACAAGATCTAGAGTCACCAAAAATGGAAAACGGACATTAATTGATGGGTGCATGTTCCAGCGCGGAACAAAAACCAGTTCGTTTTTCCTAAATTGAACATCTAATGCACCTGGGAAGTTAAAAAGATATGAAGTGGATTTTTTGTAATTCTGACATACACTGAAAAACTTTTTCGACTTTTGCTGAGAAACGGGACCAAAGTATGTGCGAAAATGGAAAAAAAAACTTGTATTCCACTCTTTGAATTTTCATATGAATATATTACAGCTCATAACGACGAAAAAAAACTCTTAGTTTAGTTTTGTTAGAAAAACGTAGGTTATTGCCTCAACCCGGTGTTTCAACTGTGACAAAGGTTCGACTCCCTTCTGCGCCATCTATTTTTGCCATTTTTTACGGAAGAAAGATTATCCTTTGGAAATCTTCTCTGCATTTCTATTAACTGAGATAGTTTTTGGCTAAATTCTGTTGGAGAGAGCATAAAGAATTAAGAAGATGAATTTTGGCAAACGTGATGGGAATCCATCGTTTTTCTTTTGCTGAATAAAAACACGCCATTTTTAAACCATCCATTCTTAATTACAAATGAGTTTACATTTGTCAAACGAAATGCTATACAATAGTAGGCAAACTCATGTCTATTGGATTTATCAAACTTTGCAATGTCAAAACCTACATGAATTCCGCTGCCCATCTTTTACTTGATCACTTACTTTTTTCAAATATATTTCTGTTGAATAATAGCAGTGAATAAACTTTACTGTTAAGGTATCAAGTAACCGGAAGAATTATGTGCACACTGTTGGGTTTCGAAGAGTTTTGAGAAGGGAAAAAAATGAATCTGAGGATCGCTTTTCTGAAAGGTACAATGAAGTATAAATTGACGAAGGGATCAAAGGCGGCTGGAAAAGTTATCAATGCACCCACAGCATACTGAGACAACAATAATTGTACTCCTAAATTCAACTTTTGAAAGCTTTTTTTCAAATTCAAACAAACCTAAGTATCGGCTGATGAGATGGGAGGCAAGTTACATAACATACGAAAGGAGCTGTTGTTTGGATCGTCAGGCTCTATAAATGTAGGTTACGTTGAACAAAGAATAGTCATGAAATTCTTATGATTGCATTTCCCAATATAGAAGGCTTCTAAAAACCTAACAGCGCAGCTCCATTCTGTATGATTAATCCACATGTTTCAAACATCCTCGCTTTAAAAATCGAACCTGCAGGAGAGATTTTAACAGTGTTTGAGTTTTTCGGGAGAGCGGGTTCAATTTCAAAAGGGCTGCCCTAAAATGACAACAGAAGTTTTTTCGCAATTATTTGAAAGACTGACTTAACCCAGAAGACAGATCGAATTGGAAGAATCATTGTCTCGGCCGTGAGCAAAACGTTGACAATGGTCCGATTTGGGTGATGGCTATTGGAAAAGCCTCCGAAGCTTTGATAAACAGATAAATCGTATTCAGGATGAAGTCGAAATACTTCTTCTTGTACAATTTTAAAGTCCGAGGTCGGAAAGTATGGGAAAACCTTAATCAAGGACAAGGTCTGGTTATGTTGCGAAAACTAAAAACGCCATACAACTAAAGCCACAGGAGTGAGATACATAACCGCAAAAACGATGGTCCAAAGATTTGAATTTTTTGAAGTGTCGAAGAGAATGTAACGATAATAGAGAGTGTGCATATTAACCAGAGAAACGAAAGTTGACAAACTCTGAAAACTGTGCTTCGCGTCAAACAGAGTGTTTCAACAGAACTGACCAATTCTAGAGCGTAGTTGAAAAAACAAAGGTCTGGACCCACCCATTTGCAAACACCGTTGCATAGAATAGCGAATGTATTTGGTGTATTCAGAGTTCTGAAAAATCATTGTGCAACTCAACTCAAGGTGGAACCAACCTGGGTTGAGTCAAAAAAGATATGATACAATTAAAAAGATTACCCAAACAGCTAAGTGATAAAAAGAGCCGCATATTTTTCATGTTGTTTGGGGTGGCGAACTTCAATAAAATCAACATAATTACGTGCGCAATGAGGCCGACGCAAAAATAGATCGAATAATATATAGAAAATGCGGTGGTATAAGGCTTGTCTATGTTCATTTGAGTGAAGATTGAGAATGGGTTTTTGTGAGGAATAACTTCCTCAGAAGCATTTTTCACGTTTTCAGTCTGAAGTACCAATCATCTACCAAAAAACCATCTGGTTAAACTCAACATAGTGACACATAATAACATGTTGATGTTTTTCAAAGGAGCAGTTATGTTAGACCGATAGACCCGAAGAGAGTGAATTTTTCCTAAAGTTCATAAGAATCATCCAATTTACAATTTACAATTCATTCAGTCTTCAGAGTAAGATGTTTCCGTGTATTTTCTTCATTCCGTGTATTTTCTTCACTCGAAGTGGTAGCTCTCTCAATCGGCCGAGGCTACCCTAGAGTGTACACGGCGTCCGTGCCCGAGCCCCACCATCCCCGCCGTGCCCGTACCCGCGAAGCTGAGGGATCTACTTCTGGAAAAACGAGGCGAAGGACCGTAAGACCATGCTTTCAATTCAATCAACTACACGTTTTGACTTCTTTTTCGCCAAAGGACGCTCAAAAGAGCAATTTTTTCACCGCCTAGCCGATTCCATCTGAATAAAACAATCAAAAAATATTGATAGAAAAAAATCTATGCTGAATCATGGTACAATCGAAGAGTCAGTCGTCGGCACGGGTTACGGTCCACAATCGTTGTCCAATACGCCCCCGCGTGACAGCTAGTGTTGGGAAATAATGTGGTCCCGTGGGTAGTACCAGCGAATAAACTGCTTCACTATGTTGGAACAGTACAGCGCCCAGCTTGTCCAGGGCTGACGGGCGTCGGAATGTTATCCCATGGGAGGGCGGCAATGAGACCGACTTGAAGAAATTAGATGATAATAATAAACATCCATGAGATGAAAAATAAGGAGTTTTCTTTTTCCGTAAAAAAAATTTAAAACTTTTGGTACCGGAAATTCGACAGAAATTTTTTCAAGATTTTCTAGATTTCATGGCCGAGCAAAACTATTGGCAATTTGAAAAGTCCGGTTGACTTGAAAGTTTTCGGGTGTCTGCGCCTTTCTCATCCGCTATTAACGAGGTCAGAGAAACTAAAAATAGCACGTAAAGACGAGAGAGTCGCCAAGAGACGAGGAGGGCCAGAGAAAAAAGCATTTTCAAACTACGGTTATGGGCTATACAAAGCCAAAAAAAAAACGAGCATTGCTTGAAAAAATTTGGAAGATGGGCTGGTATAGTTTTTTTTTCCTTTTCTTTCAATGCCAATCGCCGAAAATTTTTTCTGTCCAATAAAGTAAACATGGATTAGTTTCTCTAACAAACTTCATTTCATTCATTGAAACATCAGAGAAAAAATACTTGAAACGCATTTTTATTATCATTTCCTCCAATTTACAAACTAGAGGCCAATGATATCAATTGGTCTTTCGAAAGTTTTCAAAGTCTAAGCAAAAAAATATCAAGAGGCTGCTGGAAGAATTACGTGTATACTATTGGGTTTCGATTTTTTATGAGAGGGGAATATTAGAACTCTGATTATTGTTTTTCTAAAAGGTACTACGAAATACAAAGTAACAAAGGGATCGAAGACGGCAGGGAACGTTATCATGACGGAGAACATGTATTGAAATAATAAGTTTTCATATCCTGAATGATCAAATTTTATTGGTTCTCCAAATTCCCAGCAGACCCATGTATTTGCTGGTGAAATTCACAGCTTGGCCAATCGTATAGAATATAAGAGGAACCGAAATTTGTATCGTTAGTCCCTGGAAATGGTTCATTGAATTAAAAAAAAACTAATTTTCGACGGCTAGCCTTTATGAAAAAAATGTTGAATTTTTAAGCAAAAAAAAAACCTGAATGAAGGATTTGATTTGCCTTCGAGTTTTTTCGGAGAGAGGCTTCAGTTTCTTCATTGCTGACCTTAAAGAACTTCGAATTTTTATGCGCGTCCGATATCGAAAAAAGTGATGTCTCACCTTAGCCAAAAGACGGATCGTATTGGAAGAAGGATATTCTCTACAATGAGAACAAAAGTAACGTAATTTCGATTTGAATGACAGCTATCAGAAAACCCTCCGAAGGTCTCGTAAACCGATAAGTCGTATTCGGGATGCAGTCGGTACGTTTCTTCACGTACCAACTCAAAACTCGACGGGGGAAAGTAGGACATCACCTGTAACAGACTCATTACTGTTAAATCACAACTTTCGGTTTTCTAGTCTGCTTGTGTTCTCTCGATCTCTCTGCCTTGTACAATGACGAGAGGAAATAGAGGTCAGAAAAGTCAGAAGCTTGCGAGTTGGGTATTAGAAATTTAGATCCGTATGAAAAAAAAAATCAGAAACGTACCCTGGCCACCACGAGAGTGATGTACATAATGCAAAAACCTAGCATCCAACCGGACGATCCATTTTTTGATTCAAAAAGGGAGCATCGATAATATAACGTATGAATATTCAGCAAACCAATAAAGTTCGACATACTCTGAATTTTTCTTTTTGGAAAATGAACTTTGACCTCACCAATTGAAAGTTATAATTCACGAAACAAAAACGGGGGCCAGCCCATTTACAAGCCCCATCACATAGTAAAGCCAAGGATTGTTTATTGTTAACAATTCTGAAAAAGTTCAGAAAATCAGAGTTTCAATGGTTTCTCACCTTGCTTGAGTCGCAAAAGCGTTGACACAAACAAAGAGATGACCAAAAGAACTGATGAACAAGAAAAGGCGCATGTTTTTCATATTGTTTGGGGTGGAGCATTTTAGTAATGTTAAGAGAATTGCTTGTACGATAAGGCCGACGAGAAAATAAATGTAATAATAAATACAGAAGGCAATGGTGTAAAGTCTGTCTACCTTCATTTGGTAGAGTTAGAGAATGTTTGTATTCTTACCGCTTTCTCAGCAGCTCTAGATGCCAATCATCTATCAGAAAAACCAGCCGTTTACACTACGAATAAGGAAACATAAATACATGTTGCCAACTCACAAACTACCATTTATTCAGGGTCGGTGGATCTATGAAGTTCAAACTTTTATCAAAATTTGTAGGACTCACCATGAAATGGTCTCTGGTCGCAGTGATACTTCCGAATGAGACCAAGTTCACTAGATGCAGTTTTCACGCTGATTTTTTTTTTCTGGCCTCAAAAACTCGAGTCAAAAAAAAAACAAAAACTTAAAGTCAAATGTAATATTTCATACTTTATTCGGTAAATATAGCCTAAAGAATGGATATCGATAAAGATCTTTGTTGAATTATATGAACGGTATTGGCTTTCGGGGAACTCTTGGAGGGATAGGATAATACACCAACAATCGTTTTTCTGAAGGGTACAACGAAATAAATGGTGACAAAGGGATCGAAGATGGCCGGAAATGTCATCATTGCCGACAGCAAGTATTGGAGTAATAAGATGTCGTAACCTTAACCGTTAGTTTGTATAGATTATTTTTTTAATATAAAAAAACCTGTGTACTTGCTGACAAGGTGTGAGGCGCCGCTGAGCGTGTAGAAGATCACTGGAGTTACAATTTGAATTGTGAGGCCCTGGAAAGAAATTAAGTAAAATATATTGAAAGCAAGTTTTGAAAAAGTCTTTTTATACTCATTGATTAACTTGTAGTCTTTGAAATAGCCTGGAGAAAAATGAACATTTTAGCAAGACCAAAAATGAATGTTTTTCTAAAACAGAAAATTTGGAATAATTATACCTTTCCTATAGTTGATAGCCATGGCAATCATGAACAAAGCTCAAAATAAAATGTACTAATATGTTATGGAGCTTTTTTTGGTGTTTCTGTATCCAAAAGTCAAGGCTTTTTGATAGAAAAGGTTCAAAGTGCGCGTGAAAAGGTTCAAATTTACCGCTGAAAATTTAATCTGCAACAAACTGCTCTATGGACAGAGTTCATGGAGATTTTCCTTTCTTTCTCGTCTTAGTCCAACCTTTATGAAAGACTTGGTTTGCTTGCGAGTTCTTTCGGAGAGAGGATGGAGTTTTGAAACGGCTGACCTGGAAATGATAATTTATGACGCAAACGTGAACATCAAGTCCCACCTCAGCCAGAGAGCAGCTCTTGTAGGAAAAATAACTGACTCGCTAGCAAGTAAGAAATTGACAGCGTACCGCAACGGATGATTTTTCTCAGAAAATCCGCCAAAGTTCTCATAAACCGATAAGTCGTATTCTGGGTGGAGTCGGAAAGCTTCTTCCCTTATCAACTCAAAGTCTGATCGCGGAAATAAGGATATTACCTCATAAATAAATAAATTTCTTTACTTGGAATCTAAGTCAAACATAGAATGGTTGAGAAGCAATGCACCCGACTAAAAGCTACTTCCGTAAAAGATCCTTAGAAAGAATGTACTCTATTTACAAAAAAAACTACAGAGACGTCTAAATTCTCTGTTCTTGCAATTTTCTTCGCTGTAGTCTCTCCATAATCTTTTTCCACGGATCTATAAACTATTACCACGCCTTTAACCATTCCATGTGCAACCATGGCATTCCAAACTCACTACTATGATAACAGGAAGGATGTAAACGATTGAAAAACAGGCCATGTAACGATTCGGTTCGTTTCTATCAACCAGAATCAAATATCGAAAGTACAACATGTGCATATTCACTAGGGCCACAAAGTTCGACACACCCTGAATTTTTATTTTCATAAATTTTCAATAGAAAAAAAAACTGACCAATTGTAAGCTATAATTAAAAAGACAAAGCTCCGGTCCCACCCATTTACAAGCGCCGTTGCACAACAAAGCCATCGAATTTTTATTACTCAGAGTTCTGAAAGAATTATTTAGTTTACTTTCAATTCCTTTTGAAATCCAAATAAATTTTTTATACCTCCAAAGGAAACTTTGAAAGTAGAGATCTCACCTCGCTTGTAGGATAAAGGTATTGATACACACTGAAATGTGGCCCAACGTGCTGATAAAGAGAAAAAATCGCATTCTCATCATGGTGTTTGGAGTGGCGGATTTCAATAACATCAACAAAATTGTATGGATAATGAGACCTATAGAAAAATAGACAGAGTAATAAATAGAAAAAGCCATGGTATAGGGTGAGTCCATGGCCATCTGGAAGAAGATCACATTTTTCGAGCTTCAATTGGAAAATGCGTCGAACAGTTTGAAGGAAGTTCAAGCTTGAAGCAAAGCAACATTTTTTAAATTTGGTTTTTAATCAGGATCAACACTGGTCGCTTTAATAATGGCTTAAAGGTTCCGTAATTTCTCTGAAAACTTCAAACACGCAAGTCGTTCAGAGTCTGGCGCGCTCGAATATGAAATAACTTTTTTCAGAGCAGTTTCATGTGCTTCTAGCCGCTTCTACATGGTTATATTTGATATGATTTGATAGCAAGCTTTTTGAGTTCATGCTCAAAGACCAAATAAGCAAGATCTAGTTCTTTTTTGTTGCGAAAATTCGCATTCAACTTTTGCGACAGGTGTGTTTACAGGTGTTCAGAATCGTCCAAACTAATTTTTAAGAAAAAAAATTCGGAGCAGATTCCCGTTTATAGTTTGATATCCAATCTTCTGAGAACATCAGTGATGATGTTTATAATTTTTTTAATCAAAAAACTACAAAATTAAAAAGTTAAAAAAACTCGATTTTCACAAATTAATTCAACTTGAGCTTGAACTCGGTGACTAGTCGAGTAGTGAGAGAACGACTTGAAAGAAGGTTCTAAAAATATGGATTTTTTGCAGAAGCAAAAATAGGTATCAATTATCAAAAGAAAAAAGAGGTTTTTTTTTAATTCCAAATGTTAGGTTAGTTTTTCAAAAGTCTTGTTATTATGAGGGTACCGAGCATCTGAAATACATTACACAAGTACAGCATCCTGGAGCTTTCAAATGGTGAATGCTTTAAGGCTATAGATATGTATTAAGTTTGAGAAAAAGGCAAATCGTTTATTTAAATCGCGACACTGTGAACGTAGGAACACTCAATTCATTTCTGGGAACGTTCAGAAAATGGTGAAGAAAAAACTTCTTTACAGCTTTTCTGTACGGAACCACAAAATAAATCGAAACAAATGGATCGATAAGAGCGGGTAGAGTTAACATAGCCGACAGGGTGTACTGTGAGAGTAAAATGTTGAGACCTTAAATTTTCATTTTACAGATAACTTTTAAGAAAAGGCGGTCGCATCGGGAATCGCTCGAGGTGCAAAGCGGTTACTGAGAAAATGCACCCGACCATGAAGCTACTTGCGCTTGCCGGCGATGCAAAAAATCGAAAAAATGAGTTTTAGACATTGGTTCACGTCTGTAAAGCTGAGGAGCCAAAAAATAAAGTACAAGCTTTCAAATTCTCCAGCTGCAGCGCGACCACGAGCCATTCCGAATGCGACCAAAAAAGTATGAAATAATATTGAGTTTGGTACCTGTATACTTGCTGACTAAAAATAAGAGTCCACTGGGAATATAGCATAAAATGGGCGTCAGGATTTGTATCGTGAGACCCTGGGAAAAATTTTTTTTTTTGAAAAAAATATATAGTTTAACCTGGATTAGCGTTTTTTTGTATGAACTCGAGTTCTTTCCGAGAGGGAAACGTTCAAGCTTGATAAGGCTTTCCTGAAAGTTTCAGTCGATAGAAAAAAATTTATGAGTGTTTTCTAGAAGTTCATTCTGGATTTCCTATCCTTTCATTCCAATAAAATTCAAAAAGTCTCAACTTATGGAAATAGAAGAAAACGAAAATAAAACATTTTTGAGAAAGATTTTAGTGGCTTCTCAATGGTTTTGAGCTTTTGCTTTCTGAAATTTATGACCCCTCTGGAAAAAGCCAAATTTGGGATATTCAAAAATAATTTTTTCAGTTTGACTATCATCCATGAAAAACTGTAATTTTTGAAATTTTTTTCATCGAATCAGTCGAGAATAATGCTTTTTTGATTCCATTTGTAAGCTTACCTCCGCCAAAAAATAGCCCTGATCGGCAATAAAATAGAACTGAAGGCCAATAGCAGATAAGAAATGGCTCGGCTGGGATGATTAAAGTCGGAAAATCCTCCGAACTTCCTATAAACCGACAAATCGTACTCAGGATGCTGTTCTCGAGTTTCAGTCTCCACCAGCTCAAAGTCGGAGGGTGGAATGAATTCCAAGACCTAGAAGAATCCGAAAATTTTAAACTTTTCTGGAGCTCCCACCAAGATGGCTACTGGAATGATGTAAAAAATTGAGAAACAGGCCGATGACGCTAAAATATTCTTTTTCTGGGTCAGAACAATGTATCTGTAGTATAAAGAATGCATGTTGATCCAGGCGACCGAGTTGGCCAGGCTCTGAAAAAAAAATATTTTTATCCTATAATCATATTTCATTTTTCAAAAACGTTTTCGGATGGTTTCAAACTCACCAGTTGCAAATTATAAGTAACGAAACAGAATCCAGGACCAACATATTTACACGCGCCGTTGCATAGTATCGCCACCGATTTGGTATTTATCACATTTCTATAACGAAAAGGAAGATCCAAAAAATAACTCCAATTAATAGAACCCACCTCGATTGAGTAATATAAACGATTGAACACAGTAAGATATGGATAGTTGTACTGAGAAGAAGAAAAATTCGCATTTTCAGGAGGTATTTCGGCGTCGAGCCCATTAGTAGGACGATCAGGACAAAATGAACCGAGATGGTCAGAAAAAAATAAAGTGGATAATATATTGAAAAGACCGTTGTGTAGGGAGTGTCGATGGCCATCTTGAAACAGGTTTTTGAATTTTTATCAAGACCCTGGTCGCGTTTGGAATGGCTCAAAGCGTCACAGTGCTTTTTGGTTATAAAGATCTTCTTTTTCTACTGCCCTTGGACTCAAAGGTTTCCTTTTACTATACTAGAACATATTCCCTGGCGCAAGTAGTTTCGGGTCAGATGAACCTGTTTAACGCAACGCACTGAGATATTCTAAAAGCGAACAGGTATTTTTTAACAGTTTTGAATCAAGTTTTCCATAAAAATCATAAAAATCTTAAAATTGTTTTCAAAAAGGTTAGGAAATGTCGCCACCTATGGGAACATGAAGTTATTATTCACTTTCTCTTTCTCCTAATTAGGATCAGATGTTGATAAAAACAAACTTTCGACATATAACTTTTCAAGAATGTCAACGCAAGCTAAGCTATTAGGCACGGTCTGATGAATGGAGACAATAGGAATGTCAAAAAAGAGACCAAAAACCATAGTTATGGCTCACGAAAATTCGAAAAAAACCAGTTCGATCAAGAATTGAAACCAAAAATTGGAAAGAAATGTTGAAATGTTGGGTGTGAACTAATAAAGTTTAACTTATCAGAGCTTAATTGATCTACCAAAATAGCTCTAAACTCTCGAATTTTTTTTTCTTGCTTCTTTACAAGCTTCCTATGTAGGTACGTTATCTCAAAATGATTGAAGTGTATCAATTTTCCTTAAAGCTCCATTTTTCTACAAAGAGTTTATGAGCGAAATGAAGGAAAGGGTCATTTTCTCGCCTAGTCAAGGGACTTTGTAGTCTCCTATGTCATTAAAATTTCCCACGACTATACTGAATGTAGAATTAATTAATTGAAAAAGTGAGGGGACTAAATAATTTTATTAAACTTTCCCATTAATATCCCTTTTCCATGATGGGAAAGTCACGTGAGAGAGTGTGATTTTCATTGAGCTAGAAAAACATTTGTAAACTATAAACAAAAGTAATGTTTAAACTTTTCATCGGATTGATTTTTCACATCTGTCAAGTTCAATCGAAATTAACGTTCTGTTTGAGAAAAAAAAATCTTTCAGTATCTTTCGAAGTTTCAGATTTAATCCAAAAGATGAGCTCATATTAGCCCATATAACCCAGAAGATTCTCATGAACAGGACGATTTCACAACACTGCCACTTCCAATTTAGTTCTTGTAGCAGGAAAAAAACTATAAAGTTGTCAGGCAATAATCCAGACGGCATATCTTTGCAGTGATTGGCCTTGAAAGCATATCTGTCGAAATCAAGAAGAAAAATTTTCATTCAATTCCGCCGGGAACCTTTACTTATAAGAATCTTCACAATCTGTTGAGTAGCTTAAAGATCAGATCCTAAACCCCTACAGGAGCACCTAAAACTTATTTCTATAGGGAGAACTTTTAATCCCTCTGTAGGGTACGTTTTTCCCTAGTCCTTATGGGGACCTTCCTGGACAGTTCTGGAAAAAAATTTAAATATTGGTCCCTACTGGGAACTTATTTCTGTGAAAATGTTGATACTCAAGTTTCTCAGTGCTACTCCAGGTCAAGCAGGACTTCTGAATCTTCAAAAACTAAAAAAGATTTCTGCATCAATTTTATAAAATCCCTTCCAGCTATTTCACCACACTCCCACTTTCAATTTAGTTCCCCTCCAGGAAAAAAAAACTCTGAAGCCGTCACGAAATAATCCAGAAGGCATATTTTTGCCGTGAAGAAATCTGGAAGGCCGATGACCGGAAAGCCGTCGATTGCGCACATATTCCATGCCGATAAGCGGCTTTTTCTCCAGAACCCCTACGCATCGGAATAAGTTTCATCCGCCTTCTTTTGGTCATGTCTCATAATCTTTTCAAAATTCTCATTTCGCTTCGATTCTCTGACTCATTTCTACATGGAGCTGTCCTCAGATGTGAGTTTTTCCTCGATTTTTCTCGAATTTAAGTATATTTTTTTTGAAAGTCGTTTTTATTTGAGCTTTGGAGTCGCACTTGGAATGTTTACTAGAGAAAAAATTGGATAAGGCCAAAATTTTCTCGAGAAGCTTTAGAAAGAAGTTATTATGCTGAACTATTCTGTTTAGCCATTCCAAATGCGACATCCATCTTCAAATTTTTGGAGATTTTGAAAAGCATTGTCGCATTTAAAATGAGTCGATAGAAAAAGTCCATTTGATTGAATCATTGATCAGAAATTTTCTATCCATGCGGTTGTTCAAAAAAAAATTAAACGTACTTCAAGCCATTACAAATTCGAACTTCCTTTTTTGAATCCTTAGTCGTTTTTGAATGGTGAGCCGCATTTAGAATGGTTGGGCAAGCAAATCGAATGAAAAATCATTCCAATAAAAAAGAACCAAAAAAAGTAAGGATGGGTTGCAAAAAAAGAAAAAAGAGAATTCTTTCAAGAATTTTCTTGAAAACTTCAAATTTCGTCAAAAATTGATGTAAATGAAGCGAATAGATGAATCAAGTAGATAGAATAACGTGGAGTTGAAAAACAAGTAGAACTTTAGAAATTAAAGAAACTGAACGACCCTTCACTTGATTCGAAAGAGATGTCTAGATGAAGAGGCGGGATAACGCCAAGAATGATCATTGACCTACCTTCAACCGCAAAAAATGTCAAGTCTGTATGAAAAATATTTTTTCTCATGTTCATTCAAGTGTAATGTTATATGTCAAATCTTTAAAAAGTGATGTTTCAAAATTGTTTGTTGTCTGGATTTACATAATTTCATTCTTCTTTTTTTCCATTTTCCAATTAGATAAGTTTTTCTTATTTTTTTGTATTTTTTTAGCATTCAAAGGAGCATAGACGATTTCTGTAGAGGTCTCGAGGCGAAAACCCACGTTTTTCTGTTATCTCGGAAATTCCATCTCAGCGAAATTTTCAACATATTATTAAAGAAAAAAATATTGAAAAATTTGGGTAAAATGCAATTTTAAAAACAACTTTGAATTTTTTTGGGTTTTAGTTGTGGTCAAGAACAATGAAGAAAGTGAATGTTCAAAAATTTAACCCGTCTTTTTTTAATTAACCAAAAAAATTTTTCAGATCCTCACCGCCCTCGCCTCTCTTTATGTTGCTATAACACTGACAGTCTTCGTCCTCGTTTCATATTTCTGTTTTTGCCGTCGAAATTCTTCAAATTTATCCGAAGTGGAGAAGGGAACATCAAGCACACCATATTCTAACTCAGAGTAATAAAAAATGAGGAAAATCAACTTTGAGAATTTTCTAGGTTATCGGACACGAGCTTTTCTGTTTCACCAGCAACTTTGCCTTCGCCTTACCCATCGGATGGGTCCAATCCAATGCAAACTTCTAATGGAATCGCGAAAATTTTATTCCAATACCCGACGCCAGAATCATCGCCGGAAGAATCGAATGAGGTAAATTGGAAGAAAATCGACTTTTCCATCAAATAAATTAATCTGCCCATCTTCTCTCTTCTTAGTTCCTCCATAGTCGTACGTAGAATTGCACAAAGCATTGCACTTTTGTTTTTCGATGCACAAACCGCAAGTCGTTTTGAGTCGGGCGCAATGTAGCCTTTTCATGTGAACCATTCCTCGTTTGACAATTTCGATTCATAGCTAATTAATTTTTTAGGATTCCATTGGAACACCAGTGAGTCGGAAGAACTATCCAATATCGATTGATCAGCTCGCCCCAGTGGCCCCGCAAGTGGTTAGTCATAGCATCAATTTATGCGTCAAAATTTCGATTTTTTTATTTCTAAATGAAAAAAAAAAGATAGAAAAGTTTGAACTTTTTGGTCGTGCATTTTTTTTCCACTATTCATTGGAAGTTTAAAAAAAAAAGGTTCGAAAATTTAAATTTTAAAAAGTCAATATTACACTGCAAATTTGCGCTCCAAGGAGAATTTTTGTAATAAATGTTATCAACCATTAATAATACTCGGAAATTCCAAGTTTCAATTTCTAGTCACGACTCCGGGAAGCTCCGAATCACAAAGCGCGCCGGGAAATGTTCAAGAGGAATGATTCCAAGGTAAAAAACTTATTTTTCTCAGAAATTGAAGAGGAAAATGTTCAGATCAACGTGTTCAGTGTACAGAACGGGAAGAAGCTGCAAGTTTTCCCCGTGGAGCAATACCCCTCACAAATTAATCTTGATAAAATTTAGGTTCAATTTTTATTCCTTTCTTATTTCATTGTCTTTTTTTTTGTTGAGTTGAAAAGTTTTTGGAATGCGCCCGACTTTTCGCGGTTTTGCCAAGAAAGATATAAACGAGGAGCTAGGGAAAGTTTAGTACCACAGCTCATGGAGCATGGCGCAAGCCGCGGACCGTCGGTCGCAGCTTGAAAAAGGTCATTCGCAAGATACTTTTTCAAACTGCGTCCGACTTGAAACGACTTGCGGTCACTAGCAAGAAAAAACATGATGATAATTCGAGCCATTCTCCATGCGACCACGGCTTTTACACTCAAGAAAAATTGACTAGAAAACAGGGTATTCCTATGGGAAATTGTACTTGTATTTTTGTAATTTTTTCCGTCATAAATAAACAAATCTTTTATTAATTTTGGTAATGAAAACTGTGGCAGTGGCCGTACTCCAACCCCTTTCTTTCTTCAATCGACATTTCAAAAGATCCAAAACGAAATGACGATAGTTTTTCTCTAGTAATATTAAAAAAATATTGTCGATATGAAGCCGTGAAGAGTGAACCAGAAGGTGAAATAGTTGTTAATTTCTGGAAGATTTTTCTCACTAGGGAACTACGCGAACTCGTAATCGCGGACCAGGTTCAAACTTTATAGATAGACCCAAGTCAGAATACTTGAAAACAAGAGAGATTATCTGTTAAACCCAATAGAAAACTGAGAAAAAATTAGTAGAAAATTTGAAAATTAGGCTTGCAAATTTTCAGAATACTGCTTTTTACCTTATTTTATATTCTAATACAATCGTCTTGAATGATCCGTTTATGATAAACTCTAGAAAACTTTTTCCCACGCAAAAGAAGGAGAAAAGCAAAAGTTTGATATTTTTCAAGCCAAAAATGTTCATTTTTAAAAAGCTTTTTCTCAGCAGTCCATGTTGTTCAGCAGATAATCTCTCTTGTTTCCAAGTACTATTACCCGGGACTTTAAGCCACCGAAGTTTCAGCTCGAAACGCGTACCCGAGTCCGAGGACAGTCCCCTAGTCAGATTGAAAAAGGAAGAAAAAGAGAACCTTGATGATAGATATTGTTGGCGATAACGTAGACAACGGCCAACGTGGGGAGCCATAACAGGAGAAGAGGCCCGAAAATCTATAAATTCTTAATTTCGTGTTAGAACTCTTGAATTTTTCGAACAAAAAAATTTTTTTCTTTTCGCTTTTTATACTTCTAAGAAACTTGTGTGATAATTTTGTTTTTTCAAGTTCTAACCCTCGTAATTTCAAACATCAACATAAAAAAAACCTGAGCCGACAGCGAATAAAGAAACTTTTTCTGAAGAGATCTTGTGTAAGAAGATAAATGTCCGGTATTTTTCGTGAGATGCCACGTGGCGTGTACGGCGAAGAACAACATTTCCGAAATGTACGCGATTCCGATGAACCCAAGAGGATAAACGACAGAAACTTCGTCTTCAATAACTATGGAACAGGATTCGAAGATTCCAGGTGGTCTACAGTGGGCTTCCTGTGAAAAGATTCGATATTTTCGATCATAAAACACATTTTGTGATAAAAGTTATGAGTTGAATCCATTCTATCAAATTTAATTATAACTTTCCTTGTATGTTTATCCGTCTTCTACTTAGTTCTACTCAATTTTTTTCAAACTTTCCCATGCAAGTTTCTTGCAGGATCGTTTTCTCAAAACAATGTTTATCAAAATCCGTTTTCCAGAAGTAGAAACTCAGTAGTTTTTTTCTCAGTACATTATAAAGACTAGAAAAATTTCATCTATCAATAACGGTTTTTCATTCCACTCACCTCCGGCAAAAAGTTCAATCTCACTGTAAAATTTATTCGTAAAAAGAACTGATTTTTTTATTAAGGAAATTTCATACCAAAGTTGCTCTATCCTACAACTCCTCTAAACTTTCCAAATTTATTTCAAGACAGCTTAAGATCGATTCTGGAATACCCAATCTGCTTTTCAATGATAATTATATAATTGATGATGAATCCAAGGCCAATGTCTTCTCATCTGTGTTCTATTCCAATTTCTCTAACACTAACCCTCAACCTTTCCCAGCTCTTCTCTCACCTGAACCTATTAACTGTAGTATATTTTTCTCCCCCGATGTTGTTTATAAATTTCTTGCCTCTCTACCTCCGAAATGTGGATTTTCCACTGATAGTATTAACTTTCTTGTTCTTAAAAGATGCGCTAGATCGTTAAGCCTTCCCTTGTCTCTCCTATTTAATGAATCTTATATAACTGATGTTATCCCCTCCTCTCTAAAACACACTACGGTCATACCTGTACATAAAAAAGGCAGTTTGTCTGACCCTTCCAATTTCCGTCCGATCTCTCTCACTCATCCTATCTCACGTGTATTGGAACGTATTATCGCCCATATGGTTAGAACTCGATTCGCTCATAAATTCTCTCGATTTCAATATGAATTTTTAAACCGTAGATCTTGCAAACTCTCTCTCATCTCTTCTACACTGCGACGCATAATTATAGACCCACCCTTATTTCTCCGATTTTAAGAAAGATTGAAAAACTTTCAGCCACCAAACTTTTTTTGTGATAAACCTTGTTGATAAGGGACATAATCATATCATAATAATCAATCATCCAGTTGAAAATTTTTTCAAGATACGAGAAAATCTGATTTTTGACCGACGCAGAATTATAGACCCACCCCAGAGTTTTCCGAGTTTCCGTTTCCGGTAACACTTTTTTCCTGTTTTTTTCAGTGGTATATAAGAGGAAAAGTCCTCGTGTATCACTATAAGCCATAATGCCTAAATCTACTCAACTTGATAATACCGAAAAAGCGGTAATCGATGCTCTACTCAACAACGGCTTGTCCCATCGGGAAATCGCTCGTCAGACGGGTCGCTCAAGACGAACTATTGACCGTTATGCAAGGAATCCGCAAGAATACGGCACAGCAATACATTCTGGACGGCACAGGCTGCTATCGGTTCAAGCTGAACGAGACGTCTGTCGAAAAGCATCGAACTCTACGAAGTCCGCCAACCAAATCAGATCCGAAATTCCTGAAAACTTCTCGAAGGACACCATCTTACGAACAATTCATCGGTCCGGTCGACTTGTGAATACTTCAATGAAGGCAGCACCTCGTCTACAGCAACGCCATATGAATGAACGGCTCCCGTTTGCACGCTCTAACATGGCCACGGATTGGAATAAGGTATCAATTTTTTCTATCACCTTATGATTCCCAAGTTTTCTGTTCGGATCATTTTCAGCGACGAATTCAAGAAATTCAACCTTGATGGGCCAGATGGGTACGCTCACTACTGGAGAGATTTGAGGAAAGATCCGATGTACTTCTCCAAGAGAAACTTCGGCGGCGGCAGCCTCATGGTCTGGGCGGCTTTCTGCGGCAACGGGACGGTAGCTCTTTCTTTTTTTGGGACCAGAACGAATTCGCAAGACTACCAGCAACTGCTTGCCCAGCATCTCCTGCCCTATCTCCGTCGCCGACGACGTGCTAATATGATTTACCAACAAGACAATGCATCTGTTCACGCGAGCAACTCGACATTGGCTTGGTTTGCGGCCAATAACGTGGTTCTTCTGGACTGGCCCGCGTGCAGTCCTGACCTCAACCCTGTAGAGAATTTATGGTCAGTCCTGGTACGAAGGGTCTACGCGAATGCCAAGCAGTATACAACGGTCAACGGTCTGAAAAGAGCGATTCGAGCCGAGTGGGATGGTTTGGACAAGTCACTGCTGCAATCACTCGTTGGCAGCACGCCGAACAGGATTTTCGAAGTCGCTTAAAAACAAGGAGGCATCACACATTATTAATTAATTTTTTTGTTATACTTTGTTGAGTTTGTGAAATGAATTTTGTCGATTACTTATAGTGGGTCTATAATTCTGCGTCGGTCAACAATCAGATTTTCTCGTATCTTGAAAAACTTTTCAACTGGGTGATTGATAATTATGATATGATTATGTTCCTCATCAACAAGGTTTGTCACAAAAAAGTTTGGTGGCTGAAAGTTTTTCAACCTTTCTTAAAATCGGAGAAATTAGGGTGGGTCTATAATTATGCGTCGCAGTGTATATCCGACATAAAAAAGTCCTTGGCCTCCAATCTAAATGTTGATGTTATTTACTTTGATTTTAGCAAAGCTTTTGATAGAGTAGATCACAAATTGCTACGTCTTAAGATGCTAATCTTTGGTTTTGATAATACTCTGAGCCGTTGGTTCTCTAATTTTTTATCTCACAGAAGTTCAATTGTTAAGGTCAATAAGTCTTTTGCCAACAATTGCTTTCCCAACCCTTCCGGTGTCCTCCAAGGCACTGTCAGCGGCCCTCTCCTCTTCCTCATTTTCATCAACGATATCGAAAATTACATTGATTCCTCTACCTCTATCTCAATTTTTGCGGATGATATTAAATTTTATAGTTCCTGTCCCATATCTCTCCAATCAAGCATTAACGGTATCCTTGAATGGTCTCATATTTGGTCTCTCTCACTCGCCTCTAACAAAACGTTTTCTGTTCACTTTGGCCCAAATAATCCGCGCACCCTTTACTATGTTGACATCCTAGAAGTTCCTTAAAGCTCCATAGTACGTGACCTTGGTTTATTTATCGATGACAAGCTTTCCTTTAAACAACACATCAGCCGTATTGCTGCTTTTGCCACCTTACGTTCTAATCAATTACTGAATACCTTCAAGTTCTCTTCACCTTTCAACTACTTCCGTATGTTTCAAACCTTCGTTATTCCAGTCCTTGAATGTTGCTCCGAGCTTTTCTCACCCGCCATTTCCTCTGATGAATCTCGCAAACTCGAATCTTCACTCCGTCACTTCAGTCGGAAAGTTTTCATTCGTTGTAATGTTAGTTTCACTTCTTACTCAGATCGCCTTAGTCAATTTAACATCAAACTTTTGTTCATTTGCCGTAAAATTTGTGATATAATCACCCTACATAAAATTGTTTGTGGCTCTGATCATTGTCTCGATCACAATAAGTATTTCACTCAATCCCTGTTACAGAGAAGTCCACTTCGACTACGGACAGCTGGTCAGTTTTCTAATGACTTTTTTACTAGAACTATTCCTCTTTAGAATAAACTAACTTCTTATTTGAATTTTAGCGTTACCCCAGAAACTCTGCGTAAAAAGTTGAACGCTCTTCCGTTTGAAGCCTTTCATAAAAATATCCCCTCTCGTCTCCTTTGGATTTGTCATATTTCCGGGTACCCGTCAACTCGTTGGGGTTGACTCTTTCCCGTGTATTGTTATTTCTCTGCCTATTCCTTCACTTGATCATTTATTCTTCAATTATTTTTTTTTCTGTTAAATAACGGCAGTGAATAAACAGTATATCTTTCTATCTTTATCAATAAGAAGTCAATCATATGATCCGCAAAGTTATCCGCAAAAAAAAAAAGTTAGAACTCGTTTTTTGAGTCCAATAAAAGTTGTTCCATACTCAAGTAAGGAGTTTCCGCGATTTTCATGAGAATTCCGTGTATTTTCTTCACTCGAAGTGGTAGCTCTTCAATCGGCCGAGGCTACCCTAGAGTGTACACGGCTTCCATGCCCGAGCCCCACCATCGCCGCCGTGCCCGTACCCGCAGAACTGAGGGATCTACTTGTGGAAGAGCGAGGCGAAAGACCGTAAGGCCATGCTTTCAATTCAATCGACTACACGTTTTGACTTCTTTTTCGCCAAAGGCGGTGTTAGTGCCGCTCAAAAGAGCAATTTTTTCACCGCCTAGTCGATACCATCTGACTAAAACAACCAATAAATATTGATTGATTGATTGAAGATAATGTCAGATTATGTGTCAGGAAAGGGCTGAGAAAACCACCTTAATTTTAAAGCAGAAAACGGCAAAAAACACCTGTTTGAGAACGGCGAAAAACACCCTTTTTTCTTTTTTCGTCGCCTTTCCACTTCTCTTTCCAATCAGATTCGAGAAAATCTGGTAACTCACTTTTCCAACATCAACTTCTATGAACGCTACCGAATGTGAGCCTCATCCATTTCTGAATGCAAAAAATCTTTGGATCTTTTCTACCATAAGCTTCAGTATAGATTTACCGCTGAATATGCTTGCATTCTACTGCATCATCAAAAAATCCCCGCCAGGAATGATGAACCACTATAAATGGCTCTTATTCAATTGCCAGTTATGGTTTGGCCTCGGCTTTCTTTTTAAATCCAGTCCTGAAACTGTTTCTAGGAGTCTCGTGACAGATAGCTTGGTCACTGTTTTGTTTTCACCCATATCATATACTCCAATATGGGGAGGATATTCCAATGGGCTGTTTCGAGCTGTCCATATACCCGTAGAACATCAAATCGGGATCACTATGTTCCTCATATCATGTTTGTGGTGATCAATCTAGAAGTCTGAGAAAAAGTTCAGGCATGATTACCAGCGTTCAAGCCCTCATTGAACAGAGGCATTTTTGTGTGACACCGCGAGAGAGTTGGTTCTGTTTCGATAACAAAAAACGCTACACATTTCTATTCCTACTTTTCTTGGCATCCATAATCCCATTTTGTATTATGTATGAAAACATTCCAGAAGATCAGAAAACTGCAAAACTCCTAGCTATACAGGTACGCATTAAATTTTTCATTTTTACTTTGAATATAATCAGTTTTACGGGTGAATTTTTGCTTACGAATTTTGCCGTGGTCAAGCGCTAGCCACCTTTTTAGATATTTCTCAAAAATTTGGAATGTTATTTGAATGAATAAAAAGAGTTGACAACTTCTTTTTTTTACACATTTTCCACGAATCTGACCTCGATTTATTTTCGCTAGAAGTCGTATAGTCTGTGTGCCACGACTTGAAAATTCCCCGAACGACATTCCGCTGTTCCGCTGCGTGCGTTCGCGAAGCGTCTTTCGAACCTAGGTCACGCTTTCAATTGATTGTTAATGCTGCGGGAGGACATAAAAGTAGAGTACCTTAATAAATGAAAAAAAAAGTAAAAGCGCGACTAAGGTTCGCAAAGGCGCGCAGCGGTAGAGCGGAATGTCGTTCCGTAAAATTTCAACACAGACTATATCGCGTGCGCAAAAAGTATCTTAAAGTTAGTGAAAATGAAGTCACCAAGAAAAAATTTCCATTCAAGAGTAAAAACACTATAGCTTCTATTTGAGATTGGAAAGCCTGTGCTTAACCTTATAAATAAACAGTACAGAAGCCAGGAGAATGATAAAAAAAAGATTTTCGTGAAAAAATTACTAGAGGTCCAAAAATGTGGCGTGGCTCAGTTTTCAGAGCTACTTTTTCAGACACCCAAAAGACATCCTGAACGATCTACCTGAATCCCCTTACAAGGAAGGTCATTTTTGCGTAGGGTTTCGAATTTTCTATAAATTTGCTCAAACAATCTTTGATGATCTTCGCACGCTCTGGTTGAAAAATTTTTGTTAAAAAAAGTTATTTTGGAAGAAAAGGTCATCGAACGGCTTTGGAACGTTTTTAATCTTGAAATTTCGACATGTTCATCATAATCCGTCAAAAAAATATTGGCAAAAAACGATAGCCGCAAAAAGATTCGAACCTTCATCATAGGCTTCGCAGGCTACTGCGCTAGCCATTGCACTACGCTCCTAGTTGCCATGCAATGACTTGTGCTGCGGACACATTCCTTCCGAACATTGTCACGTGTTTAAGGACGAAAACTTTGAAAAGTCTGCAAAACGAAAAGTTTGCAAAGATAGCGACCATGTGGAATCGATTCCCAGTCCATCAAAAATTGTTTGAGCAAAATTTTTAGAAAATTCCAAACCCTACGCAAAAATGACCTTCCATTGTAAAAGTCAGAAGAAACTGATGATATCTTTTTGTAACAGAAAATCGGTTGCATACCAGAGGATATCTTTTCTCCTTATGCTTGCATCATGGACGTCAATATGCTCTGCGTAAACTGCTTCAGAACTTTGGTCGTTGTTCTCTGCCTTGTCGGCTCCTTTTTCAGTTCAAGAACTACTTTCTTCTTATATAAGGCTAGGAGCCACATCTCGAAAAAAACGAATGAACAACAAAAACGATTTTTCTTCTCTCTGATCTGTCAGGTTAACCTTCCAATCGGGAATCACCGATAAAATCGAAAAATTTAGGTTACCGTACCCCTCATAATTTGTATCGCTCCGTTTGCATTCGTCAATGTTGGGAAGCTGCTCGATGCTCCGACTATCAGTTATCTACGTAATAGAAGAAATATTTATAAAAGACTTGAGAAAGTTTTTCTAGGGCTTGCCCTTGTTGGAACCTTCACTTTCGGTCTTCATGGCTTAATATCCACAGTCATCCTGTTAATCTCTATAAAAACACTACCGTTTATTTTGTTTCCAGTTTTTCTACAAGCTTCCAACTCGTCAGAAAAACGAAACTACGATTTTCAAATCGCTTCACACTGGCGTTACCCACTAGATTCTACAAATCTCTGGAATGATTCCTGGAAAATTGATAGCCCAGCCGAATTATTAATGATTGAAATGCTGATATTCTCTTTTCTTGGGGAAAAAGTGTTACTCCTAAATCATCAAACGACTTTCAGGGTTAACGATTGCTATAAACGTTTTTTTTAATGATGAGGTAAAAGCGACTCGCTTCAATGTGCTTAAAAATCATTTCTTTTTCTCATCTTCGTTTCTGCCTGATGTTTTTGAATCACTTTCAAACCTACGAAAAACTGAAAACCACCTGTTCTCTCATTTTCTCCGAAACTGAACTTTTGCCAGCAGTTTCTAAATAATAACTTTATTACTAAATTTCACGACTTTGATTAAATGAATTTTTCTAGTTTTGATGCCCATCCTTTCTTCAATGCAAATAATACTCAAATTGCGAAACCTATAACCTCAATTATCACTCTATCACTGAATTTTCTTGCATTCTATTGCATAATTCAGGAATCACCACCAGGAATGCTGAAACACTACAAAAGGCCGTTGCTGATCAGCCAATTTTCGAATTTTCATTACGTAAGCGGTTTGGAACTTAGATATACATGTAGTATGTGTGCCATGACTTGAAATTTCATCGAACGACATTCCGCTGTTCCGCTGCGTCGCGAAGCGTCTTTGCGAGCCTCGGTCTCGCTTTGAATTGGTTCTCATTTTTTTTTTTATAGATGAACTGTTCCACTAGAAACACGTGTTGGTCGAGTCCTTAAATAAAATGAAATTTGAAGACGCGCGAAGGCAAGCAACAGAACAGCGGAATGTCGTTCGGTGAAATACAGGTCTCGTCTAGATTGGTTCTATGACTACACGGCGAAAAATGATAAAATCCATAGGGGTTAGACTGAACTTTGTTCAATTTTCCTTAAATGTACCGAACTTCCTAGTTTTGGAGAAAAGTAATTCAAAGTCGGAGAAAGGAAATTTTGAGTTCCCGCCAAAAGGGCGTTTTGCAGTAAAGTTACTCTATGGAAAACACGTATCCTCATTTTCCGAATTTTTCTCTGTTTCATTTTTTTTTCTGTTGTCGCCAAAGCTCTTTTTGCCACAAAAACTTTCTACTGATGTATAAATTACAAGTTTTGATGGACTCGTTCAAAAGCACCTGCGCTGTGTAATGCGTTTGATATTTTCCCAGAAAACTAGGTTTTTTTTCCGGAATAAAAACTAAATAACCTTGACAATCAGATTCATGGCTTCTTTTTGAAGCACGGGTTCGCTGAGAAGAGCTCTCATTAGCGAAGCAATGACGATACAATAATTGAAAGTGTAGAGAAGAAGTCGAGATCTCGTTCTTTCAAATTTGAAAAAACTTGGCGCAATGACAACTGCCCGGTGTCGAAAAGCATACAGGCCGATTGCACTATTCAGCAAGGCTTAAATTTAAAAAAATTTCAGAAAACTGCAAAATTCGATGAATTTAGACAGCAAAAAGATTTTTTTTCGCTTTCCAGTCGATTTAGGACGCCGCAAAAACTATTCAACTGAAAATTACCTGCAATACTAAATCCTCCAATGATAACCTGGATCCTCACAGGGACTCCAATATCTTGCAAAATACCAATGGAACATCCTCCCAAGGCTGGAAAATAAAATACAGGTGTTATCAGGAAGGTAACAAGCGCATCGAATAATATGACCCTGGAAATTGATGGTTTAACTTTCGCCAAAATACTCATTTTTCTCTCTCTCGAAATTTAATAGATGAGTCATAGTTTTCAATTTTATAATTTTTCTTTGAGAAAGACAATTCTTGGTTTTTTTATTTGTCACACTCTAATGAAAAAGTAGTTCAAAATGGTTATTCTAGAAATTCAGAAAAAAAGATTATATTCTTAAACTTGAGAATTTTGTGAACATTCCACGATTGAAAAACATATTTTTTTCAGTGATGAAATTGGAACAAAAACCAAAAAAATACTTGAAAAAAATTCTTTTTTTGAAATTGAACATCGGAATAAGAAAAAAATGATTCACAACGTCTCGAAACTTCTTAAAAGTTTCATGAAATTCAAATTTTCCAATAGCTCGAAAAACTGAAAGTTAGGAAGATTAAAAATTTAAAAAAAATAAGATAAAAATACAATTAAATACAAAGATCAACTGACCAGCACTGATAATTAAACTGGAGCCACTTATATCTACCCAGGAAAGGTGAAGACTTGAAAAATATACAATACAAGCCGAGGAAATTCGTAGGAGTCATCAAAAAGGCGGCCAAATGAGTAGTCCATCGTAAATTTGTGGAATTGAAGAAAGTTCCAACCTCACAATCCGGATAATGATCAAAGTTTTCTGATAGCATAGGTACAAGTTTGGAAAGGTAAATAATAATTTCTCAGAAACTGGCGGCTAACAAAGTTATCAGGAAATACGTAGGTGAAGGCGGGCGAAATTTCAGGGTTCGATGTCTGGTCAGAGTCAAATTATTAGGAAATAAAGGGTCAGAAAACCCGAAACGATTGCAAAAGCGAGAGTTTTTTGGTTTTTGGAGTTGCAGCTATCCGAATTGCAGCAACAGACGTTGTAGCCTTCGTCGTTGTCGTTGTGGGTGTAGCAGCCTTCTTTCTGCAAAAAGGTGCTGATCGAATGAATACCCTTATTAGAAAGGTCGTTCTATTTTGGGGGTGGGAGTTTCCTGAAGTTTATCAGGCCTTTCATTATCGTAATGAAGTTTCCTAAAACTGGCTTACACGAAAGGTCATTTTACTTTGCGGTTGGGAATTTCCTAAAAATTGGCCAGAATACTCTCTGAAGTACCAGATGAAGATCCTGAAAATCTGTACCTGCACAACTCGATAATTTTCGAGAACGGACGTCTCAAAGTTTGCACAAAGATCCCTATAACACCGCGGAATGGTATCTGCTTGCAAATGAGATATAAGGAGACTTCGATGTGATTGGCGCAGCGGTTGAGGGCGCGACTATGAGGCGGCTACTATCTGGTTCGGTTCTACCCTACGCCAAAATGTTTTCAGAGTTCTGCAAAAATGTTCCAATGGTACGTGTTCACATATCGACGTCGAAATTCAATTTTTTTCCAGCCTTCAGATTTTCAAAATTAGTTTTTCAATAGTTTTAGTTTTGAGGGTTTGAAGTTTGGGGACTCTCATCCAAGTTTTACCCCGTTGCAATTCGGTCCCTGAATGGGCTTTTTTTCCCTGGCCACTCTATGGACCACTCTAGAGTTATTACATAACCACTTAAAGGACCTCTCTAGCGTTCCTAAATAGCATGTTCGACCTTCTAGTTAAGGAGAAATTTGATCCCAACGTCTCTAAATGGCCCATTTTGAAGGATCTTGATGAACTCCTCCGACTTCAAGATGGATATTTTCAAGAACTAGAAATTTGTGCAGGCGGAGACATAATCTTCTTCAGGTCCATCAAGGAGTAATCTCACTTTTTTTTTCAGAAATTTCCCAACCACAAAGTAAAGACCTCCTTCTTAGAACTTTTGATATTCCTGACGTGTGAAAATAATTTTTGAAAAACCGTTCCAGCAAAAAATTGAAGGACACAAAGCTTACAGCGCAACTTAGGCCGTCGAACTGCCCATTCTGGTTCTTGTAGGTGACTGTATCACATCCCCGCATCACCACTTTCGTTTCTAGCCCAGCTTGGTCGACTGAAACAATAAATTGGGACTTCATCGTAAACTTATCTAACAGAGATTTTTCAATAATCAGTGTTTTTAAAAATTGACGTTCTATAGACGAAATTGGAATTTCGGAAGAAGTGGAAAAATTGAAAATCATTTTACGTTTTCCATTTTTCGAGTGGAGTCAACTTTGAACAAAAATTTGAAACTTTTGTGTTCTCTCAGCTATTTGGTTGTAAGACCCAATTTTTTTGCTCTCTCGAAATCCTGATTTTCTTTTATATTGCGAAAAACAATCTAAATCACAAAAACATCAATTTTGAAATTGCTGGAATCTTTTCTGATCAAGCCTACAAGTGATATATCTTTTCGCGCAAGTAGTTTTCGGTCGGCGGGGTATGGAAGCAATCCCTTCTTAACCGATCCATTCCAAGTGCGACCAATGGTTTCGAAGTGAAGACCAGCTGTCTGTCTATCATTTAAAATAGAAAATCACGGGGTTTTTATTCAATTTTCCGAAAAAAAAAATGAAAAATTTCTATTTTTTCTCTGCAATAAAATATCTCTTATCACTAAAATCTTACAAAAATGGCCAGTGATTTTCTGACAAAAAGTCACGTCCGGTGCACAATCTTCATGTGATCGACCCTGGTTCACTGGTTCTCCGTAAAAAGTGCCTGGAAAAATTATTATTTTGAATCAAAAATTCAGGTTTTATCACCTGTCAGCTCGGTTTCGCAAACGAGGGGGTTATAGAGCCGATTTTTAGGTTCTGATGTCTGATTTTCCGGTGAAAAATGGATCAAATTGGGCTCATTTCCAACAACGAATCCGTTTACGTGGAATAGAGAGAATAATGCAAAAATTGAGTGGAGCAACATGGAAAACATCTGAAAGAGATGGGATTTTTAAGTATATCAGGATAATTTGAACGAATCGATTCGAGTTATTTTTGCGACATCCTAGCGATTTAAATATGAGAACTTCCAGAAAAAAATAAGGTGGTACAAAATCGAATCATATATAGGTGAACTTACGCTACATACCGCACTGGAAAAGGAATATTTTTAATAACCTACACCTGAAACTGGAATCAGACGATTTCTTCAATTTCTAGCAGGATTCCTGACAGTCCCTTTTGATCTATACATTTCCAGTTGAGAATTAATTTTTGAAATGAAGTTTTTTAATAACTGATGATTTCGATAAGAGAACCTTTTGAAAAAAACTAAAAAAATAAAAATAAAATGAAAATATGAAGAGCTAAAGATCGCTTTCTCGCTGAAATATAAATTTCAAAGATCAGATGACTAACTTCATCAAAAAAAAGGATCTGCAGCTTCTGAACCTTGAAAATGGCCAAGATTTATCAAAAGAACGGTCAGAAGCTCGTGAGAAAACTAATAAATTGGTTTTTAGTGTTGGCACACTGGACGTGGCTAATTGATAACGAAAAATCAAGAAAAAAAAGGGGCAGATAGGCAAATGACCGACTTTTATTGATAAACGTGATAATTAGGACTTTATAGCAAGAAGAATAACTTGAAAAGTTGCTGAAAAACATTTTGAAAAAATCGAAAAAGAAGAAGCTCAATTTTTGTCAATTTTTTTTAGCTGATGTCAAATATTCTTATCATCTTTCCATAGCGTTTCCCTAATTGGATCTTTTCTATTTTTGGTCCAAAATGAAGGTTTTACGACTTTTTGGCTCATGTCAAGTGAAAAAAACCGGATTTCCGACACCTTCTCAAACTTAGAAAGTAATTAATTTTTGGAAAATAATCTTCAAATGTTTAAAAAGTCAGCCCAATCTTACAGCTCTGAAAAAAGGCGTTTTTTTGTTCGATAAGTTCCAAAAAACCAATATCTGTAAAAATCATTAGTTTTTTTTTCTTTCAACTGCAGGAAATTTGAATTTCAGGATTTTATTCAGAAACTTCACAACAATATGTACAATCTTCGCAAAAACTACAACTCAAGACTTCAAAATCAAAGAAATCGGCCAATAAAATGAAATCAAGTTTGCGAGTGCGAAGAAATGGCCGCCGGTCATGAAAGGAATCGCCGAGAGTAAAACCAAGCGAATGATGTCCAAATAGACGGCTTTTGGACTGAAAAGTCCCGGATTTCTAATTAAAATATTATTTTTTCACTAGCCCACCTGTTGTCGAAATAAAGGCCGAAGACGAGAAGGGCCCAATGAATGTAGAAAAGTTCGACCAACGCTTCAGTCCAACTGATTATTGGCAGGACTTTGGCGAACCTCAGTACAAAAGCCACGAAAATAAGCCAATGAACAAAAATATATTTGGAAGAAATTTCCATTCGTGGATTGTAGGGCTTGATGATCTGGTTCTTGATCTGAATAAATGATAAGATTTTTTTCTTAAAACTTCATTTATTTCGAGAGACCTTAAAACAAGAAAAAAAGAATTTTCTTGGGTTTTTTTAAAATTAACAACTTTACCTCGGGTATCCCTTCCTCGTTATCATTCATGTACCTCCAAAAACAAAAAAATCTCTTGGTTTTTAACTCCCGGAAAGTATCCTGGAGGGTAGAAGATCGCTTTAACCTAAAATATCCCATTTTTCACCTTAAATTTTCTTTTTCGAAACCTTCTGAAAAAAGCCTGGAAAATATTCACGTCCTTTTTCATCTCTCATCCTTGGCTTCGTGTACCCGAGTGTCACGAATTCATAAATCTAAATTTCTTTTCTGATTTAAAACGCAAAAAAGTGAAACCTGAAGATAAAACTGTTCAAAGGTGTTGACGGGTTCCACAGTTCCATAGACGACTTCTTCATCGTCCCTTTCAAGAGCAAATGTCCCGAATAGGCTATGAAACTACGAGTATTAACAGGAAAAGTGTAAAACGAAAAAGGAATAGCAAAAAGCGTTTTTTTCCAACAGACAGAAAAAAGATTTTAGCGATGGGGCGCACATTCTCAATCTCTTATATTCAGATTATTTTCTGTGTAGAGATTTTAACTGAAATCAATCATGTTTCAAAGTCCCTTTTTTTGGATTACTGAATGATCTGTAAGGCCTTTATAATTTTCCCTAATCTTCAAGTCAAAAAAAAAACTAACATATCCCAAATCATCAGAGTTCCTCCATAATTCCGATCGATACAATACGGATTTCTGCCATGATGAACTCGATGATTCGCCGGCGTATTTATAATGTATTCGAGAAAACCGAGTTTCGGCACAACCTCAAAGAGCAAAAATGAATAATTTCAGAAGTGAATATTTCAAGTTACCTCGCTGTGGATCCAAAATTGATAAAGAAGGTTCAAATAACGATGGGCGATGAATAAATTGGGCGGAATGATGACACATTGGCACAGCTCGAAAAGAAATATCGCTGTTTCCTCAACAATTTTTGTGAATTAACTTCTTGATTTTTTTTTAAAACTTGTCCCCATGCTTTTCTGATGGCCGTGCTGAGGTTGTAGTATTCGGAAGAGTGGTGCATTTGGTGGAAGGCCCATAAAATTCCGGCTTCTGGAAAATATTAAAGAGATCAAGATTCGTAGGTCAGAGCTTACCATGAACAGCTCTGTGCCCCAAATAGTAGAAAAAATCTTGAAAAATGAAGGCCAGGAACCAAGTTGAAACGGCCGTTTTGTCGAGGGCAATCAAATGAAGGTGTTCATAAGCGTAGGTATAAACCTTGATTGTCATTATTCTGTTGGCTACTCTGAAACTTGCCATTTAGTGTCTTATGTCTTAAAAAGCCGTTGTCGCACTTGGAATGGCTTAGAGCGTCGCAAAAAAAGAAACTACAAGCTTTTGAAGAATTTAGCCATTCTAAGTGCGACCATGGTCAACCACCAAAATGCTCACTTCATTAAAATCAAAACCATGCCCGAGTTCACCGAGGTTACCGTATCGTTCAGAGGCATTTTCTCTTTTCCAACATAAAGGAATTCCAGTAACAATAGTACTCCGAACCATGTTGTGCCCTGAATTTTGAGTTCCATTCAGAACAAAAATCATCGAGAATTTTCTTATCAGTTAAATTATCATCAATACATTGCTCTTATCAGAAAACGCAATAAAAACCCTTTTTTTGTTTATTTTCGGCTGTTTTTTGGAAAAAAAAAGTATGAGATCAGTTAGAAGCTCATCAGAAGTCTATTCTAGAGGCTTAACCTGATTCCAAAAAAAACGGGAGCGACTTCCCCGGGTCATTTTTGATCAGATGAGGCTTTTCATGATATAAAGTGAGAGGGAAAGTCGGAAAAAACGACCTTTTCTATCTTGATTTTAGTCAGATAGTACCATGGAAAGGAAAAAAAAACTTCGACTTATCGAATTTTCCCCTACGTTCGCTCATTTCTTCAAGTGAAACGACCTTTTTTCTCTCAACGTATGCCATTAAACTTGGAAAAAAGCCAACTAACAAGGTCAATGTAGTTGGGAACGTCTTCGGCGTTCGCAAAAGTCGTTTCGTTGGGGCTAACGGCGTAGAAAAGATATCGAAAATTAGCAAAGGAGAGTTTTGAGAGAATATCGGCAGAGCTCATGGAAAAAAATATGAATTTATAAACAAATCGACTCTTTTATATAAAAAGTGTAAGTGAGACTGAAACCAACGTAGGCTACACTGTTGTCTGAACAAAAGTCGGCGCCCGACCTTGCAGTAAACAGGAAAAAAACAAATATCCCTCGACCTAAAAATATAAACAGAACACGTTGTGGCCATATCAGTTTAGATAAAAGTCGAAAAATTCTATTTTTTATTCTCCTGGTCAGCTGTGAAAACTCGAATGAAAGCTTTTGTAATAATCTGAAGAAGACCAAAGAAAAATATTTCTAAAAAAAAATTAAAGACGGTTCTTTTTTAATTTGGAAACTCATGATATCCATTGGAATGATATTTACGCGCTTGCTTTAAACGCACCAAAGTATACCCGACCCAAACCGGCTTCCGCCTTTTGAAAATTCAAAAAGAGAAAACTGTTGCGATTGTACTGACCTATTCCACGTGCGACCATGACTATTTTCAGATAATGCCATCCAAATATGCGAATAAACAAGAAAAAAAACTAAAACAAGAAATATTTATTATTATATTGAATGAGAGTTAAAGCTTCACGATTTCTCTGATTTCTCTGACTTCTTCGTATTCTTTCCGCTTACAACAAGCCATCAATCGAACTCCTTTCAGGCTTCGAGTTTGACAAGCTGTATTGACGAAAATGGCAGAAAAGAAGACCAATTGAGCAAAAAGGACACTTGGATATACTGGAAAAAAAAAATGGAAAAAAGGTTTCAACCACGAAAAAGACGTGGTTAAAAAAAACTGAAAACTCAAAAAAGCTCCAATTTCTTTTTCAAGACTTCTGAGCCTTTGAAAACTTGAAAAAAAAATTGAAACAACAAAATTGTCGATCGATAGTAACGACAGTATCCGCATTTCAATAAAACTCAAACTTTCACCCAATTTACTGTTAAAGAAACTATTTTCTGTAGAATACTTGCTTGATAATATAAGCTCACCATTAGAATCGCAAACGACTCTTTCTGTGAAAGTTTTGACGTCGGCGATCAAAATTGGTCTAGCTCCAATAACAGAAGCCAAGGAGAAGCATCTGGCTAACCGATGCATTTTGATTTCCTGAAACGTTTTTTTATTCTTATTGATGAAAAAAAAAAGTTTTTTTTTTTTTTTGGTTATAACATCGTTCGCCAGAACTTTCTAACAGTCTTATCTCTGCAGAGTTTTCTATCGAGGGCTTACTTTGACTTTGAAAGACGTCTTTTTCGAAGTACGAGAAAAATCGTGCAGCTCAGACTTTCAGACCATCTTCTGCTGGTACATCGAACAGTCTTGCAATTTTTTGGGGATTGCAGACCGCAAAGATAAATGTGCATTTTTGAAGCTTTATTAAATTTTTTTCTTCATATCCTCCAGTCGTTCTTCTTTTTTTACCCGGAAAACCAACATCAAGATAAATATTCAGCGAGATCTTCAACACCAAAGTCAGCATCATCGTCTCCATGGCCGAGTCGACAAGGAAAGCCACTGCAAAAAATGCAATTGCGGCACGGAACTTTTTGCGATAATCGCTCACGTTTCTCATCTTGCCACAAGTGGATCGCGGTCATCGCAAACGACGACAAACTATGCGCCAGGTCCACAAAAACTGCCGCGTAGCCTTGAAATTCAACCATTCATAAGAGAATCAACATTTTCGAGTGGTTTCGGAGAGGAAAAAATGAACTACAAAGATTGGATCCGCTTAAAGTCTATTCATGTTTGGCTTCAAAAAAAAAAAGGAAATCGTAAAAAGATACACTGGAAAGATTGAATTCGCCTACAGTGCTTTAACTGTTGGTTAAAAATAAATATGGAGGAAAAAAATAGACTTTCCTAGTTGGTCATGAAAAAGCAGTCAGAAGAATGAAATGGGAATCATATCTTGCAGCGGGAAAAGCGTACCTTTTTTTTAAGTTCAAGATTTAGATGATTATACTATCGTTTTTCAAAAAATTTCCTCACCAAAAACAGGGTAAAAAATACATGAATAGGCATAAACATAACCCGGATTTTCAGAGCATTCTAACTTTCCTCAAAAACCTTGCCGGATTCTTTTTAACGCACAGAAGTTTTTGATGACCAAAAAATCTCTTCGCTTTGATAAGCCCATGCGCCTTTAAAAAAAACTGGGAGAGATTATCAAGCAGATCATAAGTTTTCCGATTTTCATCGAAAATTTTTGAGCAAAGAGAAAAAAAAAGAAAGATATTCACTAAATACATTTTCATGAAAGATGTTCAAACTAACACGAGCAGACGACCAATCCAGACCTCGGTAAGGCTGAGTGGGCCAGCAGAATGGTTTGAAACAACGAATTGGTGATTCCAAACAAGACGACAGTTCTAACCAAAGTTTGAACAATCGCCTTGTGCTGCGTTGCGCGGTATATTGACGAGGCCCATTGGGATATCGGTACGACTCGAGGCTGAACCTTTCGATCAAAAACTGTTAGGAATAACTTCGGTATAGTCCGTTGCTCCCGGCTTGAGAGGGCTCTTCATCCACCTTACCTTTCTTCATCCACCTTTCATTATTATCACAATATCAAATCTTTTTTTCGATATTCAAAAAGGCATGACTTCTCTGCACCCTCTCGTCTCTTCCCAACTCTCTTATGTTGACATGCTCTTTTCATGCTTCTCTGACTTGGCAGGTGAGAGAACAGAGAGATGCAGAAACTCGAAAACTGTCAGGTTGCTGCGAATGGACTATACTTCTGATCAGATTTTTGTGGGGAGTAAGAAAAAAGTGCCGTTTCGAAACAAAATTATCACGGGGGAACTTTGTAAATTCGCTTTTCCCTGTTGTAGTCATATAACCCTTACTGAAAGGCAATGGAACATGTCTATCTGAGTGACGTGTCGCAGTCGCGATGCGGCTTTTGACGGGAAATGAATATTTAAAAACTCTTATTAAATTTATTTTCCGTTTCTGTTCAATTTCAAGTTCGAATATTGATTGAACGAATAAAAGCGTTAATGTTTCCATAGTGTAAAAACCAGATTCATTTTCAACACGTTGTTCGAAATTTGTAACAATACGTTGCAGCAGACTTACAAAACAGGTTCGATTTTAAAATTCTTGTTTTTTGCAAGAAGAGTAAATTTCTCGCCAAATGAATCAGTTCTGATTTTTCGAAATAATCATGGAACGGATAAATGATTACCCAGCAATAATTGGCGAACGAATTTCCGTAGGTGTACCGATATTCTCCACGTAAAAGCCGTTCGAACCAGTCGCCAAGCAATCCTCCTTCATTTTCGCCTTTCTCATTGAAATATTCAAAGTATAAGGTGCCGTTTTCGTGTTTCTGAAAAAGAGATTAAAATTTATGAAAAAATTAAAAAAACTTCAGAGTTTCAGGGAATAGATTAATTAATAAATCAATGAAATGAGATTATAATATTCTATAAATATCTTTAAAATTGGCCTGACTTCTTCTTTTCAACAAATAAAATGAGCCTTAATTTAACCTTCAAAAAAAACCTCGTTCCAAAAAGGCCCTTAATAGGAGAAGGAGTTAAAAGAATTCATAAATTTACGATTCAAAAAAATAACCAAAAATTTTGAATCGATTCAAGGAACGGAAAAGAAGAAAAAAAATTTCGGAAAGTTTGCTGTTGATTTTTTTGCTAGCAGTCCGCAGACACGTGATAACTCCCACGCAATTTTGCGGGTTTCGAAATTGTCGTGATATCGCAAAATTTTTTAAACTTTTTTTTTACTTCTACCGTTCGCTTTCAGATATCTGCATACCTCAATAAAACGTTAGCAAAATGTTCAAAGCTCGGGAAATCTAAAATCTTTAAAGAAATACAATTATTTCAGTTTGATTTTCAGATATTTACATTTTGATCTTCCCAATCAAAATTTCGAATTTTATTATTGAAAAAAATTAGATATCAACAAAAAAAGGCGGAATAAAGTCAAAAAAATAAGGACTTGAGAAAGGTCCTTCTTCTTCGACAGGGGAGAGATCTCAGAAGTTATCAAAAAGTTCGAAAAAGAACTTGTTGCTTTGAAAAGTGAGATGAAAGAGCATAGAAAAGACTTTTTACTTCAGAAGCTGGATCAAATCAAATTTTTGAACCAAACCTATTGCACACAAAAAAAAGAAATTCGAAAAACCTTATAATTATTAATAGCGAACTCGGTCTTTCTGCGTAAAGTAGTTCTCATCGAGTACATGCGGGAGGGCCGAGAAGTAGAAAGCGGCCAAGATGAGCAGGATCGAGAAGATTAGCGAGACTGTGCCCCAGACGGCGACGTCGACGTCGAGGTAGGCCGAGGAGGCCTCGTCCTCCGGCGACCGCCTCATCCGCCTTTCCCACCCGAATGAAAACCGTTTCGAGGGGAGGGGCCGACCGAAGGATGCCCTATTACTCGGACAAAGTGAAGGTTTTCTTCTCAGGAATATACGACAATGACGACTTCACTATGCGAGTCTCTGTTTTTTTTTTCATATTTGACTTGGCCTAGTTTCTAGGATAGTTCATAGTTTCTTCAGAAGTGTGAAGACAATGGCTTATAGTTACCGTATAGTCTGTGTGCCACGACTTGAAATTCCACCGAATGACATTCCGCTGTTCCGCTGCGTGCGTTCGCGAAGCGTCTCTCGAATCTAAGTCACGATTTCAATTGATTGTTAATGCTGTGGGAGCACATGAAAGTAGAGTACCTTAGAAAAAAAAAAAATTAATAACGTGACCAAGGTTGGCAAAACAGACTATAAGTCAAGTTAACAAGACACTGATAGAATGATGATACAGTAAGGATACCATTGACTCTTTCAATATTCAATGAAAAGGGGCCCTATTTTTTGGTTCGCCCTCTTCAGTTTGAACGGAAGTTCTTGAACCTTTGTCCGCAATACTTGAACTTTCACCACACGGTTTTTAAAATCAAATTGTATTCCTCACTTTATTTTTTGTAAATTCACCAAAAATTTCTAAGAAGCGCCAGATTAGGTTATTGAAATTTAGAAAATATTCTTTATGAAGAAAAATGGTTCAGCGTCGCAAAATGCTTCACTTTTTAGGATGTTTGGTGATTTTCTTGGAATCTGAAGGGTGCTTTCTCAGTAAATAAAACTTTCATAGATTGAGGTTTTCAGAATCTTCATATAGTACATCACAGAGTACACTGAGAAATTTCCATAAAACTCTGACCAAAAGGTTGAATCATCTTCCTTGTAGGCAACTCCAAACCATTCTTCTTATCATTTTCAATTTTCTATAAAGTGTTTTTTTTTTTCGGAAAACTTTTTCACAAACCAGTTTATTCGTATGTATATATGGCTCCCAGTTTTCCAGAACATTTTCTTTACAGTTTCATTTTCCAGCGGCGGCGGCACGAACCGGGAAATCCTTGTCGGCGAAATTTGAAAGGGCTTTGTCGCTGCCGCAGTTGTCCGGGAACGAGTAGACGTTGCTGTCCTGAAATTACAACATTGGAAAATATTTTGAACAAAAGAAATATATTCGAAAAACTCACAACTGGCGTCGAAGAGATGTCACCGCACATGACCTGGTAGCCAGAGCATACTGAAATGAGGAAATTTTTTTTTTAATTACTGGAAGTGAACGTATTTTAAAAACGCTCAGAATGATTGAATCATATTCATAATGAGGCTCTAGAAGTTATGTTCTTGGATTAACTTGAAAAAAAACAAACAAAAAAATTTTTGATAGTTTTTTTGATTTTTTTAAGTCATCATTGAGTTGGGTTTTGAGTTTCATAACCCAGAAAACTCAGTGTAAATAATTATTTTCGAACCTTTTGAAATCTCAAAAAAATCAATATTCATGGAAAAGGTATGATAAATAAACTCTCTAAAAATGTTCTGAAGAAAAAAAATTTTTAAAGTCGGAGGTTTTTAAGATGAAAATTTAAATTTTTTTTCCTTCACAATTTTCAATGGACATCTCTTTTATTTGAAAAAAAACTTTATAGGCCCCAATTGGATTTCAAAAATGATTAAAAACTTTGAAAAAATACCTCCATCCTGCCGGATGTACATGAAGCAGAATGGTGGGTCGCTGACGAGGCTATTCTTTTTGTGGACGTACTTCTGAGATTTAGAAAATTCTTATACTCTGACTAACTTTTATTGAAATCATTCTTTTAAAGTTGAAATAACAAGAAAAAACTCACCACAGCTGAAGCCAAGGCGACCAAAAGCAGGAGAATCGCGACGGTTCGGCTGGCCATTTCGGTTTTTGAATTGAAACTCAGTTCAAAATGAATTATTTCTACATCCCTTCCGCCCTTTTTATACGGTTCTAGTTCACAAAAACTTTGGTCGCAACAAAAGGATTGAAGGGAAAAAAAACGGATTAAAATTCTAAACCCAAAAAACAACATGATGTTCTTTTGTCGGCTGTTTATGTCATTACACTCTATTCCAATGATGTTCCGCGTTGATCTGATCAAAAGGGACTTTTTTTCTGATGTTTGGAATAGAAAAAATGGCATTGTTAGGATTTTTAGGCTTTCAGAAGGCGGAAGTTCTTCATGAATAAAAATAGGTCGGACGGACCTTCCGAGGGTCCATGAAGGCTGCTGGAAGACTCCATAAAAATGGTCCTTTCAGGGTGAAAAAGGTTCCTGTTTTGCTGCCTTTTTGCGTCATTTTCTCGGCCCTTATGCACCATTTTTGCTGCCTCTCTCTTTGTCCACCATTTCTAGAGCCATTAAAAGGCGAGGAAAAATGGAAGGCTCGATGAAGGGACTCTTTTTGGACCCTTTCTGCGGCCTTTTTTCAGCCTTTTTGCTGCCTTTCTGTTGCCTTTTTGCGACTTTTTTTGCCCGACTTTGCCCGAGAGATTAAAAACTTCCCTTTTTATTGGTTTATTTTGAAACTTTGTATCAATTCTTTACAACGAACTCCTCACATCTGGAATTTCGGACTAAATTTTTTTGATAGTGGGAAAAAAATTCTTTTTAATCGTAAGGCTTCTGAAAAACAATATTTGGGAATTCTGGAGCACGTAGTAACATTTTGAAAAAGTAAAAAAATTATGAGTTTGAATTTCAAGAAAATCAAAAAAATGAACTACATATTTGAAGAGATGCTCAGAAAAATTTAAATTTCAAAATCTTCTGATTCTTCAAAGTTTCACTTCAATCTTTCACACGTCTAGAACAAAAATGTTACTAATCATGATAAAAAAATAATTTATGAAAAAAACCTCATTTTCTAAAAAAATTTCGACGTGTCTTCTGGTCAATAATCACTGATCACTCTATCATACTGAAAAAAGTTCCAAAAGATTTCTTTCCATCAGATTCACCATAGAACGACCACTATAGTTGTATTTTCACTCCATTGAAAAAATATTATTCGTATACAGTTCGAATCGCATTTGCACTAGGTTAATCCAATAATGTTTCAATTTCCTGTCTGATCGAATTTTCGTGATGTTTGAAATAAACTTTTTCAGTTTTGAATGGGCTTAAAAGATGTTAAAATAATGTGTGAAGCCAAGAAAAAGTTCAAAAAAAAAGAAAAATGAATTGATTATTCAAAACCATTTTTTGAAAAAGTTAATACATTACGGTGCTTATTTTCGATTTTCTAATGGTCGAAGAATCATTTTGATGCCTTCAAAAGGCGAGAAAAAATTCACCTTTTTTTTGGCAGAAACTATATTTCAAACGTTTATTCTTTGTTCGGAATCAAATATAATTATAATGTAAAAAACAAAAATCTTTGAATTTAATAAACCGATGGCCTCGCTGATATGTTCCGTATATCAAAGTCGTCAGGGTACACGTCTGAAAAAAAATTCTTCCTCCTTTTTTTTCGAAATTTTCACCGCTAGCTTGACTTCAACTTTAAAAAAGAACCAATCTTCGGAATAATTAAAATAAAGCTAGCGGTGAATCAACTTTATTGACCTCTTTTCCGAAGTCGCTTGAAAAATGATTCATTTCCAATGTCCAACTTCAAGTTCCGCTCCAAAATAGTGAAAGTCACACACGCGGAAACGCTTAAAAATGACGCCAACACCATTTGAAACAGTAAAGAGAAGGCCGACGAGTAGATCATCACCAGGCCCGACATAAGCGCCTCAAAATAGAGTGTAGTTCCGTTTTCGGGTTTTTTTATGTTACGTAGTTTTCTCAGTATTTTCAGTATGATAATTTTTGAAGAAATAAGTTTTCCAAGCTGAAAAATCAGCTCAGAACAACAGAAGCCTTCCTGGTTTTATTTTTATTTTTTTCCGAACGATTTTCAAGGGACCTTTTTTATTTACTCATTTTACTGATTTTTTGATTACTGAATTAGGAAATGAAAAAAATCTGGCATTGTCTGGACCTACTGTCTGGAGTTACCCATGCTATTCTGTAATATTCACTTGAAATCTCCCAGGCCCCTTTACGTACAGGTATTGAAATATTATTTTTTCGCCACAGAACCTAAAAATAACCTGTAAAAATCGGCTAATAGCGAAAGCCGGTGTCTCGTTATGTGGATAAGCATCGCAAACGAAAGCGAGGGTCTGTTGGAACCAAATGATATCAGCGATCCCCAGAAGGAATCCGATGAAAACGACGAGGTAAATTCTGAAAACGGGTTTTCAAATTTGAATAATACATAATAAGAAGAGGCTTTTTTGCGACTTGAAAGCACACGGCCACACTAAGAAGGCTAGAACTTTCTATATTGCACCCGACTCAAAACTACTTACGCCTGGAGGATCAAAAAGCATTGCAGGAAGCGTCGCATCCAAATCAAATTTGAGTAAAAATTGAAAAAGAAGCTGCCAGGTTTTTTTTCTGACTTGAAAGCCCAAGGGCGCAATTAGAAAGGCTAGAAATTTTTCAACTTGCACCCGAAACTACTGACGCCCTGGAGGATCGAAAAGCATTGCAAATTGCTTTACATCCAGATTTTTAACAAAAATCCGACCGTAACGCTTTGAACCATTCCAAACGCGGTCAAAATTTTAAGAAACCCACGTAGGCGTGATAACCGTATCAGTACTGTCCGTAGGATGCAGGGAAGATTCTTTCGGCGAACTCAAATAGATCAAAGTGAAGCAAACGAGGTGAATCGTCATTCCAAGGTACAAAATCGTTTTTCGGCCAACTTTGTGGATATGTTTCCCGTAGGCTGTTACAATTGTCGCAGCTGGAACTAGAAATTTAATAGTTTAAAAATTTAAAATCTCACCGACAACAGCGCCAATACCAATGAATATACTAACAAGAGGGACGGCGGTCTTGAAATCTTTGATAAGTGATCGAGTGAAGGACAAAATCGTGGGGTAGACAACTGCAAAAAAGGGAATTTTCTCCGTTTTTTTGGATCTTCAGTTATCCATATATGAAGCTTTTTAATCTCTTTTTCTAACAAAGAGGAGGGGTTTTTTTTTTCAAGTCTGTTCAATTTTTCACACCGGAAGAAAATTTCCAGAGTATTGTCCAACATAAAGGATTTTCAACAAGACATGCCCTCTAAATTTAAAACTTGTTTTAACCAATTCGCTTATACAAAAAAATGTCAGCTTTTTTACGGTATTTTTCTATCGTAACCCCAAAAGTGGGCGGAGCTTGTCGAAACCCGATGCTAAAGTTTAGAAGGTTTTCTGGTATCTGTAACATCAATACCAGGTTCCAGGAGCGTGCGTACCAGTTGATCGACTTTCTCGGACAATTAATTAAAAATTAAAAGTTCAACTTTAAAGAATCCTATCAGAAATCCGAGCTAGAGATTTAAAAAATCTTCAAACTCACTCATCCAAAATCCGATTTGAAGGCCATTGAAAGCAAAAGAAACGCATAAAAGTAGCATATTTGGAGTGGTTATCAAAATTTCCACATCTTCTGTAAATATTTCAAAATTCATGATCATAGACTTTTTTCCTTACTCAAAACTCTCAAGTAGCTTCTCTCCTTTGAGTCGGCTTCACTACTCGAAGGAATAAAGGCGAATAGGATCGCCGAGACCAAACTACACAGAGAAAACGCGCCAAACATCAATTTGACCTTAAAGAAATGTTCGAAAAAATTTATAAGAGTCATAGTGTTCATATTCATGGTCATAAACCCTTTTTTTTTTAGATATTCTTAAAGGCTTGAAGCTTTTCATAACCTACAGTAGCACAGAGAACGTCGTATCGCTTTGAGACCTTTTTAGAAAATTGTCCAATGATCCTTTAAAGTTTTTGAACATTATTTACAAATTCTTACCGTAAAAGGAGAGAAAAGGTCATGATAAGCGGTTGAACTGAAGACTATGAAAACGAAGAAAGCACCGACGATTAAACTGAAAAAAAAAGATGGGATTTGAAAAATAGACATATCAATACATTTTAGAGGTTATTAAGTCTGTTTACATCTATGTTGAAACTTGGAATTTTATAGAAAAACGATGGATTTTTTGATTTTGACTTCATAAAAGGAAAAAAGGGGACAATATGAAACTGGGAGTTCTGGGAATTTTTTCAAAACGGAAATCTCCTGAATTTTCGAGATTATTTTGAAGCTTTTTCGGTGAGGGATTCTTCTTGAGTTTAAATTATTTATTGTTAAAAAAAAAGAAACTCACGCCATTTGTGCGAAACCTAACGTTATCGCGCTGTTCCTATCAACGTTATTTTTTTCGCTATTCTGAGCAATATATGTTCCATGGCCAGTCCATAGAACTGAAAATGAAATAATTACATTTTTCGAAATTTTATGAGTCCGCAAAGTCCGAAAGGTTTTTTCAAACCTCAGCAAGTCCATTAAAAAGACTGAAAGTTCTTTAAAATCCTAAGAAAGGGAAGATAATTTTTTGCACTTTTCATAGTACTTTTCGACCCTATCGATTAATTGGTCTTATTCTAGTTCCTTCCGGATTTCGCCAATTTTATAGTATTTTCTTCTTACTTGCAGCTGAGAAGCCGAGAACGACGCTCATAATGTACAGAAGTAATTCGTGAACTAGAAGGAATGTTCCCTGAAAAAGACGATTTCTAATCTGCTTCTGAAATAAAAAATTTATAACAGACGGTAATTTATGGATTTTTTCGAAATTTTTCCGAAAGTATAGTCCGTTTTTCGCCACTTGAAACTGCTGTTTTTCTCTGCGCCCTCCTTATCTCACGCCGTCCATCTCTTTTTCACGTGCTATTTCACTGTTTCTCTGAGCTCGCCGGTGAGAGAACAGAGAGACGCAGACAGGCAAAAAATGTCAAGTGACGGAGACGTTTTCATTTCTAGAATACAAATGACAAAAACCTGTCAAATTTCACAGCGAAAATTCGCGGTTTTTCGAAGAGAGCTTCAAAAATTACATAATAAGCTGCATAGCCCAATGAAGCGAGACACATTGCCCATTTTGGCCGAAGGACGTCGACCAACGGAGTCGCGAAAATCGTTCCCAAGGTGAACATTGCGTACATTATCGCCAAACTGTCAAAAAACGTTTGGTACAAAAAATATTGGGCAAAAGAGATGATGTCACTTTGGGGTGGGGAATTTCTCAAAGATTGGCCAGAGCACTCCTTGATGTACCAGATAAAAATTCTGAAAGTCTCAACCGGCTATACTTTCTTGTTATTAAAAAACCCCCTAGAAGGCTGGTAAATTTGGTTTTTCCTTAAACATGAACCCTCATTCTTAGAAAACTAGAAGTTTGCAGGTTGAGACTTTCAGAATCTTCTTCTGGTACATCAAGGAGCTTCCTCTCCAATTTTCAGGAAAATTCGAAAAAAAAAGGTCAAAAGAAGTCCTGAAATTGAAATTCTGCTCATTTCGACGCAATTCACGAAAAAAAAACCTGTAATAACCGGCGTGTGGATTGATATTAGAAATATTCGACATTCCATGGATCGAGGGTTCAGTGACGAAGGCTGGAAAAGTCAGAATACCTTTCAAAACCAAAAAAAAACAACCTGCCGTATTCAGCGCAATAGACACGCAGAAGAAGCTGAATCCCATGAAAACCACATTTTTCGTAGATTGATTCATTTTTGGAAGCTTTTTGAAAGAAGATAGCATTTTAAAAAGGTGAATGAAATGTCTCTCAGGACAATTTTCGACAAAAGAGGCAGAAATAGAATTAGTAAACACCTTATTTAGATGACCATCTTGTTGTTTTTCCAACAGGAATGCGAAAAAAAATTGATGTTGAACGAAATTGACGTACATGGCGAGACTGTAAACACAAAAAAAAAATGAAAATGTTCTTCTTGAAGTTGAAATTCGGAAGAGAAATGAATGTTTACTTGAGCTTCTTGAAAAAGATTTGGTCAAAAAATAGCCCCTTTTGGAAAGAAAGTTCAGCTCCATTTTCAAAGGAATATCTGAAAAAGACCGACTTTACTAAATTTTACGACCTTGCTCGTTCCCAGAAGGTTTCTACGCTGCAAAAAGAGCTTGTTTTTCTCTTTTTTTTCATTTTATCGTGCATTATAAGGAGAAAAAGTGTAAAAAAAAAGTCAAAAGTCACAGAGAAGATGTGATGAAGGTAGTCCTTTCCGTCCAAACGAAAGTGGAAAAGGCTTTTCCGAAAGCGTTTTTACTTATTTTAGAGAAAAGGCTTTTGTCATTTGAAGTCCAAACCGTTCTGTGATTTTGCCCGGAAGTTGGATGGAGGTATAGATAAAGATTCTTTATATTCGCTACCTGGGTAATATTCCAATTTTCCAGATGTCAAAGTTACGTTTTTGGTCGATTCTGCCCAAACTTTGAAAAACCTATTCGAGCTGCGCAGTAGCGACCTCTTCATCTTTATCCAAGCCTTCGAAAAAATCATAAAATATTGAAAATTAACTGTTGTGGCCAGAGTTCAAACAATAAACTTCCAAGTGAATGTTTATCAAAAATCAGATAGAATTCTTTAAAACTAACGTGGAATTCTCTCAGCATCTCAGCTCATTTCTCTACCTACTCTCCATTGAGTATGGACAGCAACTTTTTCGTTCTTACTTGTGATTTTCAATCTTGTTTCTAACTTCTCGTGAGCTTCCAGGCAAATTATGCGTGGTCTTCTATTTCATGGTTTACTGGATTGGAATGTGTTGCTGCTGCCGGAAAAAAGCGGATAAGAATTCGAAAATAGTTGTGAGTATTTTCCTATAAAGCTATAAGAGCTGGATCCTGACTTTCTGAACTCTACGCCTAAACAAAAGTATTTTTCAGTTATTGGATCCTAAGAAACCGAAACAACCAGCAAGAAAGCCGTGGGAGTCTCCATGGATAGGAGATGATAAGAATCGGATGGCAAATCCATATGTCCTCGGTCAAAAGAATTCAAAGTCACAAATGTCAATCCAACCGGCCTCGGAAAACAATCTGGTGAACTTTATGTTTTCCTTTACCTATCAAAAAAGCTCAATTTTCCGATTTTCTTCTGGGCTCACATTCAGGAAAAAACTTCTTCTTTTTTAGCAAATAACATACGAAGATAAGCTGAAATCTCTGAGTAAAAAGGACCGGACAAGAACAGAGGATGATGGGCTGAGACGAAGCGAAATGTCTGTTTTATAGAAAAGATAAGTTGAAGAAGAAAATTTCAGGAACAGATCAATGAAATCAGTAGTTTACGATCCGGAAAAGTTCAAAAAGTTGGACAACACGATGACGGAGGAGTCACGTGAGTTGAAGACGAAATTATGATAAGTCAGAAAAAAAGTTTTAAAAAAATAATCAATTATTAAGTTTTTCTTCAAGCACATTTCTAAGCTAGGGACCGCAGACGAATTTTCAAAAAAAATTTTTCAGCATTGAGCTTTGTATGGTTTGATAGCTGTTTCGATTCAAAACTCAGAACCGTCATAATAGAGTGCTAAAATGATGAAAATTAGCTAGTTTGCCGAAAAAGTCGGTATTTTCCAGAAAACAAAAAACTGACGCTTGCGGGCATCGAACTCGCGACCTCAAAATGAAAAATCGCAGCGCACGCGCTGCGCCAAGCTGTTAGGTCTAGCGAGGGAAGCTTCCATTCGCCATACCCTTGAGCCGTTTGAATAGCCCAGATTGTCTATTTCAAAAAAGAAAAAAACTTGAAGTAATTAAGCTATTTTTTTATCAGAATATGTTCGCAAATCTTTACTCAAACGTTTCGTGGAAATTCACTTCGAAAAAAACTGTTTTTTTCAGTGCTTTTTTTGCCTCTTTTTAACGACCGCTACATTAAAACGGTCCCGTATATTTTTCGGCAAAGACGAATTTTTTTATTTTATTCTTTTTAATTGAAAGATTTTTTTACTAATAAACGTTTATAATCGTTTGAAAAAAACCTGCGTTCGACCGCTTTCTGTGTGATAAACGCCGCTAATTTTATTCTCTAGTTTCAAGAGCATTTTTGCGTATCAAACAACTTTTTCAAGCACATATGCTGTGGAGAAAAAAATTTAAGTGAGCCCATGGTCTAAATTCTGAAGAAACAAATACTCGATTATATTCGCTTATTAACGATATTTTGAATTATGACTTTCGGCACTCCCTAAAATTTTTGGCAAAGACGAATTCTTTGTTTTATTGTTTTAAAATTACCGTTACTTGAATCAAAATCATTACTTAAAAAAGAAAGAGTGCGTTCGACCTGAAAACACATGAAAAAGCAAAAAACGACAAAATTTTTTAGTCCCATTCACGTTTTTGTACGACATTCCGCGCGAACGCATCAAAAAAGCGTGAAATATTTTTTAAACGAAAGAGGAAGCTTTTTTGTACATGTGTGCCAAAATTTATTATCCAGTTCCACATATTTTGCAACTACAGCAAAATGAAAGTTGAAAACCAAAAAAAAGCCACTTTTTCTATCGCGAAAAGGGGCGTGGCTTTGCGGTCCCTATTCTAAGCAATTATTGTTTGATAACTACTATTTTCCTATTCAATGATTTTTGCTAGACTTTGAAATATGTATAGAGGAATTTCGTGAAAATCTCGACACGAAAAACCATTTCGGCTGAAAGTCGAGACTTTTGCGTCTTTGATATTTTCCGTTTTTTTTTCTTAAATAATTGTTATACTTTTTAACAGAAATAATGAGTCACACAAACTTGAGTAGAACTCGCTTTGGAACTACTTTCTCCACTTCACGAAACCCAAAATAGTCAAAATTTTTAGCCGCTGTACACGACCGAGCAATGAAAGCAGCTGCTGACGGATTGATTCTAGATCCACGAGCCGTTAAATATCAAGGAAACATCGATGCTGAGGTCTTTTTCTTCGAATATTTTTCGATTAGTAAGGAAAAAGGTTCTGATAAGACTTGTGCGTGAAGCTTTTTTCGACTTGTGCGTGAAGCTTTTTTCAAAATTTAATGGAAAAATGTTTCAATAAAAGAAACTTTGATTACAAAATAGGTCTTTTATGAATATTCATTGAAAGTTTGAAGCTTTATGTTCATTTAAAAATATTAAAAATACAAATTTCCAGTTGCGTCCTTCTACAACAGATATACTTGCTGAGTTAGCCGCAGCCGCTAATGACAAATCAAAGTCTGACGCCAAAAAGAAGACGACCGAGAAGGTTGAGAAGGTTCAAAAATATCCGATCAAACACAATTTTAGGTGACCATCAATGAGAAGAAGTGCGTGTTGTACGAAACGAATGACATCGAAACGGAAGAAGTTGATCAAAACGATCTCAAAATTTGACAAAAAAATAAATTTTTTTACAAAGGAGGTGTACGATTCTTACAAGATTTAGAATTTTTTTAATCTCGAAAGCACCTGGTTAAAAAAAAAGAAAAACTAGACGAGCACAAAAAAATTACGAAGAGGTTTTTTTACTCACTTGTAATTCACGTATTTAGTTAAACATGAGCGCTTTTTTTCAAAAAAATGAACACCATTTTAATGTTGTATAACTAATAAAAATTCAATAATTTCGAGAATTGGACTTGGAAAATGAAATAATTAACTTGAGAAAAACTGAGAAACTGTGCGGCAAAGTCGCTCTATGGTCATTGAGCAAATTGCTTGAATGATTTCCAGATTTATCCTTTTTTTTCTTCGAGCAGTTCTTTTTTATCTTTTTATATCAATATTTTATCGTTCCTGTTGTATTTAAACTCTCCAACCTTACAACTTTCTTTACAAACAAACTAAGAATGTTTCTCCGCGTTTTCATTGGAAAAACTGCTTCATTTTACCAAGTTCAATGTTTGGTGTTCTCTTGTTTTTCTCATTTCAACATTAAAAAGTATATTTCATTGTCATCCGTGCATAGCCACCTCGTCATTTGTGAAGAAAATAATATCTATTTCAAAGTTTTCAGTTTAGTAAGACTCCTCAAGCGGTTTGAAGGAGTCTTGGCTGACGTTTTTGCAATCAGCTACTAGTGACGGAGCGATTCCTGGAAAAATATTTTGAGGTTTTTCGTACGAAAAATGGAAAACAACGAACCTTGTGGTCTTAAATCACCGAAGAAAATGGATTTATAGCCAGTTTGCGTTCGAATATTTCTTTGTAAAACTCCGAAAGTAATACAGGCAGTCAAGCTTAAGCTTGCCGCTATCATCATCTGATAGTCGAGAGTGATTTTTGAAGAGTAGAACATCACCGTTCCTGACATACCCGCCTGTAAATTTTCTTCGTTATACTATTTTCAAAGTTGTTTTCCAATTTAGAAATTTTTTTCTGAAGTTTTTTTAGAAGCGAAGAAGTTTTTTTCGTGTTTTTTTGGTTCATGTAAGACTTCTGCGCCTCTAAAAACCTTCTTTGAAACTCCAGAGTGATCTTTATAGGGGCAACTTCTGGGGCCACTTTACCAACCCTTATAGGGGCCACTGAAACTTGCAAAAGTGGCTCCTATAGAAGACATGCTAGCCGATGACTTTTATGAACTCTATGAGAAGAAGCATTTTTATGCAAAAATTAAATAAGCGTTTTTTTAAATAAAGCGGAAAGGCCCCCATAGGGGCCACTTTGATTTTACCCCTATAGGGACCTAATAGCGGCTGTTTTTCCCCTAACCCCTATAGGGACCGCTCTGGAGTTCTTAAGCAGGTATTTGGTTGGAATTGATGGTTTTTTCCACTAAATACCTGCAACATCAAAGTAAAGTAAAGTATCAAATACCTGCAAAAATCGACTGAGAGCAAAAGCTGGCGTTTCCTGGTGCGGATAGGCGTCGCAGACGAAGGCCATCGTCTGTTGGTACCAGAAAATGTCGGCCACGCCGAGTAAGAAAGCGATAAATACAACTAGAGGCATTCTGAAGCAATTTAATGATAAGTTGAGTTTTTTTCGTTTTTCATGTAGCTTTCTCACGAGGGAACCTCTTTTTTTTGACTAGGGACACTAAAACTTGAAAATTATCTCAATCAATTCTGTTAATTTTCTAAGGATTAAAAAAAACTAACGTTGGGGTAATGTAGGTATCCGTACTGTGGGTCGGACGAAGGGTAGCTTCACTCGGCAGAGAAAGGAAAATCAGGGCGAAGCACACCAAATGAATCGCCATTCCCGTGTAGAACATGGACAGCCGGCCGATTTTCTGGATTCTCGCACCCAGAAACGTAAAGGCGAGTGCCGCTGTAATGATGATCCAATTTATATATTTTTTAATTAATCAGAAGATTTTTCATTATTTTTATTTTCAATGGATCAATACTATCCTCCCGAAGAAGGTTGTTGAAAGGTTCTAACAAGATTCCAAAACGATCAAATTTCAGTCCTCTTTAAATTTTTCATCGAATTTTCAAAGATCGGAGCTTTTCCTTAACATTTTTCATGAGAACCTGGCTCACATTTTGAAACAGCAGAACAAAAACTGACCCACAACTTCCCCGACACCCGTCGACATACTGACCAGAGCTATCACGGTTTTCGTGTCCCTCACCAAAGTCTTCGTGAAAGTAATCGCTGTAGGGTATACAACTGCAAATTTCAAATCCTTCTTTTGAATAAATAAAATAATCCTTACTCATCCAAAAGCCGATTTGGAGTCCATTATAAGCGAAAGAAACGCACAAAAGGAGCATATTCGGCGTCGTGAACAGCTTGAACATGTCGCCTTGAAAAAATTTGGTTTATTTTCCGTTTCATTGGAAGGAGAAACCCAAAATGGTGATGTAGCCTTTTTTCTTGCATTCAGCTTCCTTGCTCGTCGGCATGAAAGCGAAAAGAATGGCAGAAAGAAATGAACAAGCTCCAAAAGTTGTGAACAGAATTTTGGACTGGAACAACAGTTTGGTTATAGAATAATTAGTAAAATACTTATTCCTATCATCGGAATGATAATTAAAAAATACTTTTACCTGTTCTGAGGCGAATAAATTGTCATGACTGCTGTTACTGATTAGGATGTACATGAAAGCACCGCCAAAAATGAGACTGAAAATTGAAAAAAGTTTTGAAGAAACTTTCAAAAAGATGTTGGTCTATCCTATGGAAACATATAAAGTCGAAAAACTTTTTTTTTTCCTTTTTCAACTTGCTCATTTGATTTTCTGAAAATTGAAACTTACGCGGTTTGTCCGAACACCAGAACGATGCTACTGTTTCTGTCAACTGTTTTGACGTTACTGTTTTGAGCAACGTAGGTCCCTTGGCCCGTCCAGAGCACTGAAAACAATATTTTTACAACAATGAAGTATCTCTGAACTTTTCTGTGAAGTATATTTCAAAAAAGGCTTATTTAATGCCTCCTATATAGCTTATTCACGGCTGGCTTGAGCCATCGAAAAAAGGGTCCTGACACGATAATGCACGAGATAGCGCCTGGCTCGTGGAGAGCGCAGACAGGACAAGCCCCTTTAGCGTCCCAAGCTTGCCGTGAATCAGCTATAGCTACACTGCGACCCATAATTATAGACCCACCCTAATTTCTCCGATTTCAAGAAAGATTGAAAAACTTTCAGCCACCAAACTTTTTTTGTGATAAACCTTGTTGATAAGGAACATAATCATAATATAATCATCAATCACCCAGTTGAAAAAGTTTTTTTCAAGATACGAGAAAAATCTGATTTTTTTAACCGACCCAGAATTATAGACCCACTATAAGTAATCAACAAAAATTCATTTCACAAAGTCAACAAAGTATAACAAAAAAAGATTAATTAATAATGTGTGATGCCTCCTTGTTTTTAAGCGACTTCGAAAATCCTGTTCGGCATGCTGCCAACGAGTGATTGCAGCAGTGACTTGTCCAAACCATCCCACTCGGCTCGAATCGCTCTTTTCAGACCGTTGACCGTTGTATACTGCTTGGCATTCGCGTAGACCCTTCGTACCAGGACTGACCATAAATTCTCTACAGGGTTGAGGTCAGGACTGCACGCGGGCCAGTCCAGAAGAACCACGTTCTTGGCCGCAAACCAAGCCAATGTGGAGTTGCTCGCGTGAACAGATGCATTGTCTTGTTGGTAAATCATATTAGCACGTCGTCGGCGACGGAGAGAGGGCAGGAGATGCTGGGCAAGCAGTTGCTGGTAGTCTTGCGAATTCGTTCTGGTCCCAAAAAAAGAAAGAGCTACCGTCCCGTTGCCGCAGAAAGCCGCCCAGACCATGAGGCTGCCGCCGCCGAAGTTTCTCTTGGAGAAGTACATCGGATCTTTCCTCAAATCTCTCCAGTAGTGAGCGTACCCATCTGGCCCATCAAGGTTGAATTTCTTCTCGTCGCTGAAGATGATCTGAACAGAAAAATTGGGAATCATAAGGTGATAGAAAACATTGATACCTTATTCCAATCCGTGGCCATGTTAGAGCGTGCAAACTGGAGCCGTTCATTCTTATGGCGTTGCTGTAGACGAGGTGCTGCCTTCATTGGAGTATTCACAAGTCGACCGGACCGATGAATTGTTCGTAAGATGGTGTCCTTCGAGACGTTTTCAGGAATTTCGGATCTGATTTGGTTGGCGGACATCGTAGAGTTTGATGCTTTTCGACAGACGTCTCGTTCAGCTTGAACCGATAGCAGCCTGTGCCGTCCAGAATGTATTGCTGTGCCGTATTCTTGCGGATTCCTTGCATAACGGTCAATAGTTCGTCTTGAGCGACCCGTCTGACGAGCGATTTCCCGATGGGACAAGCCGTTGTTGAGTAGAGCATCGATTACCGCTTTTTCGGTATTATCAAGTTGAGTAGATTTAGGCATTATGGCTTATAGTGATACACGAGGACTTTTTCTCTTATATACCACTAAAAAAAACAGGATAAACGTGTTACCTGAAACGAAAACTCGGAGAACTCTGGGGTGGGTCTATAATTCTGGGTCGGTCAAAAATCAGATTTTCTCGTATCTTGAAAAACTTTTCAACTGGGTGATTGATAATTATGATATGATTATGTTCCTTATCAACAAGGTTTATCACAAAAAAAGTTTGGTGGCTCAAAGTTTTTCAATCTTTCTTAAAATCGGAGAAATTAGGGTGGGTCTATAATTATGGGTCGCAGTGTATAGAATTTGAAAAAAATTCGATCAGACTTACAGGCCGAACATGCGCCTAGAATGACGCCGTCAAGGTATAAAAGCATTTCGTTCACCCACATGATAGAGCCCTGAAAAAAATTTTTTTTGAAAAGTTATAGATCTGAAGTCATTTTTATATGAAACAAGATCGAATATTATAATTTCAAAAAATCCCACATAGAAAATGGAATATCCAACGGCCGCGAGGAACAATGCCCATTTCGGCTGTAAAATATCGACCAAAGGCGTCGCCACGATCGTACTGACCGTGTAGGTTGCGTACATCACCGACATACTCAAAACATTGAGGATTTTCTAGTTTCTATTGGAAAAACCAACCAGTAATAGCCAGCATGAGGGTTGATGCCGGTGGAGTTCGAGGAAGCTTCCACGGCCGGTTCAATGATGAAAGCTGAAATTTCTTGATTATTTTGAGATTCTTTGAAAATCCAACATGTTTCTAATTTTTATTGGTCCTTTTCATTCTTTTCTAGTTTCAGAATTCATCAAAATTGAAGAAAAATATTTTTTGGATATCTTTTCAAAAAATCGAAAAAAACACATATTCTAAACTGGACCTCTTTTTAAAAATTATAATTTTTTCTAGAACTATAGATTCCATTAAAAAATGATTCAAAGCTTCATAATCTCACCGGCCGTGTTCAAAGCGATGCCGACGGAGAAGAAACTGATGCCGAGAAATATAATATTCCTTGTAGACGAGTCGATTTGATACATGATTCTACGACGAGGGTCAAAAAGCGAGAGAAGAATGAACCAAGCAACCAAAAAAAGCAGAAGATTGCGTCGACAGACCAATCGATCTTCAGGAGGTGGAGCCTTGGTGATCTTTCTCTCAGGGCAAAACGAATGGTTTCCTCCCCTGTTCTCTGATGACCCTTCCGGTCCAAGTTACCTGGAACCATCTCGTTGAATCGATTAATTGTTTCGAAAAATCGTATCACTCGGAAAAAGTTCGATGGAAAGTCAAAAGGTTCATGTGATTCGGTTGGAATATTCTGGTCGCATGTGGAATGGCTCAAGGACGGTTTCCGAGAATTTTCACAAAACAACTAAAAATTGTCAGAAAGTTCATACCAACCAGCCGCCACTTGTAGAGCCATTCCAAGTGCGGCCATTACTTTTCAGTCAAGAATATAGAAACTGTGTTGAATTTTCTTCTCGTCCACAAAAAGTTCGGATTAGAGCAGAACGATACAGTAACCTTGGCCAATTTGTAAAAGGCAAGTGAACAGACTATCAACCTTTTTTATCCAGTTTCAATCTACAGAAATCAGATTTGAGATTCTCAATTAGAAAAAGTGATTAGAACTTGTTGAAAAGAACTTTCAGCGTTTCTCTGACGAAAATTAATCAACTGGTTCAAAGAATTCTCCACCAAGTTCGATTTTCAACCTTTTCTCTCAGATCAAACAGTGAAATTTGCCGGATTCCTTTCGATTTTCAGTTTCTCAATATGTCTGTCTTTCCAGTTTTGAAATGAGTGTAACATTCCGAACAACAACGGCTATCACTTTGATCTTTCAGAAATTGAAATAACATTCAGAAGATTATTAAAAAAACTCGTTTTTTTGAGAGTTTTTGATCATCAAAATTGTAAAAAAATTTTTCAAAAAAATTTGAAAGGAAGCGAGGCAAAATGATAAGAATTTTAAAAAACTCGAATCTTGAAGTTGCCCACTGAAAGTCCAGGTCGTTCACCTTTGAAAACTAAAGAAAACCGAAAAATGAATCAACAAACAAAATTTTCTTATTTGTAGGAACTTTCACTGATTTTATATGGAAAAGATGATAATTAAAGTAACAATTGTCACGTGGCGTTTACCATTTCAACGATATTTTCTTCGCTTTTTTTTCTGCTACTCTGAACCGGTTCCAGCTGCACAATGACAATGTGACAATTTTTTTGATCGTATCACTTGATGGTCTCATTTTTCGGTTCCTTGTTCAAACTTACGCTGATGTCGGCACTCAGAAAGTAATAAATAAACATCAAAAAGTTTTTAGAACGTCTTTTGGAAGTTTCGGTGATTCGAATTTTTAAAGATCATGATTTAATGAAGCATTGATTCCTGAAGTTCGAAAGAAATAACTGAAGAGCCGAAAAAAATTTCAATTGGAAGACAATCGAATAAAAATTTAATGACCACCTTCTTCCGTAAATTCAAAATTTAACTTATCCCACAAAAAAATTTTTTTGAATGAATAGAAATAATTGATCGAATAATAATATCCATAAAAGGGACTACAAAAAAATTTTTTGAACTTGCGCCAAAAAGTGCCTCAATCGCGCAAATTAAAAATGAAGAAATTTCTCAAATCTATTTATACAAATTTTGACATTTCCCGGTGATCAAAATCTTAAAAATATTCAGAAAATATTTTATAAAGTTTCAAATCATGAAGGTAAAAAACATCTCATAGCCAAAATTGGTTGTTAATCAGAAATCAACGAATTTTACCGGTATAAGAATAACAGCAGAACCACAATTGTCACGTGGGGTTGACTATTTGAAAGAGTTTCGCTCATTTGTCAAATATCGAACCGGTTTCCACAATACAGTGACAATCCGACAATTTTTTGATAGCATCACTTGATGGCCCCATTTTTCGGTCTATTGTTCAATTTGGAACTGATAACGTAAAGGTTTTCATGTGCGCAAAAGGACAGCCGCACTCTCGCCGCCTCATTGGCTCAGTGGCAGAGCGTCTGTCTAGTAAACAGAAGGTCGCTGGTTCGATTCCAGCATGAGGCACCGGAAACTTTTTTGGTATTTTTTTTGCGTAAAAGGCAGAACTGTAAGGATAGAATCAGGTCTTTATCAATGTTAGTGGGAGAAGATTGATGTTTGTCCGACTTTTTGTCTTTGGTTCTTTGCGGACAAAATGTAGGAGAAACAGGCGGCAACGCTGAAGACGGCGGCGATCGTCATCTGATACGGTAGCGTCACAAGCGACGCGTAAGAAATAACACCACACGTCATTGCTGCCTGAACTTAAATGTAGTAAAATATGAGTTTCGAGCTATCAATGTCATTTTTAGAACTTTTCGTCAACGAAAATTAACTTGAAAATCTACGAAATTCATTATTTTTAAGAAAAACGGGGAAATTTTCATCGTTGCGCCAGGATGGCCAAAGCATAAAGCTGCTTAACTCAATATGTTTTTTCACCAAGACAAAATTTCATGTCCAAAAATTAAAAAATCGATCAAAATCGAAAGCTTTGGCGTCGCTGAGTGATATGAGAGTTGCGCAAGAAAAGAAAACCGAGAGAAAATGAGAGAAAAGAAATAAAAAGTCTTTAGATTGATTTTTTAAATTTTTTTTTTAACCTGGGGAGTTTCAAGTAGACCTTTCAACATGTTAAGGCTTAACAGTTAAGCTCTACAAGGCGGAGTAACTCAACTCTCAAAAATCACCTGCATAAAGCGGCTCAGAGCAAAAGCTTCAGTCTCCTGATGTGGATAAGCGTTACAAATCAAGGCTGTGATCTGTTGGAACCAAACTACGTGGACAACTCCCAACAAGAAGCCGATTCCAACAACGAAAACGACGCTGAAAACTATCAATAACTGTGTTAAATCGTGGCAAAAAAAACCTGGGAGTGATGAAAGTGTCTGAACTCGAAGTTGAACCCAGAGGAGCATCCGCCGGTAAAAGAAAATATATGAAAGCAAAACAGAACAAGTGAATTGCGGTTCCGATTATTAGAATTATGTTTCTTCCAATTTTCTCCACCAAGTCGCCGAGAAGCGTGAATGTGAGAGCGGCTGAAAGCTTTGACTTGTGAAGTTTTTTTCAAAATTCTTAAACTTGAAAATACATCATAAATCTTCGGTTGTAATTGGAAAATTATAGGAAGTTGCTTTTTTTTTACAAAATTTTACTGTATAAAATATTTCTGAACTTTCTCGTCGCAGTGTGCGGCGTGCTTGCATACTTGTTTACGGAGTGACGTCATCCTTTTCAAGTTTCCTGTTTTCCATTTTTATTTGAAATTTTCAATTTATTCTTTTCTGAATTTGTTTTTTGTACTTCTTGAAGTTTTTGAGACTTCGAGGTTTATATATAACAAAAAAATATCTTTAAAAAAATAATCCGATTTTTTTCGGTATTGCACACCCAAAATCAAAAATTTATCTTTCTTGTTTTCTCTCCGTGTTTCTCTCATTTTTTCTTTTTTTTTCAGAATGGCGAGTGACGTAGAAGTCGTTCAAAATGTTCTTAAAGATCTGATTGGTCACGTCTGTGAAGAAGTCGACTATATATCGGTATTTCCTCATTTATAATTTTTAAATTTCAATATTTTCAAGGATGATGAAAATAGTTTTTACGAATGGGATTTCCATGAACTTGTCGAAACGGGTACTCTTCCACCTGACGAATTGTACAGGTTTCTTTTTTATTGTTTTGAACTTTGCTACGAATTGTAATTCAAGGGTTCTGGAAGACTACTATCTCACCACGGATCATCATTATCACTGGAAGAGAACGCCGTTGACTGCGGATTCTCCCCCTGAGGGGTAGGAAATATATATAGAAAACTCCAAAAAGTTTTCAAATTTTAGTGCTTATTCGAGGCTCGGGAATGCTCGATTCAGCGTGCACCATTCATTTTACACTCCGAGTTATTTGCGCGTTGGAGATGGAAAAAAATTGTCTGCCGGTTATTGATTATTACAGTATTTCGTTATTATGATTTTTTTAAGATGCAATGATCATCGATGCAAATCGACACTTTGCATTAAGGATGGAAATTATGAGGTTTTCGGGGAATGCAATCATCTTTGTTGGCCGGAACACGACGCGGTATGTTTTTAAGAAGAAAAAAATAGTTTTTCATTATTTATTTAAGATTTCTTTTTTTAGACTTAGCCTCAATTTTGAATTTCAGGCTTAAATAAGACTTTATAAACTTCGGAGAACAACCCGTGACTAAAAAAATACGATAATTATGAAAAATTTCAAATAATTTTTTCGGAAGTGCGCCAATGATGAGAAGAAGCATAAGTATAAATGCAGTTATCTGTTTTTCTCTAAAAAGAAAAATTCTATTTGGCTTTTTTTCAAAAAAATATAACCTTTTTACTATGGACTATGAATGCAAAAATTCAGGAAAGTTAAAATTTTTCAAACTTGGTTATTGTTTTAGCATTTTATTGAAAAAATGGAAGCTTTTCATGACCGAAAATCATTGCGCAAGCAAAAAAAAGATTATTTTGAACCTAAATAGTTATCAATCTTGAAAGTTCTTTTTATTTTTTTATTTTTTTCGAAAAAAAGGTTGAACTTTCTTAGATACTACTCGAAATGAGCGTATGCGGATATCGATAGAGAAAGGCTTGAAAAGGTTCAATTTCTACTTTTCACGTAACTTGTTCCAGACTGTACTTGAGCCATTTCATGCGCCTCCATGGGTTTCTCCGCTTTTCTGTCATTGAACATACAAAAAAAGGAAAAAAGAAAACGCAGATTCAGTCATATTTTTTGGCGTTATCCACCATCTTCCCTGATTTTCAGGTCGAAAAAGTCGTTCGAAAGGCCAAAATTGAGCGTTTGCAAGGGGTTTCTGAAGATGAATGCGTTTTTCACATTTATGAGAACACGCCAGATTTTGCTATGATCGTTCTGCCTGCTGAGAGAAGCATCAGGCAGCGGATCCGACGCGTTTCCGAAAATAAAAATGAAAAATTCTAAGAATTTTTTTAATTGGACGGTGTTGTATGTACATAGTTGTTTTGTTTCATTTCCAGAGGTTCATCAATTTTTCTTCAAAAAATTGTTCTTTTTCCCTTCTTGAAGTTCCAAATTCGACCTCGAATGTACATAGATGTTGTTTTGTTTTGTTGAAAATTTTGATATTTTTCGGCATGTCATCCTTATTTTTTCCGCACAGTTTGAAAAAATAAACAAACTTGCCTGAAACCTGTCCGATACCCACGAAAAGCATAACCATTGGAACCACGGTTTTCGATCCTTGAACTAAATTCTCAGTGAATGATATTGAAGTGGGTAGAACAACTGAAAAAATAATTCTACATGCGAAAAAAGAGAAATTTCGAAACCCATCCAAATTCCGACCTGAAGACCCGCATAAGCGAAAGGAACGCATAGAAGAAGAGCGTTTGGAGTGGTTATTAGAGTCAGCATTTCTTCTGGAAATAAAAAATTTGTGAAAACTTCAGCAATTATTATAAAAAAGTTGTCGCTTTCAAAAAAAATTTCTTTTACAAATTTTCCTTTTTCAGTTCAAAACTCACTCAAAAACTTCAAATACGGCTTTTTCTTGTTCTCTGGCTCCACTTCTGGGCCTCTTGGGAGTAAGGCAAAGGAAATAGCTGCAAGTAAACTGCAGCCCGAAAATGTTCCGAACATTATTCTCGTCTGAAAAAAAAAATTTACTTCTATCACAATGACTTCTTTGGGTTTTAATCAGGTCAAAAATTGTTTCCTGAGAACCTCAAAGGGACAGGGACCGCAGAGCTACTCCCACTTCCCCTCAAAAAACGGAAAAAAAGAAAAACCATGTAGAACTATATGTAATTGAAATCGCTTAACAAATCGAGACAGCTTATAAAGCTTCTATTTTCTAGTTGTGAGTTTTTGGGACGGATTTCCAAGGCCGAAACCACAAAAGCGAGGATTTCTCAAAAACTATTTAGGATTTTTTGACATAATTAAATAAAAAAACAATCTTTTTACTGCTTTAGGTTAGAAATAAGCAAAAAAAAAAGAAACTCACCGTGGATTCTGAAAAGAGGTCCTCGCGTTTTGTCAATGAGAAAAGGGCCAATATGAAGGCGCTACCGGCTATAACTCTGAAAAATTTATTGATAATTTTGAAGTTTTTTTGGTTTTTTTCTTTTAAAAAAATTTTTGATCGTAAGGTTGCAAATTTGAACAAAAATTGAGATCTGGGCACTGAAAAAAAAAATCGAAAATTTGTTCATGATCAAGATTCGTTAAGTAAATGCTAAACGTGGTGTTTTTTTTTTGGTTCATCAATTCATTCATTAATGACCAAAGTTTTTCGGAAATATAAGACAATTTCATCTTTTTTAGAGTTAAATTGAAGTTTCAAACCCACGCAGCTTGCGCGAAAAACATGACGATTCCAATATGTCGATCCAAATTGTCTTTTTTGCTGTTCAGAGCGATATAGGCGCCTTGGCTGGTCCATAATACTTCAAAAAATGTTTCAATTCGAGAAGTTTATAAAGATAGCTCACGTGCATTGGAAAAGCCTTGAATTACACTTGCAATATATAACCAGGTCTCATTAAACAGAAGAAAGATTGTCTGAAAATTTTGATAGTCTTTAAAACTTCGTCTCGAGACCTGTATGAAAGTTGCTATGCTCCTTTAAAGAATCCAGGGATGTTTTGTTCGAAAAAATAACTTACATAATAAGAAGAATAACCTAGAGCGCCCAAGAACATGGCCCATTTTGGGTGAATCGCGTCGATCAATGGAGCCGCTAAGGTTCCCAACATGTAGGTCGAATAAGATATTGCTATACTGGAATTGAATTATTGAATACTTTTTGAAAAAAAGTCAATTTACCTGTAATAACCAGCGTGAGGATTTATGTTCGACTTTTTTTGGACACTGCTTCGATTGTTGGCTCGGTAATGAAGGCTGGAATAATAGAATTTTGAAGTTTTGAGTCAATAAAGTGGTAAAAATAACTCGAAAATTCAATAAATTGAGTTTGAATTTGGAGGAATATATAATTTTTCCTTTCTGACTCAAATTTTACAGTTTTTGATATTTGACAACGTTTCGTTCGTTTTAACTTAAAACCAAATTTCAAGCGCTTTTTCAGTGAAAATCTGAAAAGCTTAGTGAAGACTTGCAATAACTACACTTTCATTGACTTCTATGAGATATTCGAGAAAATCTGTTGGAAAAGTTGAAAAGCGAACTTCATTTTTACTGCTCTTCAAAAAATTTTTTGGAAATTTTAATCAAATTCCTCAGATTATATAGCTGATTAACGGTTGGCTTGAGCCATCGAAAAAAGGGTCCTGGCACGAAAATAGAAGAAACAGCGCCTAGTTGGTGGAGAGCGTAGACAGACCAACGCGTCTAAGCTAGCCAGTAATAGGCTATAACCGCAAGGAAAACGTTTGAAAGAAATTTGAAAGAATAATGAAGAAAAGAAAATTTCAAACACTCACCAGCCGTATTCAAAGCGATTCCAATGCAGAAAAATGCGAATCCGAGGCCGAAAATATTCTGAATCCTGCGATCGTTCTTGAACATCTCCTTCCTCGACTTTTTGAATTTCAAGCTCAAGAAAAATCGTTTAAACAAAGCATGTATCAGTAGAAGGACTATAAAAGAACAAAGTGGAACTTCGAAAATCGGAAAGTTGTAATTCTAATTTGTTGTTGTTTTGCGATTTTTTGTTCACTCAAGGTGACGTAGAGTTCAACGCAACAGGTTTCGGTTCAAATTTGCAGAATTTTTGGGCATCTATGGGGAATTTCTTGAGATTATAAGATCAATTTGAGTGGAAAGCTTCACAAAAGCCTCCAGATAATTATCTCTTTCTGGACACTTTTTTTTGAAAAATTCAAAGTTGAAGTTCAAACTCTCCCCAATTCTTCCCCCGTCTAAAAATAAACGCATTTTAGCGCACATCTGGAACAGATGTCGTCCGTTTGACGTAGGAAAGCCAGGAACCTTAAATTCGCTTCAGTTCGTTCAGATGCTTCTGTTCTCTTCCAAGTCGAATCCTTTTTTTCTGGTTATGAGTCGTTTTTAACTTTTTTTTTCTCCATTCACCCCCCTTGCGTCAAAAAGGCTACAGAAACGACTGAATCTCTTTTTTTGTATAATATATCGCCACTATCGGGATAAGCCAGCGATAAGAGAACTACTTTAGAAGGAGCTTTAGGTACAGTATTGGCGGGAAAGATAAGAAATTTTTTTTTGCTCACAGCTTCCTCGTATGCAGCTCAATCTTTTCGAGACTCTATAAAGCTGTTTTTTTTTTCTTCTGCTAACGGAAATTCCGTCAGAGGGTTACTAATAGAAGCCATCAAAACTCAAGAAGGTTTCAGACTGATTGATCTCCATACAAGGAATTCGTGAGCAATAAAGCGTTTTTTCGTGTCTTTTCTGACGAAACTGTAGCTTGGGCCTTTTTAAATTATACGTTACAAGTGAGGCCATTTTACTTTGCAGTTGGGAAATTCTTGAAAAATGGCTAGAAAACTCCTTGATGTACTAGAAAAGAACCCTGAAAGTTCCAACCTGCCTAACCTTCAAGTTTTTGGACATTTCAAAGTCAATGAAAACCCCCAAAATTCGTTGAAGCTGGCTATTTTGGGGATTTGAACCCTCATTTGTCAAAAACTATTAGGTTGTGCAGGTTGGGACTTTCAGGTACATTTTCTGGTGCATCAAGAAGTGTTCTGGCCAATTTTCAGGAAAATCCCAACCGAAAAGTAAAATGACCTCCTTTTTAGGGTTTCTTTGATATCAAACTCAAAACTCTGCTCTCAAGTGCAATCTCTCAAAAAAAAAGAAGGAATTTGCGGAATTCGGACCCGTCTTTTTTCCAACAGGTGTGACGCGAGACATTGATGGATCGTTCCTGAAAAACCCTGGAAAAAATGAGACACCTTGAGTTTAAGCCACGTCGTTCAAGTTTTTTTTCGTTCCGAGCAAAGTGCTTGCGACGTTTTGCAATTTGTGCAGCGCCGTTTTTTGTTTCTAGTTCGACATTTTTTCGAATTTCAGTTTTTCAAGAGCCTCATTGCATTTGAAATGGACCTACTTGCGATTTTCAAAAATTTCTTGATGGTCAATATTCTCAACATCAAAATTTTTCAAGCTTTTTCAACTTTGAGAAAATCTCTTTTTATTACTGATGATTGATGAAATGAAAGTTTCATTCATAGAAAATGGAAATTTATTCCGATCTTTCTGCTACTTTATTTCGAATTTTCTCAAATTAATCATTTTTTCCATTTCTTTCACTGTCCACCGCTCTTAAACGGAGACGTCAAAAAAAAAATTTGGCGTGAAAATTGAAATCTCAAGTACGCAGCCAAATGCGATCGAACAAACAAGTTATTAACATTCAATACTCAGTGTAATTTGTGACGTAAAATGACGTCATTTTATCCGGAGCGCGCACTTACTTTTTTTGTAAATTCAGAAGCTTTGACGCTTCGCTCACCCCATTAGGAATGCCGTGTTGTCTTTTCCTTCGACAGTTTTCACAAAAACCCGAATTTCAAGATTTCCAGATATTTTTCCGATGTTCGTCGAGGCGGAAACAGATTTCGGGCTGACGATCCTTCGAGCTCATCGGAATTTCAGTGAACCTTTCGTCTTTTCGCCTATCTCAATATGCTTGGCTCTTTCACTTCTTCACACGGGTGCTAATAAGATTGCGAGGCTACAAATTGCGGATTATATTGCTAGAGGTTGGTTTCCATCAATCATGAGAAAAAAAAAGTCAAAAAAGGTAGATGTTATAAGAAAAAAAATTTGAAAATTTTTTGCTGAAAAATTTTCAAGAGGAAAAAGCTGAGTCGAAGTAATTTTTGATCTGCGGATTTTTCGATTACTGCAGGGTTGCCCTTCAAGTAATAGCCGAGGTTTTTCCTGGTTATCCATGGAGCGCAATAGCTTCTCATGTAACGGCTATTTTTTCAATATATTTTTTTCAAGCTCAACCCGTCAAACTACCTGTCCTCTGTATTTTTTTAATTACAACATTCAGGAGCGAACGAAGACCAATTATTACAACACTACACTTTCCTGACAGCAGTTTTGAATAGCCATTCTCATAACGTTTCAAGCGTTTCCAACAATAAATTCTTCACCAGGTCTCAATCAAGAGAATGAAATCAATTTTGAAGCTTTTCCAGCGGAACCACCTCAGGAAAGTTCGCTCAGGCTTACCTGGGCAAGATCGAGAAGCACTACGGGGTAAATAATGGAGGACAGGAAGGCAAGGTCGTTGAGGAAGTCGTCGAGAAGGAGGAAAAGGTAATAAGATGGGAAGGGTCGCGTTTGGAATGGCTCGACTCGTCGTGGTCCCAGTTTGGACTTCAATTATCGCACTTGGAGTGCTGCCAATCGTAAAAGTTCCATTATCGCGAAAGTCGTTTGGCGGTCGGGCGCAAAAATCGAGAGACCTTTCTACAGCCGTTACTTTCGGAGCCATTCTCTGTGCCACAGTCATTTTCTTCATGAATCTTTTTGAAGTTAAAATATCTATTCATAGTAAGGGTATTTTTGTTAGGCTCTCTGGATAAAAACCTATCTTATTTAGGAGCCAAAACCTACTTTCAAAATTTTTTTCAGACTACACCAGAAATCATTTATTATGGCCGAGATGTGAAAACAACTGCAACAACGGCTTATTCAACAAGGATGAATGCAGAAGAAAGTTTGCTTCCTTTTAATGAATGATTTTGGTGGGATCAATTAGCCTTTTCAGTAGAGCGACCATATCATTTTTTTAAAATTATTTTTTACAAATTTCTTATTATTGAAAGTTTAATGATCTGACTATGGTTCGAATTTTTCGCAATTCATCGAAATTTCGTACAATTGAGAAGATTTTTTTGGATCAGGCACGCCTGGGAAATGAAAAATTCTAATAATTATACTTTTTTTCAAAACCTGTTTTTTTATGGAGAATTTTTTTTTGAAGATTCTGACGTCGAAACTCTAATGAATGAACTGCAATTGAACGCAACCTGGGATCCAACTTATAATCTGCAAAGAACAACTCATGAGCCTTTTTCTGTGGCGCCGGAGATGAGGAAACTTGTGAGATTTTTTTAAATTCAAGAACAAGTTCTGATAAATCTTTCCGAAACCTTCTCAAGCTTTTGGAAAGAACCAATTTCAACCGAGTTTCTACAGAAAGCCTTTCCTTTACCTACTTGAAAAGAATTACCTTTTTTCGGTTTTTAATCACCCTTGTTCTAAAGGTTTTTGTTCTGAAATTATTTCAGTTGGCTTTTTTTCAATCCACTGGAAAATTTCCAGGTGGAATACCTCAATGACGGTCTAGTGTTCCGGGATTACGCTGAAGATGAGCTTTTTGAAGTTTTCATTGAAATACTGAACATTCCACCGAGTTTCTATCATTTTAGGCGTTGATATTGAACTACAGTGATCCGACCTATTCATTGGCCCTCTTTCTGCCCAAAAAACACATGGGACTCGTTGAAACTCTGCAGGTTCAATAGTTCATCATGTTTTCCTGGAAGAGATGTTTTCTTCAGAAATTCAGCGCTCGGCATTTTCAATCCCTGTTGGAGAAAGCCAAGCGAACTTACTTAATGGTATGTTTATGGTGATATGAAAAATTAAATAGGTAGTTGTTCAGATCAAGTTCCCAGTGTTTCGAATCGACAGAACGATTGATCTGGGCGACGTCGTGGAAAGGATGGGCATCTTCGAGGATTTCAACGACGAAGTCGTCGAAGACAGCTTCAATGTTACAAGGGCGGTTCATACGGCCCATATTGAGGTTGCCAATTGTTTCGATATTCGAGCGTTCTTCAACTCAGTTTCAAAAATTGAAATATTCTTGAGATTTTCTAGGTGACCGACGGAGGTCGTGCCGTGAATCTGAACATGGGCAAGATCCAAGACGCGAGCGTCCTGGTCGACGGCGCCATTTATTTCAAAGCCGACCACCCGTTTTTGTTCGCAGTCCTCCGGGATAGGCATCCTCTCTATATTGGCATCTTTTGTTAACTTTTTTGTTATTTCCCCCAATTTTTAATAAATTTTATTCAGTTTTTCAGTACGACTAGGAATGAAAATTGAAGACCGGCTAAAGTTTGTAGCAATTTGAAGACACTATGGCGAAACTAAATAAATGATCTATTGGATTCAAATATTAGGAAAATGAGATAATTAAAATACCGGGTAGATTCACGGAGACAACCGGCAAGTGCTTCCTGGCGTTTTTTACTGTTAAGGACTCGTATTTTTGACAAAAAGTCGGGTTATTGGAATACAATTAAAGTTGGGATTTGGATAAAATTTATTTCGCCTTGGTGTAGGCGTAGCAGGCGTCGAGGTAGGAATGGGCGAATTCGGCGACAATCGTTCGGTCCGGGATCCCTTGAGCCATCCCGTAGATTGCGGCCTTAAATCGGAAATTTATGGTTTCAAAAATGTCCTTGGGCAGTTTATTAGGCTTTGGAAATTCCTCAAACTCAAGGACGTCCAAAATCAACTCCTCACCTCGCAGGTCTTCTCGGAAGGCGCTGGCGGGTTCTCCTTGACGTAGCTGATCGAGCTGCGGCAGTCGGAGACCAACTTCTCGCAGATTCCCGGCTTGGTGTGGTTCATCGTCACCATGATGTGAACTCTGCAAAAATGTCTTCAATTAAAGTTGCAAGGGAGTTTGTCAGTACCCGGCGGGGAACTGAAGGTTGCCCAACTGCCAGCCGCGTTCCTTCATCTGGTTGTGGAACCGCGGCAGCAACGAGGCGTCTTCTGTCGTCCAGCTGACGATGCAAATGTCCGAGTCGCCTTGGAGACGGATTCCGGGGATCGTGGCGAGTCTGGAACGTTGAAAATATTATTTGTTATCAGAATGAAGTCGGATGGCCCTTGGTTTTCCATTTTCCTGTCAGTCATCCCTGAGATTTTTCCCTCTAATGAGAAAAAAACGAACCCATCACGAATGGCTCTAGTGGTCCGGACGATGTCCTGAGCGTAGGTGGCGTAGTTGTCTCTTCCGTGGTACAGCATGGCTGCCCAGCAGAGGGCGATGTTAAGGCCAGATCGGCTGCCTTCGAGGGTTGCCGAGGCATAGATGCCGCCTTGCCAGTCGGCGTCGCAGAAGTACTGGTTGTGGAGGTACTCCTTGTTCCGGTACAGCACCACGGATGATCCTTTCGGCGCCAAACCGTACTGAAAACGACTTTTTACTGATGTGAAAAATCAAATTTTTTTTGGGAATACTTTTAAGGCATCATTCTGGCTTCCTAAACGAAACCATTTAGGATCTCGAACTGCACGAAATTCACCAACTAATTCAGACTAGAATTTTCTTAGACGCCCAAGTTTTCTAAATTATCTCAATTCTCACCTTATGAGAATCAGCAGACATAGAAATGACACCAGGTACTCGGAAATCGTAGGCGATTTTCTCGTCGATGAAAGGAAGGAGAAAGCCGCCAAGGCAGGCGTCGACGTGAACCGGAACGTCGTACTGAAAATTCAAAATTCTTTTTTGGAACGAAAGCTACAGTAACCTTCAGTCCAAGTTTCGCGATCGCTTCGATATCATCGACAGTTCCGAAGGGGAAGTTTGGCGCCGAGCCAACCAACATACATGTTCGCGAGCTGATGTAGCTCTCCATTTCTTTGAGGTTGACCTAAAAAACGGGATATAACCATAAAAATTTGAATATTTGATTCAGAACAGCTCAGGCACTTGGATCCACCAGATTCACCTTGAAAGTGTTCTTATCCACAGAAACTCTGTAGACTTTGATTCGGAAGACTTCGGCGGCCTTGGTGAAGGCGGCATGAGCCGAGCTTGGGATCACCCTGAAAAAAAAAATCAAAAAAATCATCGATTTTCAAAACTCATAAGTTGGTGAAAGAAACGACACTTTTGTGGTTCTCACAGGGTTTTTTTGATTTAACTTCATATTTACTACGACTTCAGAACTTTTAGAAATTAAACGAGCTCAAAAAAATCACTTTAAAGTCTATTATTTAGGAACTAACTTCTTTGAAAAATCTCAAATTTTCAACTACCAGCGACAAGAAATCCACTACAAATTGAAACCATAGCTCTTAGAATGTCTGAATCTCCACATTTTGCGTGCTATTTCCTCTATATTCTTCTCAAGACCTTCTCCTAAAATTCGCAAATTCTTTCAGAAGAAAAATGACCCAAGTTAGCCATGAATATATCCTTCTTTTTTCTACTCACATATTAGGATGAGTAACTCCGCGGCGCAGGAGCCGATTTCTATGGGCCAGCACGGCGAGCATAATCGAGACAGATCCTCCAGTCGACATCTGAAACATCAATATTTTCCAATATTTTCCCGGATCTCCAAACCGTTCCGCAGGTCTCCGCGTCTCCATTCATCATATCGCAGCACATTCTCACGACTTCCGCCTCCATTTTCCGGACGCCAGGGAAAAGTTTCGGCCAAAGAGGGTTGGACCAGGCGAACTTTTTGAAGATCTGAAGGGTTTTTGATTAATGGAGGATTTTTTTTTTTTTTTGAAAAATCACCTCAACATAGGTTTTCATCTCCTCGCTGTCGGATTCGTCACTGAAAACGGCGCCGGAAACACGGCCTTCCAGGTATTTCGGGCCTTCTGGAAGAATTTCAAACGATTAAAAGTTTCAAAAAGCTTCCAGAAACTATATAATGATTTTTCATTTGGAGCGTTTGATAATGGTTCATGGCTCAATAATGGCTCATAATGGCTCAATGGCAATCGTAGTCATTTTGAACCGGCACCGGACTCAAAACTACTTGCGCCTATTTTTATACTACTGTATTATAGACAAGAAAGTCGCTCAAAGTCGCTCAAAGTCTGGCGCAACTAGTACCAAAGTTGAGGCTTACCGCCATGCATTTAAAAAAAAGTATTCACCCATTCGATCATAAATATCGGCGAGCTGGACGAGCTCCTCACTGCCGAAGCCGTTGGCGGGAAGACTCGTGAAGAATTTCCCATTATCTCCATGGTAGACCAAGGAGTTGGCCAGTTCTTCGTTCACCTCGGCCAGTTGCTTCTGAATTGATTTATTTTTTGCTGGAAATGTTGAAAAATCTTCTAGTTCTTTTTATTGACCTTTAAGGTAGTAAAAAATATTGGAAGTTATTCAAAAGATAGCAGATTCACAGCTAATCTCAGCCACTGTAAAACAAATAAATTATTCGAAAATTGTTTTCAACACGATTTTTACAGTAAGCCTTCCATTTCTCGTCTTTCAAGCTACCGTGAAAGATGTGAATAAATATTATTTACTGCGATGAATAGCAAGTTTCAGCTCAATTAGGTTTTTTTCAAAGCTATCTTTTTCCAAATCTCTTCAAAATTTATTCCCCCCCCTGTTCACTTCCAGTAATTGTTTTTCCGACTTTGAATCAATCGTACCTCAAACTTACAACAAAAAGACCAAACCACTAAATCAAAAAAAAAGTAGAAATAAGTCAGAAAACAGAGAGAATCAGAACCAAATCACGCGACACGAAGGCCTGATGCGGACAAAGTTTCTCGTTTTCGGCGAATTTCTGTCATCGTCATCAGATCATCGTGATTGACTCGGTCCGATTAGAAACTGATGTCTTCTTGACTTGCTTCGACCATTTTGTGTGTGTAGTTTGTTCCACTGATTGGATGTTCCGATGGTTCATCACAAAAGACATCGTTCAAAGCTACAGTAACCGGTTCATTGTAGATGTGACTATTTTCCTCAGATGTGACTATTTTTGGCGAAATGAATGTAGTTTGTTCTTTCGATCGTCCACTCAATTAGATGCGAGATTTCGGAGCTTTCATGGCTACCGTAAGCAAGTTACTGTAGCCTTAAAATGGCTTTCAAAATATGTGTGTAGTTTGTTCTGATTTTCCGTTGGTTAAGAAAGACGCGGATTTTTCTTTTTGGCTACCGTAAACGTATTACTGTAGTTAAAGAATGACTATGTTCCTCCGAATTTCAATCAAAGTTTTCTCAAAGCTTTTCTACGATGGTTCCTCAAGTTCAGGATTTCAGGAAAGCTCTTAGCGTCAAAACTTTTTTTGAAATTCCTTTCATGCTCCTTTAAACTTTAAAGTTCGTTTGCGCCTTTGAATTTTCTATCACTTTCACTTATTTATTTTAACTTTTCTATCTTCTTATGACCCTTAAAATTTCTCAAAAGTATTCCTAAACTTCTCAAATTTTCTCAAATTTTACCGAACTCCCGTAAAATTTTCATAATTTTTCCTGAGATCTCTCAAACTTCAAACTGACATCGATCTCAGCTCGGACGAAGGGAATGCTCTTGACGAAACTGAAAAGCGAGTTTTTGACCCGTCGACGAATACCTGCAAAAAGATAACAGATCAGTGTCTTTCCCAACAGAAATTATTACACCCTAAAAAGCGCGGTCCATTGAACCTTTGACGAATGAGTCTAGTCGAGGGATTCTGGGTCAAAAACCTGATCAGTGGAACACCTTGTTTTGAAATTTTGATCGAATTTCCGAAAATCATATCGTAACCCGACTACTTCAATTTTAGCCCAAATGGAGAAATTAACAAATTTTCAGCATAAGCTTGAAAAATTTGATTCGTAACCCTGTTTCTCTAATCTTGATACTGAAAAAAAAATACTTGGAGCCTTGATTTTTTTTTAATTTTTTTAAGCAGATGAATTTGATCTCTCAGTCCCTTGTTTTCTTGGAAACAATTACATCAGAAACTTCTCCCTATAAACTTCGATAAGAACATCAACAACAAATGAAGAATGGTCCGGCTCTCCAAACTACATACAAACAAGAACAAAGTTTCACTGATAAACCGTTTCCCTTAACTGATAACAACTGGTTCCAATCAGGGTTTCTATTTTGAGATTAAGAGTCTTAGTGACATCGTAAACTTTTTACTCCGTTTTTCGGGTTTCGCCTTCAGGAGAAGTTATCTCTAGTTTGGTCAAAATAGAACTGATAACATTTCTTTTCATTGAAAATCAGTAAGATCAAACTTGAGTTTCAGAAAAAAACTTTTTTCCAAGAAATCAACGACAGTTTCTATTTTATATTTTACCACACTTCCACCTTTTATGTCCACTTTGTTCTAATCAAAAAAATATTTAATTTGGCCGAAATTTCACTGATAAAATATAGGTGAGTTAATTTAAACTTCAAGGCAGTTATTTTGAACCTATGGAAAAAATGGATGCCTTTCCGAATGAAAGTACGGTCAAGGTAGGTCTGATATTGATCAGATAACTCCAAAATGAACTCCAGGAACCCACCAAATTCATCAAGATGAAGCTGCCAAAGGCGTGTGCAAGTATACGTGGAAATACAAACGGCCGAAACAAGAATCAGAGGATCCACAGACTTCAGCTGCTCCCTCAATTGGTCCCGAACGGAACAGGCCGTCTCTTTGGCGACTTGGGCCAAATGTGTGACTTGGGACATTTTCTGAAGTGGGCAAATATATAGCAAGGGACGGAATGAAGATAGTTTTCATCAAAGAAGGCGAAAATCTGAGAGCTGATCATTTTCCTCGCTAGAACTTGGATGAGCTTCAGAAAATCGGGTCTTAAGTCGAGATTCATGGCGATTTTTGATTCTTCTTTTCTTCATTCATAAATTTTTGATTGAGTCTTTAAAAAAACCTTTTTTCTAAGTTTATTTCAAGCACAAAATGAACAATCTTTTGAAAAAATGTTGAAAATAAAGCTTTTTCCTAGCCTAAGTTTCTTGAACTTGTGTCGGTCTGCGAGAAAAAAAATGATAGAATATTCATCGAACTTTCAAACTGAAGCAGAAATTTCATATACACAACTGTTTATCAAGGAAGCTCCCACCAAGAAACAAAGAAAACTGATAAAGGATAGGTTGTCGATCTCTTAGAACTTCAAACTAAAAACGCGCATTCTCTCCTTTTTATGGCCCCTTTTATCACGCTTATCAGAGAAAAAAAGCGGGTGACAAAGAAATATGAGACGATGAAATATCGTGATTTTCGTTTGACAATTTACCGGCATGTTGAATTTGTTATTGGGAGTTCAAAAAAAGTTGTGAAATATAATGGGGAGATTTTATGAAACAAAAAAAGTTTACAAAGTTTTTTGAACTTTTTAAAGGTTTCTGTGTCTGATTAATTTCATAGGGAAATACATTTTTTTATGAATATTTTTTTGGGAATTTGGAAGAGGTTTACTATGATCTATTTATAGTTGAAATAAAAGTTTGAGCTCAAATTTTTGTATAGTTACAATAAAAAAAGGCAAAGTCAAGCTTTTTTTAAATCAGTATTTTAGGAAGTATACTCATTTTTTTAATACTTCTTTTTCCGGATTTTGAAAAGTTTTAGCGCAAAAAAATCATTTTGAGAAAAAAACATTTTTTTCCTTTCAAAATTACGCCAAGAAAGAAAAATTTAACTCTAATCTTCCTTTCTCAAAGTTTCACAGTCCTTCAAGAGAAGTCTAAGCAGCTTAAAAAAATTATTTTTATAAAAAAATTTCCCGAAAAAAGTCCATTCATTACGATCTTTCTATTTTCAAAGGCGCAGACTAAGGTTCAAAAAGGTCTCGACTGAAAATAAAATTTTTTTCATTTGTTTTGAAATTCTCATCAAGCTCTTACAAAAAAAACTATACCTAGAAGTTTAGTGAAAAAAAGAAGAGGAAAATTCAAAGAAAATTGAAAAAAAGGCGAGCTTCGGAAAAAACTCCATCAAAGGAATGAGCAGTCTGTGAGAATTGATAAAACGCCACACGATTGCGGTGATTAAAACAACGCTTTTTCGGCCCCGCCCACTCCGCTTCCCGATTCGACGCTGTCGTCGTTTCAAAGGTTTTTTACGCGATGTTGGCCTATCATTGATGATAGATCTACAGTTTGTTGTGTGTAGTATGGTCGGGAGTCGATTTTATTTGATGAAAACTTGAAATTTTGTTTTCGACTTTTACTACGCCTAAGGAAAAATCTGAAGTTCAGAAAAACCTAACTGGAGAGTTTGAAGGAGCATAGAAAAAATTTGAAAATATCTCGGTATATATCGCCGTTTTAATTTTGAACATGTGCGCTCCACGGAGAAGGTCCAGTTTTTTTTAAATTTTTAAAGCTTCAATAAGACCGAGCCTTTTTTGTTCTTTCAAAGCTGTTCTTTGGAAGAAATTGAAACATAAAGAAATATTTTTTTGAACCTCTTTTTACAATCCACTATATGGTAAGTCTTAGAAAAGAGAGAAGAAAACTGAAAAAAACGTGAAATTCCGAAAAAAGCTCATGCCATTTCCATTATGTTTCTGATCAAAATTCACTTATTCCTCTTAAGAAAATCGTTCAAAACGGATGCAAAACGCCTTGTTTGCCCCAATAAAATCAAAAAAGTGAGTTATCAAGCTCTCAGCAAGATTATTTTTCCCAGAAAGAAAATCAAACTCTTCCTGAATTTCAAAGCTTTCATTTTTGATCGAATAAGCCGATTCCCCCGTGTTAATCGACCATACCACAAGGCCAAATCAAATCGAAAAATAATAAGAACATCGAACAGCGACGTTTTCTTATCAAACTGTTGCAGAAAACTCTTTTCTCAGTTTATCAAATACCGTACTTCATATCGACCAAACTAAATAGATGGTTCAATAATCAGGTACGAGTTGAAAATTAGATGGAAATTCCATTCTTTGTAGAGAATTTTCATGTATTACATGAAATTTATGGCATGAGACCGTGTCATTTTTTTATAGCATCAAATGGATCAACGAAGTATTTTTTCTTAATTATTCACAAACTAACGTGGTTCTAAAAGTGGAATGACCGCGACGCGACCGCTCCGCTTCAGCGATTGAAAAAAAGAAATGAAGATATGATGCAATGAGTTCATGGTTCATGATTTCGATCAACGAAACAGCTATTTTTTCCTGACAGTCTTCATATTTCACAAAGAGACGTATCGAAGTTGGTCGAAGTGTGTTCTGCCCAACCATAGGAGTTTCGAAACATTCCAAAATGGCCAGGTTTGAAGCACTACAAGGTGGCTTGAAAATATTGTCCCGTTAATAAATGAATGCTCTTTATGAAGTGTTACTGGTGTGATCTGAAATAACATTGATTGTAAATACCTAAAACCTCCCTCTATGCTCCCATGAAACTCATTCATACCCGTTGATGAAGGCTTAGGGAATCCTGATTTTCATTCAATCCCGCTTCAAAAAAAGGGAAATTTTATACATGCAATTTTCTGGTCGGCTCCAAAAAGGCTGAAAAAAAGCCGCAGAAAAGCAGCAAAAAGAGTCCCTTCATCGAGCCTTCCATTTTTTCTATAATTTCAAAAGCTCAAAAAATGGTGGAAAAAGGGATAGGTAGCAAAAATGGTGCATAAGCGCCGAGAAAATGGCGCAAAAAGGCACCAAAAAAGGAACCTTTTTCACAGAAGATTTCTTGATTACCTTTCTTTTTTCAACTTCCAATTTACCGCTATATTTCATTATAGTCCGTTTTGGGCAACCTGAAACCGCTCTTTTCTCTGCGCCCTCCTCGTCTCTCGGCGACCCTCTCACGTTTGCGTTCTATTTTCACTTTTGTCTGTCCTCGCCGGTTAGGGAGCAGAGAGACGCAGACACTCGAAGAATGTCAAGCCGCGTCGTATTATTATGATATTGTCGACTCGGCTTCAAATCGCTATTTAAAAGTCCAGTTTCAAAGTGAATATTATTTTTGAAGATATCGGATTGTAAGTTATTACGGCCTCGGTCTCAATTTTCCAACTAAATGTGTGAAAACTGTTGATAATTATGATAATTTTCACATGTCGGGCATAGTCGGATTGGTGGATAATGGCCGTTAAAAGGGGGAGGCTTGAAAAAGGGCCCAAAAAGGCCACAGTAAGGCAGCAAAAAGGCCGCAAAAACGCAGGAAAAAGGCTGAAAAAAAAGGCCGCAGAAAGGGTCCAAAAGGAGTATCTTCATCGAGCCCTTCATTTTTCTGGGATTTTAAAGGATCGAGAAAGGGAGAGGCAGCAAAAATGGTGCACAAGGGCTTAGAAAATGGCGCAAAAAGGCAGCAAAAAGGGAGCCTTCATCCCCCTAAAAGGAAACATTTCTATGGAGCCTTCCAGCAGCCTCGGAGGGTCCTTCCTATTTTTTCCATAATACGACAATATTTTTGAGCCAGTTTGAACGTTTTTATTCATGTAAACCTTTTCGCCATGCGCCTTTAAATTCCACCGAAGATAATCATTTTGTTCGTTGTCCCCACCAAACTCTACGCACGTTTCTCAACTTGTTAGAACGGAAAAAACATCGAGACTAATCGTCATTATCACATGATTGTTCTCGAAGAGATAGCGGGGCGTCTTCTCCTCGCGAATCTGATCAAATTTTCCGCTTTTGAGCGTAGTTTGATCGGAAAGTCATCGTGTTTGACTTTGGAGGGTTCGGAAGAGACTTTGGTGTCGCCACAGACGAAGGGAGACCAACGATAATCAACAAATTCCGGGGGCCTGATTTATTTGATTGGCGTCCTTGAAGTTAACATTTGTTGGAACCGTCGTCCATACGTCATTTTGTGAAATATGAAGGCAGTTGGAAAAAAATTGGTTCGTTGATCAAAATTTGTTCTGGATGTATGAAGCTTTATCGTTAAACGAGACTTCTCAAAAACATTTGTTTGAATTACAGTTCAGTTTTTTTCGGAAGTTTTAATAGAAATGATTATCAATTTACGATTGAATCGTTTGAAATTTTCGCTGAAAACGGTTCAAGTTTGAAACATTTCCACAACTACTTTGCAGATCAACCTCGAAGATTTTTCCGATAACTTTGGATATTAAAAATATGCTGGGAAAAATTTTTTTAGTGGCCACTATAGGGTTTTTGACGTTTTGGTGCCAATATAGTAGTCAAATTAGTGGCCACTTAAGGGGTCAATCTGTTTGTTTTAAAATTATCAGAGTTACTGGAAGGAATACTGAATGAAAATGATATTGGATGAAAAACTGCTGAAGTGGCGGCTAAATAGAGAACCTCTATAGTGGCCACTAAAACGGAAAATAGTGGCCACTTTAGGGGTGCGTTTAGTTACCACTTTAGTGTCCTCTGCAAGTAGTCCTTGGCGAGCCTCTATAGTGGTTACTAAAAATTTTCCCAGAATGCCCCAAGAACTTACTCGAAACCTCAGAACGGTCCCTACAGGGGCCCTTGAAGAATCTCCTCTAGGGACCGTGTCACCTCCCCCATAGGTGGCACCAAAGCTTGTAAGAGTGGCCCCTCTAGGTGCTTTACTTAGTGGCTTCTGGAGGGGTAGTGGTATTGATTTATGGTAACGTCTTTTTCTGAAATAAAAAATTTCAAGACCAGACCCTCCTAGGGACCACTCTACACTAAGAATAACTGCCGAGATAAACGCGAGACACTGGCGGTACATTGACGAGCTCGCAAACATCTCGCGTTTTTTCTCGCGCCGGTCTCGCATTTTTCTGGACGCGAGCTCGCATTTTTCTAGGCGCGAGCTCGCATTTCTCTCGCAATTTGAAAATTTCCGAAATGCAAGATAAATGCGAGATGGCGCCGAGAAAAATGCGAGGTCGCGCCGAGAGAAATGCGGGATCGCGCCTAGAAAAAAGCGACATTTTTGCGAGTTAGTCAATGTACCGCCACCGAGCTCGCGTTTATCTCGTCAGTTATTCTTAGTGCTAGCTATAGGGATAGCCTAAATTTTACCTTTTTGGTTTTTGTTCCTTTTTCCTGACCCCTTTAGGGACTACTCCGGGATTTCTAAGTGAAAAGTGTAATGAAAAATAGCTTTAGAAAAGAAAAATAAAAGGGCTCAAAAACCTCGACGAACCTCCAAACCTTCTAATTTCTTCGCAACCTTGTCTCAGGGCTTTCCTGGAAATATTTAACAGTCGATTAAAAATAAATCTTCATTAACTACTTCGGACAACAAAAAGCGAACAGAAAATTGTCTTCGCAAGTGTGATCTTTAGGACAGAAATCGTCCAGACACGACTTTCCGAGCAGAAATTCGTCGTATCCATGCTCCCGACTCGACTTGGCATTTTTCCCATTGCCACATTTCACCGACCAGCCTTCTCGGGATTTTTCTGAACCAAGAACTTGATACATTCAAAGAATCTTCCAATCACCAGAATCTTTAATATTACAGCAAAAAGACATGAAAGGAGCTCTAAAACATTTGTAGCCGGTTGGACAGCCGTCTTGAAGAATCGGACCGGAAAATGAGGAGTCAGGAATTTCTATCAGCTCCGAAACTGAAATCAATCGAGCTTATTGGCATTGGAGCGAATTTAACTTTGAAGTTTGGGCCCGCAGGAGAGAACTTCGCCGGAGGACTGAAGAGCCGGCTCGGATTGAAGTCCGCAAGCGAAATAATCCGCTGAATTTTTGAAACTGAAATTACCACAGGAATATTTGAATTCGGAAAACTTTGAATGCGTACCGTGGTAAACACAGTTGGAAAAGCGATTCTTAGATGTTCACGTTGCGAAAAAAATACAAAACCGTGCGGAAAACCCTTGTTTTATTGGATTGATCTTTCGTCTTTGAACTACGGTTATGGATGAGCAGAAAGATTATTTTTATTTTAGAGAATTTTGGAAAGTTTTGATGATTTTCCTGCTGGGATAATCGGACCTCAGAGCTCCAAAAAAATTTGAGCTTTTCAACGATTCCGTTCAATACCTAGACGACACATCGTCACGCAATCTCGCTTCGTGTTGAATGAATTCAAATTGCCGCCACAGCCCAGATGTTCAAAAGCGAGGCAAGTAGCCGTTTGTTGGTCGAAAAAGTACTGAAAAAATTTTAATTTTCTTAACAACCTTCAAAAAATTTTTCCTGAGGTTTTAGATGGCGCATTTTTTAAATGTAAAGTTCGCATATTCTTTTTTAAACTTCCCAGCAAGAATTTTTCAAAAGTTGATAAAATTTAGAAGTTACCTTAACCCCAGGCTTCCTTTCCGCACATCGATAGCCTTTACTTCTGTCCAACTGACAAACTGGGAGACCTAATGACAATTTATTCTTCCTTCTTCCGATTTTGTCAATCGTTGGGAAGGCTGAGGGATCCGTGGTGTAGCCTAAAGACCTATCCTTGAATTTACTAAAAAGATGAAAATCACCATTTCCGCCGCATTTTTATTAAATTGTCGATCTCTTCTCCGTTCCCTTGACCTTTCAATTTCTTTTCCAGTTTTGGTGTCCACGCAAAAGCACTCATTTTTGTGGGCATCGCATTGCAAAGGCTCATAATCACCTCAAAAAAACTGTTTCTTCAGAAGAGTAGAAAAAAAGATATTACCTAATCCAACATCGCATTTTGGAATAAAGACGTTTGGAGGAGGGTCTCCAGCAGCGAAAATCCTTTGTAGTTCGATCAAACAATCTGAACCAAGGTTTTAGGAGTTTAAAGCTAGTTTAGAACTTTGTTCAAAACTTTAAAGAAACTCAGGATCAAACAAGTTTCAATGCCAGCACTGGATATAGTCAAAATTTTGACTATAAATAAAAAGAATATATTTTAAAACGAAAAAAAGAGAAAAAATCTGAAAAAAATGTTGAGAAACAGCGCGCCATTGAGAATATTCTGGCTCATATTCTCGTTTTACGAAGACTTTTTTTTTTTTTTTTTAAATTTAAAACTTTCTCAATTCTAATCTTCTGTTTGAAGTTAATTTATGCTAACACCAATTTCTCAAAGTTTTAATTTTAATTTTTTCGAAAATTATTTTCCTTTCAAAATTATATCGTCTTTAAATAAGATCTTGTTCGTCCTTCTTAAACTTCAATTTTTTTTTTTTCAGATACAAGGACTTTTTTCACTCCAAAGGGGAAACCTTTCTTCACTCAAAAATCTAAGGTATTTCTTTTTCGAAGATTTTAATCTTTTAAATCGTTTCAAATTATTAATTTCACTCACTTCCACACTTTGGCGATTTATTTCGGCTTGTTGTGTCATATGCTATTAATCCTGTGTGAACCGTCACACAATAGCAATCGCCATGTTTACACTGAATTGGGATTGTAATATCCTAGAAAAAAGGTTTTATTACCCTCTAGCAAAATATCAAAAACTCACCAAAAGTATCACAAGTCATGTCATTTTGATTCCCAACACAAGGTCCATCACTGAAAGTTCAAAAAAATAATTTAATCAAGATAAAAATAGTTACCTTTCTTCACAGTTCACAAAAAAATGATAGAGAATAGAAGTATTAGGAGGTTCAAAAAAGACATAACTGAGTAGAAAAATCGAAATGATTGATAAAACTTGGCGGAAAACTTGAATTGCTTGAAGAAATTTTCGTCTGGTCGATAGTAATTGACCTGTCAGCCCCGATTCTTTTCGTTTGGGTCGAAGTTTTCGAAAAAAAAAAACGTTCTACTTTCTGGTGTAATTGTTGTGGTTCCTTGAAGCAACTGAATCGACTAAAATGTAGTGAGAAAGTTGGATTTGGTTTCAGAAAAGTTGTAAAAGATTCAAATATTCTTGCTGAGGTTTTTTTTATGGCGCACAACACCCATTTTGTGGACTATATCGCAGCGAGAGTAACGCTATACCGCGGGGGAGCCGCGAGCGATATCGCTCGCCTCTCGCTGCGACCTCGCAAACGTCTTGCGCTATATCGCTCACTGAAAAAAATTTTTTTCTTCAAAAAAATGTTTTTTTCTTGAATTTGATTGATTTCATCATAAAAGTCAAAAAAATAAAGCAAAAATGTTTTTTTCAAATTTCAAATTTTTGAGAGGGAGCGATATGGCAGCGAGACTTCGACGAGATCGCAGCGAAAAAGCCTTGGCTATATCGCGTGCGGCCCGCTGCGATATCGGCAATTATGTTGAGTGAAGTGAAACGGCTCTTTTTATAAATTGTGTCCCTCCTCCTATAATCAATCCGATGAGGTTTTTTTGAAAAGACTATACTTGAGAAAAACTGCAGCATCTTTTTTTTGGAAGCTGGATGAATTTTTTCGAAGTGTACCCCTCATTTCGGCCTTAAATGTTCAGAAAAAAATAGATGGTATAATGAATATTGTGATTTTATTCCGTGAGCCTGTGATACTATAGATGATTCTCCGGTTTCTCATGAATATTACAACCTTGGTGAGAAACTTCTAGAAAAACGCTAAAAAAACAATTTATTGTGAAAAAAATCATAAGCGAAGTCCAGAGCACCTCATCAGTCAATTCTCATCGGAATTTTACTCTGAAAACAAAGTTGAAACCGCAAAGTTATAAGGGATCTCAATCTTTATGTTTCGAAAAATTAAAACAATCACTTGTAGTAGACACGTTAAAAGGAGCTTGGAATGGCTCAATGCGTGGCGGCTGCGTCGCGGTTAAAAAGATAGCGACCGCGACGCATTTAACCATTCAAAAAAATGGATAAGAAAGATTCGAAAAATTGGCAAATAAAGATTAACTAAAGCTAGTCTACCTCTTTCATAAATTTTATTCTTTTTACAAACAAAAAACAATAAATTTTAGAGGAAAATTAAGCTTTTGGACAGCAATAAGCGAACAAGAGATTGCTTTCACACGTATGGTCATTGGGACAGAAATTATCGGAGCAATATTTCCCGAAGAACGTCTCCTGGAAATCGCTGTTTACGGTGTACTTGGGCGTCTTCCCGTTTTTGCATTTGGGACTCCAAGCCTCGGACGATTTTTCTGTAAAAGTAAAGGTGAATGAAATTTTTGAGATCTCTAGACTTTTACTTTTACTCTACATTTTGCCAATCTGTGCAAGTTTTAATGGAATTTCACATTTTGAGTCTTTTGCGTTCTATTTCGTTAACCTCGTAAAAGCCTCACCAATATTTTTCCAAGAAGAACTTTTCTCACCGTTATCCTTGATATTGCAACAGAAGCCGAAAAAGGCGCCTCGCTGGCAAGTGTACCCTTTAGGGCATCCATCTTCGTCCAGCGCTGGTCCGATCGGTTTCGGAGTTGTTGGGGCTCCGGGAAGGGCCACTGGAAAAAAAGAATCGAAAAAAATTCAGTGATAGAATCTCTTCATCGAGTTAAAGTCAAAAATATTCTGATGAAGAGAAGATTTAATTTTTTTAATTTTCAAAATCGACATAGGAAAAGCTTGAAGACACCTCTGAGAAATGCTAAATAGCAGAAAAAGATGATTTTTTTCGAATTTTTTTCGAACAAGCTTGAATGCGCTTCTTATGTAATTAGAAAGATAACGGTTGCCCTAAAAATTTCGACTTTCTAGCCAAATTTTTTCTGAAGGTATAGCTCGGAGATATGTACTTTTCGAAAAAAAAGTATTTTGAAAAGATATTTTTCCTGAAAGAAACTTACTCAAAACGGGTCCTCCGCAACTGTAAATTTGTCCGTTGGACTGCATAGCTGGTGGAGTTTGAAGGCCACAAGACATGTAATCCGCTGAAAATCTTTGTTTTTTCTATGAAAATCCCTTTAAAAAATTATAGGAACAATAATGTTATTTCCTAAGTATCGAAGATGGAAAAAATGTAGGTCAGAAAAAGTCATCCAAAATTTGTTCAAAGCTTTTCTATACATTTTGTTTCTGTTTGAAGCTTTCCAAGAAAAAACTAATTCACTAAGTTCAATAATATAATTGAGCTTTTTCAAAATTTCTTTTTCTCAACTTTCTGTTCGAAAAACTCCGAGAGAGATGTGGAAAAAGCATGAAACTAGTTTTGAAAAAAAAATCTTATACCCTTTTTAAAAATCATTAAAGATTTTTTTGAACAACTGAAGCTCAAAAAAACATTTTTTTATGGACTTTGTGTCTTCTCATTTTAGAAGTGATATTTTTCGAATGAAAGTGAAAATAACCCATAACGCAGGAGCTCATGCACTGGTCCTTTGTATCGAAAACATTGGAATTGCCTCCGCAGCCCAGGTGCTCGAAAGCGAGGCAGGTAAAGGACTTCTTGTCGAAGAACCACTGAAAAACTGTATGGTTTAGAAGGATTCCAAAGATTTCCATTGTGGTTTTTTTTTTTTGAAAAGTCAAAAAAAATCAAAACTCGTCGGTGAGTAGTACTGGTCGCACTGAGAATGGCTTAGCTGAAAAAACTGCAAGGAGGTCACTTCAAAAAGCACCCGACAAGTAGCGACTTCCGCGCGCTGGCATGAAACATCTTAGGCCAAAATTTGCATACAGCCATGTATTGAGCCTTTCCCAATGCGACCAGATTTTTCTAGAAGTTCACAAGACTTTTCTAGAGCTGAAAATTATTTATTGAACTATTTGACCTTGATCGACGGCTTCTTCTCGGAGCATTTCCTTCCGCGATCCCGGTTTGGCTTGCAAATTTCCTGGCCAACGTTATCCGGAGCAACGGCGTCCTTGTCAAAAGTCGGGAATTCCGCGGCGTCGATTGAAAATTCTAAGAAAATACTTATTTTTTAAAAAAAAGACAAACCGATTTGATTGCACATCATTTTTTCGCTGTTTTTCAGCGGCTTTCGGGTCCCTGGCTTTTCCTTTCCAGTTGATTCGTCCACACAATAACACTCTTCTTTTTTCGTGTCGCATTGTAAAGGCTCGTAGTTTCCTGGAAGAGATACGCTTCGCAGTGGTTTTTTATTATTTTTCGCTTTTTTTTCTTCATTAAGAAACCCCAGGAGAAAAGTTATCACATATGATCATCAAACACCCAAATTGCGTTACTGACACCATTCTAAAAGGACGACGGCTTCATTCCTTCATTTTCCTACTCGGCACATCCTCTTTTCTCAAAAATAATAAATATTCATTTTTTCCTCAATCTTTTTTCTAAGCTATCGGTATAGTGAGAAACTATCTGACCGAGAAAATTCTTAAAAAAGTCCTCCAAGGGCCTACTACAAGATTTCTTACGTTTCTCCCAAATACCTACTACAAGGAGTACGTACGTTCTTATGGTCGGCTCCTTCTTGTAGCCAGTATTATTTTCCAGAATGGCCACTAAACGGAGTTCGAAACGCCCAGTCTAGTGTCCAGTCTGACTAGTGACATTCCTCCCCTAGAAGGGTCACTAAGTTTTTTCCCAGTGAGTACGAGCACTTCACCTTGATTTTTATAAACCTATTTTGCTGCTTTTGAGTTATTTTTCAATATTTTCATACAGCTCTATTTCATTTTTTCGTCAAAAAATTCGAAGTAACAATTAATTTTGAATGGATTTTGACATACACAGTTCCCTGTCCAAAAATAATCAATTTTTCATTCTCTTCGTTTTCTCTAGTTCAACCTATCTATAGCTATCCTTTTTTTTTTCGTAAAATCGCAAAAATTACCTTTTCCAAGCTCGCATTTCGCGATGTGCATGTTGACTGGAGGATCGCCTTTGGCGAACGTTTTTTGGAGTTCAAGCAGGCAACCTGGAAAAGTTCAAGTTTCAAGTAGATACTATGAAAATTTCGTCGATTTTTCAAAAAAAAAAACAAACTACAAGAAAGACTCAGAATTTTTTTTCATGAATTTAAAAGTGAATCTAATAAAGAATCAGTCAGTTCTACGAGACAATAATATATATTACAGAACTATAAACATAACCGACTCACGGCTGGCATGAGCCATCGAAAAAATGGTCCTGACACGATAAAAAAAATAGTGCCTAGTTGATGGAGAGCGCAGACAGACATGTATCAAGCTAGTAGTAAATAGGCTATATTTTTTCGCTCCAATTCCATGAAAAAAAATACCAACTTCCACATTTCGGAGCGACTTTTTCACTGTTCGTAGTCGTGTCGTAGGCGACCCAGCCAGTGTGGGCCGTCACACAGAAACACTGGCCATTTTTACACTGGACCGTCTCGTAATATCCTGGAAATATTCGTCATTTTCAATGATGATCCTGTCCAAAAACCTTGGCTGGTGCAGTTCATGCCATTGTCATTGAGAATGCAGGGGCCCGTTTTTGGAGAAGCACTGAATAATCTTGACTTCATATTGTCGAATTCATTTTAGGAGGAAAAAATCAAAATTTCTATTCATTTTTTTTAAAAATCCCGGCTAAGATGTTTAAAGGAGCATAGCTAACTTTTTAAAAGGTTTCGAAGAGAAGAGCCGTTTTTAGAGATATTTCAGTCATTTAAGAGTTCTGTACCTACAAATTCTCAAAAAAATTTAAATGATTGAAATGATCAAAAAAGTCCTCTTTTGCTTTTGGAAGCAGAAGTTCATATATATCAAAAAATAGCTGGGCCTGAACTATCAATTTAAAAAAATGAAAGAAGTCTTGTTTGGAACCACAAATTCCAAAATTTTAGATTTAAATGAACTAAAGATATTTATTTTTTAAAATCTGCGAATTTAAATTTTTTTCATTGCACTCTACATATCATTTAAACCAACGAAATCAACGATTTTCCTTGAATTATTTTTCAAACATCACATTTTCCGTGATATTCCTACCATTTCTCAAAATTTTACAGTCGAAGTCAAATTTTCCAAACTGACCCGGTAGCCGCCGCAAAACCAGAAGTTATACAAACAGCCAGTAAACACAGCAACAAATTTGAGACCATTCTGAAACCAACTTTCTTGAAAATCGCTTGAAAAATGAGTCAGTGAGTTCGCTTTTCTATACAATTCCTCGAGGTCAAATTGTTACAACATCGTGGTATTTGATATGATAACACGATTCACAAAGGAAAATCATTGTAAAATGGAACTTTTCCTTTAGTGAACAGTTGGGGAAAAGTTAAGGAATTGACGTCATAATTAATTAATTGTCATTAAAGGGCCTTTTTTTGTTAAATTTTTCAGGTTTCCGTCGCTCAAACCTTTCAGAACTAGAAATTTGAAACTCGAGATTTTTTTAATTAAGAAAGGCAATGAATGTAGACCATGAAAGTCTTGAAATTACGTGTTTTTTTATTCAAACTCAATAAATTTTGATTTCATAAAAATGGCGTCTATTTTTTTCAAATTTTTGTTTAGGATCTGATTTTTTTAAAAAAATCTTAATAATTCAGAACTTGAAGGTTCTATGACGTCATAAAAAGTATGGGTATAAAAAAAAATTGAGAAGTTCAAAGGTTTCAAAAAAAAACCCCCTTTTTTCTCAAGCTTTTTCAAGCCCCTATTTCTGGCAAAAATTGTTTCCAAATATTTGCAGCCAATGACCACGCGCGAGAAAAATTGTTTACCCGACAAAATGAGTACGAAAATAGCTGGAAAAAAGGCAACGCCGAACAATTATTGATGGAAAGAAAAGTTGAGGGGTGAAGGTGGAAAATGAATGAAGGAAACGGCAAGGGAGAACCAGTCTTTCTGGCAAAAGTGTTGTTTTTCTCGACGTTGCTACGTTTTTCGCACTTCGATTTGAGAAGTTTCAGTGGATTTTCAAGGAGTTTTCCTGAGGCAAAAAAAAACATTGAGACCTCCTCAAGAACAACAGAGTAGGCCCTAAAGGGGCAACCTTAGACCCCTTGGAGGTTGCCCTCTAGGGACCACTTTACGTCCCCCTATAGGGCCACTAAAGCTTGCGAAAGGGACCCCTATAGGGGTTTAGTTATAAGGTCTCTGTAGCTTTTGAACTGTTTCGAAAACTGCTTGGAATGAACTATCACTTACGAACGCTAGAGAGGTCCTTGTAGGGTTTAGAGGGATGAGAGAAAGAGCCACTATATGGGTAAAACTCAAGTAGCCCCTGGAGGGGTTGTTCTAAAGCTTAATGAGGGGGGGCACTTCAACTTCCCCATATATTAGCTGTTAAAATGCTTAATTTAACAACTAAAAAAAGGAAAAAAATCTTTGAAAAAAATCAAATAAAAACAGAAGAACGATAGAGAAATGGTAGACTCGAGTTCCTCACCAACTTATAAACTGTTAGATTGCGGAAGTTCCCGTTCCGCACGCAGTCTTTGTTCAGGTTATTCAGACGGAAAAAAAAGACTCTGATAAATTACCGGTTGTCTTGCCAAACTTTGACCGCATTAATGGATTTTTTCCAAGGGGAAACATCGGTTTCGATTGGACTTATTTTGTCAGTATAAGAAGGACAAGGAAACGGAATGAGACGGGATTTTATAAGAAAAAGGAAGATTTGTGTAACGACCGCCTGTCTTGTTAAACTTCGGCTTCGACCTCATTAATTTCCTTTTTTTTTGGAAAGATCATTTCTGGGACAGGTTCATTTTGATAAAAAGTCACAAAAAGAAAAATTGATCCCTATAATTCATCGAAAATGCTTCAAAACTGATAAAAAAATGAATTTTTTTATCGTGGAATGTGTCATAAGTTACTCAAGAAAAATAAGAAAAATGGAAAAAAATGCCGCGTAAAAACTCGCGACGAGACATTTTGTTAGCGGTGGAGCGCACATTCCCGTTATGCTTTTTTTCTCATTTTCTTCATCATTTTTTGAAATTTTTACTTCTTATTTAAAAAAATCATTCTTTAGCAGCTCAACGTCGAGACCTCCGTGATGATCACTGCAGCTGGCTTTTTTCGACTTGACAGGTGTTTTTATGTTACAATTTCAAGGTTTCCGTTTTTTTTCAAGTGTTTTGATTTACATGGAGAAATTTATAGGAAATATTCCAGAAATCATTTTTTTTTTTTCAGTGAGAATTCATCTGTTTATGATATTGTTCGGGCAACGATGTTTGGCAAACACCGGGCAGCTGTTCGTCAATTCTATTTTTTACACTGATCATATTGATGTTTCTAGTTTTCAACCGATTTGCAAGGAATATATTGATGTATGATTTTCTGCGGATAACCCGGAAGTTGGATAACTTCATGGAAACTTATCAGAAAGGGTAGAAAAATTTTTTTTAATGCAAAACTTTCATTATTTAAACTATTTTTCGAAATGCTCAAAAATATCCTTTGAACTTTATATTTTTCAAATCCGTTTTTAGACCAGGAAAAGTACGCTGAATATAACCCCTAGATTAGACAAAAATAGGAAAATTTTAGAATTTCGATAGTTTCAAGTTCTGTAATAAGTACGAGGAAAAAAGGAGAAAGACGAAGAAAATAATGACCTTTGTGTTCGGAAAAAAGAGGCGTTGAAGAGTTTTGCTGTAATGTAGCCCAGACGAAATCGCCTCATGCTTCCGGAGTATGTACTTTGCTCCATGGATAGTTTTTTCAATGAGAAACAGTAATTCGAATATTGAGGCTAGGTAGAAATCTCAGAATTTTCCATTTTCAAGATTTCAAAGAGAAAAATAGTTTGAAAAATGTCTTCTCTCCTTTAAAAATTTGATCTGAATCAATTCTTATTTTATTGATTATTCATCGGAACTCAAGTATTTTCATAAGCGACTTTTAAGAATATAAAAAAATGTTGAAAAGTAACAAAAAGTCGTCAAAATAAGTAAACACCACACGAAATCGTCAACTGAAAGTGCAAAAATTTTGCTCCCTACTCAGTTTTTTTCCAAAATCCATACTCTTTATTAAAAAAATTTTTTTCAAACTTGGATATCCTTAGAAGGTTATAATTTCCTTCTTATTGGTTTATTTTTTTCTTCAGGAAGTTTTTTTGTGTAGTTGTTTATCTTCGAGGTCAAAAAAAGAGGCGCTGAAGAGTGGCTTACACAAAAATCGCCTCTCTGTATCCGAAATATGTAGCTTGCTCATTGATGTGTTTTCAATAAGGATCAGTATAGGTTGATCGTTGAGGCTTGACTTAATTCTTAAAAATCTCTTTTTCAAAAACTAAGAAGTGCAATATTAATTTTCACCTCAAGAAAATTTTTTTAAATCATGTTTAATCCGGTTTTTTAGATTTATCTGGACACATCACTTTTCTCCATTATTTCATTGAAACTCGAAAATAAAACTGACTCGAAAATGCATCAAAAATTGAAATCATATAGGACTTAATGTAAAAAATTTTGCTTCTGAAAATTGTCATTATTTACTGGATGAAGGTATTAATAAGCCTGAATAACTTGTATAGATTTTGATAGAAGCCGTTGAACTTTAAAGTCAAAAAAATTATCCATTTTGAGACTTGCACCCTTTATCTTAAAACTATGGATTTTTAAAGGCTGAAATTATCAGGAACTTGGTGAATTGATGATTTTTTTTTTGGCGAAGTTTCAAACATCAACGATTCTTTCGTTTTTAAGCTTTTTTTCAAAATCTTCAATTTGAGGTGATTTTTTGAAATTTATACTCTCTCTTCCGATACGATTGATCAATGCCATTTCCAGTTTTTCTTCAAAAAATAGATTAGAAAAAAAAGTTTATTATGATTAAGTGATGAGCCAAAGAGTGTCATTATGAGAGAGGTGAGGGCGGCAAAAAACAACATTTATGTACAAATTATTACAAGATTACATGTCGTTCGGAACGAAAAAATTGAATAAATTTAGTGGAAGGCGAGGAAAGACAGGCAGAGAGAAGCCAGAGCGGCGAGGATCGTGACGGAGGAGGCCGAGTTGCAGAGGCTTCCGGTACAGCAGCAGGTAGTTCCTCCCAGGGAGTTGGTCACACAGTCGTTTCGCTGAAAATTGGAAGAATCAGGGTGTGTTGTGGGATTTTTGAGCGAATCATTTTTGAAGATTAACTGTTTGGAAAGAAATTTAAAAAAGAAATCCGGGAAAAAGTGGCCGAGATTGACTAAGTAAATGCGGATTTTTTGCATTTTTAGAAGAGTAGCTTTTTTGAAATGGACTAGGGAAACATTTAAGTAAAAGAGTTGTATCAGGTGGAGTGCTCTTCAAACATTTCATGAGTTGTTTGAAATCGAATTGATTTTAGCCTGATCAGATTATAAACACAAATGGATATGGCAACTCGACAAAAATTAGTCTGACTGCCGTACTTTTGCGCTCCAGTGATAATTCAACTTTCGAAAAAATCAGCCTGATTTTATACGCCTCATGGATAGTTGTAACTTCATAATGTGTTTAGAGTTTAAATTTTGGTTTTGCTTTTTCGCAAAGAAGGATAATTTAGGCGTTTTTTTCTGAGTATTTTGACGGGTTTTAGTTTCTTCATATTTCAAAATCTAAAATCAAGTTTTGAAAAATTTTTTGTTATTAACTTGATTTTGAACCTAGAGATGCTTTTTGTCAAGTCTCTTGCCAATTATAGCGACTTCTTGTGGTAAAGGGGGATGAAAACAGATTAATCGCCAATTTGCTGATCATTGGTCCACTACTTGTACTTTAAGATTTCAAAGATCAATTTTTCTCAGCACCAGATTTTTGGAAAAAGTGCAAAAGATTCGATGATAGGGATGATTTCAAAAAACTAACCGCGCAGACGTTGACGTTGTCACAGTCGTAGGTGACGCCGCCGTTGCTCGTAGAGACTCTGAAAATCATTCATTTAGTTAATTAAGAACCAAAGAAAGTTGAATTTTGAAGTAAAATAAAGCTCACTTGGTGCAATAATCGCCGGCGCACTCCTTTTGCTGCAGGGCCTGTCCTCCGATACCTGAAATTTTTGAGATCTTTCCAAGTTTCTTGTCAGCATTTCTTCCATGATTCCATAAATAATGAGAATATTGAACTTACCGCTGTAGCATCGGTTGGCCGTGACGGCAGCAACGGCAAGGGCGGCGAGGAGGGCGAAAACGGCGGTGCGGGACATGCTTCTGTAATTTGTTCATTTATTTTAGAGTTTTTGGGATTTTGAACGGTTTGAAAAGCGATAAAACGGAAGATGATTATCTTGAGGATGGAAATGTGCTGGAATCACAACTTAAGTTCTGAAAATGGTCAGGAACGCCGGGGAAAATGAACCTTTTTTTACATGTTTCAACGAAACAATTTTTATGAAATCGTAATTTCGAAATTTCAAACTATTGAGGTTGCTGTAGGGAAAATGAGGACTGGAACAGGGTTTTGAAGAAATTAAAAAAGTTGCAAGTTGGTTGGAAACTAAGCTGGAATATGGAATAAAGTTTGAGGTTTGAATTTTGAGTACAGTTTTTAAAAAGTACTTATTTCGCTCGATAAGTGTTCATTTGTGAACTCTGCCGGAAATTCCTATAGTTGTGGTTTTCACTATGAGCTTCTAGACCTCAGAAACTACAAAGAGAGAATGAAACTGGAAATTGTTGAATCGGGAATTTTTGAAGAGAAGTGGGATCTTGTTTCCGATTGAGTAAAAAAGGCTGAACGAGAAATTTATTTGTTGAAACAATACATCTGAAAAAAGACTCGAAAATTGAACTTTCGGTCAGTCAGGATTATGAAGTCGATTTCGAGAATCTGAACCAGTCAAAGGCTGCTCCAAACCAAGCGGAACGGACTTTTCATAAAATGGGATCAAATGTAGAGGAAGGGCGAGAAGAACTGGATTGGGACCAACGGAGGATAGCTCTTAAATATGCGTTTATTTAGTCTCCGCCCCTTTGCCGCTGCTCTGGGCTCTCTCGCTCTCTCGCCGCCGCTGTTTTGAACTTCTTCACGGCCTTTGGTGCAGCAAAACAAGGCGCCTCAAAAACAACACACACACACACACGCACAGTTTTTCGGAGGCCACGTAAACAGAGAGAGAGGGAGAGAAATGCATCATTCGATGGATTTCTACCGTTTGGTGTTTACCATCGAAACAGCGGCAAAAGGCGTCGATGGTCGATGATCATCCTCGTCCTCCTTGTTTATATCTGAGCACGGCAACTGGTCGCAGAAAGACCAGGTTTGAATTCGAATGCGACAGTGGAGAGATCTGTGATTTTTGGGTTCTTGCAAAGAGCACAAGATCTTGATCCGCGGTGTCCGGAGTCATTCTCTGACTCCGGATTTTTGGATCTGTAATCTCTTTGGTTTTCCCCTTACAAGTGAATATTATAAAGTCCATTCACCCCTGGCTCAAGAATTAAAAGAAAACAAAAGATCAACGAAATATTGTGCAAGAAGAAGAGATTTAAGGACGTCTTCGGAAGTAGGGGGGAATGGAGAATGGAAAAGTTTAGAGCGAGGTTTGAACCAATGGAAGAGGTTCAATTAAATAAATGTATGTTGAAAGCAAACGTTTTACAAGGAAGGTATCTTCGTATTTTGGGTTGAATGCCTCTAAAGTTGATTGATTCACTGGAAAAAAAAATCCTGTAAGTTGCAAATCAAACGAAAATTGAGCTTGAAGTTTGAATTACAGGAAAAGCCTCACTAGGTAGGTCATGTTAGTGTAATTTTTGAAGCTTTTATAAATTTGACTCTTTTGAAAGTCTTGATAAAAGTAATTGATGGTACCTGTAAGAACTTTTTTTATTGAATATTTTTTTGTAGCTTTAAACATAGAAATCGGCTTGAAATCAGTATTTCGCATCTTTTGAAAAAAACGATTATATGAAAAAAAGAAACCTACACAGGGAGGGATCTTTTTCAAGACATTCTGATAACTTTTTAGGATTTTTTTTTAGAAAATTTTAAACTTCATGACCTCCCTCGTCTGACCTGAAGTCCTTCACTTTTTTAAAAATCTGTTCAGAACTTTTTTTTTGCAGCAAATTTCAACTCTTAGCTCATCTTATTGAGCTTGTAAGCCATAAAAAAAATATGTTGATATTTTCATAATTTTTTTAAAAATTGTTCCAGCTTCCCATTTATCAAAAATGACTCCAAGAAAATTTGATTTTTTTAAAATAAACGTAGATCTGTTAAATTCAGTCAAAAAAAGATGCGTACAGCAATTTTTTTTCCGAAAAAAGATCACCAGTTTAAAATATGAGTCAAAATTTTAATTGGTTGAAAATCTGTTTTTTTATTTCCAACGAGAATAGTTACTTTAGAATTTCATCATAAAGGCTGTAGGCATCCAAAAAGTGAAGAAAACTATTAGGAAATCGTCGATATTCCCTCGACCTGCCTTTTTCACAACCTCTCAATTCTATTTCTATTTTTGAACCTTTTCCAGAACAACATATTGCGCAAGACAATTGTTTGCGCACCTGTCTGAATTCATGAAAGAGGAAAAAAAAAATTAATAATATCATGTTTCGAAACAAAAAAAATTTGAAAAGAAAACATCAGCAATTTTCCCGACAGAACCATGTAAATATCTTAGTCATCTTTCGTTTCGAAATTATAAGGAAAGAAAAAATTATCCCTTATTTTAGCGTTTTTTGAAAATACTAGGTAATTTATTTTTTTTTCAAAGAATTTTCAAAATAATAATAATTTGAAGGGTCATGCGCATGAATTGAAGTTGGAGATCTCTTTCTAATTTTCCCAAAAGAAAAAAAGTTCAAGGTGAGTAATCAAACACCTGGAAAGGTAGTGACCAAAGTTCAAAAACGCTGAAATTTGGAGAAATTCTGTTCTTTTTCGCGAAGCAACAGTGACTATGAAAGGTTTCTTTTTCGAGGGCTGGAATTTTTCAAAATAATGTTTCTAAATGATATTTTTTTATTCCTAAGCATGTTGAACAAAGTACTTGAAAACAAGCATTTTTTTACTCCATAGAAAAAAATTTTTTAAAAAAATCTTTGAAAAAAATCAAAAAGTTAAGGGGAAGTTCGCTCTATTGTAATCTGAGAAGTTACATACTCCACGAAAAAATGAAAGGAATTCCAAGGATCTTTTCAAGCTTGAAAGCTTTCAATATAATTTTACTCGTTATTCAACTCCTCTGGCACCTTTATCTGCCGAAAATTTCCAGCAACGAAGAAAAATAGAATTTTCTCCAAGGGCAACCAAAAATTGCCGTATTTGTTTGTGTGTGTCTCAATCATAAATTTCTGCCACTTCAAAGAAAAGAAAAGCTCAAAATTTTAAAGCATCAAAAATCAACACTACGAATTTTTTCTAGACCTTTCTCTCCATTCGAATTGAAATCATGGGAACATTTTGCACGAAACGGAACAGTTTTTCCCTTTCAAATCGATCGGCTTTGTTTATTTGATGTAAAGAGATCAACGAGCAGAACACTCGAAAACGTGTTGGAAATAGTTGGGGAAAACAAAAAGAGAATCAGATTCGAATTGAAGTAAATGGCTTCTTTTCTTCACCTTTTGATAGGAAATAAACAAGATGAATGGGTTGAAAAGGAGGATTAGGACATTTGCTTGATCATTTGAGATATTATTTTTGCTGTTTCGTTTCTTTTTTGGGAGTTTTCGTAATATGAAAAAACGGAAACGACATCATCGGAACCGAATTTGAAGAACTGGGAAAATTTTTAGTGACCACTATAGAGGCTCGCCAAGGACTACTTGGAGAGGATACTAAAGTGGCCACTAATGCCACCTCTATATTGGCCACTATTTTCTGTTTTAGTGTCCACTTCAGTAGTTTTTTCATCCAGTATTCCTTCCAGTAACTCTGATAATTTTAAAACAAGCAGACTGGACCAGTTATGTTGATCCATTGACCCCTAAAGTGGCCTCTAAAATTTTTAGTGGTCTGGTAGTAGCACTTAGACCTCTATATTGGTCATTAACTTTTAACCCCTTAAGTGGCCACTAATTGGACTACTATAGTGGGCACTAAACCGTCAAAACCCTATAGTGGCCACTAAAACTTCAAAACCCTATAGTGGCCACTAAAAATTTCCCCAGTAAATACCCATTTCTTTTCCAATTTTTATTATAATAATTTTCCAAGGCAGATTTCAGCAAAACTCGAAGAGAAGCATTTTTTTATATTTTTTTTCTGAAACACTTATATCATTTTCTGCCTTTTTTTGAAGTTCTAGCGGCTGAAATAGCATGATAAGCATATCAGTTTTAATCAAGCCTTAAATAATTTTGAAAACGGCTCTTCGTCTCAAGAATAATAAAATTAGCTCATGCTCCTTTAAACATCCTAGATAAGACAATAAATTCTAAGATTTTTGAAGTTTCCAGCTCACGAAATGACTGTATTTTTTGAAAAATAATGAAAAAGTAAGTTCAAAAAAACCAGAAAAGTATGTAACTAGTAACTAATAACGCCTTATCAAGGTGTTCCCTGCTCCTTCATGTTTATCAAAGCACCTTCTTTTTTGTTTTTCCCCACTGCAATCATTTTTTTCTTCTTCTCTTCCAAAAAAACAGGTTCTATTTCATAGTAATATGTATTTTTTTATGAAGTTATTGTTGAACACAGTATTTTTTTCTCGGCTTTATTGAAAGAATAAAAAAAGATATGAAGTTAATAAAAAGAAGATCAGTGATAAACATTAGGGCAAGAAGCTCTTTATTGGAGAGCTGTAGGAGGAAACCCGATTAAGGAGAGGATTTCGGGAAGACCTAGGAAATTATTTTCCAAAGGAACGTTGAGAATAAAGAGAAAATTACTTCATTTTTGCAAGAAAAAATGTCTAAACTTCCCTATATCCTCTAATGAGAGAGTAAGAGGGCGCAGAGATTGAAAGAGAATGACGTCTCTCTAATCAAAAAGTTTTTCTCTCTGACAAAAAAAAATTTGATCGTTATAGCAATTTCACCGTAGTACAACCATAGAGATCAACAAAATAACAACCAGTAAAAAGTCAATTTTCGAAGAACAAAAACTTGGAAGACTAGCTTTAAAAAATTGTGCCGGTTCTGAAGTCGAAGGTGGTCTCTTGGTCGTTTCTTCCTTCAAAGTTTTTTCCGGCTCCGAAACCGGCACAGAACGTCAAGTGGCCGGATCGACTGGCGGGAGAATCGAAGAGACTCCTTCGCCGGTTACCAGCTTCTCGATGACCGATGTTGGCTGAAACTGAATCCTTCTTAGATAAGAAGCTTTTACAAAAAAGATTGTGATAATGGGGTTTTTGCGACTTTAAACAAAAGAAAAGGTAGAAAATTTTCAAACTGTTTCCGAGCTTTTTTTATTTGAGATAATCAAATAAACCTATACTTTTCAATAGTATTAGGAACTCCAGAGTGGTCCCTATAGGGGCAACCTTAGAGGCCACTTTACCAACCCCTATAGGGACCACTGAAGCTTGCAAAAGTGATCCCTGCAGGGGTTTAGTTAGTAACCCCTATAGGGGACATGCTAGTCAATAATTGTTAGCAAAGAAGCATTTTCATGAGAAAAACTGAATGAACAAACGTTTTTAAATGAAATTGAGAGACCCCTACAGGGTCCACTTGAGCTTCAGGGACTAAGGGGTCAGACCCTAAACCCCTATAGGGACCACTTTTTCGCTCCCTTGTAGGGGTTTTTTCTATGTCCTGGTTTAATCTAACATTTTTCAAAACTTACCATAACCCGACAATCACAGTGAGAACCAGCGGACAGTGTTAACGTCGTCAAAATCCCACTATCATTTCTGACGACTTCCAAAGTTCGATGGGAAGTTGAACAGGTGGCGTAGCCTTCAGAGAAGATTTTAACACGGTTTTCAAGTTGATAGGACAAACCACTGAGGCAGGACCTGTCGGCGTTGTCACAAACGAGCTCATTAATGTACTGCGGGAAGTAGTTGCTGGGAAGTTTCCGCCAAACCCAACAGGAAGAACACAAAGAGACGGTCCCGTCAGAGTCCGGAGTGATGCCTTTGGAAGAACAGGAGAGCGTGAATCGCGTTCCTGAATTGAAAATCTTCATGTTAATCCTTAAATTTGCAAAAAGCTTTTCTAATGGCTTAAGGAATTATCGTTACATTTTCAGCGCGGCCGACAATAAACTACTTGCGCGCGGCGGCGTCCTGTGAGAGAAGTCGCTAAAGTCGGGTGCAGATGTAGTGTATGTATTAAAGTCAGAACTCATTTTTGATCTCGAAGGAGCTGCAACGCTTCGAGTGACTCATGAAATAGATTCAAGGGAAAAAATGGAGTGTAAAAAGTTCAATGAAAAAGGGCATTTTTTGTTTCTATACCTCCATTTATGAAAAAAAAATTTCTTTTGTCCTGGAGATGAGGGAATATTAGAGAGCTCTTCAAGTGATGAAGTTTGCATGAACTTTTGTATACATTTCTCTCCTAAGGCAATTTTCAAAGAGATCCAGAAGCTCAGAAAAATGATAAAATTGTCCTTTACCCAAAAATGCGTGTCAAAAAAAAGTATGAGATTTTCGGCGACTAGAATTTTTCTTCCGAACAGGTAGAAGATCTTATTTTTCTGCATTATACGAATCTTTTCCTACTTCATGAAATGAAACAGATTTTTCAAGGTTAAAGCTTGAAAATCATTCAGGAAAAGTGTATTGTTGGGAAAAATCACTGGCCACTAGTATGACCTTCTTTTGAACGTTTTCAGGGAGATTTTCTCAGATCCTACCTTTTTATTTGCTCTTAGTAATTTTTTTGAATTTTGAATAAGAAAAAAACCGACCCAAAACTGTTGATCCAGAAAGATCCGGCGTTTGTCGCCTCATTCTTTTCCGAAGCAGTTTGCTTTCAATCAAGCCTATAACTTCCAAATTGATAAATTAATCGTTTTCTAGTTATTCACCTGTGTTTCTGTGTGTAATCTTGTGATATAAGCCTTCGTCTTTCCTAGCGAATCGGTATTTTTCGCAAGTTGTGCCTGCTGGGGGTGAGTTTGGCTGGTCTGGCGTTGGTAAAAGTCCGACCTGAAACTTTTTGATAACTGTTTTTTTTCTTGAAGTTAAGAAAATACCTTTGAAAGATGAAGTCTGATGTCTCTCATGCAGTCTTTACACTGTTTGTTGGAACAATGACTGGGCGAAGACTGAAAATTTTAATTATTCTGTTATTTCAGAAATAGTTTGACCAAAAAATCATTTTTTTTTTGTCAAGACCTGGAACAGTCTCTCCTTTGATCTACAGGTGAGGGAAAAGAGGGCGCAGAGAGGCTAGACTAGTGAAATTGTGACTTTTTCTCAAAGAGGACCATTTTTGGTTCAACTTGTGTGTTTTTGAAATTTCTTTATCCTGCTGCTTCATTGGATGTTTTCTCAAGATATCTTCTGAAAAAATCAATTCTTTTTGTATTTTTACCTTCGAAAAGAGACTCACAGCAACGTTTCGAAAATTGTAGATCTCGGGCAGGTTTCTGTGTTCAGTGGAATCCAGGGAGAGGTCGGGGAAGGCGCTTATAGCCTCTTCCAGACTCGTGGCCTGCATTCGACTATCGTAGGGTTGGCAGAGACTCGTGGGTGATGGCACGCAGATGCACTATAATACTCTTGTTTTTGTCAACTTCCTTTACTTGAATCCCAAGGAGATAGCATCCCAACACGTCGCGCCCGACTAAAAACTACTTTCGCTCAGCAGCATAATGTAACGTACTACTAATGAATTTATCTTAGACTTTTAACTCTATGTTAGCCTCATCCACTAGAGAAAAAAAAAGTATTTTCCCTGAGTTGTATCCTTCATCTCTGCAAAAACTCCGTACTCTTGATATTTTGACTTTCCTATTCAAAATCATAAGAGCGAAAGGATGTTCAGAACTCGGAGTTTTCTTGGTAACAACCTCCTCTAATTTCCGCTTTTTATTGTCGACCTGCCGTACCTTACTTTTTCCAGGTAAAGGTGAGAATAGGGAACTGAGTTCCTATATACACTTTTTTTTAGAGCTTCGGAACAGAAATGATGTCTTTGAAATGTACGAAAACAAGACCCTTCCATACGGAAATTCAAACTTCTAGTAGGGATAACAGTTTGAGCTACATTACTTTCCAAAATGAATGTTATTTCGATAAATATTAGGACTATTATCAAATTTTCTGTTCAAGGAGCCTTGGATCCAAATCATCTGGTCGAAAAAAAAAATTGTAAAATTTTTCAAACAGGCTAACTTAGGATACCCTGGACTTCATAGTAGGTGTATGTTATTCATCAAAATATCTGTTTTCGTGCCTAACAGATTTTCCCTATCGATATACAATCTTCTGGTGAAAATTAAGTCTCTCGCAGGATGTTTCAAGATTTTCAAAGGAAAATTTTTGCAGGTTGCAATTTAAAGCTTCATTCAGTTCCTGTTTCCGAAAAGTTGAACTTTCTAGAAAATTCCTTATGTGAAGCGGCTTCTCCTTGTTTTGTATTACAAGAAAAGTAATTTTATTTTGCGGTAGATAATTTCCTTAAAATTGGCCAGAACGATCTTTGATGTACCTGAAGAAGATTCTGAAAGTTTCAACATGAAAGACTCCCTCGATTCTGAGAAAAGACGCCTCGAAGATGAACCTCAAAATCCATTAAAATGGGCTATTTTAGGGCTTTAAGTCCTCGTTTCTTGAAAACTAAGAAGTTGTACAGGTTGGGACTTTCAGAATCTTCATCTGGTACACCGAAAAGTGTTCTGGTCAGTTTTCAGGAAGTTCCCAATCGCAAAGTTAAATGACCCCCCTTTTTAATGCTTCAAGTTCAATCCTTAAAAGTAGACACAAATTTAAAACCAAGAAGGATCAAAGTCCTTTTTTCACTCATCCAAAGATTCCTAACTTGTAAAAAAAGCCTCACCTGAGGATGGATTGTAGTGGCCTCTCTCTGAGGAACCAGAAAAGGATTCGCTGTGGAAGCTTTGACTGGACTTCCAGCAGAAACCGAATAATCAGCCACGAAAAGCACCAGCCAGAGCCCCGACATTCGGACGAACTTATCCTGAAACTCGTCCCTTATATAAGCCCTCACTTTTTTAGCCACGCCCTACCTTTTAATCGGAAAAAAAAAAACGTTCCCGAGTACGAAAGATCACTGGATTTTTCGGGAATGATGGAGAAAAAAGTGCAAAATAGATTTTCTACAAAAACAGGTGGTGAGATTCCTAGAAACGTTGGAGTTAAGTGCTCTTGCAAAAGTACAATCTTAAGAAATTGACCGTGAGAAGATTGTCTCTTGGCAAAGTTCTGGGAAAGGTCGTCTGGGGAAAATAGTCAAATTGTAATAATAATGATATATTTAAAACAAAAACAACCCTTTTTTGATTTTTAAGTTTTTTGAGTTACGGTATCCGAAAGTACGCGATTAGGAAGAACGGTGCTTACAGGAGACGCATCAAAAATGACGCTCATTTTTTGTATTTTTGGCTTCATTTTGAATTTTGCTTGGGTTTTCCGTGACTTTAGGACTTTATATGGGTACAAAGTTTTCTCAATTTTTTCTGGGAAATTCGAAGGTGTTGGGATATTTTAGGACTCAGAACAAGTCTGAAAACAGCTTTTGGGCTTGTTTTACGACACTTAAGTGATTTTTTTGTTTTAGAGCGATTTTTTGCGATTAGAAGAAAGTTCAATTTCTCCAATGAACACCGCCTATTTAGAATATCTGTCTGGGTTATTTAAATACGGATAGGTCTCGAGGCGAAGAAACCCAAAATACCACAATAATCGACTTTTCACATCAAGATCTCTGTTTTTAAAAAGGGGATTGTGTGAAGTGAACATCGCAGATCTGGTCCAAACTTCGTAGGTAGTCCCAGGTATGAGTATTCAAAAACAGAAAGACTTATTTGCTAGCCGTCACAGGGTACGGAGAAATAGCCAGTCAAAAATGTATTGGAAAAGCTCAACTCTTTCATTTTTTTTCAGGAAAATCTTTTTTTCTCGTCTTTCTTATGATATAGTGAACCGTACCAGTTTGTTTTGGAGAAACAGAATCCGAAGAAAATCAGTTTTTGAGCTTTTACTGTGCTTCGATGAGCTATTTCTCAGTACCTTCTGGCGCTTAGCAGATAGTTCTTTTTTTTTTTAGATTGCTTATATCTAGAACTACCTACCGCAGAAGTTTAGACTAAATCTGACCTCGAACACCTCCTTCAACAGACTATATTACTACTAGAAGAGAGATTCAAAGGATCAAAAGAATAGAAATGGGATGTTTGTTAGAAAATCCCCGGAGTGATATCACCAAGGCTAGCGGAATGCGTAAACGGATGCTATCAATTTCCAGTTGGACATCTTTTCAGAGAACCATCTATAGCTTGTTTGATCTTTTGGCTCGTGATTAAAAAATTGACCTTCTATCGTTTTTTTTTGTCGCTTCCTCAATTCCTAGGATTTTCATTTCGAGCTGTAGTAAAATTAATTTCCAGTAGGATATGCTTTCGAAGAATGATCTTTTGGCTTCTAGAAAAAAATTGACATTCTATTTTTTTTGTCTCATCATAGTTTAGACCGCAGAAATTTTTTAAAAAGTAGACTGTCATTGGATTTTCAATTGAAAAAAATAATTAATCCAGATTCTTAGGAACAAGGTTTCTAAGACCTAACTAATTAAGAAAATCAAAGATTCCTTTTCAAGAGAATAACCAAGATTGGGCAATCTAAAAAAATATTTTTTTTGAGAAACAATTTTGGTTTTGAGTAAAAAAATGGCCTTCTATCATTTTTTTCTCGATTTCTTAAATTTTTCCAAAACGAAGCTTCAAAAAATAATAAACCCTAGTAGAATTTTTTTCAAAAAAATTGATCTTTTGGCTTTCAACGAAAAAAATGGATATATTATCATTTTTTTCGCTTCCTCATTTCCTATAACTCCATTTTGAGCTTTAAAAAACGGAAGCTATTCATTTCCAGTAAAACATGTTTTCAAAGAATGATCTTTTGGCTTTTACTGAAAAAATAACTTTTTATCGGTTTCATCGTTACCCAGAGTATAGTTTAGTCAATAACAGTTTTTTTTTTGCAAAAAGTCTTGATCATTAATGTTCCATTTTTGGAAAGGTTTAATCCAGTTTTTGAAATACATCATTTCTCACACCTAATGGAAACGTTCTTTTGATTTGATTGCCAGTGTGAAAAAGGGCATTTTGTGGGAAAATAAGATAACTTTTTGCCCTAAAAGAGATCAACCAAGATTAAACGATGAAAGTACACTTTCTGAGAGAAATTTTAGATTTCGAAGCGATTTTTTAGGAACTATCCAATCAAAAGTTCTCTTAAATCGAATGCAAAGCCCCTGAGTGAACCCTTGAAAAAATGATTTCTTTTTGCTCAAAAAAATATTTGAAAAAAATTCATACAAAAGAAAAAAATTTTTCTCAAAAAAAGGCCGGATCGATTTGAAAATGAGCATGACAAACGCGGCGATTCCACCTGAAAAAAAGGAATTATATTTTTTTCGCAGACACAATTTACAAAAAAAGCAGGTGATTTTCTCATAAAAACTACGTCTACGATATAATATAATAAAATGTAATGTAATTCGTTTCGACTCTCCGAATAGGAAAAAGGACGTTAGTAAGATTCTTGTAAATAGTTATTTTTTTAGAGTTTTACGTCTGAAAAACACCTGGCTACCGTAGACTTGTTTTTCTGGGCAACTTGGAAGCAATCATAGTTCTAAAACCGGAAAATCAAGAATTATTGGGATTATGGGGAGGCACTTGGATAGCTCACTACATGAACAAAATAAAACAATTTTTTTGGAATATGATCTTGTTTCATCGCCTTAGAAAGTTTATTATTTCTTTTTTTTTTAAGGTTTTAAAATTCGGAAACCTACCCGTAACTGGAAACGTCAAAACCCAGGACAGCATGACTTTTTTCACCATTTTCCAATGAACCACTGGACCCGTCCTGACCAATCCCAACATTATTATTGAGCCGACCTGAAATCTCAGCTTTTTCTAATTTTTAGTTAAACTTTGATGTTTCTCCTTGGCACTGCCAAACAAGAGAGCCGTTATAGAAAAATAAATGCTTCCCTCTCATTTTTGAACGCTCTCTAAGTAGATTTTTCTGAAGTTCTTATGAAATTTACAGTTTCCAGGTTTTATACACTATTGATTATTTTTATTTGAAGTTTAAAAAACAGCCAAGAAAACTTTGATTGATTTTTGAATAATTGTATTTAAATACGGTTTTCTTTCATTTCGACTTTTTCAAAATCTTTCACAGAATTTCTGGAAGAACTTGATCCAATTATGACAAATTAGTTACCAAACTATGCGTATTACTCTGCGGCACATTGATCACATTGACAATCATTCCGGTGATCATCGTCCCGAATTCCACTGCAAAACCCCTGAAAATCCTTTTTTTCAATTTACTATATACTCTGACTAGAACAAACCTTAGTATGATGACTTACTTTCACCTGCTCTTTTTGCACTTTAGTTGAAAAAAAATTGAAAAAAAAAGATGGATAGACCTTGGTTGAAGCTGTTTTGAAGATTTAGAAGTTAACCTACCATTTTTCAGTAAGCGAAAGCTTCTAAATAAAATCGAAAAAATCGTCGAAAATGCGGGAAAAGTTTGAAACAAGGAGCCGATGTTACAGTCTTTGAAGCTAAAGAGCACTGGTAAACAAGAGATCAGCTACAATACAATACACAATACAATATTTATTGGTTGTTTTAGTCAGATGGTATCGACTAGGCGGTGAAAAAATTGCTCTTTTGAGCGGCACTAACACCGCCTTTGGCGAAAAAGAAGTCAAAACGTGTAGTCGATTGAATTGAAAGCATGATCTTACTGCCCTTCTCCTCGCTCTTCCACAAGTAGATCCCTCAGTTTCGCGGGTACGGGCACGGCGGTGATGGTGTGGCTCGGGCACGGACTCCGTGTACACTCTAGGGTAGCCTCGGCCGACTGAGAGAGCTACCACTTCGAGTGAAGAAAATACACGGAATACACGGAAAGCTAGAGAAAACAAAGAACCTATCCCTCTCATTTTTGAACGCTCTCTATAGCCTGTGTACCACAACTTGGAATTTCACCGAACGACATTCCGCTGTGCCGCTGCGCGCCTTTGCGAGCCTTGGTCGCGCCTTAAAATTTTTTTTCTTTTGTTAAGGTACTCTTTTTTCAATTGCTCCCACAGCAATACAAAATCAATTTAAAGCGTGACCTAGATTCCAACGCACGCAGCGGAACAGCGGAATGTCGTTCCGTGAAATTTCAAGTCGTGGCACACAGACTATAACTTTCGTCGACTAGAGAAAAGATCTAAATACAAGGAATTTTGAAAAGTAGAAGTAGTTTGCGATTGATTAATTATCAGAAAAGAACTCTTTCTTACGTTGCTGGATTAATCCTCGAAATTCCATCGCCAACTGTAAGAACAACTCTGGTTCCAATCGACCAAATCCCAATGAGGATCGCGATCGCAGCGAACATCCCAAGAAATATCACAATCTTGAATAGAAATTTTTAGTTTTGGAAAGCTTTGAGAAAGATTCTTACTCACATCAACTGCACCCGATGTGAGACTCTTTTGGTTGTACATGCGTAATAATTTGTACAATGGCGCGACGGAGACACTGGAAATGATATTTTTTTCATTATCATGATGTATCAAAAAACACTCGAATTTTAAATTGAGAGCCGATATCATCGCTTTTTTTGTTGAGTAACGATAATCTTCGTAAAAAAATGTTTCAAAAGGAAATAAAATAGCTCCAAAAGTTTGAAATGAAGCGGAAATGGCGCCCCATGGCGAACACTCAGTAATAAAAAAATTTTTATCAATTTTTATGCCGTGTTCAAAGTGATTCCGCGAAATTCAAAATAGCCGTCAGAGAAAGAGAAAGATAACTAAATTTTGGAGGGTCAGAGACAATTTCGCATTTCGCGGAAATTACTTTGAACACGGCATTATCTTTTCAAATTTTTTTACCGTTATTTAGACCAACAAATATGTAATAAATTTATGAAAACAATCAAAAAAAGCTGAGTTTCAGTTGGGACACAATTTTAACCGATTAAACGATTTAAAATTGTCTGTCTAGGGCTTTTTTGCTTCAGTTTCTCCTTTTTTTATTTTCCAAAAAAACTACTTCGATTATTCAACTTACACAATATCATCAGCGCCATAGGCTAATGCAGAAAAACAAGCTACAGTAAGCTGTAGAAAGGAAAAAAGTCGGACGGCCGTCTGATCATCAGTCGATTGGGAGGTTCGAAGCCAGGCCAGCGCTCCGAGACAATCTCAATTTATTTTTAAGATAAATGTGAGAAATATAGGGCCTCAAGAAAATTTCGGAAGTTCTCAAGATACATCGAAAAATCCTTGAAGATTCAAAAAAAATCTTTGAGAGAAATTAAAAAATTTTCAAGTAGAGCTCATAAAATTCTCTTCTTGAAAAAAAAAAAACTCACATCCTTTATTTTCTGTTTTCCTCTTCAACCACTCCAAATCACGATTTGACCGATTTTTCTGCATCGATAAAAATAAGCCGTTATTTTTATCACCTGAAATTAAAAGTGACCATTTTAGTACTTTTAGAGGTCACTATAGCAGTCAAGTTAGTGGCCGCTTAATCATTTTTTTTTCCGATGGAAACTTGAGACTCACGTTTTATTCTGTAGTGCATAACGGGCTCTGCAATTATCATACATCCAAGTCCAGCAACTCCACCGAAAATCAAAGAAATGGCGGTTATATATTCAGTGGAAAGGTCGTTGAAACCAGCGACTAAAAATGGATTTTTAGCGAAAAATAGGCGTTTTAAAGGAATTCTCACTTCTAGAACCATCGGTTAGTAGTAGAAATATGTTGCTGAAAAATGTGACGCAGTAGAAGGCCGGAAGCATGTTGAAAGCCGCTTTTTTCGGGTCTTTCTGAAGAGAAAAAAAAAGGAAATTTTAATGTTTTTTCACCACCCAAAAAAGTAATTTTTCCAAAAAAACTAACCCTCCTGAGGACTGTAAAATCGATGACATAAAATACGAAAATTGTACAGAGTCCAGAAACAAATGGAGCGAATATCCAGACAATGACTGAAAAATGAAGAATTATTGGGGAAATCACGCCCTATTGATGAAAATAAAATCCAAGTTGTCATTTAAGTGAGAAAACTCAAAAACATAAAAAAATTTTTTTGATAAGGTTACTCAAGTGATCACTTTTAGATAAAACTCTCTTCCTTGTTTTTTCAAGTTGAATAAATGATGGATTTTTAAATTATTTCTTTCGCGGTTCCTTAAGTTATCACTTTTTGAAACCTCAAAAGATCTCTTGAATAAAAAATTTTACTAGGGTTGCCTCTTAGGAGAAGCTGAGTGACCACTCAAGTGGTTTTTTTCCCGTTAGATAATTTCCTTGTTTTTGAAGGGAGCTAAAATTCAATTTCTGAAGTTTGATGACCTTCAAAAATCGTGCTTTTCATTTTCCATGAAACTCGTTAATAAAAAAACCGACCAGTTTCAAGAACTCGCCACCAGGAAATACCCTCGAATCCTCGTAAAACGAACGAAAATCCAATATTCCCACCCAAAGTCGCGTGAATCGCAGATACTGGGATTTTGTAAATTGTCGCTATCATCAGCCAAATCGCGCACCCTAATTAGTTTGTTTTTGGAATGGTTTCAGAAAAAGAAAACCGATCAAAGTAGCGACTTGGCCCAAAATCAACTCTTCCGGATGATCCTGATACATTGTAGCGTCAATGACTTCTAGGGTTTTTACCATGTTTCCGAGGAATCCTAAAAAAGTTAGTTAGTTAAGGAATACACTCATTAACGACCTTTAAGTTTCAACATTAAAAAATAAGTTTTCTAAAATTGAGTCCCATCAGCAATAAAAATTCATAACGACTTCTGAAAAGACGATTTTTGACCCAGTTTTCAACAATTTTGGAAAAGTCAATTAATTTTTTCCTTCTACCAAAGCCTGATTTTAATGAACTTATAACTCTACCTGCAATCAAAGCGCCCATCATTTCGAAAATAGTCGCTAGAATCAAAGCTTGTGTCAGGGTGACCGTATGACTTCCGACGGAGGTTCCAAAAGAGCTGGCAATGTCGTTGGCGCCCATCCCGACGCCAAGAACCGTCGCCACGCCAAAAATTAAGGCCCATTCCACGGCTCTCTGTAAATTTAAACTTTTTTGAGTCTTGAGTTGAGAAAGGGCGTTTATAAACGTAGTTAAAGTAGTTCTTCTACGAAAAGGTTCCCAAAATTTGAAGGAAAAGCTTGTCTGAGAACTTGAGCTTTTTTCCTGAAAACTAGGAGTTTTCGCGAGTTCGATCTGCATCAAGTTACTACCATATAAAGAAAATTTTTGGCCAGTTTCCAGAATATTCCAGATCAAAAAGTGAGAAACCTTCCTCGAAATATTTTTGATCTGAAAAATCTCCTTTTTTTGAGCTGATTTTTCATCGTTTTTTCGCAGCTTCTTTGTCCCCCCCCCCCCTCCTTGGGTTGAACTTTTGATGAAACTTTGCTTAAGTGGGCTTTAGGACCCCTTGATCCCAGAACAAGAAAAAGTTTTCTCGCAATAGATATGAATTTCGAGTTAGAACGCTTCAAAGATAGTGAAATAAGCAAATTATGGTGGCAAAAAACCATTTTTTCAAACTTTTGAAGCTCCATAACTCGGAAACGAGATCTATTGAAAGGAACTTTCTTCTCGCTTCGAAATCAGGAGCTCCTAAAGAACACTTCATCAAAATTTCAACAGTGGGGGTAAAAACGTTCCCTAGTAAATTTGCTAAACTAACAATGTCAAAGTAAGGGACGGGCTTGTAGGCGTCTGTGGTAGTAGTCAGGGTAGCTGGAGGAGGGTAATGAAAGTAGTCATGACGGGAAAGGAGCTGTGGCATGTCGGTTCGAGTCAAGAGCTTGACAAAGTCGCAGTTGACGGACATGACAACAAGGGCTCACTGTTTGTCGACTGCATTACGTGCATACTATATGTGCAATTGTACGGAGGTCCTCATGCTCCGGTGTCATGTTCAGACCTAGTTGATCAAGTGGTTTCACTGAAACTCGGAGTGAGGTTTTTGGATCTCATGGGTCTTACTAATTTTAAAACTTTGTATTCTGCTTATATAGCCGTTTCTAGTATATATGTGTCCGTCCTGAGTCCCAAAAGTCTTTTTTTAAAAAGAAACACATATATCAAGTAAAAAAATCTAACGAAAGAAGTTATAAGAATGGGGACCTGACAACGGAGTTTCTTTGAAAAAGCTCTTATCAAGTCGAGTTTAAAATGATAAAAGGTTAACTTCTTAATTAAAAAATTATTCACAAAATCATCAGAATACAAAATAAAAAATGAACGTCTTCTTTATACAAAAAACATCAAAAAACTACAAATCACCATAACAAAGCTTGAAAATGTTCTCAGTATTCAGAGGACTGAATGATTCGATGAAACTTTCTTGGCCATTCTGTTTTCTGAAATCTTCGATGGCGTTCAGAATAGCTGTGTTGACGGCTACGCAGAGCAGTAAAGGTGGTTCACCGACGCCCTGAAAACAAAACTGAAAGAAAAATGATGAAAACGTAGGAAAAAAAAGGCAAAAAAGTCAAATGCTAACATGGCCAAAAAAGCCTATAAACAGCTAGGACGCATTGAATTGTATGCTCCATAGATAATTTTCAAAAAAAGTTTTTATGTCTGACATTCGAAGTAAATTCAATTTTTGATAAAGAACCAAGCTTAAAAATTCAACCTAAATTGAATAAGACTGAGAATTATCTATGGAGCGCAGTAGATCCACCGAATGGTCCTTTAGAGAGGCTTTTTTGTTCAACTTTGTCAATTTCACTCTTTCTTTTTTTGAAGCTTTCTTCTTCTATTTACAGAGAGATATCTTCAAAAATCAATTTGTAGTATCATTAGTTAAAAATCTGAGAAATCCACTTACTACTTACCTTGGTTAGAAAAGCCCTAATACTCGTTTTTCAAAAATAATTGACGTTCACGTAATCTTCGAGTTTTATTCCCGTTTCAACGACCTTCTCCTATAATTTTCTCACCTTTGACGAGTAGACCTGCTTCTCAAAGTTCTTATTAGCACCAATCAACTTGATCCGGAAATCTGGCGGCACCATGTCAGCCGTCGGAATTTTATACTTTTTCGCCGTGTTTTGGATCAAAACGCCAGTTTTCTCATCGAATTCCACGTTCTCACACGTCATCCAGCCATAGCCCTCAAAATATTGATTTTTGTTTTCTAAGAAAAAATATTGATTTTGATGGTCACCTGCATGAAAGCGCCTTCAATCTGTCCAATGTCAATGGCCGGGTTCAAACTTTCGCCCAAATCCACGACGATATCAACGCGGACAAGCTTGAAAATCGTTTTTTTTTTTTTCGAAATAAGATCACATCATTTTTTTAAAGAGAATTTTTTTCGACTTTTTTTGCCTTATAGCAGTTCAGAATAAAAAAATTAAAAATCTGGGCTCAAAAAAACCTGGAGAAATCTCATTTTAAGCCTCCTTTATTCAAATCTTCCTGCTTCAAAATTGCCTGGACTTTTTTTCATGAATATCTAACAATCAATACTTTTGTAGATTTTCAGATTTCCTGGCTTTCTCAATTTCTCTTCATTTGAATTTTCTGGTCATTTTCTTTAAAAAAATATCCAAGATGCACAGAAATCTTTTTTCCTTCATAAATGATTCTTCATGCCTATAGTTCACATTCTTGAAGAATTCTTGAAGTTTTCTAGAATTTTTTAGCTTCTTTACGAAATTTTACGAAAAATAAGCCTCGATAATCGATGATAAAGACAGAAGATATCAAAAACAATAGTTTCCGATTTTTCTTTTTGAATTTGATTTTAAAAATACTTTCTGAAGTCCAGTGATACAATCGAGTTCAACTTCAACAGCTGCTGCCCCACTTGTATTGTACGGCGCTTCTCCATGAGGGATTCCATATTTTTCCAGATCGGTCCTTGAAAAATAAAATTTTATCATTTTATATCAGAGAAACTTACAACCCATATTCGGTGACTTGAAGAGGGACGCATTTTTTGTAAGCCGCCAGAACGGCCTTTTCCCAGTGGCCATTTGCCTTTTCCAAAGAGGGCTTCAAGTTGGTCAGCAGCTTTTCGCAACAGGCCTAAAACTGGTTGAAATTTTGAGTACTTATTCCACTCACTTAGAAATTAGATATAGCCTCCTACGATAAAAAAAAACTCTGAAACCCTAGAAACTTCGCTCTAACGAGAAAAATTTCTCAAAATTTTTGCTTTTGCGGAGCTAATCAGCGATTACTTTCCAAGACTGTTAAGGAATGATGAGAGGATAAATGAACTATGAACTGAACGTATCCTCACAATCACTGCCAATCCATTGACATCAGCTCCTTGACTTCCTCCAGTCTCAACGGCGTTCGCCGTTTTGTCGGTACTCGTATCTTGGACCGTTATGCTTTCCACGGGTCTCTATAAAAAAATGTTAATGACAAGACAGTTGATTCATAGGAAAGTTAAGGTTTCCAACCAACCTTATAAAGTAATAAAGTTCAGAATATTACTATTTATGGGAATGATAGTTTCCAAAGTTTTAGAGTAATGGCTTGGCTCACTGCCAAGAGTGAACTTTAAAAATTGATATTTTTAAAACAAGGATACAGAGTTTGGACGAGTTCCAAACATGCGAATTTCACGATAAATTAGTGGTCTTCCTAGATTTTTGATATTTAGACTGAAAAGGATCGAATAAACAAAATTGAAATCTCGGACATTGGTAACGCGAAACGGACGTGCTCCGGACGTTTATGGGCGATTCTAGGGATCACTTAAGAGTGCTGAGGCTACTAAAGTGGTGCCCTGACACATCCGATTCGCGTTACCAAGGTCCGAGATAGAAAGAAACGTCTTCAAAAGCAAGACCGGAAGTAGAAAATCTGAAATTAAACTGAAAAGTTAGCTTTGCCATAATCATCTTCCTTCCAAGGTTGAGGGAAACGAACATACTAAAAAATATATCCCAGTATATACCCCAAGAGCTCGACTGGCGACTTGGACACACTTTTGGTACAATCCTTGGCCCATATCGATTCCTCCGATCGACAGGCCAATAGATCCGTCGAGGAAAATTTGCACCGTCGCGATTCCCTGCAAAGTTATCATGCACTCAGACATTGGCAACGCAAAACGGACTTTTCTGGGCATTTCTAGTGACCGCTTTAGTAGCTTCAGCACTCTTCAGTGATCCCTAGAAATGCCCAAAAACTTCCAGAGCCGATGTCTGAGGAATATTTGCTTTTTAGCTGCCACATGGTTCCAAATTTATTTTTTTCTATGATTTTTTTTTTGAATTAATAGGATCAAAAAAAATGTGTTGATCAACAAACCTGAGCCATCACACCGGCCTGAGGCAGTGGGTACCGCACGGCAGACATTGAAATGCCTTTTTTCACATTTTTCGATGTTCTGAAAAATCTTTTTTGAACAAAATGCTCAGAATCGGGCAAAGTAAAAGGTTTTATCGTGTTCAGAGGGCCTTTTTTAAATAGAACCATCTGATACCTTTAAGAACATACTGGGCTCTCCAAAAATCGATATTTCCTTAGATTGCGTCCATTTCGTCACTCGAAACTTCAAAAATTCATATCTCGGCTTAAAATGCTCAGAATTGGGTGAAGTAAAGTTTCTTTCCTATAAAACTATCTGGTACTCTCAAGAACCCATAGGGTTTTCGAAAAATCATTTTTCCGGCTAATCAAAATTTTGAAGTGGTCAAGAATTTCTCAAGAGTATTTTTTTCCTTTAAAGGACATATTTTTTTTGATTAAATTTTCTTCAAATTTATATGTTCACCTGTTAAGTTCAGCAACACCTCTCTTTCGATTATCAAAATCGCTCATCGAACGACACTCCGTCCAACAGAGCAACATTGCGTCGTTTCTAATCGTCGCTCCAGCGAAAGTTTTCCTTCCCTCGTGATTGAAGTTCAGCTCTTTGACCTCGAAAACAAGTGTTTCTAGATTTTAAGAAGATGACCGCATTTGGAATGGTTTCAATAATATCTGCCGCACGGCTTATTTTTCCTCATAACAAATCTTTGCAACCGACCTCTTCAACATCTTTTCCAACCTCTCTAGCGATCCTACGCATCATACCTTCAGCCACAAGCCAACCTTGCGGATGACCGTAACCTCTGAAAAATTGTTCTTTTTTCCTCACTTTTGCCTGAGCTCTCTTTCTCCTTGATTCTGTCAATTGACGAGAGAGAAAGAGGTCGCAGACAGGCCAGAGCAGAAATTCCTACCGAAAAGCCGTATTACTGCAGGTGTTGGTTTTCATCGGGTGTCCAATGGCTCGAGCGATTCCAAAATCATAAACGGCGTCCATTCTCGAGGTCATCACCATAACTACCTGTATTGAGGATTTATAAAGCTTCTTATTTCTTTCGATAAACCCCATCAGAATGGTCAACGGACCATCCGCAATTGACGTAATTATTCAAATCCACTGATTGAACGCGTCCTTCATCGTTGATTCCGATCCTTTATACAAGTTAATAAATAATAGATCTTAATTTTAAAAGGATCTTCATAATGTTTTTAGGGTCCGGTTTTAAAAAAAATATCGAACCTAGAAAAAATCTGAGAGAGATTTTCAAACTCATCAAGCTTTATTCATCGTAATCTCACTGGAAAAAAGTGACTTTTTGAATTTGAAGAAAAGAAATCTTAACTTTTCATGATTTTTTTATTGGGTCGGTTTTGAGTCGCATTTTTTTCAAAAATTATTATAAGTTTCAATAGTTTTTTTCAACTCACCTGTACTTCGAATAAAATCCGTGACGTTTTCCCGTCGAAACAAGATCATCCCGACGGGATAATGTACAGGAAACTGGACGTTTCAAATCGTGCCCAACTACAGCTCCAATCACGGCGATTGCAGCGGCGTTGGTCAATTTGCCACCAAAAGCACCGCCGAGACGTTTTGTCTATGAATTTTTGATTTTTAAGGATTACAGGGTTTTGATTAAGTTCTGAAAGAATCAATTTTCGGCCTAGGAACGCTCAACAGTTCTTAGAAACCGCAAAAATTCAACAAAGAGAATTGTCCCCTTTCGTAGGATGCCTGGCTTCAAAGGCGTTGAGATACTTGAATTTTTTTCAAAAAAATTCTGTTTTTTTCAATTTTTTTTGAATTTTAAGAGTCTGAGAGACAAATACTACATTGCTTTTTAAGCTTCAAAGTCCAAAAATTTGATGAAAAATTTTAGAAATGCATCATTTTTTTGGAGGAGTAACAGAGTTGGAGAAAATATTTCTTTGAGAATTTCTAAAAATAACTTCTATAAATCAACAAAAAAATGATGAAGTGGACAGAAAGCTTTTTAAAAAAAAATTTTTGAAGATCACCGCTCCCCTACACTTTGTGACAGTAAAGTCATGTTAAAAACACAATTTAATGCTTTTTTCCACCCAAACTACTTCCATTTTGAGTTGATTGAAATTAACATGAATCCTCATGAAAAGCAAAATATCATGTTCATTACCTTGACAACAATCTTATTGGCTGGAATTTTCAACGCGCTTCCGATTTCGTTTTGAACCACCGCACAACTCTGCGAAGAGGTGTACACAAGCCTAAAACTCATTATTTTCCTCAGTTTCCCTTAAAAATTTCACATCTCATCGCCTTCTCCTGGTAAAATCAGCGCAGCTTGGGTTTCCAGGTAGAAGTGCTCCTGTCCGTTTCCATGACAAGTGCCTGGAAGATTTCGAAGTTTTTTTGAAAATTTTCCGCTCTAAGAATGGCTCACAAAGAAGAAAAATTTTGAAATTATAACTGAAACCGCAGCGCAACCGCAACGCGTCAAGCCATTCCAAACGCGATCAGAAAGTTTCAGACTAACGAAACCTTCCAAAATTTTCGAGCATTTGCTCATTTCCGCCTCAACTTCTTCCGAAGATTTCCCATAAATCTGCTCTTTCGACACGTAAGAATTCGTTTTGATGGCTTCCTAAAAAACCATCTTTTCTTGAAATATTCCGGAAAATGTCTGACTTGTAAGTTTATGACAGCTGATAGTTTTTTGTAGTTGATTTTCACCAATTTCGCTGCTTTTCGGGCTGTCAGGAGATCCTCAGCAGCAATCACAGCGACTATTTGACCTACCGAGTGGACCTGAATTTCAGATTATAGATAATATTTTTCGATCCTGTTTTCTAGGTTCATTAGAAGGGATACGGTTGATTTATGACAATTTGCAAATTTTTCATAGAAATCAATTTTTGATGCCTAAAAGACGTAAAAAAAAATCAAAAAACATCCGAATGGGGGCATTTTTAAATATTGATTAGAATTCTTCTCAGAAAACTCAGAAATTAAAAATCGTGAGCTTCACATTTCCGGAATAAGTACAAAAAGTTGCGAACAAGGGTCTCAAGTCGTGGAAAATCGAAGAAATCGTTTGTAAAAAGTTTATTCCATTCTTGTAAAATTCTAGATTATGGTTTGAACTTGAAAAAGTTGTTAAAATGAGTTTAAAAAATCTATTGACCTCTCCTTCGGCGAAAAGAGGAGTATCATCGGCGACAACGTTAGTCGCAGCCAATCCTGGTTGATTTGTCCCTTTGACGCTCTGAAACACTTTTCAGTATTTATTTATGCTTCTCTCTTCTAACTGACTTTTTTTAGACTTTACTGTTTCCAGTGGTTTTTCACAACTTCGGAAGTAATAAAAATATAGCGATTAGGCCTAAAACTGGAACTTTTTATTTCTGCTTCAAATTTTCCTGTTAGAAAAATTGGAATGACTCAGCGGCTAAATTGGAATGACTCAGCGGCTAGATCAGAACCATTAGTACGCGCGCCGGACCCAAAACGACTTGCGTTTATTGTATCGCTTATTTGAAAGCCATGCAATTGTGAAGTGGGCTTTCAAGCGTAACGCTTCGACCCATTCCAAATGCGAAAAATTTAAAAAAATAATGATAGTTTACCTTATAATCATAAGCCCCAATGACCCCAGGCACCTCCAAAGCTTCCGAATAATCGATTTTTTCAATTTTCGCTCGGGCTTCTGAGGATAGTACAAATCCCAAATGAACTGTTCCTGAATTTATAGATATTTTCAGTTTAATTTTTTTAGTTTCACCTTTCGTTTTGATGTCACCCACATAAATGGCTTCACCAGTTGCGCATTTATCTGTGAAATAATTTGATAATGGCCTTCCACAAGAGACATTTTTATTGGCGTCCGTTACACTTGCCGGCTGAGAAGTATTTTTTTTTTCTCAGAATGTAAAGGTTACCTTGAAGTACTGCAAGTAGTTGAACTTCTCTGTCTGGACATTTTCAGTTTTTTCAGAGAAGAAATAGTTATAGAGTCGATGAAGTGCAGCAACGGTTAGGCGATATTTAAAGGCGCCTTTCTCAGAGTTTTCAATAAATTTCTTTATTTTCTCATTGGAAAGTGCGGTTTCAATCAGTTGTTCTACGGAGGGTTTTCTGAAATTCTTGATTTAGGTTCAAAAAATCCACTTTCAAACAAGGGAAGGATGTTGAAAAATCTTTAGATAAATAAAAATCAAGTCATTTTAAAGGCTGATAAGCTTCGGATTCTGGGATTTTCAGATAATTTCTTAACAGCTTTTGCTCAAATTAACACAGATCCCCACTTTTCATAAGCATCCTGCAGCTCAGGTATTCCGACTGGAAGGCCTCCAGTTATTCCAATGAAACAAGTCAATTTTGAATCATTCTCCAGGACTGCAACCGTATTGACAACTGTCGAATCACAGGCTCCAGCTTCGCCTTGTTTGAAAGTGAATACTTTGCGATTCTGAAGTTTTTCTGTTGAGTTAAGGTATCGATTCGAATTAGCCTAGAGAAAAGATCCAAAAAAAAGTGAAGTAACTAGGATTATAGATTGATATTTCTCATAATAGTTCCGAAGCTGTGATCAAAAAAAAAATGTTTCAGTCCCCTATAAAATAAGTTACAGCCTCCACAGGTTTTTTCATTTCAATCATAGATCCTTCTCTTTAATAGCCTATAACTTTATTCGCATACTTTTTTCAGCATTTTTTAACTTGGATTCAAAATTGTGGTTGAGAAGATGATTCCGGTTATCTATTGAACTCACCGAAACCAAAGAAAAATAGCAAAACTCGAATAAAAACATATTTCCAAAGCCGTCCATTTTCACCATTCAGAAACCCACATCTTTCCTTTCGATTTCGACTCCAATAATATAGGAAGGCTTTTCCTCATCGATCAGCTTCGAATATTCAAGCACAGTCAATTTTGACGGTGATTCCCCATCAAAAAAGGAAATCAGAATCTTCCAATTCAAAGCCACGAATAAAGTGAGGACGTCACTCAATGATGACTTCTTTTTGAGCGCATTCACAATGGCTCCGGACCAGGTCTGAAAGTATTTTTGTAGAGGATGTCTCAATTTTTTTTCAAATAGAATGTCTCACGGAGCTTGGCGGTCGCATTTTAATTTTAAAAGATATTCAACGTTGCGCCCGACTCAGAGCGAAGTTCACCTGTGTTTTAGGATGGTTGAGTGCGTTAGTAGCATAGGCAACGTTTGAAAGATCTTGAGGAGAAAAAAAAAGTTTTTTTTAAAGTCCGTAAAAAGTTGCAGACCATTAAAAACGGAGATCTCTTTTCTTTCTTACTTTTTTGAACGAAAGGACTTTTTCGGGTTTCAAGCACACTTTTCCTGTAAATTGTCTTTCCTTTCCTCTCACCACTTTTTCCTGCCCTTAAGAAGGGTCTTCACAAGAAAAAAGCCTAGAAGGTTTTGTTTCGAAATTTGTCCGTATATTCCTATAGAGCGTAGCGAAAAAATCCATCAAGTTTGGTAACCGCAACGCGACCGCGACGCGTCATTCTGGCCTTCTAAGTAAAAAAAAACCGCAAAGTTGCTCGTTTGGGGAGACGAATAGCTATCGAAAAGGTGTTGAATAGGCTTCGTAAAGCTTGAGTCGCAGTATTTGTGTAGAGCGTCAAGAAGTTCTGAACATGATGAAGTTTTTTTTTATATTTTGAGCTGTTTACCTTGGATAGAACAAGCCGCTCCGATGAAAACCTCTTTCTCAGTAGTTTCAATTTTATTTAATTCCTTCCACTGATTCGGACTGATCCATATTTCCTTGTCAAAGCCGCGGGAAGAAGCTGAAATATTTTATGAGGCTTGAAAGATTTTAAAAAAAAAGCCTACTCAATCGTGTGACCAGGCCTGAACCCAAAATCTTCACTGGAATTTTGGAATCTTTGATTTTATCCAGGTAGAAATTTTCAGCGCTTTTGGTATTGATAGGTAAGAAGACGTCGACGTTTTGACCTTTTAATATTATAGGCGAAGCTTCTTTCCTCACCTTGAAACAGAAAACTGAAGTTTCATATACATTGTTAGCTTGGAAAAAAAAAGCATAAAAGTTAAATTTCCTTTAAAAATCTCATCTAGGATTGAAAATAAAGAAAATACTGTAATAAAAATAACTTACCAATAAAGAAGGCGGGAAGATAATTTCCTGAGTGGAATCATACTTTGGAAAATCCTCAAAAGTCAGAAGCTTCTCCTCGTCTTCTTCGGTAGTCTGTTGAGATCTACAGCATCCGCCACCGCTTTTCTATGATTATGATTTTTCGAAAATCTATACTTTCAACGCTACATTTCCACCACAGCAACCACTCTCCTCAGAAAATGAGTACAAAGCTTCGAGAATGGGTCGATATCCTGTGCAGCGGCAACGGTTTCCTGTACTTTTGAAGTTTTCCAACATAAAACGGTGCGGAAAATTTTAAATTTAAGGTCAAATTTACACGAATTTGACCACTGTGAATGAGAATAAAGCTTTGAAAAAATCTTAAAGTTCTAGCACTTTTCAATAAACGTTTTTCAGTTGCAGAAAAAATTTCGAAAATTTCAAAAGTAGCATTTTCAATCAGAAGTCAAATTTGCCAAGTCTCGGAACTTAAAGAGTTCAAAGAAGCATACAACGTTTTCAAAAGATCTCGATGCTAAGAGCCCTTTTCTATGTGATCCATTAGGTAATAGATTACAAGGCTTCTGTGCTTCAAATCGGACAAAATTTAATAAAAAAAAGAAGAAATTTGCTTCGTGATACTTCAAAGCTTTTAGCAGATAGCTCAAGAAATTGTGTTCGAAAGAGTTTTGAACAGAAAAAATCGGAAAAATAGTAATTTCCACTTTCTAATTAATCAAAAAGACTCGCCTCTTATGGCAGCATTGATCTCTTCCAAACTCGGATTCGGATTATTCCTCAAAAGTGCATAGGCAGACATTACGAAGCCTGGCGTGCAGAATCCGCCTGAAAATAGACGATTTCAAGCTCTAAATCAAAAAAAAAATAAACATTGTACAGCGTGTCCTTTCACGAGACGTTCCTGGATCGGATGAACCTTTTCTTTCCCGCCAATCCCTTCAACAGTCAGAATAAAGTGTCCATTCATTTGGAACAGAGGTACGAGACAAGCATTGACCGAGGTGTACCTGGAATCATGGTAAAAAACAAATTTCGAAAAAGGCGAAAATCCAGAAAAGTACCTCTTTTCTTAATTATAGTTCTTTCAATGTCTCACCGCACTTGGAATGGCTCAACTAGTGGCAGTCATATTAATATGCACCCGACCCAAAACGACTTTCACGCTTTCTCTTCAAACTGCAACGCTTCGAGCCATTTCAAACGCGACCAGTGAATTTTAAATCAAGTTCTAAAAAGTAACTCTTCCCATTTTGAACGCATAAAGGAAAAATCGGCTCTTTCACAACTATTTTTTGCCAATTTCAATCAAAAATTCAAAACCTCGCTCTTTTTTCCTCCTTATTCCACTTTCCCAAAACCACTGTACACGATCCACAAACGCCTTCTTCACAGCCCAACTTTGTCCCTCGTAATCCTACTGAAATAATTTTTTTCATTTTAGTTCGATTTCTTGGTCTCCACTCACGCTTATTCCGTAGATAATAGGCTAGAGAAATTTCTGAGTCCACGTTTGTTTCAATAATATCCTTGCCATTGACGTTGAAATGAATCGATTTTTGGTAGTCATCCATTCTGAAGCTGATCAATTTTCATGTGAAGATCGGAGAAATAGTGACGAAAAATCGCGATTATTCGAAAATTGAAGAATTTTTCAGGGTCATGTTTTATCATTATTTTCAACGAAACAAGTTTGAAAAAAAAAACTATATCAAAATTGACAAAACCAAAAAAAGGTATGACCTCTATAAAGAAAAGACAAAAAAAAAAAAAAGAAACTTCTTTAATATTATTTTTTTCATCTTTTTTCTGTTGTTAGAGTGATAAAATTCTGCCTGTGGTTATTAAAGAAGCATAGAAAGTTTCAATAAAAGCGAGAGCCAATTTTTTGTCATTAAGAGTATTTATTCTAAGCCTTGGAAAGTTTTGATAGACAATCAAAGAATCCACTTCTAACCAGAAATAGCCTCCTTGCCCTTGAAACTTGATATTCTCGATCTTTCGCTCTATTTTTTTTTTTTTGATCATCTCTGATCTTCAATGACCGACATGAGCTTCGGTGGCAAAAAAACGTGTCGGAATGCAGATGGAACAACTTTTTTTTCGCGCCAACCAACTGAACAAACATCTCAAGACATGATGACGCTACATACATTGTTTTTTGCAAAGAATCATTTTTGAGAGAAAACATTTGATAATTTGGTATTGAAGAAGGAATTGAGATGATGGGGAAAATTTGACAATGAAGAAAAATAACATAACAGTGAATATAGTTTAAAAAATCTGATTGAAAATTTCAAATGGCGCAGGTTTTTTGTTAAGAAAACACTCAAAAAACTACTCACGAAGCCTTCTTTGACAGTTTTTTTAAAGAAATCCACAGAATTTTCCGAGAAGAAAGTAGAAAACTGGAATAAAAATAAACCAAGACTGTGGAGTAATGATTGATAAGGGTTGATGTTGCAATTTGTGCACGTAAATCTTATCAATAGTTGCAAAGATTGTGTTCTTTACTAGTGTTCTCTGATACTCTCTTGTCGATGAGAAAAATCAGTTATTTCACTTGGGAACTTCAAAAAAGGATATCTTCTAATTTAATATAACGTAAAATTTGTTATTTGACTTCTTTTGGACATTAAAGTGGGAATGATTAAAGGCGCATGACTCAAAACATCATTGAAATCGGCTTTTCGCTTCGAGATCTTTCTTAATTCTTTTTCCTCATTCCAACAGCCCGGCGATGATTTTTAAGCCCTCTGAAAAAATTCAATCCAACCTTTTCTCCAAAAATGACCCTCAAACTGCTTTTTCTCATCAACTCATTCCAATCTTTGCTCGAGTTCTTCTCAAACAAACTCATCCTCTTCACAGCCAGAGGTCACGCAGAACCAGCTCTTCCTCAACCGGTCCCTCAGTGTCAATAGCCTTATCACTTTCAGCAACTCTCTTCAAACACGCGTTAGCTCCGCGAGCATGAAAAAGAGCAAGCAAGAGGCAAAAGAGTTTTTTTGTTCTGCGAGCTTCCTGCGGTACACGTGTGACCGGTTCTGCCGCCGTCGGGGTATAAAAGCGCGCAATTTGGCCGGGTAAAGTACGTTTCGGCTTCCGGCTCATTCTAGTACACAATGCGTTTCTCCACCGTCGCTTTCCTTCTTGCCTCGACGGCTCTTCTTGTCTCAGTAAGCAATCTCGATCAAAAGGAATTCCCTTTTTAGTCTAGGCACCAAAAAAGCGTTGCTTCTAATGTTTGTCTTAACGGCGAACTGTTTGCCGAGCAACTTTTTGACCGTTTCTGAAGATCACTTTTTTTTTAGTCTGCGTTCATCATACCAAGAAACTTTCCAGGGAAGCGCCATTCGTGAGAAACGCCAATGTGGTTGTGCTCAGCAGCAGTCGACCTGTTCTTGCTCTCAGCCAGTGTACGCCGCCACCACCGCTGCTCCTCAGATGTCGTGCTCATGCCAGCAGGCTCCAGTTCAACAGACTTCGTCGTGTGGATGCGCTCAGCAACAGACCTACCAAGTCCAGGTCCAGTCTGCTCAGTGTGCTCCAGCATGCCAGCAGTCCTGCCAACAGAGCTGTCAGGCCGCTCCGTCTGTTCCTCAGTGCCAGCAGACTTGCCAACAGTCCTGCATGCCTAGCTGCGCTCCAGCCACGACCCCTGCTCCTCAGATCATCCAGCTCCAACTCGACATCAGCGCTGAGGCTTCCTGTCAGCCAGCCTGCCAGCAGCAATGCCAGCAAAGCTGCCAAGCCGCCCCATCCGTCCCTCAGTGCCAACAGAGCTGCCAGGCTGCCTGCGTCCCAAGCTGTGCTCCGACCACTACCCCAGCTCCTCAAGTGATCCAGGTCCAGCTCGACATCAGCGCCCAGGCGACCTGCCAGCCAGCCTGCCAACAACAGTGCCAACAGCAGTGTGTCCAGCAACAACAACCAGTGGCACAGTGCAACAGCCAGTGCAACAACCAGTGCCAGAGCATGTGCGCTCCAGCGACGACCCCAGCTCCATCCTGCCAGCCAGCCTGTCAGCCAGCTTGCCAGCCTCAGTGCACACAGCAGCAGCAGCCCCAGGAGATCCAGATCGTGCTCCAGACGAGCGTCGCTCAGTCTCCCCAATGCGAGCCTCAGTGCCAGCAGCAGTGCCAACAGCAGTGTGTCCAGCAGCAGCAGCCAGCTTCTCAGTGTGCTCCAGCCTGCGCCAGCAGCTGCTCCAACTCCTGCTCCAGCTACCAGCCAGCTCAGGTCGCCTGCCAGCCGACCCCATCCAGCTCCTGCGGATGCCAGCAGAACTACTCGCCCTGTGGAAACGGACAGTGCTGCCGTCGCAAGTAAACGATGAAGCCATGCCGATAATCTTCATTTTCTGTACATTTCGAATCCGATTTAACTTTATGATTTCATGACATAAACGATTCGCTTTTCATTTTTCTTAATTCGATCAAAAATCAGAAGGAATTGTGAAATTACATTGTAAAACAAAGAAGAAGCTTCGATATAAATCTAAGAAACTTTTATTTTTCTTCTCTCTTTCCGAAAAAAAATATGATACGGTTGAGTTGACAAATTGAGTCTCTCAAGAAAAAAAGAAAAAAATGTATTGAAGTTTCTAACTGTAAGTGCTGAATTTTCGTGTTGCCATTTAACGAAAAGCTTTTTTTTCAAGCTCGTAATAAATTGGAAAAAAATGGTAGTAAAGGAATTTTGGAAACCTTAGAATCTGAAAAAAAAAAAATTCGACTCAATCTCAATGAAAAGAAAGTAAATAAAAAATCATAATAAAAAGCTACAATGAACGATTAGAAGAATCGTAAATGTGTCCAAGTCAGAAAAAAATCGAGAAATAAAAAAATATCCAGAACTTGATCTCTACAATTTTTCAAGTTGAAAGAAACTCTTTTTATCACGGAAAAAAATTTGAATTAAAGTTTTATTAAATTTTTTTCTCTGATCGAATAAATGATAATTTTTCAATCGATTGCTTCGTATCTAAAAAAGGTTTGAAAAAAATAATTTTTTTCACAAGAGAAGTTGAAATACCGTCATATCTTTTATTTTTGCGGGAATCACTTCGAACACGGCAGTATCTTTACAAAATTCGAAGTGTCATAACTTGGTTTTTAGTCGAAATTCTATGAAAACTATTTTTCTACTAGAATCAGTGCGCTCTAACTTGGGCAAAGAATGCAGGAAAAAGGCTGAAAAACGGCCGCAGAAAGGGTCCATAAAGAGTCCCTTTATCGAGCTTTTCATTTTTTCTGGGATTTTAAAGGCTCAAGAAATGATTGGTACAGGGAGAGACAGCAAAAATGGTGCACAAGAGTCAAGCAAATGGCGCGAAAAGGCAGCAAAAAAGGAGCCTCTGAAACGCAAAAGGAACATTTCTATGGAGCCTTTTTCCATCCTTTTTGACTTTGCCTGTGAAAGTACGTATAATCTAAATTGCAGCTGTTATACTTTTATTTTTGTTAAAAAATAAGTTTTTTCATCATTCGAAGTTCTCTTTCTATGGGCCTGGGAAATAAAAACCACTGAATCAAACCAAATTCAAGTTTTATGTGTGTAGATAAGCAGAATATAGAAATAATCCATGAGTTGAGTTTCGAATTCAATTTTGAAAAATCTTCTGATTAGGGAACTACGCGAACTCGTATTCACGGATCGAGTTTAAACTGTGGTGGTTCAATGATCTAGGTAAGGATACTTAAAAACAGGCAATATTATCTGCTAAACCCAATAAGGTACCGTGAAAAAGCGTTTTTCGAGAATGAACAGTTTAGGCTTGAAAAATTATCAAATAAAATCATAGCCGGATCATTCAAGGCGATTGTACTAAAATATAAAATAAGGTGAAAAGCATTATTCTAAAAATGTTCAGGCCTATTCTGCACATTTTTCTAAAAATTTCTTAGTTCTATATCGGGTTTAATAGATATTCTCTCTCGTTTTCAAGTATTTTGACTTTGGTCTATAAACCACTAAAGTTTGAACTCGATCCGCGAATAGGAGTTCGCGTAGTTCCCTGGTTAGTCCAGAGCAAGTCTTTCTCCTGTTTCAAATTCATCTCGGCTTCTCAGCTCAAAATAAGAAGGCATGAAAGCTTGTATGAAAGCTCTAATAAACCAAAAAAAACATTGATTTATCTTTTCTCAAAAACTTTTAGAGAGCAGAAATCTATGAAAAATTGATAATAATAAAATTCGAGGAGAGAACTTTTCGTTTGAAAGGATGGATCCAAAAAGAGAATTTATGAAATTTGTTTCTTGTTTTATTTCAATTTTACATAACCAACTTATCAAGCATGAAAAAAATCTCGTTCTTCTAAGAATCAGATTTTTTTATTTTAAGGTTTGATTTTTTATTCGGAATTTTTTTCCGTTTTTCCCAGTCCTGATAAATAACGAAGCAACTGATTGAAGCGCAAAGGTCGGTAGAACCAGACCCTATCAGTGGGAGGAGCCGATCTCAGATAAACATAAGAGCAAACGCTTCTTTTTTTTACGTTCGCAAGGACACCCTTGTAGACTTGTGACCGGTCCCGTCGGCAGGGTATAAAAGCGGGACTTCTGCGGGAGTACAGTACATTTCGGCGCCTCCTCGGCATCCGCACCTCGAGCAGCAAAATGCGTTTCTCCACCGTCGCTTTCCTTCTTGCTTCTACGGCTCTTCTTGTCTCGGTTCGTGGTCCTAATTTGAAGAGAAAAACCTAGACTCTAGTGTTTGTCTTAGCGGCGATCTGTTTGCCGAGCAACTTTTTTGAAAATTCCTCGAGAGAACACTTTAAATGAGTCATCAATCCAATCAAGAAAATTCCAGGGAAGCGTCATCCGTGAGAAACGCCAATGTGGCTGTGCTCAGCAACAGTCGACCTGTTCCTGCTCTCAGCAGGTCTACACCATGACCACTGCTGCTCCCCAAAGATCGTGCTTCTGCCAGTCCGCCCCAGTCCAGCAGACGCCGTCGTGCGGATGTGCTCAGCCGCAGACCCTCCAGATCCAGGTCCCAGTCTCTCAGTGTGCTCCAGCATGCCAGCAGTCCTGCCAACAGAGCTGTCAGGCCGCTCCGTCTGTCCCTCAGTGCCAGCAGACCTGCCAGCAGTCCTGCATGCCCAGCTGCGCTCCAGCCACGACTCCTGCTCCTCAGATCATCCAGCTCCAACTCGACATCAGCGCTGAGGCTTCCTGCCAGCCAGCCTGCCAGCAGCAATGCCAGCAGAGCTGCCAAGCCGCCCCATCCGTCCCCCAGTGCCAACAGAGCTGCCAGGCTGCCTGCGTCCCAAGCTGTGCTCCGACCACTACTCCAGCTCCTCAAGTGATCCAGGTCCAGCTCGACATCAGCGCCCAGGCGACCTGCCAGCCAGCCTGCCAACAACAGTGCCAACAGCAGTGTGTCCAGCAACAACAACCAGTGGCACAGTGCAACAGCCAGTGCAACAACCAGTGCCAGAGCATGTGCGCTCCAGCGACGACCCCAGCTCCATCCTGCCAGCCAGCCTGTCAGCCAGCTTGCCAGCCTCAGTGCACACAGCAGCAGCAGCCCCAGGAGATCCAGATCGTGCTCCAGACGAGCGTCGCTCAGTCTCCCCAATGCGAGCCTCAGTGCCAGCAGCAGTGCCAACAGCAGTGTGTCCAGCAGCAGCAGCCAGCTTCTCAGTGTGCCCCGGCCTGCGCCAGCAGCTGCTCCAACTCCTGCTCCAGCTACCAGCCCGCTCAGGTCGCCTGCCAGCCGACCCCATCCAGCTCCTGCGGATGCCAGCAGAACTACTCGCCCTGTGGAAACGGACAGTGCTGCCGTCGCAAGTAGACGACGAGGCCCAGCCGATAACCTTGAAATTTCTGTACATTTCGGTCCTTGCAATAACCCACGCCAAAAATAAAGGGTTTTCTTGATACATTTCACAATTCGCATTGAAAAAAAGAATGTGTTCCAATTATATCTGCACTATAGATCCTCACAATAAGTTCAAGATTTGATTCATCGATGTTTGATTTTCTAACGATCAAAATATTTTGATGCGGAGGAGACACGAACCAATTCGATGACATCATCATAAAAATTTCACGGCGTTCATTTTTTGTTCGCAATATCTTCAAATGCGTTCTCTAGTTGTTCTAATTCTGATTCTGAACTTTCTTGATTTTTCTCGCTGTTATTTGAAAACTGTTGATGATGGTAAGTATTGAAATAATTGTCTTAAAAATAACTATCATGTTCAGAAATCGCAAAGACTTTGATTTCTCAATTGGATCCGAATCGAATTAAAGAAAACTTGAGAGTTTTGACCGAAGAACCTCATATAGCCGGCACTGAAGCTAATCAAAGAGTTGCAGAAAAATTAAAAAAGCTTTGGAATGAAAATGGACTTGAAGGTAGTTTTTTTTTTTGCCAGCCTTTATAAGGAAAAATATTTTCAAGATGTACATACCATTGAGTACGAGGTCCTTCTGTCTTATCCTGATTTCGAGAAGCCAAACACTCTTGAAATAAAGGCTGGAAACGGGAAAACGATTCATAAAAGTTCGGGAAGGACTCCTGTCGTAGTGCCGGATGAACAGAATGAAGGTAGGTAATTTATAAGTTTCCAATGATCAAAAAAAAAAAAAAAATTTGGAGCGGTTCAAAATAACATTAAGTTTTAGAAAGTTATGGTCACAAAATTCTAAAAAAAACACTATTTTTTGCAGGAGCTGGAATTCAGTGGGCCGCTTATTCTGCCAATGGTACTGTTACCGCAGACGTCGTTTATTGTAATTATGGGTCGCGAAACGATTTCCGTCTGTTGAGAGAAATCGGATTGGATGTTAAGGTTCCTACTTCATAGAAAAAGCTTCGATATGATTTCCTCAGGGTAAAATTGCGATGATTCGGTTTGGACATGATAATCGGGGTCAAAAAGTCAAAAATGCTGAAGAATTTGAGGCTGTCGGTGTTTTGCTGTACGCAGATCCACAGGAGGTTGCTAAAGATGGAACGGATGCAGGTTAAGTTTTGAAACCTCCTTATAAGCTTGAATAAAAAAGAAATAAAACGCCCTTAAATCATATTTTATCTCTTTTTGTTCACTATTTCTCTTGCATTACAAGTAATCTCAAATAAACTGAAATTTTAGCAAACGTATACCCGAACAAGGCCTGGATGCCTCCTACAGAAGTTCAACGAGGGGCAGTTACGCTGCAAAACGGCGATATTCTCACACCTCATTATCCAGCCAAAATTGAGCTTTACAGACCCATGGATCTTGATAAGGTTGAATTACCGATCGAAATTTGGAACATAAACACTTCAGGCTTTTAAAAATCATATTCTGCCAGGAATCCCAGTTCTCCCCATCACTTATTCGACAGCAAAAGCGATTTTCAAAGTTTTGGGAGGAGACATCGCGCCAGTGTTTTGGAAGGGTTTTTCTGACTTATCAGTACTTTTTATTGAAATTTTATAGTTTAGGCGCTCTGGAAGAAGTTGAATATCGATATGGACCCAATAAAAATGGTACAAAAATTACGATGACTGTGAATAGCAAGCTTCAAACAAGGTGAAACATTTTTAAATCTTGGAAAATTTTCTAAAAAAAATTTTTTTTTCAACCCGTACTTTCCAGGAGTCCCCAATTTTTTTTGAAGATTTTTATTTTTGGGAGAAAAAGCTCGAATTTTTCTTTCAGAAAAATCCAAAACGTGATCGGTTACATCCACGGAGCAAAGTATCCGGATGAATATGTGATTCTGGGGAATCACTACGATGCTTGGGCCTACGGATCAGTAGATCCGATTTCCGGGACCGCCGTTCTCACAGAAATAGCGAGAGCCTTCACGGAAACGATGAATGAGACCGATTGGAGATCAGGTTAAAATCGAAAAAATTGTTCATAGTTAGGTGGAGAGCTTGTATTACCACAAAGATCCCATGTTTTGGCCCCCGTTTTTTGGAATATCACTCGAGAACTTAAAACCGCTTTCTAAGATTTCTCCTCTTCATTCAATAACGTGTTGCCAGCCAATCAAAAGCTTACAAGCGTCCTTTTTCGACTCTAAGCGAATTATTTCTTTATTTATATGAATTATTATACTTTCTTCGGCATTAAAATCAATAAAATCGGTGAAATTTTGAAACGAACACTTTTTTCTCCATATTCCAGCGAGAACTTTGATGTTCACTGCGTGGGACGCCGAGGAGTTTGGTCATATCGGCTCGGTGGAATTCGTCGAAGAATTTGTCAATATTCTTCAAGAAAGAGCCGTAGTGTACCTCAATGTGGATTGTGTGGCGGGTAATAAAAACTATGTGAGTTAATTGAAAAATTTAAATAAATTAAATTTTTGGGAAAAAGAATGGTTAAAAAAACGTGATTTGTGTATTTCAAAATTGAAAAAGACTCACATTCCTTCGAAATTTTTTTCAGAAGAGATTGAGAAGAAATTTTCGTTTTTCCTTTTTTTATAAAAAAATGTTTTAACTCAATATTGATGCTTATTGTTACAGCAAACAACTCAAAAAGTTTTGTTAAGGAGGATCCAAACATCCCCGCCACTGTACCAAGTCACAGCCGAAGTCGCCAAAAAAGTTGCTGACCCGAATCAAAAAATGATTGGGGGCAAAAAGACGACACTTTTCGATAGCATTAGCCTTGGAGCTTCGGAACCGGTCACTCCGGACGAGTCGGCCATCAAAAATGTTGAGCCCGTCAGCGAACATTCTGCCTTTTTGCATTTTGCAGGTAAGCTAGGCTTGAAAATTGAATATTGATTAGTTTCTGAGTGCTTACAGTTTCCAAAATCTTTTAGTTATCTTAAACATAGTTTTACTTGATATTTTAAAGTGAAATAAATAGTCTTACCTGATTTTTTTTTTCTTGTTTTTGAAAGCGATCGTGTTCTTTTCTTTTACAGTAACGAGCGAACTTTTTTTTTGCCTTCCCTTTTTTGATTTATCAATTTGCTTTCCCAGGAATCCCCGTTGTCGACATCAGGCCGATAGATCATCCTGAACCTGGTGCAGAATTTTACCCACTTCATCATACAATGTACGAAACGGTGTTTCTGAATGAAAAATTTAATGGATAAAAAAATGGTTTTGTTGTCAGTTTTGATCGCAAAAAAATATTTTTAAAAAAATAGAATTTTTCAGATGCACAAAGCGACTGGACAGTACTGGGCACTTTTGGCAAGGTTTCTTAAAATTGAAATTTCTCAAATTGAACTTTAATTTTCTAGTAAAATACCAGTGTTTTCGCCATTAAAACGTAATTTCTTTCTAAAAATTTCTCATATTTTGTTTTCTAAAAGATTTTCGTTACATTGTTATCAGAAAAAATCATCCTTATTTCAAATTGATTTTCTCAGAACCTTCGCTGATGAGCCAATTTTGCCATATTCCGTGACGGCTCTCGCATATTCATTATTAAAAGTCCACTTCCCAAAGATGAGAAAAGGCCTAGAAGAATTGGACGTTCATCCAAGGCTCTTACCGGTTGATGGGCAAATCACCAAGTTCGGATCAACTGTTGAGGTTCTGCGAAAATGAGGTTTATCATTTTCAATGTTTTTTCAGAGATTCCTTAATGTTTCCGAAACATTTGAGAAAAACTTCAAAAAAGACGTCGATTCGAAAATGTCGGGAAGATTGAACAGCCGCTTAAAGAGGTTGGTAAAAAGACCAGTATCCTATCGCTCAAGCTTTTCTTTACTCAAAGAGAGCTCCTATATGTGATAATTAAAACTAGTTCATTTCACTAGTAAAAATAAAGTCAGGAAAAAATGATGAAAAAAAAATATTCGATGAGAAACGAGCAATTTTGATTGATATACTACAATTCCAGCGTTGAAAGATGTTTTATCAAGCCGGAAGGATTTTCCGAAATTCAAACTTCGCGTCACGTTCTTTACAGACGTAGTAGGGCCGACGAATATTCTGGTCGACAATTGGGCGGCGTTTTCGATGCTGTCAGTAACTTTTTAAAATCAATTTTCCAAATTAAAACGACATAATCAATGTAATTTTCATGAAGATGAAGCAATACAAGGAGTCGTCAACGGATGAAAATGCGGGAAAAATTGCCGAAGAAGTCTCGGCTGTGCAATATTGCGTCATGTGTGCCATGACCCATCTTCAGGACTTTATTTGAATTTCTATAGAAATTTTGATCGCTTCGTGTATATTTGGACGTGAATAAATTTTAAATTTTTCAGCCTTGTCAAATGAAGAATGGAAACGAGAAAGAACAAATGAAAGAGATTAAAGTTGGTTTTTTTCTTAGAAAAAAATTTAATATTTTTTTCAGTTTGGAAATTTTCACCAAAAAAATCTTGACATGAACGGGAAGTTACTCGCATCATATTCATTTCATTCATTCATTTCAAGTGTTTATTCGCCATTCCGCAATCAGCACGACAAATACAAAAATAAAAACATCAAGACAATCAAATAAATCTAACAGCTGATCTGTGGAAACGGCTGGAGGAAAAAGATTGTCTGAGTAGACGGTGCTAACCCCCATTTGGTATTTAAGTTTGTTCTTTTTTTTTTTTTTTAATAAGTTAGAATTTTTCTAGATTTTAGTAGGATCTAATGATTTTAAAAACGATGTGTTTGATTCGAACCATGAGGTGAGCATAATCTGAAACTTGCCGATTTCGTATTCAATGATAATTTCTCTCTCCAGTTGGTTCCAAATGGGTATGACTCTATGATTTAGGAAGCGTTGTTTGATCAATTCATTCATTGGTTGAACAATTCGCGTGTAATTTTTCATTCGCGTGTAATTTTTCATTCGCGTGTAATTTTTCATTCGCGTGTAATTTTTCATTAGCGTGTAATTTTTCATTCGCGTGTAATTTTTCATTCGCGTGTAATTTTTCATTCGCGTGTAATTTTTCATTCGCGTGTAATTTTTCACGAAGAGCGGTTGCTCTTCCACGCGTGCCACGTCATGGATCTTCGATCCAAATCATCGTCTGTTGCTGATACTCCTGTCCTTCGATCCAAATCGTCTGTTGCTGATACTCCTGTCCAAGCACGAAAGGGCATTCTAAAAGCCCGATCATCATCTCCGGTCAATGTGTCCGAGCCTGCTGTCAAGACGAAGCCGTTGCCCGAGCCACCTGTTGCCAAGACCAAGCCGTTGCCCGAGCCGTCAGCTGTCAAGACCAAGCCGTTGCCCGAGTCAGTGTCCGAGCCATCTCAGCCTGATCTAAAAGAAGACCACGGAGGAGCTCATTCTGGAGATGCGTTGCGACTACGAAAGCAGGATCGACGTCATGCAGACAGAAATCAGTACGTTGAAAAACTCTTGTACACCAAGTTGTCGGCGCCCTAGCAGAAAAGGAAAAGAAAGAAGTTCACGTTGTTAATCTTCTAAATCTTATCCTATCAAAACTAGATAATAATGTCCAGTCTGATATTAGCCGCCCTTCTTATGCATCCGTAGTTTCATCCCAGCCCCTTCGACAAAATCCCATCATTGCCTCAATGCAAGCACAGAAATTTCTCAAGATTAGGGAGGAGCAGGAGAAAGACCGTACTTTTGTTATTGTTGGATCCCCGGAAGTTAAGAATGAAGATCTTGTTGCTAAAATTAATTGTTGTCTGTCTTCTGAAGATATTCCCAATGACTGTATTGAAACGGCTTTCCGTCATGGTAAAATGAAACCTGAGGGCCAATATAGGATAATCAAGGCCAAAATTTCTCCTCATCGTGTGTCCTTTTATCATAAAATCAAATCTACTGTAGGAAAGTCTGATTTATGTTGGTACACTCGTGATGATTTAACTAGTATCGAGCAGCAGGAAGACTCTCGTTTGAGATCTGAGTGCCGGCTCGAGAACAAGCGATGCGGCTTTAAGAAATACATTGTTAAGAACTTGCAACTGACTGAAGTTGCAAGAAAAGCCGATCGCGGCTTCTGTGGAAACGGCTTCTGAGAGGATTGATCTTAACGCTAACCCCCAATAAATTGAAAAATGGATGAAAGAAGCGAGGAAAAAAATTAATTTCAATGAGTCACATCTATTTTTTTGGCCAATGTTAGAGGTTTAAAAATCAAAATTGCAAATTTTTGGAATATGAAATTAATGCACTAACGATAGGGATTCTTACTGAAACTTGGATGGACGATAATGATGATATATTCTCTCTACCAGTTTTTAAAAATCACATGGTATACTCGAGTAACAGGAAAAAAATGTTAGGAGGCGGGGTGTCAATACTCATTCCCAAATCATTGCATTCTAAGTTCCTTGTTTCCATATCTGAGCCTGATATAAACGCGATTTCAGTCGAAGTTTTCCTCTCGAACTCAAAACTAATTATAACAGGAGTCTATAGAAAACCGGGATGGAATGATCATATACATAAAACGTTTGAAAACTACATCCATAACTTCGATAGGTTATCGGTAACACATATAATAGGCGGAGACTTTAATTTACCAAACATAGATTGGAGCCAAAATATAGGGACAGACTCTCTAAGTAGGCGATTTTTGAGCGTTTTCAATAGTTTCGGCCTCACTCAACATGTAAAGCATCCTACAAGGCATCATAATATATTAGATCTAGTGTTGACAAACAACTCTTACATCTTTAAGAAAGTTGTAGTAGGATCTCCAATCAGTGATCATAATAAAATAATTTGCAACTTGAATTTAGAAGAGCGCATAATAAGAGAACCTCCTAGGAATGTTTTGTTGTTTAAAAAAGCCGATTTCATTAGTATGAACAGTGAGCTATCCTATATAGACTGGAATTATCGTTTCAGCACTTGCTCAACGGTTGAGGCCATGTATGATGTCTTCATAAAAATAATCCAAAAATCTATAACAAAATATGTCCCTAAAAAAGTCTTTCATACCGAAAAGAAACCTCAGTGGATTTTGAGACTCAAACGAAAGTGTGAGAGGGACTATGTTCGATACCGTAAACAAAAACTCAGAAGAAAAATAAAAGTGCGATATTCACTTTCGTACAAAAAAAGTACACCCAAGCTCTGAAATCTCATTCGATTCACTTAGAAAAATCTGGCATTAGGAGAAAAATAAATCCACGAAAGCTTTCTGGCAATACGTTCGCAAAAAAATCAACAAGTCCTAATGAAATACCAGACCTAATTGTAGAAAAATGAAGTTATTAAAGATAGCATGGAGAAAAACCAATCATTTCAATAAATTCTTTTTCAACGGTATTCACAGATGATAATAATTTGCCTTTCAACATAGCTACTAAAAACAAGCAGGAATCTAATGGACGTTGATGTTGCACCTCATGTGGTGTACGAGTGCCTTAGAAGAATTAAAAAAACGTAAATTCAGCAGGTCCTGATGGTTTACCTAGTTCAATTTGCAGAGGTCTAGCTATATCGATAGCTCTCCCTTTATCACTGATATACAGGAAAAAGTTTAGATTCGGGCAAGTTGCCTAGTTTTTTTGGAAAAAAATCAATCGTAGTACCTATATACAAAAAGGAGATCCAAAACGACGTAGGTAATTATAGACCAGTTAGTTTGACATCAGTCCCGTGTAGAGTTTTAGAATCTTTAATGGTGAGAGCTTTGAGAAACCACATGTGGCAATCTTCGCTCATCTCTGATAGCCAGCATGGATTTTTAAATCATCGCAGTACTATCTCCCAATTGTTGCCACTTCAAAAATATCTGTTTGAGGAAACTCGAAATCATTACGTTGAAGTCATATATTTAGATATTAAAAAAGCTTTTGACACGGTTTGTCATAGAAGATTGATTGAAGTCTTGAAATCCTACGGATGTAAGGGAGTAATACTCAACTGGTTCGAAGAGTTTTTGAAAGATAGATCACAAAAAGTTAAAGTCAATAACAGTATTTCGAATGAGATAAAAATATCGTCAGGTGTACCGCAAGGTAGCTCATTGGGACCTCTTATGTTTTTAGTATATATCAATGACTTGTCAGAAGTTATTAAATACTGTAACTTGAGCATGTTCGCAGATGATTGTAAACTGTATTTATCTAGTAATGTAACAAACCATAAAGCCAAACTTCAAGAAGACTTAAAAAATGTATACCAATGGTTAGAGGGCCGTCAACTATCAATATCTCCTGAGAAGTGCATGTTAGTTCAGTTTGGAAAAAAGACAGAACCCAGTACATACAAAATTAACGATCAAACTCTTAGCACTAAACAAAATGTCAGAGACCTGGGATTCTTCTTCACGAGTAATCTGAAAATGGGGCACCATGTGAGTATAGTAGTACAAAAAAATGTATGAAAAATAATAAATAATTTATTTCGCTGTTTTCATTTCTCTCAAAAATAACTTTCTAAAATGCTATAAAGCCAAAAATCTTGCCTATCATTGAGTACGGATCCGAACTAATGTGCCCGCTAAATTTGAATGATATAAATCAACTAGAATCAGTCCAGAGAAAATTTACCAAAAGATTATATCCGAAATTGGATTATCGCAGTAGATTAGCCAAACTGAAACTATCGACGTTATGGACTAGAAACTTTTTAAAGATGTTTGTTGCGTTCATAAATACATTCATGGATATTTTTGGAGTGAGTCGCCTGTTAAATTAATGATGAATTCGAGTAGAAATAATCAACTCAGAGGAAATGGAATGAGACCAATATGAAACTGTTGCAGTCTTATAAATTTTTAGAAAAAAACAGATTCTCCGAATTTAGCCCTTGAACTAAACAGGTTTTCCCTAGTTTTGTTTCAGAGTTCAAAAAATTCTAGTGGGATTCGAAAACGAAATTTTCTTGTTCTTGCTTGTTTTTTGCAGAAGATATAAGATTTTAAATAAGAAATTGTCAATGCGAACTGTAGAATGTATCAAGAAAACCCTTTACTTTTGGCGTGGGTTATTGCAAGGACCGAAATGTACAGAAATTGAAAGGTTATCGGCTGGGCCTCGTCGTCTACTTGCGACGGCAGCACTGTCCGTTTCCACAGGGCGAGTAGTTCTGATGGCATCCGCAGGAGCTGGATGGGGTCGGCTGGCAGACGACCTGAGCTGGCTGGTAGCTGGAGCAGGAGTTGGAGCAGCTGCTGGCGCAGGCTGGAGCACACTGAGAAGCTGGCTGCTGCTGCTGGACACACTGCTGTTGGCACTGCTGCTGGCACTGAGGCTCGCATTGGGGAGACTGAGCGACGCTCGTCTGGAGCACGATCTGGATCTCCTGGGGCTGCTGCTGCTGGGTGCACTGAGGCTGGCAAGCTGGCTGACAGGCTGGCTGGCAGGATGGAGCTGGGGTCGTCGCTGGAGCGCACATGCTCTGGCACTGGTTGTTGCACTGGCTGTTGCACTGGGCGACGGGCTGCTGTTGCTGGACACACTGCTGTTGGCACTGTTGTTGGCAGGCTGGCTGGCAGGTCGCCTGGGCGCTGATGTCGAGCTGGACCTGGATCACTTGAGGAGCTGGGGTAGTGGTCGGAGCACAGCTTGGGACGCAGGCAGCCTGGCAGCTCTGTTGGCACTGAGGGACGGATGGGGCGGCTTGGCAGCTCTGCTGGCATTGCTGCTGGCAGGCTGGCTGGCAGGAAGCCTCAGCGCTGATGTCGAGTTGGAGCTGGATGATCTGAGGGGCAGGGGTCGTGGCTGAAGCGCAGCTAGGCATGCAGGACTGTTGGCAAGTCTGCTGGCACTGAGGGACAGATGGAGCGGCCTGACAGCTTTGTTGGCAGGACTGCTGGCAGGCTGGAGCACACTGAGTGACTGGGACCTGGATCTGGAGGGTCTGCGGCTGAGCACATCCGCACGACGGCGTCTGCTGGACTGGGGCGGACTGGCAGGAGCACGATCTTTGGGGAGCAGCAGTGGTCATGGTGTAGACCTGCTGAGAGCAGGAACAGGTCGACTGCTGCTGAGCACAGCCACATTGGCGTTTCTCACGGATGACGCTTCCCTGGAATTTTCTTGATTGGATTGATGACTCATTTAAAGTGTTCTCTCGAGGAATTTTCAAAAAAGTTGCTCGGCAAACAGATCGCCGCTAAGACAAACACTAGAGTCTAGGTTTTTCCCCTCAAATTAGGACCACGAACCGAGACAAGAAGAGCCGTAGAAGCAAGAAGGAAAGCGACGGTGGAGAAATGCATTTTGCTGCTCGAGGTGCGGATGCCGAGGAGGCGCCGAAATGTACTGTACTCCCGCAGAAGTCCCGCTTTTATACCCTGCCGACGGGACCGGTCACACGTCTACAAGAGTGTCCTCGCGAACACAAAAAATTGCTTGCTCTGGTGTTGATTTGAGATCGGCTCCTCCCACTGATAGGGCCTCCGGCTCGAGAAACTAGTTCTATCGACTTTTGATCTTTTATCAGTGAGGGAGGACTGCGGAGCAAGCAAAAAAGATCTTCGGAAACTGAGCCGATACTTTTATAATTTTTTTCATAATGAAACAACATGTAATAAACTGGAGAAGACTCTTATATAATAATTCAAACCAAATCGAAAAAGGGAAAAGAAAAACAAAAAGAGAGGCTTTCAAGATGATTTTTTTTATACGAATGAAAGAGTAGTGAGTTGTGAGGTAGCTCAAAGTTCCTGAGAAGCTCAAGATTCAGAGAAAGCACAATTTTACAGAGTACATAGAAAAAAAAAATTTTTTTTCATGAGTTTTTTTTCCTAAATATGTCTCATATCGGGGTTTTCTAGTGGGGAATTATGAATGGCGTGCAGCTCTGTCACCTTATTTTTCGGTTTGATTTTTATCGATTCAATGATTCCGATCATTACGAGCTTAGCTACTTGCCGAGCTTCCCTATTGACAGTCGCGAATATCAATCCGTTGCAGATCCCTGGAAGTTGGAATATATCTTTTTTTCTTCCCTCTGTAGTCAGAAATACCTGATGACAGCAGTCCAACGACGTAAAATGGGCCAAGTTGTTTGAAAACGACCCCATCGTCTCCAATCATCCCACTTACGCCGAACAGAATGCTCGGTATGGTGAAAAATACGAAGGAAGACGTCAAAATAGCGGTCGTCACTCGGTTCGTCTGAATTAGTAGGTTGATGAAGTTCAGAAAAAACATAAAATAGGTTGAGCTCCAACCTGTTTGATGATCCAGCTGTCCTTGTGTCTGTTGTCGTCCTTGTGGAAATTCAGCTTGATGATTATCGCCATGGTTAACATTGTTACTGTGATGCCCATGCACTGGAATCCAACAATCAGATCATCATATTTTTTTTCATTTACATTTTCAAGTGTTTATTCGCCATTCCGCAATCAGCACGACAAATACAATAAAACATCAAAACAATCAAATAAATCTAACAGCTGATCTGTGGAAAAATTGATTATAATTTTTCGGAAAAAACCCCCCGGTTTGGAAACTACTCCATTTACCGCTAGCTTGAATCAAAATGACTATAAAGACGTCCAAGTCTCTTTTTCGCATACGATGTCGTTTAAAAACTCCTTATTTATATCTTACTCAATATTAATGAAGTTCTGTCATTGATAGGATCATCACACAGATCAAAATTAAAAATAAAAAGATCGGTTTAGATGTCGTGGGTGCCTTTTTTTATTTCTTAAATATTAGCGTATCTCAATTTTCAATCAATTAAAAAAATAAAATAAAAATTTTAGCGATGCCTAAAAAGTTTAATTATTGTTAATTTGGAGCCAACGTTAAAAAAATAACAAAAAAACGCCGAAAAAGGGAGGCATTTTGAACTGAATCTTTATGAATAAGTTATTTTTAGGTGGTCCAAATACACTTGACTAATAACTTTTCAACTATCATAACTTTTTTTAAGCAAAAATAGTCGGCAAATGCTGTACTTTGAGGTTAAGTGGTGTATAGCGCGAACGCCTCCCATCTCCGAGGGATGGACGTGGAGCAGCGCAAGTGCGCTTGCATACAGTTTTGATATCGCGAGTTCGATCCTCGCAGCGGCCATTTTTTTTATTTTTCATGAAAAAATAGCTTTTCTCTTCAAACTTGTAGTTTCATTCTGTTTTAATAACTTATTATGACTTTGAAAACCGAACTAAACTACTGAAAAAAATTTAAATCCGATATGAAAAACAAAAAGGAACGACCAAAAAGTGTAAAAATCTAAAATTTCAGTACTAAATTTCGCGACTCTTTTTGACAACTGTTTTGACCATAACTTTTCCAACCTTTTTTTGAAAACTAAACTGTTTTGAATAGTAAATTGGAGCAGCTATCCAACCATAGTAATATTGAAGCTCGAACATTTTTTTGAAAATTTGGTTGCGGTCCCTATCTAAGTCTATTCTTTTTGAACGCTACTTCGTATAGAACCCTTCAAGTCAGAATGAACGAAAAACATCGAAAAGAGGAGAGACAGTTCACAAGGACTTTTTATCAATGAAGGGATAATTCTTACCATACTAGATACTCCGGAATAATAACGATATCTGGGGTTGGTAAAACAGCCTGGAGCATCACAATCCGCCGCTGGTATTTCTCCCCTCAGGAGCATCCGACTCACGGCGCAGTCAAACACGCCAAGGAAAACTCCCAGAGCGATGGATATATTGGCATATCTGGCGCTGATGTGAGATCGGTACCAGAATGGCTTGTAGATGGCCTATAATCGGACATGTTGAGATCATTTCGATTTTCAAAAAATTTTCAACTTGTTTTTTTTGCTGTATTGGGGTGCGCCGTAGCGCAACAGGTTGTGCAAAAGCTATGAGGATGTTTTTTTCTGAAATTCTCTTCCTTCAATGGAAAATGATTTTTCTCAGTAATAATATTTTCACAGTCATTTTTCCAATTCTAAAGAGTCTTACTAATTTGAAAATCGGAAAGTTGTAGTTCAGCAAAAACCCATAATAGTAGGTTGGCAAAAGCGGGAAAATTGTAATTTCAGACCTAGAGAATTTTTGTCTACTATCAAAAGCTAGACACACATTGAACCCATAAATAGACTTTACTTTTTTTCGAAAGCGTGAAAAGTGAGAAGTTGAAGTCAAAATGATAAGTTTGAGCCAGAGAACTCACCAAACATCGCTCCAGGGCAATGGCGATCGTCAATGTTAAGTTGACTTTGTACTCGATCGCCGTTGGAGCCGAGGATAATCGGACGAATTCTACATTGTAGTCAAAACGTCCGGGACTCCATTTGATCAACATGTAGACGAATTGTGGAGCACCTGGAAAACTCTTCTACTCTTTCTCTCTAAAAATCTTCTTTCTTGCGCTGTCATTAAAAATTTGCTGCTAGCTCGAGGAAATATTTGATTTCCTACGAACAGCGCAATAGTTAGCGAGGAGCAAAAAGCTCTGTGATAATTTTTCGGCCCAAGTAGCAAGGGATATTTTTTAAGGGCCTTTCTTTAACTGAAAAGACTAACAAAGATGTTACTTTATATAGTTTTCAGTAATAGACAAAGTCATCATTTTGAGACGCTCATTCTCAAAAACTCGAAAAATTTGCAGTTTTAGATTTCGTGGATAGTTATCCACTGCATCGAGAAGTAGGCGTGTATTCTGGGAATTTTGAATTTGTAGCCGAAGTAATCTCTTGTAGGAAAAAAAATTAGAAGAGCAAGGTGAAGCTCACGTTTTTGATAATTACAACCGTGGAAAAAGTTGAGGCCATGTTTAGAAGTTATACTGGTACGAGGTGAGCTAACGTGAAGCTTAAAATAAATTTCAGGTTCTTTTTTTCCAAAAAAATGAATTCACCGTTTAAAAGTATAGAAATAAAAATAAAAAGTTGTTCAAGAAAATATTATCTGTCGAAGTTCAGGATAGTATGGAATTGTGCGAATTTTCTTATACTACTTCCATCTTTTTTTTCTGACAAAGCACATTTTCTTATTCTGAAAGAGAAAAAGAATCCAATTAATTATTTACAATGAAGTTTTTGTCCATGCAGCAACTTTGCTCTGATTTTGTTACTTCGCGCTCTTTGATCCTTTTTACTTTCAAAAAAATTGTATTTTTTTGCGATCCTCGATTTTGATGAGCGTTCTAACTCTAAAACTTGAATATTGGACAGGTTGCAGTTTTTGGATTTTTCCTCTATGATTTATGCCAACTTTTAGAAAAATCTAAAACTCAAATATCTTTTTTCGGAGCAGAACACAATGAGAAACCAAAAAAGTAACTTACACGCCATAGTGAAAATCCAATCAGCCAGGGAAAGGTAAAAAATGAGTCGATGGTTCAAATTCAACAGCATTGAAGGTTTTCTGAAGTGTACAGACGAATTTGAGACTCAAAAAAAAACTCACTTGTGAAAAATAACGAGGACAAATCCATTGACGATCCAACTAACTGCTTGCAAAGTCAGGGTGAAAATGTAGATGAACATGATCGCCTGGCCTTCGAAAACATTGGCGAGAGCGGAAGAAAAAATAGCAAATATAATTGCCATCTACTGAAAGTACTCATTTATTTGAAATCGTCAAGCTTTTGGTCAAATCCCCAGAACCGACTCTTTTCTTCCACTTTCCGCCAAGCACGGCGACTTGAACTCCGGTCGTTCCAGTGATAAAAGAACACCCAATTTGTTGAGCCATGTTCCTTTGGTGTTTGGAAAAAGAGGTTTTCGCCTAGATTGCACTTTTTCAGCTCAACGCTCGCCTAATTTCGATTTCAGGACTTTTCAATGATAGGGTTGAACGCTAGATTTCGACTTTTAATTAGTACTTTCGAAAAAAAGGGATGACAGAAGTTGTAGTGAGGAAGTTTTAGTTCAGTTTTCGCTATTCAAAATTCTGAAAAAAAAACTTGCTTGAACATCAACTTGTATGGGCAACGTGAAGTTTTCTCGAAGAAAGATGAGCTGAGAAAAAAATTATCTTATTTTTAGAGCCTTCAAAAAGTTGTTGAGTTTCTCTTCTTATCACCTATTAGTGATTTTGAGCGGCAAACAAAATGTTAATACAAAAATCGGAGAGCAACTATTTTGAGGTACTAGATAATAAATGTATCAAGGAATTCTCTCTGAAAAACAGGAATTTTAGCCATAAGGACCTCATGAGTCTTTCTTTTGAACTCGGATTTTTTTTTGAAAACGAGCTAAAAAACACCTTGGCACATCAGTGAAGATTGTTACGTTTCAAGTTTTAAGTTTTAATATTTCTTTAATTTGGACGTGTTACATGAATTTTTAAGCTGCAGAATTAAACTAGAAAGTTGATGTTCTCAGAAAAATAAATAATTCTGCATTTTAAGGCGCCAAGCCCAATTTTTTTTTGAAATTTTTGAAGAACACAGTAGAACAATCTCTTTCGTCTTCTACTGCTCCGATAATCTTACCTCTAGTTAGCCACCGAGGTCGATGAAGTCAAAAAGGCAGAATAATTTCCAAGTTCCATCCAAAACCTGAGCAGTAGAGTTCTCAAAAAGTAAATGTTTGAACGAACGTTCAACCAAACATTTTCTGAACGTTTGATGAATTCGACCAATTAGTTAAATTTCACATGAACCGTTTGTTAAAAAAATTTCATTTTGGTTAAATTTCATAACTGAGCATTTAAAAAAATGAACAATTACTTATTTTTCGAAAAAAATTTTTGGTTAAAAAAATGAACATTTAAAATTTCATTTTGAAAAATTTTTGGTCAAAAAGTAAACATTTAAAAATTCATTTTGAAAAATTTTTGGTCAAAAAAATGAACATTTAAAATTTCACTTTTGAAAAATTTTGGTCAAAAAAAGTAAACATTTAAAATTCATTTTGAAAAATTTTTAGTCAAAAAAATGAACATTTAAAAATTCATTTTAAAAAAATTTTGGTCAAAAAAATGAACATTTAAAAATTCATTTTAAAAAAATTTTGGTCAAAAAAATGAACATTTAAAATTCATTTTAAAAAAATTTTGGTCAAAAAAATGAACATTTAAAATTCATTTTAAAAAAATTTTGGTCAAAAAAATGAACATTTAAAAATTCATTTTAAAAAAATTTTGGTCAAAAAAATGAACATTTAAAAATTCATTTTAAAAAAATTTTTGGTCAAAAAAATGAACATTTAAAAATTCATTTTAAAAAAATTTTGGTCAAAAAAATGAACATTTAAAAATTCATTTTAAAAAAATTTTGGTCAAAAAAATGAACATTTAAAAATTCATTTTAAAAATTTTGGTCAAAAAAATGAACATTTAAAATTCATTTTAAAAAAATTTTGGTCAAAAAAATGAACATTTAAAAATTCATTTTAAAAATTTTTGGTCAAAAAAATGAACATTTAAAATTCATTTTAAAAAAATTTTTGGTCAAAAAAATGAACATTTAAAATTCATTTTTAAAAAAATTTTTGGTCAAAAAAATGAACATTTAAAATTCATTTTAAAAAAATTTTGGTCAAAAAAATGAACATTTAAAATTCATTTTAAAAAAATTTTTGGTCAAAAAATGAACATTTAAAAATTCATTTTAAAAAAATTTTTGGTCAAAAAAAGTAAACATTTATTCATTACTTTATTCATTACTATTACGGTACTTGGCAGTATCTGTGTCGGAGTCAATTCTATCTCAGTCTTCTCCAAATGAAATCTTGAATCGATTACTTCGAAATTCAAACTAATTTCTGGTTAAAAATTAATAAATCTGTTGGAAAACAGTGATCTGGATGGTCAAGGGCAAAGCTAAAAGCCGGTTAAGGCCGAGAAAAATTATATGGAACCGGTCAAAAATGAGCAGACCGGAAGAAAGGTGCTATCTGGAGAATTAATTGAATGAGGAAAAAGAAAAAGTATTGATTTGGATTTTGGTTCGGAAAATCCAGGTTCGGAAAATTATCGGCCAAAAAATAAACATTTAATTTTCACAGTTGAAAAAAAAATTTTTTTTTACGAAAAAGTAAACATTTAAAATTCGTTTCGAAAATTTTGGTCAAAAAAGTGACCATTTAAAGTTCATTTCGGAAATTTTGGTCAAAAAAATGAACATTTAAATTTCACTTTTGAAAAATTTGGTCAGAAAAGTAAACATTTAAAGTTCACTTTGAAAATTTTGGTCAAAAAAGTGAACATTTACTTTTCACTTTGAAAAATTTGGTCATTAGGACGAACATTTATTTACTAGTCAGAATATGATTGTTTAGAAAATGACCATTTATTTTTCAGTCATTATTTGAAAAGTCACAAAATGAAAAGAATGAAAGTGATCAATTTTTGGTTGATCTTTCAAAAAAACGACATTCGTTTGAAATGTCAAAAAGAAAATTTTTTTCGTTTTTTTGAAAAAAATGTCATTTTTCAATTGGTCATTTTGAGAACTCTACTGAGCAGCACCGTTTAATCTAAAACTCAACTTCTGGCGGTCTGTGAAACTTCTCGAAACAAGTTATATGTGTTTCCATGCAGGTCTATAGTATGAAACTATGAAAGTTCAGTATTTAAATTGCCAAAGAGTAAGCGGCGCTCTAATCTGATTTCGACAAGGAAGCATTATCCAACCATTAACATCAGCAGAAATGACCAAATTCAATTTGAATCAAAGCCAAAAGATTGGATTTTTTTCATGTGGGCCTTTATTCTGGCTTTCAAGAAATGATAAAAGCATACAACAGAGTTTGTTGAAAAAAATTGGCTGCTTGTTTACAATAAAAATTACACACACTTTCGAAAAAGATTGGACTTAGCTTTTCCCTTTATTTTTTGAAAAATGATCAAAGTGTTCTCTATCAAAATTTAGAGCAAAAAAAACGTTGACAGCTTGTTTACAAGGGTAATACTAACAAAGAAAATTTTTTCGTTGAAGTGAAAGAAAACCCTTGAGCTTAAAGGCCAAATCGCCGTGTTCAGTGAAAAGAGGAAAAAAAGTAACTTCTAGAAGTTTTGAAAAAAAAGCGCTACGATTCCAAATAAATTGGTACTTTCCATAGATGAAAATTACACCTTCATATCTCCTTCGCACAATTTGACACGGGTTGAAAAGCCGTGATTTCGAATTTCCATGTGGAGACATCTGAAAATAACACTGAATATAGATTCTGAAAGCCTTAACCCAACAATTGTTCAAATTTTTGAAAAAGGAGTGTATGAGAATAGGACGTTTCTGAAGTTTCACGCTTTTTTTTTGACTTCGAAGTTTTCCACAAACTAGCGAGTTGTGCAGGTACAGACTTTCATTATCAACATCAAGCAGTGTTAAGAGTAATTTTCAGGAAGTTTTCAATAGGAAAGTAATATTATCTTTCTCATAAAACCATAAGGTCCAGTCCGTTTTTTTTTTAGTGATTTTTGATCTTGAAAACGCTGGCTTCAATTAAATATAGAGAAAAAGTGCTCCATGAGCTTTGACGCTATACAGGAATTTCAGAATAGGAAAATGATGGTCATAAATTGAAATAAAAAATATCTGGCTTGCAATTCCTGCAAACTGACAGCAAAATCATTTTTAGAGGCCGGTTGAGAATGGAATTTTCCAGTTATGTGTTTTTGAGGTCTTTTGAATCTACCCATGAAAGAGTTCCAAACTTTTTTGCCTCGACTCGATTTCGAAGTTATGAACCGACTTAAAAAATTAATAAAGTCTCACACGACTTGAAAAAAAGTTATAAACCCATAATATGAAACTCGCGATACTTTTCTCGCACGAGATGTCATCAAAAAAAAAAAAACATCGTGATTTTGTAACTACACGTATAAGTTGTAAGATGAAGGTTCGGTGTGTGATCCCCCTCAATTTTCTCTTTTTTTGGTGGAGTCTTATGTATTCAGTAGTGCAGCATAGACCAAAAACCACACGAAAAAAACACTTTTTTTAGCGGTCGCTAGCTCTTTTGAGACAGAAAACAGTACTTTTATTAAGATAATTTTAGTATAATAGGTGTTGCTTGGAATGCTAGAAAAGTTCAGAGTTTACACTTTTTTTTTAATTTTGAAAGCGATGAATTCGATTTTTCAGACTCTGACATTGTTATTTAGGCACCCCATTTTAATTTGTACTTTCTTTTTGAAATGGAACTTGAAAGCTTTAACTCAACTGTATGAAATTTCTTCCTAATGATTTTGAGCAGAAATAAACAAAAAAAGAACGAAACCGTTTATGTCATAATATAAGGTTATCGGATTCGAAATGTACAGAAATTTCATGGTTATCGGCTGTGCCTCGTCGTTTACTTGCGACGGCAGCACTGTCCGTTTCCACAGGGCGAGTAGTTCTGCTGGCATCCGCAGGAGTTGGACGGGGTCGGCTGGCAGGCGACCTGAGCGGGCTGGTAGCTGGAGCAGGAGTTGGAGCAGCTGCTGGCGCAGGCCGGAGCACACTGAGAAGCTGGCTGCTGCTGCTGGACACACTGCTGTTGGCACTGCTGCTGGCACTGAGGCTCGCATTGGGGAGACTGAGCGACGCTCGTCTGGAGCACGATCTGGATCTCCTGTGGCTGCTGCTGGGTGCACTGAGGCTGGCAAGCTGGCTGACAGGCTGGCTGGCAGGATGGAGCTGGGGTCGTCGCTGGAGCGCACATGCTCTGGCACTGGTTGTTGCACTGGCTGTTGCACTGGGCTACTGGCTGCTGTTGCTGGACACACTGCTGTTGGCACTGTTGTTGGCAGGCTGGCTGGCAGGTCGCCTGGGCGCTGATGTCGAGCTGGACCTGGATCACTTGAGGAGCTGGGGTAGTGGTCGGAGCACAGCTTGGGACGCAGGCAGCCTGGCAGCTCTGTTGGCACTGGGGGACGGATGGCGCGGCTTGGCAGCTCTGCTGGCATTGCTGCTGGCAGGCTGGCTGGCAGGAAGCCTCAGCGCTGATGTCGAGTTGAAGCTGGATGATCTGAGGAGCAGGGGTCGTGGCTGGAGCGCAGCTGGGCATGCAGGACTGCTGGCAGGTCTGCTGGCACTGAGGGACAGACGGAGCGGCCTGACAGCTCTGTTGGCAGGACTGCTGGCAAGCTGGAGCACACTGAGTGACTGGGACCTGGATCTGGAGGGTCTGTGGCTGAGCACATCCGCACGACGGCGTCTGCTGGACTGGGGCGGACTGGCAGGAGCACGATCTTTGTGGAGCAGCAGTGGTCATGGTGTAGACCTGCTGAGAGCAGGAACAGGTCGACTGCTGCTGAGCACAACCACATTGGCGTTTCTCACGGATGGCGCTTCCCTGGAAACGTTTAGTTTAGTCTTCATGATCGCAGACAGAGAAAAAGTGGTCGTGGTTGAAAAAGTTGCTCGGCAAACAGATCGCCGCTAAGGCAAACACTTAAAGCGATGTTTTTTGTCACTCGCCGTCTAAATGTGGAATCATGTTCTGATTAGGACCACGAACCGAGACAAGAAGAGCCGTAGAAGCAAGAAGGAAAGCGACGGTGGAGAAACGCATTTTGCTGCTCGAGGTGCGGATGCCGAGGAGGCGCCGAAATGTACTGTACTCCTGCAGAAGTCCCGCTTTTATACCCTGCCGACGGGACCGGTCACACGTCCACACTATTCCCAGGAACACAGAAAAAAGTGCTTGCTCATGTGTTCGAGTCGAGATCGGCTCCTCCCATTGATACAGGGTCTAGTTTCAGCGACCTGTGATCTATAATCAGCGGTTTCGTCAGAAAGAATGTTCGCAAAAAAGAAGGGATATTTATATTTAAAAGAAAGATTGTGTTGCTGCCAAGAATTTTTTTATTTCGAGAGATTTATCGAGTTTTGTTGAAACTTGATTGAACTATTTGAAGAGTTCCTTATACCAGAAGAAGATTCAAGTTTCCCAACTATTACCTTTTAGTCGAGTTATGAGGCTAAAAATTAAGAAGAAAAGCGTTATTTGAAGCTTCTTTGTCATGGACCCGGGAAAGATCAATAATCAACTTTTTTCCATATTTTCTTGGCCCAGCTTGATACAAATTTTATCAAAAGTCCAAGCTCGGCCTATAAAAAAAAAGTTTCCTTCAGACAAAAAAAAATTTTTCCTGCTAAACTTGTGATCTTCTTTACTGGAGATTTTTGAGAAAAGCTTTTTTGTGCAACATTGAATCATTGCAAATGAGGAAAAAAATTGGCCGCAAAATTGAATAAACCGAAAATTGTAATTGTTTTCACCACGCAACTTCCGCCAAACATTCATTTAGCGCAGGAAAAAGCTTTTCGATTGTTTTTTCCTCTTACTCTTAGAACGAAAGATGAAAACTGTATCCCAGTCGTTATATTTTTCATTTTTCTCAGCTATTAAATCAAAAGATGTAACTTTCTACCTTCATGAATCATGTTGTGTGATGAAACTCTAGAAAAAAAAAGTTTGAAATTCCGATTCTAGGAAATCGAGAAAATTGACGACGACTCCAAAATGAATGGGTACTCAACCAAGGATGCCAATTAGCCTTTCTTCCTTCATTTCGGAGGTCGTGAACGTCTTTTTCTGAATGCCCAGCGGCTTCTTCATGTTCATGTATATTTTTATTCTGGTTCTACAAGCTACAAGTTGGACCATTAATGGATTCGTATTGATAATATTTTTTTCAGGTGAGTTTATTTGGTCAAATTTAAAATCTTCGTGTTTGAATTTCAGGAAAACTTCATTGAGGGCAAGTTTGAATAATCGTCTAATTTTGTACCTTTCTTTTGGCCGATTGGGTTTTTTCACTATTGTGTGAGTTTAATTTTATCTTTTTTAGTATCAGACTTTTATTTTTGAACGAAGGTTTGTTCAACGAATTTTGAGATCTCAAAAAAGTCGCCAAGAGACCTCAATGATGTCTTCAAGAGACCTTAAAATGCAAAATGTGAAAAAGTCCGAAGAGAACTTGTAAATGTATTAGAAAAAATGTCTTTAAATTCTTATTTTCTTTTCACATCTTTCTGCATTTTAAATCCTTTCAGGTGCTCCTCTATTCATCTACATGATGATCAAGTGGAATCCTGTCCATTTCGACTATAACATTAATATTGTCCTTGTTTCCTCGATTCCAATGGCTATCGAATTCAAAGTCAACCTGACTTTGACTGTCGCAATTGCCCTTGACCGATGTTTGGTGAGATTTTCACTTTTTTGCTGAAAAGTACTAGTTTTGATTTGTCGGAACTACTCATTTTCTTCTCATTTCCGCGAACAAGGAACTTTTTTATTATTTTTTTTTCGCAAGATTGTATCTAATCGGAAAAAAGAAAATACTCTTTTGCACACAAAATTGAAAAAAATATATTTTTTGAAAGTTTCGAGACTTGTAAACTGAAAATGAAGTTGTTGCCCATCATACCAAAACTTTGGTGAATAAATCTCGAAAAAGCTCATTTTTGAAAAAGATCTTTTCAAAAAGTACTTCAAAAGCAGGGAAAAAAAGGGATTTTCAAATAAGATCGAATTTTTGAATTTGGATTGTTTTCAGCCAAAAAAAGTTCCTTTTTCCTAGGTACTCAAAACTTGAAATTTTTCTTATAAGAAAAAAAGGGGTTTTCATTATTGAAAAGGTTTGAAAAATCATCTTTTTCTTCAGAAAAGCCCTCAAATCTGACTTTTCAACGAGTTCAAAGGTGAAAATGGCTTATTTTGAAAGCGAAAATTTTTGGCTCAGACCTTATTAACAAAATGAAAAAATTATCATGAAAATCTGAAGAATTAACCAGAAAAAGAGCAGCAAAAGAAGAATAAAACTGGAAATAGTTATTTTAGGTTTTCTTCGAAATCAACTATTCAAAAAACTTCTTCGAGTTCAGGCCATTTTCAAGCCGATCTGGTACCGAGCTCATTTCACGGCCAGATATGCCCATGGATCCATTATGATTGGAGTATTCTTCGGGTTGTTCGACTGTGCAATGGGTCAAATATTGTCGAAGGAAGGACGTCCGCCAGCTTCAGATTGTGGGGCCCCGGGGTGCTTCACGACGCCCAAATATCGATATTATACCGGGGTTTCTAATATGGTGAGATTTCAATCAATCAAAAAAAAATTTTACTTCCTCATGATTTTTTTGCAAAAATTATTCCAAATGCCAGCAATTTTCAGTGCATGGGCGTCACAGTGACGATTCTGACAATGGCGATAATTATCAAGCTGAATTTCAACAAAGAAGAGCATAAAAGGAACAGAGAAGGACGGTTATTCAAACAGGTCTGTTTTCAGTTATTCATTCATAAATTTTCAAAGTTTCGAAAAGTCTTGTCAACGACAGTAAATATTCGAAAAAACAGCCGAGTAGCTGAAATTTCGTTTTATGCCATTTCTTTTCGATTCTCCCATATATCACGAAATCCTCTGTGATAGTTCCCTTGCCTCACTGTTCCCCAAGAATATTTTAGTTTTATGGAAAAACCACGTCAACTTTTTCCTTCATAAGAAAATTGAAATTGTATTTTTTCCTTTGCACAAAACCACTACCAATAAAGATGCAGTCTTGCTGTACGTGACAAGCAAGACGGCAGGTTTCAAGAGCTTTTTCGACAATGTCAAGAAGAATAATTTCAGACGAACCGAGTAACTTCGGCTATTTTGACCTCTTCCATCATTTTTTTCACAATTCCGAGCATTCTTGTGGGAGCTAGCGGAATCATCGGAGAGGACGGAATGCTTTTCAGACAACTCGGCCCATTTTACGTGATTGGACTTCTGGCTTCAGGTATTTTCAAATTTTTCAAGTCTCAAAGAAAGAAATCAGCTTTTACGGAGGCACTTAATTTATTTTTCGTTGGAATACCAATCGAAATTCTAGATTTTGAGAACTTTCCAGGAGGAAATCCAAACTTACAACCGGCATACTTTCGAATTCAGGTGCTTGAATCAACTAGAACTTTTTTTTCCTATTTTGAAACCCTTTTTGAGACAAACTCTAGTTTTTTTCTAGCTTTTTTAATCGTCAAAAATCGCCTATAATATTCAGTTTTTCCACTGAAATCTATACTTTGAAATAAATTTTACCCTACTTCTAGAAGTAAAATATTCTCGATATCCAGAAATCTAATTTATGTTTCATACTCAGGAATCTGCAACGGATTGATATTTTTGACGATCAACCCCGAAGTCCGACGATTGGCCAAACTGATATTATTCAATTCAGCTACAATTCGCTCCGAAAGCAAGGCTTCAAGTTTGAAATCGATTCAGCTCCCTTTACAATTCCCATCTCAAAGAAGTACTGTGATTAGATCTGTTTGAAATTCTGATAATTTTTGTTAGGTTTTTTTCTCATTTTTATAGAATTTCTGAAAAAGTAAGATATCGGGTACGTAGTTCAAATTTCCTATTATAAAAAACTCTGATGTTCGTTTTGACCCCACTTATTTTTCGTAATCCGTTTAAAATACCTCAATTCATCACTTTTCTTCATTGGTTATGGAAAAAGTTCTGAAGATTATGTTTTTTTGTGTCATGATATTTTTTCATAAACAAACACCTTCTCTAAAAACATTTCTGCCTTTTTTCCTTGATTTTCCTCGACAATTCGTGTCAAAGTTTCAAAATCCAACTATTGCTCAATAAAATCTTGAGGACATTGAAAACTATTTCCAGACATTTAATTATATGCTCTTTCGCGCAGAAGAAAAAGTGTAGTCTTGCGGATGCTTGGTGTTATTTCAAAAGAGCAAAAAGTGTTTTAGGAAAAATTTTAGGGAAGAAAAATGAGACTTCTCTTCACAGATTGTGATTTTGGATCAATTATCATGATGGCAAAGAGAAGCAAAAATGATAATGGCAAAATATGGCGTGATGGGGAGTCGAACCTTCGACCAATTTGATGATAGACATGCGTCTTAACACTGAGCCACGCTAGAGTGAACAGTATCCTTGTTTTTCCAACACGTTCAAGTTCAATTCAAAAAAAACTTGATTTAAAGTCAAAATGGTATGTTTTATTTCGAAATGAATGAAAAACTTGTCAAACTTCTACTCGTACCATTTTCATTCAAAAAATACCCAAAGTGGCTTTTAATTTTTGATTTACTTCAAGTGCTCTCCAGTTCTCCATTCACTTGGAAATTCAGGGAACACGCACTTTTTCTCGAATTTTCCAGCGGTTCTCATGAAAGTTTAAAGTTCTCTCTTGCCATATGGTGGAAAATTATCGACTTTTTTCGAGTTTTAAGCTTCGTTCTCTTTTTAAAACCAAAAAATTGTTCAACTTCCATATAAAATCGGATCGTTTCAGGTAAGGATTTCAAGAAAAAGTTCGAAAGAATAAATTATAGCTAATTTAGAATGGGAATTCTCCGCTACACTTACAGTGAAGAAATGACGAAATTATTCTCTTCAATTCACACTTTCTATTTTTAGCTGAAAAAATACTCCGTTTTTTCGACTTGAAATTCTGTCTTTCTCTGCTCCCTACTTGTCTCTCGGTACTCTCTCCTGTTGATGTGATATTCCTATGTTTCTCTCACTTCGCCGTTGAGGGAACAGAGAGACGCAGACACTCTGAAAGTGTCAAGTCACGGCAAACGGAGTATCGACTTTTTAAATGCGATGACGACTTAACTTCCATCATTCAGCATGTCGAAATTCATCAGAATCAGCATAAAAACTGATCAAAGTCCAAAAGCGTGACTCATGATTCACCACATAGCGAAATTCAGTTGCGCAATGGTCTTTCCCGTTCGATAAAACCATTTCGGAAAACAAGAGAACGAAACACTATTTATTCAGTGAAGGTTCTCTCCTACTTTTTTTCTCTTTTCATTCTAAATTGCGCTATTTTTAATATCTCGTCCTATTCAGTCAATGGAAGAGCTTAGTTTCCCACAAGGAAGTTAATTTCCCTTGAAAATTTTCTAGAATAATTTTTGACCTACTAGATGAAAACTCTGAAAGTCTGATCCTTCCTCAAAATTCGGGACAGAAAAAGTCACAGGATAGCCAATTTTTTTCTTCGCCTTTTCTATCAATTTTCTTTCAACTGAATTTCAAAACCTCCAAATCTTTGTTGTAGCTGATTTCAAATGACCCGATTTCAATTATTTTAGGTAAAAACCATGCGGTTATTCCTATTAATTTCCCTGTTTCCCACTGTTTTCTGCGGCATCCGACTACTCTGTGCAGTTTGGCGTCATGGGGATCGCGCTCCCGGCGAGCTACCGTATCCCAACGATAAAAATGGTTTGGAGGCTTGGCCTCGCGGTTGGAATCAGATGACTAATGTGAGAGTTTATAAAAATAATTTTTAGAGATTTTCAAATTTTAGAGAGGAATCAAACAGGCGGCACAGTTGGGGAAATGGCTCAAAAGACGGTATGGAAAGGGAGACGGTGCGATTTTGCGAGTTTTCAATAAATCCAAGGTGAATTTTCCTAATTGATCCATATTTCATGATTATTGACCCTGCACATTTGTTGAAAATATGAAGATTAGAGGAATAATAAGAACTTTTTAAAATTATAAATCTGAAGCGATGGACCGCAAGATGAAGAGACCGCAGAGAGAAAGAAATTTCTCTGACTGTCTAGCGTCTCTTCAGACGACCCGCACTCTCGCTTCCGTCTTTTTTCAGCTTCATTTTAGCTTCTCCCCTAAATTTCGTTGATGAAAAGAAACCAAAGAATCACATTTTCAGATCTATTTCCAATCCTCCGACTCGGAAAGAGCCATCGAAACGTCTCAAGCCGTGGCGGCGACTTTATTCAAGCCCAGAGGGAACCGAATTTGGACAGATTCTTCAGATTTGGAAAATTGGCAACCAACCCCCATACATACAACAGCTATTGGATATGATCCAGTAGGCTTCAATTTTTTAAAAACGCGAAAATTTATATTTCTAGCTCCTGAGACCTTCCAAGTTCCCCTGCCCTTTGTATGATAAAATTGAAGATGAGGAAGCTGCGCCGAAAATCGCGAAAATCAACCAAGAGTGAGCGGATTTTAAAAAAAGAAAAAAATGTAGACATTTTTTTTAGTTATGCGGAAATGTTCAGAAACTTGAGTGCTGTTACAGGAATAGCAAATGTTTCCTTTAAGAACATTGGTGATTTGTACGATGTGACGAGGGAGGTTTGTTGGGCTTTTCTATACAAATAATCAAGATGATTTTTTCCAATTTATTTCAGATCATCAACAACTTGAAGCCGGATGAGTGGATTAAATACGAATTTAATGGTTCATCTTATTTAACTCATGTCATCGAGCTGAAAAGGATATCTGATGCGATGGAGTTCGATACCAAGGAGAAGGCTAAACTCGGGTATGATTTCCTTTCAAGAAAGGATGAAAAAGTGCAAAAAATATGTTGATTTGCGCCGGACCCGAAACTACTTGCGCCAGTTCGCACTTAATATCATACTTGGCTCATGAAAAATCGGGTATTTTTGGTATGAATGAAAATTTGACAAAAGTCAAAATATTTCAAGTTTGCACCCGACCGATAACGGCTTGCGCATTCTCTATGAAATCAAAGCTTTCAGCGCCGGTTATTTGGTGAACAATTGGCTGAACCATATGGAAAAAGCGGCTAGTGGAAAAAGCAGCTTGAGAGCTGTTCTGTACTCTTCTGTGAGTTTTTTTTTAGCCAACTCTCAAAAAAGGATTGTTAAAAATGAAATTGCGAATTTTTTGCTATAAAATAATTTTTTATGACTAGCCAATTCTTATTTCAGCACGACGGAACTGTTTCAGCATTCCTCAGCGCCCTTGGCGTGAGCAATAATTTACTTGTCCCTTATACTGGGACCGTTCTTGCCGAACTCCATGATGATCAAACCGTTCAGGTCAGTAATTTCCTATGAAAAAAAAACCATCAAAAACGCAACTTTTCTGCAAAAAGTCACCATTTTTTTACGTTCAAAAACCCAAAAACTAACCTCAGTTTCGATTTTCATCTTCCTTTCTTACGAAAGTGATAAAAAATGCTCAAAAACTAAGGCTTCTTGGAGCTCGCTTATTTTTCTATTTTCCATTTTGGCTCCAAAAACTTTGGGTAATAAGCTTCTTTTCCAAAATTTACCATCAAAATGATTTTTTTTTTTCAAAAATCAAATTTTTCAGTTTTTCTATCGGAACAACACAAACCTGAACCCATTTCCTCTACAAATCCCTGGCTGTTCGCAAGCTTGCCCACTGCCCCAATTGTTGGACCTTCTGGAAGATGTTCGAATTGGGACTTCAGATGAATATACTCAGGTTTTGACAATTTCCAAAAAATCTCAAAGAAAAACTTTCAGTTGTGCAAGATAAAAGGAGCGGCTGATGCTGCTTGAGAAAATTTTGTTTTTTCTTGTAAAAAATGTATTGCATCTTAAAAATAAATAATTCACCCTATTACTGTAATTTTTTCAATCGACAGATGTTGTAAAACGTCAGCAAAAAAAAATCTGCTGAGTGGATTCGAACCTTGGTCCCGAGATTACTAATTGAGCTTCCTATCCACTACACTATCCGGACGATTTTCGGTTGGTAACTGAAAAAGAGCTGATTTTAGTCTTTACGTTAAACCTGGAACGATTTATTTTCTCTATCAGCAACGAAAGTGAGCAGACTACACTCCTTGAATTATTTTTGTTTTTGAAAACAATTTTGGCACTCTTTTGATGACTTTTCATGAGAAATTCTCATGTTTTCAAAAAAGTAAGCTACATATTTTTCTTTTCAGTATTCTAGCCATTAGGAGAATGGCCATTCTCGTCGGAATATGAAAAAAAGAAGGGGAAATGAGAAAGTGTTGAAAAAAAAGCAATAACGTGAATCATTTCTTGAATTTCGATCAGACTTTTTTTGGCTATAAGTTTATAAGTAAAAAGCTTCAAATGTAGGAATTTTTGTGCAGTTTGAATGAATTTTTTTAATGTTCACTGTTAGAAAAAAATCGACAAAATCATTTTTTTAATCGAAAGGTTTGAGATTTTTTTCATAAAACTGACCGCTGCGAATCGTAAATCCACATCAGCTTCTTAAGAAAAAAATCAAAAAAATATTCATCTTATTTTTTTCACAATAATTTCTTTTTTTCTGAGATTTTTTTACTTCGCCCGAAGCTTTAAAAAAATTAGAAAATTGCATACCATATTAATAAAAGTTCTGAATTCATATTTTTTTACCTATTTTTGTACCGTTCTTCTCACGCCAAGAGCTCAAAAAAATTGATGAAGGCCAGCTTTTGTTTTATGGACCCCGATACAATATTCCAAGTTTTTCCCAAGAAGAAAATCTAGCCACTTTTTCGACATGTGATCTTTCCATGGGAAAATTCTGGAATTATTAAGTCAGCTAATATGTTTCTCAATATTTAAATTACTTGCTAGACATTGTGATCTCTGAGAAAAAGAAAAAAAGTATTTTTTTGGACGGAATATATTTTCTAGTTTTTTCAAAATCTGTCTGACCATTTCAAAAAAAGCGTTTCATTCAAACTCAACTAGAGAAAGTCTAGCATTTCTGCGCTCTCTTCTCTCTCGTTACTCTGCTGGAAAGTGAAAAGAGGGCGCAGAGAGGCTAGAGATTTTCGAGGGAAATGACATATACAGTTTTTTTTTTTTACATTTTTCACGTCTTTTACAAGTTTCTGCGGGTACCATGATCATTAAAAGTTTTTTGTTCTTAAAATATAGACATCATAGTCTCTGGGAAATATGTTCTTAAAAATTAGGCATTGTAGTCTCTGAGAAAAAAAAATTTTTGGCCATCTTTGGGCGGAGAAAGCTTCTCAGGTTATAAATTGAAGTACAATTTTCAGTTGTTTTTTTCCCCATTTCCGGATCTTATTCAAGAAAGCAACCCTGTTTTTATACAAGCATGTTTTTCTGCACGTCATCTTCTTATTAGGCTCAAAGTATTTTCAACATGCTGACGAAAAATTATAACAAGTCTCGGTGATTTTTTGAAAAATAATGACTCAGACCAAACAAATTCTTGATTAAATATTTTTCCGCTTTGAAAAACGGTGCCATTTTTATCAATTATCTCGCATGGGGTCTTCAAAAACAGGCAGATTGGACTTTTTCAAATCTTAAGTTTCACTTCAATTTTTCCTCTATTACCACTTGTCCCTGGATAATGAGGACTTTTGTTCCTTTGATTTTAATCGGTTTTTTGGATAAAAGGTCATAGGAGCTTGGAAATTCACAAAGTTGTTTATGGGCTTGGATATTATGCTGCCAATAATATTAATAATCGAGCCTTTTTTGTTTACCGCCTTGTTCTATAGTTCAGAAATACTTTGTACCAATTAATAAAGAACAAGGAAAAGTTAATTTTGTCTCATTTTTCCTTGGATGAAAAATAAACGAGCAGTGACAAGTAAAATGGGAAATACTCGTTTCGGAATGACTTATTGAAGAAAAAAAGTCTCCGCTCAGCCCAACTTTCGGAATTTGGAAAAAAATTTTATGAATCGGCTCAAAATAATTTTAAAAAAGGCAAGAAAATAGGTAAGAACCATCAAAAATAGAAATAATTATCCCAGTTTTCTTCGATTTCTCTCATCCAAAAGCCTTCAACGACACACCAAATAAGTTTTTTTTTTAAATTCGCGCCTCAATCGCCACATTTAACCATTCTAAATGCGACTATCTTTTTTCAGTTCTTTCATCTACCAAAAAAATGACGGAGTTACGATACTACGTCCTTATAATGATCTTTGTCTTTCAAATCATCGGTTTGTTCATCAACGGCTTTGCCTTGTTTCTATTTCGGCGGTAAGAAGTTGAAAATTGGATCGTATATGATATCGAAATCAAATTCAGTAAGAAATCTCTTCGTGCTCATGCAAGCCAACAACTTATACTTCTACTAACACTAACTGATTGGCTTTATGCGTTACTTTGTGAGTTTTATTGACATTCTCTATTTGCTATTGGTGATTAAAGGCGCATGGGCATAACCTAAGAAAAAGGTCCCCTGACGAAAAACCACTTTCAGTGTCTTAAAGTCATTCAAAACTCTCAGGATCAGACTATACTTTCGAAAAATGTTGGAATTTCATTGATTCCAGGCCTACCTCACATAACTTATCTAATCTATAATTGGAGACCTGATGGAAGTCTTTACAACCCTCAAATGGTCACTTATTCCGCTTCGCCAACGATCCTACAGTTCAAGGTCAATCTGACTTTGACCATTTTCATCGCTTTGGAGCGATGTTTGGTGGGTTTCGTAAATATTTTCTTTGAAGAAGGCTTTGGAAAGAGGTAGAAAAATCGGCTTGAATCAGCATGAACACTTTGAAGCTTCCCAACTCAAGCTCAAAAATATTTGAACACTCATTTTTCCAGGCTCTTCTGTTCCCAATTTGGTACCACAAGAACTGTGAAAGCGGCTTTGCCAAAGTCGCTCTATCGATCGGTATCTTATTCGGAGCCATCGACTTGACCTTCTTTTTTGGTTATGGCTACAATACGAACGTCCAAGGATGTACAGCGACCGGTTGTTTCATTTCGACCATTTCCAGACAGTTCACTGGGATAAGCAACATGGTTGGTCAAGCGTTTTCAATCGAAAGCTTCTATTAAAAGTCCACATTACGGAATGGCAAAGGTTCTCTTTAGAACCACCTTTCAAATTTTATCTATGCGCCTTTAAAATCTGAAGTATCCTACTTTTAAGGCATGCAATTATTCAACTTTCAATTTGACAGTAAAGAGCATGATAACTTATTTCTGAAACTTTCTCAACTTAAATTATTTTTTTTTTCTACAGATCCTAGGAATCCTGGTCGTTCTTCTGACAGCCGGCTATTTGGTCAAACTTCAACTATTCCAAGGTCGCCAAGCTCAAAGAAGATCTTTCCAGCAGGTACTACAAACTTCACCTTTTCCAATTAAAACCCGGAAATTGAGATTAATCAACTGGCGTCTGTCATCTTGTTGAGCTCCCTGACGCTGAGCACGTTCCCAAGCCTAGTCATCGGCGCGGGAGAAATTATTACGAAGATTGCCGAGATTTTCAGAGTCATCGGTCCGTTCTACGTGGCCGGCATGACGCTCACAGGTGATAGTTTCAAAATTTCAAAGAGGAGATGAAAAAAACTCGAAGAGACGGAAAATTCTCGATAAATATGAAAGGAACTCTAAAGAGGAAATATCAGTCTATCAAGTTTTATTTTTTCGAATTTTCGATTATAAGGGCATTGAAATTTTTTTTGAAAAATGAGAAAATGAAATTTTTGAAGATTTTCTTAGAAATTCCAGAGTGGTCCCTATAGAGGTTAGAGGGGAAAAAAACTTCAACGGGAGTCGAAAAAGGGGTCCCTATGGGGGTAAAATGAAAGTGGTTCCTATAGGGTTAAAATTAAGGTGGTCCCTATAGGGATGTAGGAACTGACCCCTAAAGTTGCAGGGCCCTATGGGGGTCCCTCAATTTCATTCAAAAAACGCTCATTTCTCCAGTTTTTCCCCATGGAAATGCTTCATGACAATTATCGACAATCATGTCCCATATAGGGAACACTTTTGCAAGATTTAGTGGCCCCTGTAGGGGTTCGTAAAATCCCTACATGGAACCCTTCAAGAACCTCTCAGGTTGCCCCTATAGGGACCACTCTGAAGTTCCTAAGTTGTGCTCCATTGAAAAAAATTAGCTTTAATTTTCCATTTTTTTTAATCCTTGCCAGTTTCAAGGATTATTTATTTTTTTATGAAATTGAGATCTTTTACTAAAGGCTTTCTCCACAAATTAACAAATTCGACACTAAAAATTTTTTTTCGATCATCTTTTTAGAAATTTTTTTAATTATTTTTTTAGCTGAATGATTGATGGATCATTATTGCAAGACCCATTTTCGTTTTTTTGAATAGATTTTTTTGAATATTACATCCTTCCGATTTTCTAAAAAAAAAACTGGCGGGTAAGTGATCGCATTTTGAAGACCTTAACAAACCTATTTATATTAAAATAAAATAAAAAACTCAAAACTTCCTGGGAACCTAATTAATTTAGAATAATACAGGGGTCTCCAACGCCATAATATTTTTTTGACTTTGAACAACGAGGCTCGAAAAACGGTCAAAGCGATGTTAAGCAGCAAAAATATTTCCTCAACGGACAAAACCGTCCCTTCAATAGTGACACCTTCGGACGGAAACGATTTCACGTCATCAACTGCAGAAATGAAGGGAGTTGTCAAGTTTCCCAGGACCGCTAATTCACGTTGATTGTTTTTTTGTTTTATTTTTTTGTTAATGTGAATTTTTTTGTAATAAAGGAATTATTTATCGAATATTTTTTTACACAAAAAAATGATAATTTTGACTACAAAAAGGCCCTTTTTTTCAAGATTTGGAAACTTCAAAATGGAAAGAGGTTTCAAGAAAAACACTGAACCTGATGAGTTTTACAAAAAAAGGTCGCAAAAAAAGAAGCTTAACCTTGGTGAACCTGAAACCTCACTGAAATCCAGCCTATCTCAGTTTCTAAAAAATGCAATCCAAAAAAAAAACCGAAGAGGGATCGAACTTGAGTCCTATTCTCCCTCGAACAAGACCTCTAACCACTCTGTCATCCGACAAAAAAATCGTATAAAATTAGTAAAATGTAAAAATAGGGCCTTTGAAAGCAGAAAATTAGTATCTCTACAAGAAAAAATATGAAAAATTTCTACTTTGGTCTGAGTCACGTTGATCTATCATGAAAATACGCTTCACCAAATTCTCAGTCATTTTCAAAAAAAATCTGTACTTCCTTGTGAACGAACCTTTCTACAAAAAATGTATACTTTATACTTCTCCGTCATTTTCTTGGTCTAATCAAGTTCTCTTCTTCCTTTTCTAAATCACGAAGAAACATTTAAAAATAAATTTTTTTAATAATTTTTTTAGTTTTTTTCCTAACAATAATTCTTTTTATTAAAAAAAGTTCCAGCATTCTCCTAAAAATTCGTTAGAATATTCTTTGACGTAAAAAAATAAAGATCCTGAAAGTTTCAACCTGCTAAAATTCCTATTTTTTTAGAAAGCTCATTTTACCGCCTTTTATTGGTTTTCTCTGATTTTTAAAAATTATTTTATCAAAAATTCAAGAATTTTTTTGAAGATTGACGCCTTCAGAAACTTCATCCCGTACGTCAAAAAAATATTTTTGGCTAATTTTCATAAATTTCCAAAGTGCAAAGTGAAATAACCCTCTTGTAGGGATCTCAAGCTCAAAAAAAAAAAAAAAAATTTTTTTTCTCGTTTATAAAGATCAAACCTTTATTTCTACAACTTGAAGTTACTTTTTCCATGAAACTATAGAACTCCTTCCACTTCCTTATAATTTGCATCAAATTTATGGCCCAAACGCTGACATTTCCTCGTAGACTTGAACGAAAATTTAATTTTGTTCCGCTAAATTCACTTTTTTCATTATTTTTTTAGTAGTCTACCCCACGAAACCAACTTTTTTTCATTTATTGAAAGCTTTCTAGTTTTGCAGAAAATTTTCCAATTTCCAAAATTTTCCAATTTTCCAAGCAGAAAATTTTCCAAATTTTCCAAAATTTTCCAAGCTTTTTTAATTTCTATCTCTAAATGTGTCCAATTTTTTAGAAGGAAGATAATATACTTGATAATTTAGAATTTTCCGAAAAGTTGCCTGAAAAAAATCAAATGAATTTTTTTCTGTTAGTGGCTAGTTACGTATAATTCTATTTTTTTGGAATTATGAATTCTCATAATTTTTTTCTAACCCATAAAAAAATCTGATAAAAATAAATTGACAAAGGTAGTGACTAATTAGGATCTTTTTCCTAGACCTTCAAAGAATATTTTAACAAAGTGGAAATTTCCAAATTCAAACTCAAAATACCTAGCTTGTAGGGAAGAATTCAATTTTTGAGCTTTTTCATTGTGTTTCTCAGATTTTTCACAAAATTCAAATTTTGCAGCTTCAGAATGGGATTCCATTTCTATACGATGATATTGACGTTATCCCTCCAAGTCATCAGTTTTTTCATAAACGGCTTGGTTCTCTACGTGTTCTATCGGTAAGTTCACTCATTAAACTTTGGAAAAAAACTATTTTATTTTTTTAGAAAACCCTCACTACGATCCAATACAAATCATCAGCTGATATTGCTTCTTTCAATCGCTGATTGGTTATACGCCTTGTGTTGTGAGTTTCATTGAATTTCGTTGGTTCTTGATGGAAATTATGGGAGGTAAACAACGGTTTTTGAGTCCCGACATTATCGCTTCTCATACATTTTTTCAGAGATCGTTCGAAAAAACAAAAAATCATTTTCAGAAAAAAATTATCCACTTTCTTACTTGGATTTTTATTAGAAAGCCAATTCTCCCCCATCTTCCTTTTTTACAAGGTTATGTTCCAGCTATCCCTGGAATGTCGTACTTGATCGCCAATTGGAGTCCAATCAACGTTCACTACGATCCTTATATCACTGTTTATTCCAATTCTCCTTTGATTTTCGAATACAAAGTGAATTTGACCCTGACTGTCGCGGTGGCTTTGGATCGATGCTGGGTGAGTTCTTCTCCGAATTCGAAAAAAAAGATTCCAAACTTTTTTTCTTTTACTCAGTTCTGTTTGAATGAACTTTAAGTCAAAAATTCAAAATCAAGTTTAATAAGCTCTCAGGCGTTAGAAAGCTCGTTTTTAAAATTAAAATAAATATTCTGAAAAATTTCCGGTTGCGTCATAAATATTGTAACAACAGTGGTTTCTACTAGAAAATCGAATGAAAGACTGATATTTCTAATTCTTGAGAACTATAAAGATATATCGAAAGTACTCCTCATGCCGTTTTGAAAAAAAAAGTTTTTCAGTTGCGTCTTAAAATTTTGAAAAAAGCAAAAAAGTACCATTTCAAAAAAAGCACAACTTCAATTTCAGTAATTTTGACACGAATTTACAGCGTCTCGGTTCAAAAACTTTTAAAAGAAACCTGAGTTTTATAGTTCTGAAAAACTATTATATGAGATTTTTTTCAGTTATTTTCTATTTTTTAAACTTGTGATCTTCGTACGAAAAGAAACTTTCCAATGGTCCTAAAATTGCAGGCGATTCTTCTGCCTTTCTGGTATCATCAAAGAAAAGGCAGCTATTTCTCAATGGTCGTTCTGGGAATCGGATTATTCCTCGGATTAATGGATTTCCTGGTTCTCATCGAATTTGGAGACATTCATGATGTTCCCGGCTGTACTGCCGCTGGGTGCTTTGTTTCTTCGTTTGCTCGAAAATGCATGGGGTACAGTAACATGGTGAGTTTTAGATCCTGAACAGAAAAATTGAGCTTTTTGAAAAAACAAAATTATGCATTAAACTTCTACATTGAACTTCTAACTGTAACTAAACCCACAAAAAGCCTAAGTGGCACTTGGAATGGCTTTACGCCAAAAAATCTCACCGGATTACACCAGACTAAAAAAAAGATTCACCAGCAGAGTGATGTTTCAAAAAATTATTAGAAAAAAATACAAGTTTTTCGAAAATTGTCTAAAGTTGAGAAAATTAAAAAAAAAATATATATATTCATAATTCCGAAAAAATGAACTTTTTCTTCCAGGCTCTGGGCTCAACAGTTGCGATTTTAACTCTGATCATAATTGTGAAGTTGAAACTGTTCAGAGGAAGCCACAATCTCGAATCACTGGGGAGTCAAAATCAGCGCCGGTTTTCACAGGTTATTTTAGAAAATTAAAAAAAAATTGCAACTTTTTTTTAATCTGCTGAAAGTTGAGACGTTTTTTTTACTTTTTGAGACGAGTTATGGTCCTTCAAAACGCCAAAAACCCTCATTTTTATCACCCAACAGAGCTTTGAGACGTTAAAACTGGACAAGAAACAAAGAGAAGACTTTGAATATTTCACAAATTTTTTGGAACCTCCAGGATAGATTCAGGATAACACTCGAAGCCAAACTCATCCCAAAACACATACAAGTCCTGATTAAAAATTTAAAAAACTAATTTACAGGCGAACCGAGTCGCCTGCGCCATTCTTCTAACATCTCTCAGCTTTTGCACGGTTCCCAGCTTCCTAATCGGCGCGGGAGAGATTTTCACGAAACTCCTCATTATTTTTGCAACTATTGGCCCATTTTACATCACCGGCTTGGTCTTGACAGGTAATTGAAACTAAGAATTTCTTTTCCAAACCCAAAAACTCTCTGCTATCGCTTTTAATGTAACTCTAAAAAACCCTAAAATTACACTAAAAATCAAATTACCTAGTGAAACTAATAACAACTTAGATACGCAAGTGGAAAGGAATGGCTTAAGAACAAGTCACATTTGATCAAAATCGAGAAATGGCTTTTTTTTTTTGTACTTGTTGCTTTGTACCAGTTTTGAAAAAAACAGTGTTAATTTTTCTAAAATTCAGGGATTGCGAACGGGATCATCTTTTTGACGCTGAACAGTGATGCTCTACAAGTTGTCGGAAAAGTTTTATCGATGAATCTGGGAGAAAATACGAGTAACCAGAACACGGCCCACTCTATCCCCAGACCTTTGGAGCAGGAGAATTCGAAAAGTTCAGTCAAAAAGAAAACTTCCGTCAACAATGTCAAATTGGTCTGGACAGCGTCTTGAATTTGTGAACTTTTCATTAGGAATTTTTGATTGAATAAAATTTTGTCATTTTTTTTATCGCGTCATAATTATTGACGCATCCTACTTTTCTGTGCGATTGAACAGCTCATTTGTGATTTTTAAATTTGATTATAAAAAATTTTCAGGTTTGCCGAAACTTTTTTTGAAATCACTTTTGATTTGATGATGATGATGATGATGGTGAAGAAAAAAATCCTCGGTAGATTTAAATTTTAATAGGTGAAGGAAAATTTGAAAACAAATCTGTGAAAAATCTTCATTTTTCGATCAATTTTTGTATCAATTTCCTTTGTGATGTTCGAAAGAGGGAAAAATCTCAAAAATTTGAGACTTGAAAAAAATATGAATTTAAATACACTCTCTTCATAATTATAGAGTGGAAACGCCAAAAACTTGTGCTCTGCTTGCAACAAAAATCCTTTCAAAACATAAACATTTTTTTCAGATTTATGACTCTTTTTTCTTTGATAAAAAATCTTTGAGTCAATTTCTGCATATTCCGGTCCCTTTTTTCCTAGAAAAATACAGTTTTCCATGAAATTTAGGCTGATTTGAGCATATTCAACCTTTTACTTCATTAAAAAATAAGAAAAAAACCTCAAAAAAACTCATGCCGTGCTCCTTGAAAAGGTCATTGAAGGAAAAATTAGAAATCGAGCCGATTCTTCACAATATCTGAACATTTTTTAGGAATGATTCCACCAATTATTCATTGAAACCTCGCCAAACAGCCGTCTTCCAACAGAAAAACAGAAACTTTGAAGTATAAATTGGAGGAAAAAAATTGAAACAAAATGAGAAAAAGAAGAGAATTAGAAATTTTGGCGCGTAAAAATTTGAAATTCCAGCAGTTGCGTCAGTGTGTCTGCGGAGTCTGATAATACAGTAGGCAGGCGTAGGAAAAACAGCCGAGGTTTCTGATCTTTATTCGAAAATTTTTTTCTTCTATTCAACGTCCTCCTTCATGTACCACCTCTCCGCGGTGATGGGGATCAACGACCATTTATGGCGGCAACGTCATAAATGGCGGCTAACTGGTACACCGGTCACGCAGTTCGCCTTGCTTTATGCTAATAGAATGGGCGGTCCTCCTAGCCCTGGCGAGGCAACGAGGATAACCAGACCACAAAAAAGCTAAAACACGTTCAACAAGACGGCCCCAGTCCTCCGCCCGTCGGTCACGCGCCTCTCCGGTATCGGGGGCTGCCTCTGCCGACGAGGGGCGATCAAATCTCGGAGCAACAGGATACCATAGAAACGGACTACGGACGCGCCACGGTGACTGTCTACGTTTCGGAACCCTCAACTGCCGCTCGCTCGCTTCCGATGCAGCAAAAGAGCAATTGCTCGCGGCAAACCGAAACGCACTCATCGACATAGTGGCGCTCCAGGAAACAAAAATCTCAAGACACCAGCTGTAAGACTTGGCCAAACGGTGAACTTCTCATCCTCGGCCACAAAGTCCCTGGGAAGAACGTCGGCGGCGTCGGTTTCCTCGTCAATCGCTCGGTCCAACACCTCGTCGACTCGCACGAAATCGTCAACGCCCGCCTCGGCATCCTCCGACTCAACCTAGGGAAAAACGAGGAAGACTCACCATCATCAACGTCTACTCGCCGACCTCACCAGAAGCCGAATCTAAGGCTAAAAGGGAAGAGAAGGAAAAAGGAACTTGACGATTTCTACCGGAAGCTCGAGGAAACGATCCAACGAGAGAAGGCGTACTACATCTTCGTTCTGGGTGACTTCAACGCGAAGATGGGCAAGTGCGCCACTCCCTCGATTCGTCACGGGAAGCACGGACTCGGAATTCGGAACGACAACGGAGAACGCCTAGCCGAACTTCTCGACTCCAGAAGGCTCTACCACGGCAACTCTCTCTTCGAGAAGCCTGATCAGAGACGCTGGACCTGGAAATCGCCCAACGGAGACACCAACAACGAGATCGACCACATTCTGGCCAACCGGAAATGGTCTCTCCTCGACGTTGCCGTACTACCCAGTTTCGACGTTGGATCCGACCATCGACTCGTTCGCGCCAAGGTCCGTCTGAACCAGAAGTTCCTGAAGAAAGACTACCACCAGCCATCGAGACCGAGAAGACCAACCTACGACATCACCACGTTGGAGGAGAAGATCTCGGAGCACGACTGGCAGCTTCTCGACGACCCGACAGCCGACTACGAATCCCTCTGCGATGGCCTCATCAGATGTGCAGAACCTGCAGCTCGACCAACCTCGTCTCTACCGCCGCGACTCGACCAACGAGCGAAAGATCTGCTGCGAAGAAGAGGAGAAGTCAAACGAGACCCGCAGGCCACGCACCTGGAACGTCTGACGATCGACAAAGCCTGCAGAATGGCCGTGCAAGAGTCTCTAGCCAACCGACGCAGGAGTGCACTTCTTCAGACAGCTGAGAAACGTCAAAGCCTCAAGAAGAAGAAGTTCGAGCTCGTCGACGAGCGAACGGTGATGACAGCACTGAAGGACGAGAACGGCCAGCTGAAGACGTCAAGGAACGAGATGGAGCGCCTGACGGTCGACTTCTACACGAAACTCTTCCGAAGCGACGTTCCCGTCCCCAGAACACCAACGCCGCCACCAGAAGATGAACCCCCTGATCCTTCCCTGAAGAAGTCAAGTACGCCATCAGGAAGCTGAAGGTCGGAACGGCCGCAGGACCCGACAACATCTCATCCGAACTGCTGAAGGCTGGAGGAGACTCGCTGTACCGACTACTTGCCCGGCACTTCTCCAAGTACCTGAGCGAAGCCTCTATTCCTGAACAATGGAAAACGTCCAAGACGATCCTCATTCCGAAGAAGGGCGACCTCACCGACCTGAACAACTTCAGACCGATCTCCCTCTTATCGGTCGTCTACAAGTTGTTCACCAAGGTCATCGTCAACAGACTAGAGAAGCAACTCGACAACTTCCAACCGCCTTCGCAGGCTGGCTTCCGACGCAACTACTCTTGCCTCGACCACATCCACGCCTTGACCCAGGTGGTGGAACGGCACCGGGAGCACCAGATGCCACTTGCGTTGGCCTTCGTCGACTACTACAAGGCCTTTGACAGCGTGGAGATCAACGCCGTCTTGAATGCTCTTGCCTCCGCCGGAGTCGCCACGAAGTACGTCGAGCTGATCGCCAACAGCAACGAGGGAACGTCCACGACCATCCAGCTGTTCGACAAGAAGCTTTCGATCCCCATCAGGAAAGGTGTTCGCCAGGGAGATACCATCTCCCCCAAGTTGTTCTCCACGGCACTAGAAGACGCGATGCGCCAACTTGGATGGGACGAAGAGCACGACTGGGAAGACAGTACAGGCATCAGAGGCATCAACATCGACGGCAAGGTCCTCACAAACCTCCGCTTCGCCGACGACATCGTACTCTTCTCAAGCTCCACCACCGAACTTTCCTCTATGCTGAACGATCTGGACGAAGTCGGCAAGAAGATCGGCCTTAAGATGAACGTCAAGAAGACGCAGTGGATGAAAAACCGCTTCTGCGACCAAGGCAAAGTCACCCTTGAGGGCCGCGACCTTCAGGAGGTCACATCCTACATCTACCTTGGCCGGGAAGTAAACATGGTGAACGACCTGCAAGCAGAGATCGGCAGACGCAAACGCGCTGGATGGGCCGCCTTCAACTCCATCAAAGAAGTCACCAGTCAGCTGAAAGACCCGAAACTGCGAGCTCACATCTTCGAAGCGTCGATAATCCCTGCCATCTCCTACGGTACCGAAGTTTGGCCTGACACGAAGAAAAATGCAACCGCCCTACGAACTTCCTACCGCGCACTGGAACGTGCTCTCATCGGCACCACTCGCTTCGAGCAGTGGAAAAAAGAACAGAGGAGCACAGACCTCCGTCAACTATCCCAAATCCGGGATCTAGAAGAGCACATACAACGCGGGAAACATCGTTGGGGCGGCCACGTCATCCGCAGACAAGACGACCGCTGGTCCACGAGATTAACACTCTGGATTCCGAGAAACATCAAGCGCCCACTCGGGCGCCCACCGACTCAGATGGACGGACTTCTTCCGCAAGAACATCAGTCAGCCAGGCCGCCACTGGATGACCGTCGCGCAAGACCGAGCCGCCTGGAGAACGTGTGGTCCACGCTGAGAACATCAGCGAAGATGGACCATCAAAGTATCAAAAGTAAGTAAGTATTCAACGTCTTCTTTAAGCTGAGAAGTTATTGATAAAAATCATGGAAAAAAATATGCAACCGACTTTCGATTTCTCTATGGTTCATATATCTGCTGACCTTTGCCTTTTTTGACACTTTTCGAGAATAGTCATTACAAATTATGAGTTTCAACATAGAAATTGCGCTTAGTACTGTAGAATGATACACAATTATGTCTAAGTGCGTTCATAATCACAAGTTCTCAGCTTCCTCAGAAATTGCGACCACTTTTTATAGCTTCTCAGCGAACATTCCTCTAGGATTTGGGCAGATTGATTCAACTCTTCTTCAGTTGTCTACTTCTAACTCCACTTTTTTTTTCGTTATTTGCCGGCGTTCCAAGTTTTTGGAGAAAAAGTGAACCATTAATGAATAAGTTCCTCATGAGAACTTTGAAAGTTGAAGATTGCGATTTGGAAATGATCTTCTTCTTCTTCTTCAGCGTCCGTCCCGCTCGGTCGCGGGGTCCGCGATTTGGAAATGATATATTTTTTTCAAATTAAAAACTATTATGCGCAAAACCATTAAAACCCAAATGAACAAAAAGAAATTTCATCGAAAAAATCCGGATATCTCTTGTAAACTCCATTTTTTTCAGCTTTTTCAGAAAAAAACGACATTTTTTTCCTTCTCAGTCCCTTTTACCTCAAACTTTACCTTTTTTTCTTCTCTCTGCCACACCACTTCTCCTCCTAAAATGACTTTCTAACATATAACATGAAATAAGTTGAAAAAAAGAACTAATTTTGAACTTTTCCGAGACTTTGTCGAGTTTAATAAAAGCTTAAAATTGATAAACGATTTTGAGGTAACTGAAAAAGTAAAATATATCTTTATTTTGATCGTAAATCCGCCATATTTCAATGTTTGAGATAACTCTTTTTTTCTATTCGATAGTTTGCTTTGATTTCTTCAAAGCCCAACCCCGATAACCAGTTACAAGTTTTACAGTTTCCCAATGGGTGTTAGTTATTATACAATAATATTTACATTATTTCTCGAAGTTGCAAGCTTAACGGCCAACGGCTTCGTTATCTATGTTTTTCTACCGGTAGGTAACCCGTTATATTCAAAGTACTTTTTGATATTTTTAAAGGAAACCTTCTTTGCGTTCCATTACAAACCTTCAACTCATAATGCTTTTTATCGATTTCTGACTGGTTATATGCCTTGGCTTGTAAGTTTGCTCTGATTTTAGTCGAATGAAAGAAAGCAAAGACTTTGATTTTTATTTCAACATTTTTTAGCCATTCCTGGAATGTCTTATCTGTTTGTCAATTGGAGCCCCAATGGCGAGTTTTTAGATCCTTATATTACCGTTTATTCAAGCTCGCCTCTAATATTCGAATTCAAAGTTAATTTGACTTTGACCATAGCTAGAGACCGCAGAGCCACGCCCCTTTTTGCGATGGTGAAAGGCACTGGTTTTTTAGATTTCGTGTTTGATGTTTTCGTAAAAGCGCAATACTGAATCAAACACAGAGAAATTTGGTGGAAACATAGAGAAAACCTTCCTCTTCAATCTCATATACTTTTCATCCGATTTTCAAAGCGTTTTAGCGGAGTGTCGTACAAAAAACCAAAACTAATTTTTTTCTCCGGGTTTTTAACCTAGTTCCATGTCGTTGGCGCCTTTTTTTCATTTTTCGAATTCGATTCTTAAGTGAAAAAAATCTTTTTAAGACAAAAAAATTAAAAATTTTTTTACGGGGCCTCATCTTCGTGAGGCCGCGCAAAGTTGAAAATGTTGTACTCGGTTTCGAGAGCGTGTAAGTAAAAAAATTTTTATTTTAACTTGTGGATTAAATTGTAACTAAAATTTTTATCAATATAAAACTTATTCCGAAAAACTTTGTTTTCTGAGAAAAAAGACAGTGAAAAATTTCGAAATTTATTTTAACATGGTTAGATGTCGTTGGCGCCTTTTTTTATTTCTTAAATATTAGCGTATCTCAATTTTTCAATCAATTAAAAAAATAAAATAAAAAAATTTTAGCGGTGCCTAAAAAGTTTAATTATTGTTAACTTGAAGCCAACGTTTAAAAATAACAAAAAAACACCGAAAAACGCAAGCATTTTTGAACTGAATCTCTATGAATAAATTATTTTTTTAGGTGCTCCGAACACATGTGAATAATAATTGTTCAACTATCATAGCTTTTTTTAAAAACAAAAACAGACGGTAAATGCTGTACTTTGAGGTGAAGTAGTGTATAGCGCGAACGCCTCCCTATCTCCGAGGGATGGACGTGGAGCAGCGCAAGTGCCCTTGCATACAGTTTTTGATATCGCGAGTTCAATCCTCGCAGCGGCCATTTTTTTAATTTTTTTCAAGAAAAAAATAGCTTTTTCTTTTCAAACTTGTGGTTTTATACTGTTTTAATGAATTATTACGACTTTGAAAAACCAAACTAAACTACTAAAAAAATTTAAATCCGATATGAAAAACAAAATGAACGACCAAAAAGTGTAAAATCTAAACTTTCAGTACTAAATTTCGCGACTTTTTTTCACTACTGTTTTGACCATAACTTTTTCTCAACCTTTTTTTCGAAAAAAACTAAACTGTTTTGAATAGTAAATTAGAGCAGCTATCCAACCATAGTAATATTGTAATTCGAAAAAAATTTTTTTGAAAAATTCGTCTGCGGTCCCTAACCATAGTTGTAGCTTTGGATAGATGTTTGGTAAGTTCTCTCTTCGGATATTAAAATTAAACCCAACAGAAAAAAAGTACACTAAAAGCGGTAATTCCAAGCAGAAAAAGCAATGGAGCGCACTTCACAACTTCAGAAAAAATTTAAATGTTTCAGGCGACTCTCTGCCCTTTCTGGTATCACAAACGGAAAGGCAGCCATTATTTAATGGGCGTTGTTCTAATCGGATTATTATTTGGATCAATCGATATGATGATCCTCGTGAAGTTCGGCGACATTCACCATGTTCCCGGCTGCACGGCCGGTACATGTTTCGCAGCCTTATCTGCGCGAAAAATACTTGGGGGTACAGTAATATGGTGAGCTTTTTTTCGATTTGAGATTTCTCTTCGTCGCTTCAAATATCCGGTGGCTTATTCTAGGATCCTATTCAAAACTTCTTCTCTTTTTGTAATATTCGCCAGACTCAAAATTTAGTTTAATCATCATCAGGTAACCTGATAATTTTCAGTTTTCTCTTAGTTCTCTCAATTTAACTCTATACTCTTTGTAACTGCAAATGAAGTTCTTACTGTAATAAAATCTTTTTTTCAGATTTTGGGCACGATTGTAGCTATTCTCACGCTGATTATCATAATTAGGCTGAAATTTTACAAAGATAGTCGAAATATTCAATCGCTCGGCGCTCAGAACCAGAAAAAATTTTCTCAGGTTTTCGAAATACTTTCCGCTCGGAATTTTGAGAAACTCAAGGCAAACCGAGTCGCCTGCGCCATTTTACTAACATCTCTGAGTTTTGGCACGTTTCCGAGTTTTATGATTGGGGCGGCAGAACTTTTCTCAAGTTCCCTCTTCATTTTCGTAACCATTGGCCCGTTTTACATCTTAATAATAATTTAATTTATTGACAGATCAGCGTGAACCCTAACGAGTTCACTTGGATCTAGAATTTGAGAGAATACATTATACAGTTTATACATCATTTGAGTCGTGGAGGAATAGACAAGAAGATCTCGTGCAATGGTAGATTGACCAGTAAATTTTTTTAAAGACTTGGGGTGGTGGCTGAATTGAAATTTGGAAGTGAGTTTGTTCCAAGTAGGAATTGTTTTAAAGAAAAAAATCATTAGAAAAACTGACCTTGAGAACGCAGTCGAAGTGGATTTCGCCTTAAATTGGACCTGAGGGCAAAAAAAGTTCGAACTGGGGAAAATGATCGATACCGAAGACAATTTTATGAAGGGTCAGAATGTCAGATATAGCTCGTCTGAGGTAAAGTGGAGAGATATCAAATTGTTCAAGGCGATCAGAGTAAGATTCAAAGGATAAGTTGGACCTAATAAAAAAATTTTTACGAGAAAAAAATTCTGAGAGGAGATTCCAGTTTGTAGCAGAGATCAGAGTTAAGGGGAGGGTTAAAAAAACTTCGGAGCAGTATTCTAGAATAGGCCTTACATAGGTGTTAAAAAAATTTTTGAACAATAGATCAGGTGATTTGGAACGAAAAACAGTTGAGTATCTGATTGGAACGAAGGGTTGCTAAAGAAACGATATTGTTAATGTGAGGAGCGAGAGTTAGTTTATGATCGATAAGAACACCTAGATCACCGGTTTGATCTTGACAGGTAGGAAGAAGCCTAGAGTTTTGGAAAACCCGATTCAATTTCAGGAGTTTCAAACGGGGTGATATTTTTGACATTGAACAAAGATGCTCGTCAAATTGTCCGGCAAGTTCTACCAATAAAGTCGGGAACTAATAGGAGCAATCACAATCCGGAAATTTCGAAAGGCTCACTTAGAAAGAAGCCTTTAGTCAACGCTGGAAAAATTAGTGTGGACAGCGTCCTGATTAGATTATTGTCCAATATAATTTATATTTTTTTGTGTAAAAAAATGTGAAAATAGTTTTTCATGCAGCCATGACTTCTAGAAACATGGCTTTGTATTACGAAGCAGTTGTGTCAATTTGCACCCGACTCAAAAACGACTTTGGCTTCAACCCTTCCCGAATTCGGCTTTTTTTTCTGACTTACACGTTGTTTACTCACTCTTAGAACGCTAAAAAAATTAAAGACAAAGGAATTATAAAAATCTACAGAGTTTTCTTGTTGCTCAAATGAATCTTTTTTTATTCTCCTTCTCACACAATTTCTATAAATTTTTGTTTCAAAGTCTATATTATTTCTGTTTTTACACTGTTCTCATAACATCGTATGACTAGTATGAAACACTTTGAAGGTGTCGTCTTTTCGCGATTGAACTTTGGAGAAGAATCGGAAGCAAAATAACCTGTAAGGTTTTATGGATAATAACAAAACGACGGTCGAAAAAGCCGTGAAGACCAAAAGTAAGGGTTCCGATGATACCAGCATCTGGAAAAAGCTTGAAATTGAAAAATCCCAAAAATCTCAAACTACATCGCAAGTTTCCAGAAGATCCCGTGAAGAAATTGACCACTTTCGAGAGAGTGAATGGAGACGCTAGAAATAATGCCGGTATGATCATCTGAAAACTCATTGACCTCTTTGGGACTTCAAGGAACGGAATACCTGACAAATTAACGAGAAGAAAAAAATGTTTTTTTGCTGCTCAAGCGTTTTTCGCTGAGCTTTTTACTTCGTGATTTGGACAGAAAATAACAAATTCGAAAAACTGAAAAAGATGCCCCCAAAAAGCCGGAAATCGCAATGACTAGCAGGAGACAAATCATCGATAAGTTTTCAGTGTCCAAAATCAAAGCTTGTGAGGTGAAAATATCTTCTGGGATACAACCGATTTTCTGTAGAAGAGTAGATGAGATTCGTATTCTTTACAACTTGTGCTTGAA